TGTATTCTTTGATAATACGAATTATGACACTGACTATGCTCTTATTATACATAGATTGATTTACTTTACGACTACCTGTAGTACTAACTACCCTTCTGTAGTATTGTTAAACAAATGCTGAAATTTTGTTGGTTCTGTTAATATCTTTTTATAATATGTTTAGACACGTTACTTTGCAATGTCAGATGTCTACTATATACAAGACTGTCATGATAATTTAGTACACTAAGTCCTGCCAACCGACCTTACCTTCAGTTCATACTACCTATATTGATCCCTAACTATATTGTTCTGCTGAATCTTGCTTCACTATTCACAAAACCTATTCTTTTTATTCTTTAAGGTTCTAACTTCTTGTAAAGTAATCTGTTCATTAGGACGCATGCATACATATATAATGTTCATAAAGATGTACGCGGAGACCTATTGGAAGCACTCATTAAGAAAGCTAGGGAGATGGAATATGAGGTACGAACATGTCTGGTACCAAGCAATTTATTTGCGGTAGCCATAATAATCATAGTCTCAGAGCTTAACATCAAAAAAGGAGGGAGGGTGGCGTTAGCTGATCAGTAGATATGGTGGGGGTCACTAAGGTGAATCGCCCCATTCTGCAGGAACAGCAATATACAAATTAAAGGCTCGAGATATTTCTGATTTTTATGAGGGCTTAGATCTTTATCTTGAAAAAGATAATAATGAACGCCTTGACAGATCATGCTTCTACCTCTAAATATATACTATTCGCCCAGCCTATTGTTGAGATGCGACCATGTGGGATGTGCACAGATTTATGGGGCATCTTATAAACTAACTTGCTGTCCATTGACTGATCTTTAAATACCACTTCACAATGTCTTATCTCATTCATTTTCCAATAACGTCTTTACTTGATCCTCATTATATCCCATTAAACCTAACATTTTACAGCTCTTTATGACTTATTATATTCCTACTCTCTGAAGGGTACGGTTGTACATTAAATGCACAAAAAGGTATAAAACAAAAACAACTGGCACAACTGAGGATAAATGTATTAAAACCAAAAGTGGACATCATGATAGTACGAGGTATATGTGTTGCATTATACATTGCAAATGAACGTTGTCAGCCTAGGGAGTTTTCTTTATTAATGCATTTATTAATGATACTTGCACTTACCTATTTCATTACAATTTAATGATTCACCTCAGCACTTTTACTTTTCTAAAACAGCTTTCAATCCCTTGTAAACGTTGTACTTACCTCAATATTGGTTGGTTATCGTATGCCGACAACCACGGGATGAAAACGAAACGAAGTCGATTTTCCCGCTCAACCTGGAGGACAATTGTACAATTCAATAACTATACAGCCTAGTTCAGACAATGTGTATTTATATATATATCAAATATTTAACTGTTGAAACATTATTAACTTGTAGACAATCTACGATTTGATATTATATCATACTTGATCGTGCCTGTAAAAATGGCATGCATTTTCATGTAAATTTATATGTTTATATGAGAATATACATTATTATTATTATTATTATTATTACCCATTTCATTACACTTTAATGATTCACCTTTGCACTTTAACTTTTCTGAAACAGCTTCCAATCCCTTGTAAACGTTGTACTTACCTCAATATTGGTTGGTTATCGTATGCCGACAACCACGGGATGAAAACGAAACGAAGTCGATTTTCCCGCTCAACCTGGAGGACAATTGTACAATTCAATAACTATACAGCCTAGTTCAGACAATGAGTGTATTTATATATATATCAAATATTTAACTGTTGAAACATTATTAACTTGTAGACAATCTACGATTTGATATTATATCATACTTGATCGTGCCTGTAAAAATGGCATGCATTTTCATGTAAATTTATATGTTTATATGAGAATATACATAATTATTATTATTATTATTATTAAAATCGTTGCAGAGTTCATTTGCTGATTTCCTTCTATCAGCTATATCCTCAAATCTGAACGGAAACACGCTCATGTCATTGTATAGTAGAATATAGATGACGAACAAACATACGACGTATCTGGTCAACCAAGCGTAGAAACAGAGTAATTTACACCAAAGATAATAGCATTCAAATAGTAACTTGAAACTAGAAATGCCTTTATTCATGCAAGTCAATTTAACAATTACTCTTTCGTTTACACTTGGCTTATTCTCACTAAACTGAGCAATATCTTTCGTCTTTTCAAATGCACCAATACTATCATAGTTATTGCATGAGGCACGTGAGTTCATGGACGTCCATTTCATTGTGGATGAGAACACCAACGACGACTGTGTGACACAAGGTGATGCAGTTAGCGGTGGATCAGAAGCTGTTCTTCTTCGGCTTTCGGATAGTTGTCTAACTGCAAGATTACCACCACTGCTGTCCTTTACTATCAGCTCTGGTTTAGCACTATCATCTGATGATAGGTGGGCTACACGCTGATCAATTACACTGACTATCTCACAAGTATGCATACCTTCTGGAACTGCATCTGCGTTCAATTCTACTTCACGTTCAAGTTGTACAGAACCTTTATTTAACTTAGCAGTAGTAGGCATTCCCCTCATTTCATCATGATCGACCAAAGACAACTGTGAAGTATCATGATCATTATCACGAATATTCACTTTACCGTCAACTTCATCATTTTCAAACTCTTTGATAACAGAAGTAGACAATTTTGGTTCCTCCTCACAAATCCTTAAAGGTTTTATATCTTCACTCTGACTAGTAATACCTTGTAAACTTGTGGAGTCAGAACTGCACTCTGAAGCAGCAACTCTATTCTGTGACACTCTATTCAACAATGGCTCACCAGTTGCGAATACAGACTTCTTCACCGCACTGTTATCGTCACATAATTCGGATTCAGGTCTGAAGTTTACATTTAGCTTATCACTGAACTTGCCCACTGATTCACAGTTCACCTTTGTACGCACCTCTTGCAAACGTGTAAAACACAACCGTGTTTGTCTTGCAGCTTGTAACTTATCTATTGAGGATATACTGCAAAACCTGTTACACTCACTAGGTCTATACGCATTACTAGGCATCATGGAGCCTTCTCGATATCCACCTCTCTGAGGCATATTCGTCATCAATGATTGCGCTTCTCCCTCAGACTGCTCTATTCTACGGGTGAGATTCAATATACTGGCAAACTTGCTCATAGATTGATTGACACTAGTATTTACCAGTTTCAGGATATCATCAAACTTTGGCTCGATACCCTCATCCTCCATACGGGAGCTCATCTTCACCCACTTCCTTTGCAGTCGAGTAGGTAGACGTCTTGCTATTACTTCTAGTATAAAACTCGAGTTGAGGTCACTCATGCGATTCATCGAAATCATTCCATTCTTGTAAATTAGCAAATTATCTAAAAACTCAGTGAGTGCCTGGGAGTCATCCTGTAATTGACCACCATTACCCTTAACAGCCTCGAATAATTTTCCTGCAATCATCGAAGGTCTTCCAAACCTTTGACGTAATATGCTCATAGCCTCATAGTAGCCCTCTTTTGGCTTCATAAACTTACAGCACTGTATAGCTCTTGAAGCATCTCCAGTGCAATATCTCATCAAATACATTAACTTCAATTCATCACTTAATAAAAACCACTCAACATGATCTCAAACTCCTTTACAAATTGTAAATAATCAGCCGGGTTTCCATCAAAACACCGTGGTTCAAATTTAGGGAGTTTCATGTTCCTATTATCCCTGAACGGCGAAACAGTAACATCAACCATGTCATGCTTAACATCAGACACATCGTTACAAGTAACAGACAAGTCACCATGACTTACTTTCCTGTTTGCATCCAAGACACTCTGTCCCTTCTTTGACCCAGGAATTGTTGATCTTGACCCAATTCCGGAAAATTTCCAGATATTGCTTGTTCAAAGAGGACTTGACCGGCACCAGGAAAGATGAACGGTGACTATCCAAACTTTCACCAACTGTTTGAATCCGCCAAAGTCTGTTTCTACCATCAGAAACTGTCAGTCACGTCTCGTAAACCGTTAATGCTCAGCTCTTGCTGCACTCGGGCTGACGTTGTTCCTTGCCGTTTTTCAGAAACGCTTAGTAATAACGGACGAAAAATCCAGAAGACCAATTGGTGACTCGAGGATTCTTTATTGTTACACCAACATATAAAAATAATAATTGAACTAAGGTCTGTGAACAAATATTACAATAATAAATCACAGGATTACTTCTGATGGTTTACTGCTGACTTCTTTCTGAACAGCGACCTATGAGACGATGACTGTCGTATTGATGCCTCCGCGAAAATTGGGGAAGTTGGTTTTGAGCAAACAACCATGAATTGATCGTTCAATCTTCAGTTACATTGACAGTCACTGTTTCTTAGTTAACTGCTAAGACAACGTGAGTTTTATAATAACGATATCAATGTCTAACACTCTATTGATCCCTCTGAGGCAGACCTCGAAATTCTTTTCATCAGCTACTGGAAATAAACTGGGATGCATGCAGAGGGGCCACCCAGCAGAGTCTCAGGTGTTTCCGAGGATACCGGGTAACATATCTGGTGAACCATAGGAAAGGGGCCTCTGGCTGCGTAAGGCGTCTTAAATAAACTCGGATACAGTCTTAAAGAATTGATCATGTTCTGGACTGCAGAAGTACAGATCAAAAATCGCATTTAGAAGTACGAGGCAGTGTATTAATATTAGTCAAACTTGGAAAGATATAAAAACGAATTGCATACAATATCTGTGCGATCAAACTGTTCTGTTTTTTCTCTGAACTCAATAAGTCCGCACAATCACATCGCATTCAAAAACAGCATAATAAGTGTGCACAACGAAATCAAATAGGTCAGCCATAAAAAATAAGGAATTGTCTTCCAAAAATGTCTTCCCCTGACATGCATATGTGTTAGTTGATTCTTTTGTTTAAATCCACTAAACTCGATGTAAGCAATATTGTCATTGTCTACGGTTTTCAACGAATTTAAATTTTTCGCATGTTTACCAAGTTGAGCAATGGAAGCAGTTGAAACTTCCAGGTCTGTCAGAACGTGGTGCGCTGTGGAGAATGAAGATAAGAGGCAGTCTGTGAGGTCACTTTTCATATCAGCATTGAATGAAGGCAGGTAATATCGTGTACTTATTTTACCAGGCGTTACCATTTTCACGTGTGAAGCATAGAATCATGGGAAGGTTTGTGCTACTTTTTGCATTCAAACAGTGATTTTATACAATCGGCCAAGGATGAGGCTGAAGTAAATTCTTATTTTCGGCGAAATAAATTTGCCTAACATCCTGTAGTTTAAATATTTTGTCAGTAGATCTTTTAAAACTGTTAAAGATATTCTCAAGAGTCCCTCTCCAAATACACCAGCACATGCTATCTTGAGACTCAGATCTGTCTTTGACAGTTTGTGTCGGTCTATATCATGGCAACTTACTTACTGCACAGAAAACACAAGTGTAGTTTGCAGTGATGAACATGCGACTGTTCAGTTTTCTCCTCCGTGGCATTCCAATGCTGATGATTTTCGCTATGTCTCACATGGAAAACATTTGGCAGAGGTTTGTTTGTTTTCAACATATCGTCTTTGTTAAGGAGAAAGTGTCAAATTTTGGGATGGCACATTCTGGCTTAGCAGTGCAAGAGGATAACTTCTTGGTTAGTTATGATCGCACGTTTTAAAGTTGTCCCTTGTAGAAAGAGATTTTAACCAACAAACCGTTTGTTATTTCTGAATGTCAAGTACGCAGTGAGTATGCGGAAATGTTGTTAAATATCAAGTCAAAAAATTCTCCTGACGAAATGGAAATGATATATCCAAGAGATGGGTTTGAGGCTGTAATCTATTTTTCGGTCTGTAGAAAACTCGGGATTTACGAGTTCATGTACTTTACTAGAAATAGTGTCAAGAGTTGGAAGTTATCACATTATAATATAAAGTGCGTAGTAAGACCCCAGGTTAGTGCATACAAATTTAATAACATATTTCTTAGCCCTATATCTCAAACTTCTTCATATTATGTGACAACTTTGTATAGAACATATTTTTGGCACAGTCTTTTTCACGTGAATTTGCTTGGGACAATTCTATTTTTATTTGAAAAACAAGGTTTCATTAAATGAAACCAACTTCTGAAGACTGACTTATGCATTGGGGCATAAATAGGACTGTATTAAGTTCTTTCTGCATAACATCACACATAGACTGAAAGTTTTGAAAGTTAATTGTAAGATAATAAAAAGCCTCCATGTGCAATTATTTGCTGGCTAGCTATGATCAATAATTAAGAATACTTAGTTAGAAATTTGGAGATGAAGGATGCGGTCATTTGCGCGATGTACACTGTATGCAAGCGTGAGTGTCTATGTCGTAACTCTAAGTACTTGTTCTGCTGATACCAGAGACAAATCAAAAAACTAAATTGATCACCCAAAATAAGAGATACGCTTCGTGATGAAAATTTCTGGTTGATAATTGCTTAGCCAGCTACAGTTCGCGAACAAGTGTGACATACTAGAGTATAAATGGCATGGATGCTTTACCACGTACCTTCAACGAAACAAGTTGACTTAGTTAGTGAGGGTCAGCATCTGGTGTCGGGTAAAAATTTTATTTTTTTTTTTTTTTTTGATTTACAGCTTGATTCCACACTGTATTTTGGTACAAGTATGGAATTTTCAGCATGGATATCGTAGCCCAAATTTGCAGGCCGACCATAGATATCATGCGCCGGCTGGCTCGAACCCCGGACCATGTGCATGGTCGGCGAGAGTCCTAACCACTGTGCTGCAAACCAATAATTCTGGATAGTTATTTGCCGCTACAGAGATTCAGAAGAGTAAATTCAGGAGAGATGTAAATGTAGAAAAAATCCCCATTTAGACATTTAGAAATCTGTATTGATTTTCTTCGTTAATTATCAACCCATTGACATTTTGACATTGTTTAATTATTGTTAACAAACTTATCGCCACTTGACTGGCAAACTGCTGTATTGCAATTAAAATGCTATATATATTAGAGTAGAGCCAGAGATGAGAACATAATTGAAAAGTAAGTATTTCTTTGCTCAATCTTTCTGTTTTCTAGATGTAAATGTCTCATGGACGTTAAACTGGGAATTAATGTCAGTAAAAAGTTTGAGCATTGTGCAATAGGTCAAATAAAGTACAATTATATTTCAATGGTTTACACACAATGATAAGCTTTGTTATTGGTAATACTTCGAGCAAAATTATTGCCCTTGTTCGTACTGTAACAACAGAAGACAAGGGCCAGGCAACAGATAGTTTATTAAGGAAATCCACAAATATTTATTGATTTTCATATGCATACTATAGATTATTGTTGGCAGAAAAACACCGTCCTCTGATTGGTGGTTGTTTCTCACTGAAAGTAAACCTTGCATCTCTTTGTAACTGTTTCTTGAATGTCAGGTCATCTGTATGTTAACTGTAACCGCCTACGCAAAGCCTCTCTTCCCATTTTTCTCACGACCAATATTGGGGACATAAACATTGACGTAAATTACCGTCCACCAATTTTGACTAACAGCCAGATCTCACCGCAATGCCACTTTTAGAATTGTTTTGTTCACACATTTATGATTTGTACCCACATATAGTTCATTTTTTGTTCGTTCATTTTTGTGCGTTCAGAACTAGCTGTTGACAGTTGTACTAAGTCACCCTTGTCATATGTATCCGGTGTGACCTTAGTGAATATAGATTCAGTTATAATTCTCTCTTTCATATATGTATAAACGTGGGCACTGTGGTAGTAAGTAATTCCATATTAGTTTGTTTATTAGATGTATCACACAATGAAACAGTACTGGATGACGTTTTGAGCTGCAAATACATGTAATAGGAATGATTCAACACCTGTTCCAGATATCTGGAAAATTCTAATGCCCCTTAAACAAATAGGAGAGGACAAACAAAACTATAAAATTCAAATTTCAAAGTCGTGTGATTACAATTGATATAATTATGAACAATAAATCTTGTTCAAAACTGTGTCATCCAGTAAATAAAACCGTTTCACTGTGTGATACATCTAATAAACGAACCAATATAAAAGTCTCTCTTTCCATTTGTTCATATTAGTTTTTAGATTACAAACATTGTTCCAATCGATATTGTGGTTTTTGTCCCATGCATGTACAGCTATGGACGAATTTTTTCTAAATTCTTGTAAGCTTATGTTCCTGTTAGTTGACCTTCAGTTAGGCGTTTATGTTCATTTACTCTTATTTTGAGTGATCTGGACGTTTGACCCACATATTTAGTTGGACAGTCAGCACAAGATATTTTGTAAATCACTGTTTTTATCCATCAGACAACGGCAACCAACGAGGGAACAGGCATAAAATGGACTGACACAAAAGACTTGGAGGATCTGGATTTCGCCGATGATATATGTCTGATTTCCCACAAACTGGAAGATATGCAAGTGAAAAGCAATAAGCTGGCAGAAGAAGCATCAAAGATAGGCCCTCACGTGAACATAGATAAAACAGAGATAATGAAGATTCCTAGCCAACATCAACAACACCAACAGACCACAATAAGCATAAATGGGAAGAACCTGAAAGAAACAACCTCCTTCACCTACCTGGGAAGCATCGTCTCAACTACAGGCGGAACTGACGAGGACATCAAAGCCAGAATCGGAAAAGCAAGACAAGCTTTCATTACTCTCAAATCTGTGTGGAGGTCAACAGCAATTAGCATCAAAAATAAGATCCGGATTTTCAACTCCAATGTGAAGTCAGTGCTACTATACGGATCAGAGACTTGGCGAGTCATAAAGAGCATCTTAAACAAACTTCAAACCTTCATTAACAACTGTCTCCGCTCAATACTCAAGATCAGATGGCCAGAAAAGATCAGCAACAGGGATCTCTGGGAGCGAACCAATCAGGAACCGATTGTGAAACAAATAGGCAGAAAGAAATGGAGATGGATTGGCCATACGCTGAGGAAACCATCAAGTGACATCACTAGACAAGCCCTCGAGTGGAACCCGAAAGGGAAGCGGCGAGTTGGTCGTCCAAGGGTGACTTGGAGGAGGTCATGCGAGGAGGAGATGAAAGCATGTGGACAGACCTGGAGCAGGTTGAAAAAGTTGTCAGAAAACAGAAGTCAATGGAGGTGCGCAGCTGAAGCCCTATGTTCCTCTAGGAACTAAAGGATACAATAATAATAATAATAATTTTTAATCAGATTCGTTGGTTTAAACGTTGTGCGAATCCCTATATTTTTGAGGTTTCTTCGAATTGTCGAAATGAATGGAAAGAGAGACTTATAACTGAATCTATATTCACTAAGGTCACACCGGATACATATGACAAGGGTGACTTAGTACAACTGTCAACAGCTAGTTCTGAACGCACAAAAATGAACGAACAAAAAATGAACTATATGTGGGTACAAATCATAAATGTGTGAACAAAACAATTCCAAAAGTGGTATGAACAAGGGCAGTGATTTTGCTGGAAATATTACCAATAACAAAACTTATCATTGTGTGTAAACCATTGAAATATAATTATACTTTATTTAAACTGAGAAGCTGGAATTCTACAGGTATTCGACTTAGTGCTGCTTGTTCTGATGTCTTTTTGGTTGCAAATGTTCAGATGTGATTTCCTTTTTGTCTGACTGGATTACAACACTACTGAAACTTCTTTGTAGAGTATCAGAAAACATCAGTAAGTTCATGCATTTCTGCTGCCATAAGTAATAAAGTATTTTGTCACGATACCCATGTGGTTTGCTGTAACAACTCAGCAAATTGTGTCTTTGTATGTGTGTACAAGAAGAATAAAAAAATTGCACTGGATGGTGTTGTTTGGGACTTTTAACTAGTTTTATTTATTTATTATTATAGCATAAGAGCAGCCTTATGCCTCAGGATGAAGCCAGCTATTACATTATTTGGATATCAGGATTAGTGGAGCGAGATACTTTTCCCTTTGAATTATCCAGAACTCCTAACTGTCCCAGTTCCGCGACCACACTGCCATCTTCATAATGGGGCATTCACTGTTCAGATCTTCGACCAAATCGGATGATCAGATACCCTAGTTAGTTAGGTATGGTTGTTTACTCAATCTCACCTATCTAGCACAGCATATCTACCAAGTTCACCTAACAGGATATTCTCCTGTTAGTGTGTGTGGACTTGCAGGTGTGAGAATAGTTTTGACCTCTAGGACGGGAAACTTCCTAGTTGACTATATTCCAATGGATAAACGTATGAATTCTGTCCGGCTGAAGAAAGAAAGACTGTAATACTCATATTTCTATAATCTTCACTTAAATCCCAGCTGACTGCACTTCGGATGAGTTAAGAGATAAGCTCTGTTAAAAGCTGTCTAGTTTGCTGCTGAAGGAAAACGCTGGGATGTGTTCATTTTACCACCTGGTCTGTATGCTCATATATGGAAGCTTTACCAGTCAGAAAAGTATATCAGTGGCACTTGTTCCATGTTGGCTAGCCGACAATAGTGGTTGTCTTTTACAGTTTTATCCAGATAGTCACCTGTTCCTAGTAAGCACAGATTTCAAATACGAGGGAGGATGTCATCTAATCAAGTGACCTGCAACATTGAATCAATGATGGACACAAGTATATTAAGTAGCTAAGATCTGTTGATGGACGTTTTCGGTAAAAGACTGCCGCTTCCTCTGGAACACCTACATATACCCCGATCATGGATTAGTATACGAACATATACACCTTATGACCGAGCAAACGTAGGACAAAAATAGTAGTAAAATAAAGGCTTTATTCTAGACACATACGAAAGAGACACCCCTTCAACTTGTTTACGAAAACACAACTGAGAATGACATTAATAGTCGTTCTACAAATAGACAGGCTCTAGGCCTGGACTCTGTTGCTTACTTCAGTGTCAACCTTACTAGTTTTTATTTTAAAGTTAACAGTGCTCATATTAGACCTTTTCATGATTAAAGTTCACTTTAGGCAAGCATATACAGATAGCCTGAAAGAGAAAATCAAATAAATTTAAATACTTCAGTGAATAAAAATTTACTTATACGCTTAGTAATCACTAATAATGTAAAGTGCTTAAGGGATTTGGAACCCGCGTTATATTCGTTTTCCATGAAAGTATCCAGATGACGTAGTATTTCTACATGAAGACTATGACAAAACGCAGTCTTCTGAACACACAGTGGAGAAATTTTGATATATTTGGCACATGACTCCCCGCTCTCAAACATAAGATGCTGTAGGACTGACCTGCGCTGACTCTCACTGTAAAGACGGAGTAAAATGGGTGAATATGCTGACGAATTCAGTCTTTTTGGAAGTTGTATCAGCCCTAATAGGCTGGTTGCCGACAAAATCTCATCAAGAGTAAGAAAGCCTAGCGTGGAACTTTTCATTTTATGTCATTTCTGGTGTAGACGTGATATTTAGCTGTTCGTTGCACAGCAGTTCGTTCTTTCCGCCTTGATGTCTGTGATATATAACCTCTGAAAGTTGAGAGCTTGAAGAGACTACAGATTTTCTCGTTGAATCTCCTGTGTTCAGCGGTACAATGTAGTGGGTAAAATTAGGGTTAGGCGTAGAGTGTTAGGTAGGGAGGGCGATTCAGTCGTGGTTATGAAGATGCATTAAATGATATGCCTAGTATACTTGTTAAGCTTACAGAGCTACTGTATTTCTTGCCGAACAATGTTAGTCCACAAAGGATTAAGTTGGAAACATTTAGAGATCGTAAAACTATGACACAGTATCAATCTATGATGCCTATAACTCTCAATCTGAGCCACGTAGATACATGGAGATTTTTTGATTGGGGTCACCGAGATAGTAATAAGTGGCTGGGAACTATTGCCTTTACGTCTCGAAATCTTTTTGAATGGAGTAGATGGATTTAGTCTCTGTAGTCACCTGGGTTTATTGAATTAACATTGTTTTCCATGTGATTGTTCTTTTTCCCCTACTTTTTCTTTTGTTGTAATTTCTTCTTCATTACTTTCTGTTTTCTCTACCTTTATGTGTGCTTCATAAAGTATAGCAATTTGAGTATTCGAGTGATTTAGATACTCTCAAAAATGTCCTACATTTAGTGTATTTCTTAGAATTACATTTCCTCCTATTATTGAAATAGTACTGATATGTCAGTGATCTACTTTCACATTCTCAAGTAGTTTATTTTATCAAAGTTTAATATCAGTTTATTAATTGCTATTAATATATGAGTAAAACTTTAGTACTGTAGTAGTTTCTAATTCTGTATTCGATACGATTATGAAAAGTAAGCATAATTCAGTATTTTATTTCTCTTCACTGTTTGTAATATGTCTGACAGTGAAACTAATCTAGCGTTTTCATGACCCGAGTATCGGTGTGGTGGTCTGCAATATTTAGCACAGTGAACGACATCCAAATTTTTGACAGTGATGTTAAGTCAAAGCATATATATGGTTCAGAGACACCAACTGTCACCAGAGGCATTTCCAACACACTACAGACTTTTACCAACAGTTACATTCACTTGCTCGATAGTGGAGATTAAGTAGCCTATCAGAAAGGATAAGCAACAAGGAACTCCTTTAATTCAATTTTACATTTTCCTGTTGGTTGATTGCACCAAAATGCTCGGTCTCAGGTTGACAAGTCGGCTTCTTGTGCAGATGCTTTGACGATATCTAGGCATGTAATTAGAGGTTAATTGGTGGATGGTGATTGGCAGTGGAATCCAGGATGCGTATTTTGTCCCCTACCAGTCACCATCCACCAGTTAACCTCTAGTTACATGCCCAGACATCGTCGAAGCATCTGCACAAGAAGCCGACAAACATGTCAACCTGAGACCGAGCACTTCAGTCAAATCAATCGACGGGAAAATCTAAAATTCAATTAAATAATTAATATAACCCGCTGTACAAGAGGTGGCTCTCGTGGCCCAAGTGGTATAGTGGATAGCGCTTTGACGTTTGAAACTATGAGCACTGGGTTTGAGCCTCGGTGGAAACACCATCCCTGACTCACTGGGGAACGCAGCTACATCCGTATGACGAGTCCCGAATAGGACGAAATGCCTATCTTAGATTCCACTGCTAATCACCATCCACCAGTTAACAAGGAACTCCGTTTGTTCACAGAACCATACAGTGTAGAATCTGTTGTCCAATAAATATGCAAAATGAAATGGAGATGGATGGGACATACATTGAGGAGACTGTTGACAGAGGGCGAACTCCGGATTATCGACTGGAAACCGAATGGAAGTTGAAAAGGGTTGGGCATCGGAGGCTAGTAGGAAGGAGATCATATAAAGACGAAGTGAGAGCATGTGGATAGTTATGTAGCAGACCAAAAAGATGTCAGAAGGTGGATCAGTGAAGATGTGCTACTGAAGTCTCCCAAGGGATAAATAATAATGGTAAGCAATAAAAACTGTTAGTTTAAAGAAGGTTTAAGGTATCCTTCTGAAATTCTTTAAATGTCAGAAACTGTTTAAGAACGGCTAATGATGGTCTGATCAAAATTATTTTCTCACCAAGTCAGTGAAACTCAGTTAACTACTAATTAACTGCTCATTATTGACTGAATACAGATGGAATTCTTGGAGTTGTAATGAGAACTTGTGTCTGGTGGGGTCCACAACGTCGTGTATAAGGACATATTATCAACGGTGACATAAGACTTGCAGAATTCAGAATTTATGGTTAATTGGATTCCTATCCAAAGAGTGAACGGTAGTGTGGTAACCTTATGGGTTCATACAGATGTAGAGTTCCAAACTACAATGAGACAGCTGTTCAATATCCCAAGTTTTAAATGATTCTCTAAATGATATCAGTTATTGATGGTGTCTTCAATGAAATCAGTCAATCCTCCATAAACTTAACAACTGACACAACCATGAGACAGATTATTTCCCAGAAATTCAGGTTTTAATGTGAACAAATAATCATTCGGCCGTTTGGTCAGTTGAAATCAAAGGCTGATGATTTCCAATTTTTGTCAGTGTCGTTACTGCTGTCCACTGTGATCGACGAGGACTTGTCCTGACACTTCACTTGATGGAGACTCCAATTGCCGTGAATTATCACCAATGATTAGCTTTGATATCGCTCACGATACCCACTAAGTTGGCTGTGGGCGGGGGGGGGGGTTAGTTATTGATCGTTGACGCTGAGTAGACACTAAACTTTATTCATTATTCTAAATATTCTCCTTTAAGATTGATGTCAGTAGTTTCAACTTAAGCTTAATGTATTTATATTTGAATCACATTTCCTGTGTCTTTTGCAGAATAACGAACCTCACTATATTTTCAGTACATTTGGGATATTGGCTATAACAGAAAAAGAACAAGAGCATTTAAGTCTTACAGACTGGTTTAAAGAAGCAGTTTTATATGAATCATTAGTTCAGAATTCATCATTTCGTTATCTTGCAGCATGGAAATCATTTGTTGTGTAAGTTAAATTATTCTGTGAATCGCTAAACAGTGAGTACTACGATGTTCAGGCCATTATTTTAAAAAAAATTATAAAATTGTTTGTGAGATCGGAAAATACACTGCATTTACTGTTAAGTTGATGTAACGTCATGTACAACGAAATAATAATATTTAGAGCAGAAAAGCTTTTCTTTTCGAGGAAGTTAGGGAAGTACAACTGAATTTATACTCGGTGGCGTCGGTCGTATAGCGGTTAGGACGCTCGCCTACTATGCACATGGCCCGGGATTCGATTCCCGACTGACACACTCCTTTACCTCGCTAGGCCAAAAATAATGCCGGTAAAGAGGAAAGGTTGAGCATGAGGCTAGCAACCCTATCCTGTAAAAAAAACACTGTCACAGAAAATTCAAGCTACTAGCTTGAGGCCCTATGTCCCACTGGGGAACGTGAAGGAAAAAAATAAACAAATAACAGCTCTTAACCGAATAACATTTTGGAGCGGCATTAATAACACGCTGGTGTACAAAGCAAAGTTCGAGACTGCAGCAGTTATGACATAGTTTGAATTTGGGATATATGGGATTGAACAATGGGGAAGTCTAGCCATTAGATTTGTGGTGATTTAGACTTGTAGTTCCACATGAACTGTGATTTGTCTAGAGAACGAAAAGGAAATACAATTTATTTTGTAATAGTCTTAGACTCTTCATCAGTATGTATCCAAAGTCGTGCAAGAGGCTAGACCCAAAATAGTCAGGCGACCACGTTACATTCCAACTATTGAATTCAGTCCCTTACGGTTTCTACCTTCTTTCTGGATGGGAAACATGAAACTCAAATGAATACTTAATAGCGGAGGAGGGTTTAAAAACGTCCAGTATCGCAAAGATCAAGTCTATAAGAGTAGAAGAAAGAAGATAAAGGTCTAGGTGTCCAGCTTGAAACGGCAAATGACAAATGTCTTAACTACTAGATTATGCTCTTAAGCAGACAGCTGAGACATGGATGCATTTAAGACAAACTTCCAGTTTAATCCATCTCACTGTATACTTTTACTATATATGGTTCCCGTTGGCGCAACACATAGCATTCTCTTTCCAAATGCATGTGAAGGCCACCATGAGAGAGAAAACTAAAAATCTGTGAATAGTTCAATAATTAAATACGTATTTAGTTTTTCTTAAAGAGGTTTACGTACAAATAGGCTGCTGATGTTTGGATCTAATAATATCGCCAAAATTCAATATGAGTTAATTTAACTAGCATGAATATCAGTGGCATTCATTAACTCGTCTGAAAAATTATTAGCAGTGACTCCTGATTTCTAAGAGTTCATGCAAATAAGGACAAAAGATGAACTCGTCCGAAACGGTCAGAACGGTACATTATATAAAAATATCGCCTACCTCAGAAAGTTAAGTAGATAAGTGACTAATTTAATTGGTTGCATAACTTTGGGCTTCTATGTCGGCCCGATGGTTTGAATTTATCCAAACTCCTTCAAGGCTTATTTTAGCTAGTTTTAAGATTAGTCAGAATCAAGGGTATATGACATCAACTTACTGACAAAGTCAAACTATGCAGGTGAAAAGAAGAAAGAGTTCATAGGTGGCATACAGTGAAGGAGTTGACTATTCACCACTCCACACCATATATTTGATCGTCTGTTATTTATTATTCTCCATCTTTCTTGAGATTCCTAATCCTGACTGACCAACTGAAGAATCACTATGGGAATTTTACCTGGAGTACATCGCTTCAAGTTACTTCATTTTGAAATGGTACATAAAATGAAATAGAGAATGATATTATCTGCCATGTGGATACTTCGCTGTCATACATTAAATCAAGAACAGTTCACAGCTTGTTGAATTTCTTACTTCCTCAGTTATTTTCACTACCTTTTAAATTGTCATCTAACCTTTTATATAGAGTGAATTTCTTAAAATTTTCATCAATGATACTTTCAGATAGATTTTCCAATTGCAATATCTGAACAGAATAGGAATAAATGTATTAGGATAATGTGAAGTCATTTCTGTAGCTCATATCCCTAACTATCAAGCTGATTCTGTTCAGCTTCTTGCAGTCAAAAGGTCAATACCGAGATAAACATAAATTACGAACATATTTAATAATAACGGTTTTATTCCAAACAGTATTTTTAGCAACTTGACAAAGAGTTACTGACAGGATATATAAGTCAGCAGTAATTCTGATATTTGAAGTGGATGGAAATATTCAGTGTCAAAAGGTTTGATTATTTTCATGAGAACTTAATATTCCTGAATGAAGAAGTTCAAAGATTGGGTCAAAACAACATTAAGGCAGAAACTGCTTGCTTTTTTTTTATAACAGACTATATAAATCCATTTTTGTCATAGTTGTTGTTCCATTTTTGATAGTGGTTGTTTTTTGATAGGTTGACTACGCAGTCTATAGGCGTATTGTCTGGTTGTTGTTTTCTAATATTGGCTAGCTTGGTTTTGAGGACTCTTCGTCTTTGTTCTCTACATAACTACTAGAAGTGTTTCCGAAGAGCATGAAGAGTTAGAGGTTGTCAGCTGGTTCTCTTCGCAGTTAGTTTGACACAAAGTGATAGGCTAGCGTCCTACCTTATGATTCATTTGGACGATTCCAGACTGTCCACATCATGTCTAACATCTATCAGATAAGGAGTTACTGCGTAATTAACTGCCTATGGACTCTTTAGTTCTCAATTCTTTAGGATATGCTGAGGAATGCGAAATAAACCGTCCTGTTTCTCATCTCTACTTATATGTTTCGGCTCATACATGTAAATCAGTAGGATAAACTGGGGAATTTGTAATTTTTCTTTGATTCATTTTACATTAACAGATCCGCTTGCTTATTGAATACGTTCTCTTCAGTATTATTATTATTCGCATGCAGTTGAAACAATGCTTCATAGATAAATGAAAAAAGTAACCGCTTTCAGATTTCTCTCACTGAACATTCTCTTTAAGTTAGCCTGCATCAGAAATGATGCAGTCTGATATTGTATAATGCAGTTTAGTATTCAAACTGTACTCCTTGTTGATCAATTTCGATTAGCGGTTACTGATAGAGAGATATTCAGGGAGCAATTTGAGTTCCAGTGGTCAAATCCACTATATGTCTCATGAACTTTTTTGAGTCTCCTTTCCATATTATCTTTCGATCATGTGTAATATAATGTCTATTATTGTGTTTCAGTTGGCGTCAAACTACTCGAAGGCGGAAGTTTAAAAAAGCATATGATAACCTATCAAGACATTGTTTAATAGCGAATTCTGTGTATGTTCGGTCATTTCAAGCTATTCAAAAGTAAGTATTTATACAAAATAAATAAAAAACAGATCAATTCTTAATATAAATTTCAATCGGCACTGAAAATTTTCATATTTTCAAAATCATCGGAAACAATTCATTAGTAGAAGTTAACAACAGATTCAAGTATTGGTTTGTAGGGAAGATATTGGCTAGCGGTTGCGCTTTATCGTGAATTGGGAGAAGTTAGAATTCATGGGCTGGTCATTGGATCGGATTCTAGTGGCTTAATGGTCAACGAGGTACCTCACCTTGTTACCAGAAGATCCTGGGTTCAAACCCCTTGTGGTGAGTGTGCATTGACGAAGAGTCCCAAAGTAGGCTGACGAAACAGCTGTCCGGTACTCCCAGGTTTTCCAATGGTTCTCTAACTGTTGTCAACTCATAATGAAATCCTCCAACAAATAAGAGGAAAATCATTCGTAAGACTCTATACAACATAGTTTATGGATAGCTAGGGTAAAGCAAAAGTCTGCAAAAATGTCTTCTGAACATGTATTTCTGATTTGTTCAGATGAATTCTGATTATCAAGCTGTGGTGCGTAAAAGTTGTATTCGTAGAGTATGCAAAAGTTTAGGTGAAATACGACAAATAACTTTTAGAACTCTATTAGTATTGACAAGATGAGCCAGTACTGAGCTGCATATCGCTTAGTTTGTTATTTTTCTAAATCGCAAATTAATTCGGACGAGACTTAGTGTTGAAAAAAAATGAAACAAAGTTACATTAGTCTTAACTTTAAAGACAAAATCATTCATAAGTGTATTCAAAGAAGCTGCCGGACTAATTTGTAATAAAATCTGATGATTACGAACAGTTGATTGAAGGAATGAAACAAACATTATGTAACATTTTGCATAATTTTATAACTAATACAAGTATAACACGACTTATATGAAACCGAATACCTAGAAACGGTTTAATATATTCAGTAATTTAGCAAGTAATACAAATAGGTGGGAATATGTAGGACAAATCACACAAAACATAGTGGACAATATCGTCGAATTTAGCCACGGTAGATATTTTGGTAGTAAGCATAAATAAAAAGGTATTTAAAAGGGAAGTCTGAGAAGAAGAGATCAATTCCTGAGTGTATAATAATTAAGATTTATGCCCAAATGGATTAACAGATATGTCTAGTGGAATTCGGGACAGATACTTCGTCATATTCAGGACTCATCAGTCAGATGTATTGCATCCCAGTGAGTGATAATATTCCCAATGAGATGATGCGAACCCGAAACCAACCGTGTATTATTTTAGGTTAGTTGATTGGGAATGCAGAATCAGAAAAGCGAGACAGGTTTTCATTATTCTGATATCAGTATAGAAATCTGCTATACTCGACAAAATGAACAAGATTCGAATTTTCAACACTAATGCCAAGTCAATGCTATTGTATGTTTCAGAGACCTCATCAAAAGTATTGTCGACAGACTACTGCAGACCATCGTCAACAACTGCCTTTGCTACACACTGGAAAGCAATAACCAACCAAAAAGGATAATCCACAAGGAACTCTGACAAAAACTACTCAACAATCTATCACCCAACAAATATGCCAGCGACAATGGAGATAGATTGGACATGCGTTGAGAAGATTGTTTAGTGAAATCACAAACGAGGCCCTTGAGTATAACCTGAATGGGAAACGAAGAGTTGGGCCTCTGAGGACGACATGTAGGAGATCATGTCAATAAGGAATGGTCACTGAGACATATAGAAAGATTTCGATATACCAAAAATATTCATTCAGACATCTATAAAACACAAAATAATTGAGCAAAAAATATCCTTTTCGATAAATTCTTCTTCTGACTCTACAATTATATATATTGTTTATATACATAGAATATTCTAGATTAGTTTTTTTTATTCCTTCACGTTCCCAGTGGAACATAGGACTTCAAGCTACAGGCTTAATGTTCCTGTAGCGGTGTTTATTTTTACAGGATGAGGTTGCTAGCCTCATGTCCAACCTTTCCTCCTTACCAGATTTTATTACTGGCTTAGCGAGGAGTGCGTCAGTGGCCGGAGATCGAACCCCGGACCATGTGCATGGTCGGCGGGCATCCTAACCGCTGTGCCACCGACGCACATTCTAGATTAGTAGTCAATAACAATATTAGTGTTTTTTAAATAATGTCGATCTGTACAGTAAGGTCAATGGAATTACAGTTCATTAAAGATGCTTATATATAATAATAATAATAAAGATATAGTAGCAAATAGAATATCAACTAAAATCAGGAAAATTCCACAAAAATTTAGGATCATTCAAACCTAGATGGCCGAGATAATGATAATGTCTGAACTAACTTCTTTTGGATGCACAAATTAGGCTTGTTAATGTGGAACTTAAAAATATTAAACGGTTGATAAGCGGAAATGGTTATCCAGAAAAGTTTATTGATAAAAATATGAATCTAAAATCAAAGCAGCTCAAGTTACCAACAGTTCCAAAAAAGGCATTATTCTTACAAATGCAGTTCCTTGGGGACAACACCAGCGAGATACTAACACAACGCCTTAGAAATGAGGCGGTAAAAGGAGTATTCCCTTCTGCCGAATCACGCTGTATCTTCAAAACCACACCTCTTTTGAGTTCGGGAGTAAAAGACAAACTGCCTAATTTCGCCTCTTCCATGTGTATTTACCGCTTTAACTGCTCCTGTGGATCCAGTTACATAGGCCATACAATTGGGCGTGTTTCTCGTCGAATTTTCGAACATCAATCTGCATGGTTAAGCAAAGGACAGCACTATTCTCAGCTATCTATCTCATCTCAAGATTGATTTTAACCATGCTTTCAGGGTCATTTACTGCATACCTACGAGTCTCACTTTTGCCTTAAGACTTCGACTACTAAATATTGCTGAGGCTGTTGGGATCCATATTAACATATGGAAAGGACTGCAGAGAGCAGGATGAAGTGGGAATTTGCTGTTAAAGCTCTACATTCCGCTAGGAACTCAGGGGAACAATGATAATAATTTTCGTAAACAATATTAAGGGGTAAAAGATGTTGATACATAGTTTATTTGGCTAATCGTAAATTTCAGGAATTTTATTTGCAACTTTTTCTTTTTCTTTTATTCACATTTGTAGACTGTTTATTCCACTGGATACGTTGAAATTCTTACCAGAGACAACAAGGTGAGTATTATTACTACTACTTCACGTATTACGCAAAAGAGAAATTTCCAAATAAATATTTGAACAAACCTATTAAAACTTCCTTGTTTTGAATAATGAATAAAACTTGAAGTCAATTGGTGGGTGGTGACTAGTAGTGGAATCTAGGATGTGGATTTCGTCCTATTTGGGACTCGTCACCCGGACGTACCTGCATTCTCTAGTGAGTCAGGGATGGTGTTTCCACCGAGGCTCGAACCCAGTGCCCATAGTTTCAAACGCCAAAGCGTTATCCACCAGACCACTTGGGTGACGAATGATGCTGGTCACCATCCACCGACTGACTTCAAGTTAAATGACCATATATCGTCGAAACATCTTCACAAGAAGCCGACGTATTGACCCGAGACCGGGCACTTTGGTTCAATCAATCGGCGTGAAAATCCAAATTGAATTAAATAGTGAATATAACTGTTTATTAGGTCATCTTCATGTTTGAATAAGTATTTTAGGCTGTGTGACTATTAGTTTCATTTATTGTTTCTCATATTTTCTTTCCATTTTTATACAGTCCATTGAATTTAGTACAATTTTGCGCTGAAATTAATCGTAATACACGTTATAATACAATTTTAATGTCACATATAACAAGGTGTATATTTAATGTATGCAAATATACAAGATGTACTCTGGCTAAATTAATACATTGTAAAGAGGATGAATTAAACTGGAATTCTAAGTAAGCTGAACAATTTTTAAAAATTTCTGTAATTATCAAAGTTAGATTCTCTTTTAATTCTTGGAAATCTAGGTGGTACATAGAACTTCAAGGTTTTGGAGTTTCAGTAGCGATGGTTGTAGTGGCCAAAATCAAAGTATGCTAGTCTGAACGTATAATTAACCGAACCTCCTTGAATGAATCACAGTCTCAAATGTCCGGACGGTAACAGAATGACAGTTATGTAGGTGATCACCAAACTCGGAGATGTCGGCGAGAGTTCTGGGAAGAGTTCTCTTTTCTTTGTTAGTAGTGCATCCACCCTCTGGAATCGGCTTGTCCGGATATAGGGGGTTAGCCTCCTTAAAGCACAATCCTTCTTGTGGTGCCTGGAACGTTCCTGTCAGCCCTTGAAAATCTGAGCCAGGCAGTATAATTTTCGTGGCAGGCCGTACCCATATCCGCAGCAGATCCCCAAGGTGAACAGCCTCTGGCGATTGAACAATGTAGGTAAGGGAAGTCGGCAAATTGGATCCGTAACTTCGGGAGAAGGATCGTCTCTGGGGGTTGAGTCAGACAGGTCGAGATCAGATATTTGTCGATCCAGTTGGAGGCTGGTTTCTTTGCTGCTTTGTGTGCTCCGGTGCGCATTGTTGTGGAGTTACTGGGCTTTGACCGCGATCGATCGTGGGCGGTTTCAACTTTTAGTGTTGTATGGCTAGCAATGCGCGTGAACTTGCTCTGCGTTGCGTCAAGAGGCTGTGCTTCCATTGTTTGGCGCGAGACGGTTAACTCAGAACTGTTATAGATAAGATTTTTATTTTGATAAATCGCACAGTGTTTACAGTTATATGAACTGATACTTATACTCTACCACAGTGCCCAAGTTTTATACTTATATCAATAATACATATGGTCTTCCTATAAGGAAGCTTATCAATAAACTCACACTTATCAGTTCATATAACTGTAAACACTGTGCGATTTATCAAAATAAAAAATCTTATCTATAATGGAATTATACTCTACCACAGTGCCCAAGTTTTATACTTATAACTCAGAACTGGCTTGGACCAGGGAATCCGACTGTCTAATTAGAACAAAGCATTGCGATGTCCGCTGACCGGTTATGACGTAATGCCCAGTGCTCTGAATGTCAGAGTGAAGAAATTCAACCAAGCGCGGGTGATCGGCTTGAGTAACTATGACCCTGTAATCCTATTAAACAAGCATTACAAATCGAAAATGAAAAGTTACCTCACCCATGCGATTAGACAGTTCAAGAATTTCTCAATTACGAAATACCGTACAACAAAATTAGTTAACCAATAAACAACCTTAAGAAGTGGCTGAGAATCAAACAGAATATTCCAACTAGGTGGGATCAAAAATCTGTGGGTAAGAATCAAACATTTTGATTTGATACTAGTAACTAGTGTGATGCGTCTGGTCTTCTCATTGGTGCAGACTGAATTTTATCAGTCAGGTTGTAATGCGGCCACCATTCTAGGTAGCTCGCCATCACGCTGCATATTGATTAGATGGTATTAGATGGTTGGAGGCAATCGGCAGGAAGCCTTGGACCTAGGTTTCGTGATAGCTGGCACTCGTCAGCAAGGCGTATCTGCAACTTTGAAGGAACTCATGTCCCTTCTGAGAATATGACTGATAAAATTCAGTCTGCACCAATGAGAGGACTAGACGCATCACACTAGTTACAGGTGTCAAATCAAAATATCCACTACAGTCCTACAGGAGGTCAATCGCGAGCCCGAATAGCTCAGTGGTAACGTCTCTGACTGCAGTTCTCACTGGGTGACGCGGGTTCGAATCTCAGAAGGGACATAAGTTTCTTCACGGTTACAGATATTCCTTGCTGACGAGTTCAACTAGCACGAAACCTAGGTCCAAGGCTTCCTGTGGCCGATTGCCTCGAACCATCTAATATCATCAAATCAATGTGCACCGTGAACACCATCACATAACCGCAAAGTGAACCATCAAAATTGGGAAGTGAACAAAAAATTAAGGCAAATTATAGAGATTAAGTCAACAGGTGATATGCAAACGCTGGAATAATGACGTACGGTCTAGCAGAAAAGAGGAAAATGATTAAAAAGTTAGTTGAATATAAATACTGCAAACAGATCTTTCAGGAGGGATTTTTCAAACAGTTATTCCATTACAGTGGTATTGTTTTTAAGAGGTGAGATTCCTGAACTTACGTCAAACCTTCTTTATTTTCCGGCCTTACTATCAACTAGTAAACTGGGTAAGGTTTAGGAGTATGTTGGTCGGGAATCAAACTCTGACCTTCAGCATGGTTGACGAGTATTCTACCATTGAACGACCGATGCACGTTAGATGGTTATTAGTACTTCTAACTCAGTTCACATTTTGTACGAATACAGCTTTTTCATAAAGAAATATGAAATCATAACACTTGTTAGTATTTGCCAGCAAATTTGTGAACATATTCAAGTTCCACATTGCTTTAGTCGTCATTGAAACAGCTTGTTGTTTAAATAATGCAGAATGAAGTTTCTTATCAACTTTAACTTTCTTTGAAGTTGTTAACACACTTTATTGATGAGTATTAAAGGGGTTGAAATTCGTTTCAAATAGGTATACTGATAGACTGATACTAAAGCCCACAGTACTTAAGTGTTATATATTAGTTGGGCAAGTAAAATTGATCAATAGGCTTCAATCAACATGAGGTAAATTTGATTACTTTCAACCTATGACAAATTAGGATTTCTAAGGATGGTACTGGTGTCGTTAAGCACTTCGAACTACACGCCAATCAACACAGGAGCTTGTGTTGAAATAATGCATGTAAATATCTTAAATGAATTATAACAAGTTGTTAACTTCTGTGCCTGAACTGAAGTGAACAGCACTCTCAACATAGAGCTTAACAAAAAACGTCCAGCAATTCAAGTTGTTCCACTTCATATAGCCACACATAAAAGAAGAATGAGGAAATGTGTAGAAAAAGGAAAAATTGCATGAAGAATATTAGGAATCCAGTGGATCGAGGGGTTCATAAGGAATGGATTCATATGCACCAGTTTGAACGATTCTTAACCATGTCGCCGACAATATGGAATTAATGGTTCTTAGTCTTCCACAGACTTCATCCAGGAAGTCTATTTATTTTTATTTTTGATTACAGCTTGATTCCACACTGTATTTTTGGTACAAGTATGGAATTATCAGCACGGATATCGGTAGCCCAAAATTCGCAGGCCGACCATAGATATCAGGTGTGCGTCGGCGTGGGCTCGACCCGGACGTCGGCGTGGGCTCGAAACCCGGACCATGTGCATGGTCGGCGAGAGTCCTAACTACTGTGCCACCGACGTGGCTCAAACTAACAGTTAAAGATTTCATGGATTGATTCTATGTTTTGATTTAAGGACAATTATCTGGCTATCATCGACAATGCTGCATGCCAAGTAATCAACAACAGGGAACCTAACGGAATCCTTTGAAGTGAAGACCGGAGTAAGACAAGGCTGGTTGCCTGCTATCTCCAGTGATTTTTCTGATTGCGGTAGACTAGATAATGCTACAGACAGCGGCCAGCGAGAAGACAGGCATAAAATGGACCTACACAAAATACTTGGAGGATCTGAACGTCGCCGATGATATTTGTCTGATTTCCCACAAACTGGAAGAGATGCAAATGAAAGGCAACAAGTTGTCAGAAGAAGCATCCAGAGAAGATAGAAATTAGGGTGAACACAGAAAAAACAAAGGTGATGAAGATTCCTGGCCAACACCAACTGCAGCAACAACAGACAACAATCAGCCAGCGTAAATGGGGGAAAACTGAAGGAAGTAGCCTCCCTTACCACCTACCTGTGAAGCATTATTTCAGCTACAAGCGGACGGAAGTGATGAGGATATCAAAGCGAGGATCATCGGGAAAGCAAGGCAAGCTTCCATTACTCTCAAGTCTGTGTGGAGGTCAACACCGCTCAGCATGAGAAATAAGATCCGGATTTTCAAATCCAATGTGAAGTCAGTGCTACTATACGGATCAGAAACTTGGTGCATCATGAATAGCACCTCAAACAAACTACAGACCTTCATCAACAGCTGCCTAAGCTCAATATTTCGATCAAGATGATGGTCGGCCAGAAAAGATCAGCAACACGGATCTCTCGGAGCGATTCAACCAGGAACCGATTGTGCAACAAATAGGTAGGAAGAAATGGAGGTGGATTGGCAGTACTCTGAGGAAGTCATCAAGTGACATCACTAGACAAGCCATTGCTCGAGTGGAACCCGAAAGGGAAGCGGCGAGTTGGTCGTCAGTGCGAGGACGGGGTGATATGGAGGAGGTCATGTGTAGAAGAGAGGAAAGCATGTGGGCAGACTTCGAGAGGGGTGAAAAAGTTGGCAGAAAACCGAAGGCAATGAAGACTTGTGGCTGAAGTCCTATGTTTCTCTAGGAATTAAAAGAAACGATAAGGTTTATATGGTTATCATAATTAAACATTCTGCTACTATAAGAATAGAAACAAAAGAATTACTACATATAGTATGCTTGTTTCCATTTATTATATAATTATTATTGCTCCTTTGGGTTCATAGTGGAACATAGGGCTTCAACTGCACGTCTCCACTTGCCACTTCTGTCTTCCTTCTGCTGTACTTTTCACATGCATCCATGTTAGTCCATACTCCTCCAACTCCTCTTCACACGATCTCTTCTATGTCACCCTTGCACTGACGACCCACTCACCGCTTCCCTCTCGGCCTGGTTCCACTCGAGCAATCGCCTGACGCGCGCGTGATGTCACCCAGAGGCCTCCTCAACCACGAGTGTCCAATCCATCTCCACTCTATCCTGCATATTTCTTGGTTGGCGATTGGTTCTTGTTTTGTTTGGTTGTTCCCATAGTTTCTTGTTGGTGATTCTTTCAGGCCAGGCCATCTGATCTTCATTCAGTATAGAGCGACAGTTGACAGTTGTTGATAAAGGTCTGCAATAGCCTGTTGGTGGAAATATTCTTTGTGACCCGCCCGCCAAGTTTCTGATCCGATCCGTATGGAAGAACTGACTGACTTGACGTTTGTATTGAAAATCCTACGGAATTTTGTTGCTGATGCTGGCTGAGTGACGAAGATTTCCAGATTGGTTTAAGGTTGATGAGTGAATGTGTCTCTCGCCTGCCTTCCCGATTCTTAATACTATTATTTTCCTTTTGTTTTCTGAGTGCAACATAGGCCTTCAAAATGACATCTCCATTTCATACTTTTTTCTGCAATCTTTTTAAACCAGCTTCAGAGTTACCCATAACCCCAGGTCATTACTCCCTCCCCATTCGACACTACACTTAAGTGTCAACTTGGTGCATGGTCTGACTAAATGGTCTTCTCAGTTTACGTCCAGTCCACCTCCATTTCTTTCAACATACTTATTAGGTAAAAGGTTCTTAGCTGGTTCGCTGCATCTCAGAGTTCCTTTTCCCTAGGTCTTTCTGATTAGACATTTAACCTTCGTTGTAGTGCAATTGGAGGTAGCTGTTGATGAAAGTCTGAAGCATGTCAGAAATGCCCCTGACAACATGGTAAGTCTCTGAACCATACCGAGTAAGTGGCTTGACATTAGTGTTAAAAAGCCTAACCTTGTTGCTTACGCTGAATGCAGTAGATCACTTTCATTATATAGTGATGAAGGTCTGTCTTACTTTTCTAATCCTGGTTTTGACATTCTCATCTGTGCCCTTATGGTTGAAACAATGCTGCCTAGAGAAGTGAGAGAGACAGCCTTCTTTAGATTTCCCCGTTTAATGGTGACTTATACGTGTTGTTGTTAACTGGGTATCTTCATCACCTTTGTTTTTTCTGTGTTCACCTGAAGTCCTGCCTTTGACTCCAACCTCTGGTACAGACTTGGTAGATTTTGCTTGTAGACCTTCAAATTTATGTGACATTAGACATAAATTGTATGGTAAGTCTAGATCTTCTGCAGTCTTCTCATTGGTCCAGTGTATTCGTGTCTTATCTTATTTTGTTGCATGATCAAGTCAAACCACAATCAGGAATGTTGTTGGTGATAGAAGACAGTCTCAAAGCACTGGTGTCTTCACCTCAAAGGCTTCACTGAGTTCCCTACTGTGAATCATTTGGCATTTGACGTCATCACATATCTGTTGAATAAGGATTTTAAAGATTGGAGGCACTACGCCCAGTCGTGTTAAAACAGTTTCTAAATTACTTCATGGTAAACGCTGTCGAAGTCACTTTTAAAGTCGATGAGACTGAGTTAGAAAGGGGTGACTGTTATTCTATGTTCTGTCCGATGATGATTTGTAGCGTTGTAATTTGATTCGCACATGATTTATTTTTCTTGAATCCAGCTTGTTACAGGCGCAGTTCTACGTCCAGCATTATATGCATTAATATTTTACTTGGGATAGACGGAAGTACGATTCCATACCACTTTTGGCAAAGCTTTAATTCGCCCTTCTTTGGAAGTTTGATAAGCTAGCAACTGTCATATAGGTAGTCTAAGAATGCGTTGACCGATGAGCAAATGAATCTTCATCGCCTTTATATACATTATGCATTCCTTATTGCTATTTGCCACAATAGTCTATTTCAGTCAACTTATTGTTCAGTTGAAAATAAGCTGAGCGCATCTAAACCTAGACTTGACATGTGTATATAAATTCACTTTCAGCTGAACACATTTTAATTTTGTAAATTTCTGCTAAACAGATGTCGAAGGAAGTTATCTTAATATCATAAATTATAATAAAATAGCTTAAGAAACGTGAACTGGGACTTTGGATTACATACTTTTTATAGATGCAGTTTTGAGAATAAATTTGTATCTGCATACTACGTTATTCGTAATCATTCAATTATCTGTAACTGGAAACAAGTGAACATTGACAAGACGGAGGTGATGAAAATAAACAACAACAACAACAACAGCAGAAACATCCAGCGCCAATCACCATCAACGGGAGGGATTTGAAAGAGGTTACTTCATTCACTTATCTAGCTAGAGAGCATTGTCTCAACTGCAGGAAGTCGGGACGGACGAGGATGTCAAATCGAGCGAGAATCGGGAAGGCAGGCGAGAGACACATTCACTCATCAACCTTAAACCAATCTGGAAATCTTCGTCACTCAGCCAGCATCAGCAACAAAATTCCGTAGGATTTTCAATACAAACGTCAAGTCAGTCAGTTCTTCCATACGGATCGGATCAGAAACTTGGCGGGCGGGTCACAAAGAATATTTCCACCAACAGGCTATTGCAGACCTTTATCAACAACTGTCAACTGTCGCTCTATACTGAATGAAGATCAGATGGCCTGGCCTGAAAGAATCACCAACAAGAAACTATGGGAACGATCAAACAAAACAAGAACCAATCGCCAACCAAGAAATATGCAGGATAGAGTGGAGATGGATTGGACACTCGTGGTTGAGGAGGCCTCTGGGTGACATCACGCGAGCGTCAGGCGATTGCTCGAGTGGAACCAGGCCGAGAGGGAAGCGGTGAGTGGGTCGTCAGTGCAAGGGTGACATAGAAGAGATCGTGTGAAGAGGAGTTGGAGGAGTATGGACTAACATGGATGCATGTGAAAAGTACAGCAGAAGGAAGACAGAAGTGGCAAGTGGAGACGTGCAGTTGAAGCCCTATATTCCACTATGAACCCAAAGGAACAATAATAATAATTTGACATTTGCAATTCAATCAGGAGACACTATACATATAATGATAGTTGTATACTTAATATCTTCTTCAATACAATTAAGACGTCATTCAAAACTTGAGGAGACTAAATAATATACTGCGTCTACCAACAGAATGCACTGTCTAGAGTTTTATTTAAGATTGTCTATGTATTAAATAGGAACGATTAAAATTTCTGTCTTATCTTAGTCAGTTATGGTTTCAAACAAAGTTACATTAAATCCCAGCACGGTGACAATTACCCACCATTCCTTGAACTACACATTACATTATTTTTTTAGTTTTTCTTTTATTCACTCGTGTATATGGTTTATATTTCGTTTTTACCAAAAAAAGAGAAATCAATCAAACTAAATCCATGTGTGAAACATGGGATAAAGGCTTAGAGATAAAAAATGATCTGGAAAATTTACGTAATCAGCTAATGAATTTTCCTAAATTGATACAATGTCTACGATATCGATTGGCGAGCCTAATTTTGCATAAATTTCAATCAAGTATACAAATTTACGTGCATAATAATGAGAAGTACATGAACACCAGTCAAGAAGAACAAGACAAAGAAGAAGAAAACGATAGTAAATTAATTGATGTCAATAAAGATGAAGAAACAGCACAGAAAAATTATCGATTAGTTGTTCATCCTGTCCTTCTCAGACAGCTTGAAGGTAGGTTTAAATGAGTAATAAACTATATATGTTCAAACCAAGTTGACTTTTAACAGTTTGAAAAAATTTGGGCATTGGATATATGATATTCATTATAATAAAGGTATTCTTGTATTTCGCGATGAATGAAAAATGAATAGGGTGTGATGATCATCACAACCGTTTCAGTTCTTTCAAGTGTTGTTAGACGAGCACACTCTCTGATAAAGCATGAGAAATAAAAAGAAGAAATATCAAACATTACTGAAACTCTCAAGCAAAACAACTACCCAGGAACTTCATCACCAAAATCAGCACTGACATTGAGTATGGCCGAAAAAGCATCCCGGAAACACGGACCTCAATGGTCGTCATTCCATATAGAGCAGAGATATCAGACAATATCAGAAGAGTACTCAATCATTTTGATATGGTTGGATTGCTAAAGCTTCGCAAATTAACCATCCAGCTCAGAGAACACAAACACATCAAAATCATCCACCTGAGCCACAAATCTTCTTTATCATATCTAGTATTCAATCAGCTCGACATTAGAGTTTTCTTCAAAACATCAGACACACTTCAAAGCAACCTTGTCCATATAAAGGAGCAAATCCCTAAAGATTCTCTATCTAATTGTGTCTATAAAATAAAATGCTTGCTGGGAATGTGATGCAATTTACATCGGACAAACATCGCCAGTGAGGAATCAAAATCAGAGGAAATGAACACCGTAGAGCATCTGTTCGACCACCGAGAAATCCAGTTGAACTAGAAAAACTTGAAAAATCATCAGCCATAGGTCTACACGCTATAGAATCAGGCCACAAAATCGATTTTGACAATATTGAAATCATCATCCAGAAAACGTGTTTCAGAAATCACAAAGAACATCTAATATCAGAAGCACTTCATATCAAGTGGAATCCAAATTGCCTGTACTGAATAGGAATGATGGACTAAAACACAATCTGGCCTGGTTTCAACACCTCCCTCCCTCATGAAGTGACAAAATCAACACGAATATGATAAGAAAGTTCACTATGTAAACACACGCTGCTTTTATAATTTTACACACTGATCAAATCCAACAATCTACACTTGGTTTTGTTATCTTTACCAATTGACCAACTTGACAACAAAAATCACCCCAAACTGATGAACGGTGATCAAGTTAGTAAACTTTGTTTTGATACCATAACAGATATACTATTACCTTTGTTATTTGGTTTAGTGATCTTCATTGTTATTTTGACTTTCAATATGTCCTTTTAAGTTGACCTAAGTCTATTTTCTCACCTCTTGTCTTTGTTATATATATATACTAAGATTTTGTAAATTCCGGTTTAATAATACTTTGATGAAGCTATTAGCAGCGTTAAATAGCGAAACGTCAGTAAAAACAATATCGTTTTGTCTTTCATTCATTGGGAAATACAAAAACTTTTATTATAATGAGTAGTAAACTAGGCTACACATTAATGACTAGCATCATGTTTACATTCTATTGTGGAAAATACTCCTCATGATGTTAAAGGAAAAAAACAAGAAGTTCACCGAAGGTATCTTTTCGGCGATTTCATTTTCAAAAGCTGTACAATCGCATTTAAATACATAAATTTACATAGGCACAATTATCATTTGATTCCACACAATTACGAAGGCGAATAAAATGATGACAATTATTTCCAACTTGATATGGATTACGAGAGGTTTAGAAACAAAAATTAGGCGAGAATAGGACGAATTGCAGGTGTGAACAAAATGAGCATGGAAACAAACTGGAGTAATAGTTTTCAAATTGAAATGGAAGTTAGAAGGTGTGAATAGAGATTACAAGAGGCTTAGAAACAAAAAAGTCCACAGGATTAGAATATTATTGTAAAATAGTTGTTCTAAACGAATTACAAGTGTGAGCAGTAGGAGAATAAAAGCAAACTTAAGATAACTGTTCCTTTAACTGAAAAAAAGGGGTGAATTGAATGAGACAAATAGAGAAAACTACACGCACAGCGAACAAAACAAAAAGTCGAAAGCTTGGGGAACATAACGAAATAGGTTGGACTAGTTTCTTTTGAAAACACACCTACGGCTTTTCGATGCATATGGCGAGGGCTTATGCAGTACAAAGAAGTTGGAAACACACTGCCTTTGGTAGATTTTTGCTTACTTTTTAAATGACTCTGAATGATGAGTCAGTTGAGATCCTGTGACAGATATTGACGAGGTGTTCACTTACGGCACTCCTGGTTAAACTCGTGCCTTCTCTTTGCAGCCATGCTGGACGATGTCCTCTAACATGTTTCGATAAGACCCAGATGGAACGACATAGGTACCTAGTTACGCCCGAGCAGGTGAACTGATATATGCACACTGAAGTGGTAGCGGGGGACTAGAGAATATCACTCTTAGAGTTGCTAAAGGAAAAGTCTTCTTCAGGAAAATGGCGATTCTCCTTTTAAGGATATTTGATGCTAGGCCTCCTTTGAATTCCAGATTCAATAAAGTGTTTTCTTTAGCACTGATGTGCGTTCTTCTCTTTTTGGCTTTGTAAACTGAGATCCGAGATTCATTGTTTAATATATTTAATTAATTAATTATTATTGTTTTCCCTTGGGTTCCAAGTAGAACATAGAGCTTCAACAACAAATTCCTATTTCACTCTGTTCTCAGTAGTTCTTTCTGTGTGGCTCCATGATTGCTTATAGGCTTTCATTTTCTTGTCATACGATCCCTTTCATGCCACCCTCAGATGACCATTTTGTCGCCGCTACCCACCAGGGTTGTACTCAGTATCCTGGCATGGGATGACAATGGAAAGTCAATCATCAAGGAGGCGGAGCAAAGAAAACACTGGGCTGAACACTTCAAAAGACTTCTAAATCATCCGCCACCTACAACGCGCCGACAATACCAACAACGGAAGCAGAACTACCAGTGAACATCGATCCCCCGAAGAAATCAGAAGTTCTGAATGCAATCAAGTTGCTAAAAGCTGGAAAAGCAGAAGGACCAGATGGAATCCCATCAGAAGCATTGAAAATGGACCCAGATACAACAGCAAACTTGATGACGTTGTTGCTGGAAAGGGTGTGGAAGGAGGGCGAAGTACCCGAGGATTGGAAGAAAGGATACTTATTCAAACTACTAAAGAAAGGAGACTTAAGTCAGTGCGAAAACTGGCTCGGAATTATGCTTCTGTCCATTCCAAGCAAAATACTAAGCCGAATCATCCTGGAGAGAATCAAACACGCCAACCTGGATGAAAAACTTCGACCGGAACAAGCTGGATTCAGGAGAAAGAAGTCATGTATTGATCATATAGCCACACTACGAATCATCATTGAACAAAGCTTGGAATGGCAGTCACCTATCTATCTCAACTTCATCGACTTTGTAAAGGCCTTCGACAGCGTCGATCGAGAGGTGATTTGGCAACTACTTTGCTACTACGGGGTCCCATCGACAATTATACATCTCATCCAACAGTTATACGACAATGCTGCATACCTCCAAGTAATCCACAACGGGAAACTTACAGAATCCTTCGAATTGAGGACGGGAGTGAGACAAGACTTGCTGGCTGTCTACTATCGCCAGTGATTTTCCTGATTGCAGTAGATTGGATAATGCGACAGACAGTGGCGGGCAGTGAGGAAACAGGCATAAAATGGACTCAAACAAAAATAACTTGGAGGATCTGGACTTCGCCGATGTGCTATATGTCTGATTTCCCACAAAGTGGAAGAGATGCAAGTGAAAAGCAACAAGTTGGCAGAAGAAGCATCCAGAGATGTTAGGATTTCAAGTGAACATAGAGAAAACAGAAGTAGGTGATGAAGATTCCTGGCCAACAGCAACAGCAACAACAACAACAGACAACAATCAGCCAGCGTAAATGGGAGGAACCTGAAAGAAACAACCTCCTTTACCTATCTGGGAAGCATCGTTTCAACTACAGGTGGACGGAACTGACGAGGATATCAAAAATTGAGAATCGGAAAAGCGAGACAAGCTTTCATTACTCTCAAGTCTGTGTGGAGGTCAACAGCCCTGCTCAGCATCAAAAATAAGATCCGGATTTTCAACTCCAATGTGAAGTCAGTGCTACTCACTGTACGGATCAGAGACTTGTCATCGCGTCATAAAGAGAATCTCAAACAAACTTCAGACCCTCATTAACAGTTGTCTTCGCTCAATACTCAAGATCAGATGGCTGCCAGAAAAGATCAGCAACAGGGATTTCCGGCAGCGAACCAACCCAACAGGAACCGATTTCGAAAAAATTATGCAGGAAGAAATGGATATTGATTGGCTGGCCATACTCTGAGGAAACCATCAAGTGACATCACTAGGCAAGCCATTGCTCGAGTGGGACCCGAAAGGGAAGCGGCGAGTTGGTCGTCAGTGAGAGGGTGACTTGGAGGAGGTGATGTAAAGAGGAGATGAAAGCGTGTGGGCAGACTTGGAGCGGGGTGAAAAAGTTGGCAGAAAACCGAAGGCAATGAAGACTTGTGGCTGAAGCCGTATGTTCCTCTAGGAATTAAAGGATATAATAATAATAATCCTGGTATGGGATTTCACCCAGACATCACTTCAGCTTATGTCCAATCTATCTTCATTTCTTTCTGTATCAAGTAAAAATATCTGTAGGTGAAAGTGTGTAGCAGCCTGTTAGAAATTACTTTTGGCTGCACAAAGGCACCATTGAGCTACTCAATCTACAGTTGACCTTTTGTAGAAGACTATTCAATACAATGATCCCTCAATGGAAATTAATTAATGTCAATATATATATATATATATATATATATATATATATATGACATTATGATTTTTGATTTCACCTGTTGTAGATTCTGCCTCGCAATCCTGCGATAGTCAACAGCAAATACAATTACTACTTTGGCCTCAACCCAATACATTAATCAACATTTTCAGACTAATTTTAGAACAGCTGAAACAATCATTACACTTAAACAAGGTTATATCAGATGAACAGTTACCGCAAATCTATTTCAATGAAGATAAAGATATTGAAAATATAAATGAATATATTGATAATCAAATTTATGCTGATAAACTTGTAGAAACATTTTATCGAAATCCCCACTTAACGGATATTAACATACAGAAACATGAAATTATTATCCCCTGGAATATTATTAATCCTGTACAACTGGAAGCAACAAATTTATATATTTGTGATATAGTTAGTCAATATCTTCCAACATATGAGAAATTTGAAAAAGGTGACTAAAATCTATTCATCTTTTCTTTTTATCCTTAATTTTTAGTGAACTTTGTTTAGTGATATTTTCTGAGACAGGTGGAGTTTGAAACAATGGAGTCTAAGTGGGAGCATTGTCACTTTGTGGGATGTAGGTTCGAGTGACTGATGAGTCATATACAGGACGAAGCACACACTGTGAATTCTGTCACTAGCTATCAATTGTCAAATGACATCGAATTTGAAATCAAAACCAGCATAGAAAGCTTCCGTTTTAGAAGTCAGTATACAAACAGCGACAGATCATTGAGGTTCAGTAAAAAGTTTTAATATATATGTATATCCAGTTTGGCCCAGTTATTTAGGGACTATACACCTGAAATTAGTGCTCACTTATTTCGTTCGCCTACAGGTTGCAATGTACCTAGGCACCTTTATGCAGGTGTAGAAAAAAGAGACTGAGAGGAAAGTTCACATTCAACGGAAAGCACTTTCCGCCTGCTCCCCCCGGGAGTTCTTCCAGAGACGACGACAGACTGGAGCGTACTCTGACATACCAGGACTTTGAAGTAATCTTCAGCACTGGAGTCAGTGATCTGATGGTAGAATGCTCACCAACTTAGCATGTGATCATGGTTCGATTGCCGACAGACCACTCCTAAATCTCTCTTAGTTCGGTAAGGAAAACTCAAAGTCAAACTTAAAACCGTACATTCCACTCAGGTGAAACCGGTGATTATGGGTGCAGGTGACCAGCCTTTTAAAAGTTAGAAAATGCCTTTATATTTAGTAATTCTAACGGTTAGTTTGTATTACCAGTCTTCATAAAAGGATTAGTTCATAAAAATAAATATGGTTTTTCCAGAGTTAGTTTATTCAAGCACTTAAACTTTTCAGGTATTAGATAGTGAGTGAAATAGATTATTTAGATTTCTCATCTAAACAGTACCCTATTATTTCCTCTCGAGTTTAAATAAACGTTATAGTGAAATACCTTCAGCTCAAAGTAGCAAAATAATGTATAAGAACAAAAAGGAAAGTGGTTATTTAATGTAGGTATATGGTGTAAGTACAGTTCTAAAAGTTACTGGCCAGCTGATGGCTTCGTTTTATACTTGAATAGACCCTACTAGACAGATAAATCTTGTTCATCTATTTGCTATTCAGAAAAAGGATTTTTAAATCAATTTTTGGTATTGCAAAAGTCTCTACTCTAAAAAATACAACTTCTGAATAGATAGGTGTTATAATGATAACAGTGCCGGTGAAGGATGTTCCGGATCATCATTGATTGATCATAGTTTCTGTAAATATTCTACATATGTAAACAGCAGTCAAAGCACTCCACAATAATCTAATTAAATCAATAAGTCGAGCACTTTTCTCATCGTAACCAGTGGCTTGCTTTACCTATCGTAAAATGTTCTCTGTTCACGTAAAAAATGAGTTTCATCTTCTAGTAGCTGCTTTCTGTCTATCATTTAACTTACACTTATGAAGTATGATGCGTCGATGCTGCTTACTGGCTGAAATTTTGGAGTACAACAAAACTCCAGCAACTTTAATGACTACACTTGATGGAAGTAAGGACAAACGCAAAGGAATGAGGAGAGAAAATGCAAAAAAAACCACAGTAAATAGAAATTGACAGAAGAAAAGTAATTACACGAAGAATAATGAGTATTTGATGAATCTGGAAAATCACAAGGCATTTTTTCTCCTATATTCACTATATATTCACTATATCACACATTAGATGTAAGAAATCCTACACTGTTCTCCTTTATTTGAAAGGATATCATTCATAACTCTGTATGGTTCAAAATAAATGAGTTTCTTGAGTTCATTTTCAGTTGAATTCATTATTTTCTTCCTATAATAGTAACTCACGCAGCAGACGGCTTTCATTTTTGTGCAGATGAGTGGGATGTGACTGATTTCAGGGTGAATTTCTTTCTCTAACCAGCATTACATAACTACTGACTGAAAATCAAATAGCATCGGGTGGCAGTTTTGACTGTATTTTAATACCCCTAGGGTTTTCGAAGAGGCTGATGTCAAAAAATGTCACATTTTGTGTTGACAGCCTTATTATTCAGTCAGTTACTGATTAATAAATACCATGGACTGTTACCTTCAAGTCTTGCTATCATTCGTGATGTGCTGCTGTCATCATACAACACTGTATGAACAACTGTTGTAGTATTCAATCTTGCAGACTTCACCAGGGAAAAGTAAGTATTTTGTGAAATAGGAAGGAGAAGTCAGAGAGAACATTCAATAGAAATGCATAAGTTCAAGTAGATAAACTAATAATACACAGAAGTTTAATTGAATTTAAGATTTTCCCGTCGATTTACTGGACCGAAGTGCTCGGTCTCAGGTTGACATGTCGGCTTCTTTTGCAGATGCTTCGACGATGTCTGGGCATTGAATTAGTATTTAATTGGTGGATGGTGACTAGCAGTGGAATCCAGGATGTGTTTGCAGCTATGGGCACTGGGTTCGAGCCTCGGTGGGACCATCATCACTCACTGAGAAATGCAGGTACATCCAACTGACGAGTCCCAAATAGGACGAAATACGCATCTTGGATTCCACTGCTAGTCACCATCCACCAATTAAATAGACAGAAGTAGAAAGAAAAACACTGAACAGTGGTAAATTGAAATGTGTAAAGTATTGGACGTGATAAAAAGGTGGATACATATGTTCTTAAAGATTAACCAGTCGCTGCCTTATAACATTTCAAGGATTTCAGGCAGATGGCCTACATCTTCCCCCCTCCTGAGTTAAATCAGCAGTCATAAACTTCACGTTTTCATGTTCTACAATTTTGCAGAAGTGTGTGTAAAAAACTGAAAGTATAGTGAAACCATGAAACACTAAAAGAGAGCTAATCTAAAAGAGTAACTAAGCACGTTATCGGTTTGGGAAGTTTAAGGTTAGACGACAGAATTATAAATATCAGTATTGTATTGCCTAAGCTGAATGGTTTTACTGTAAATCTTTCATTGTCATTTTAGACAACATTTTCAGGGCTAACTGTGTCTTCTTATATTGTCAACAGGAAGCATGTAATGAAAACTTTGCAGTTAGATTTTTCAGCTTGAAAAACACAGCAATATCAAAAGCACACAATGTTTTCTCTCCTCATCATTTTTTCTGAAGTGTTTTCTAAAATTTACCTAAGCATTAAAAGTATTTTTAAATTATTTTAATAGAAATTAGCAAGTCATTTACTTATTTGAGATCTTTTTTCCTGTACGTTCCTAGTAGAACATAGGGCTTCAAGTTAGAGGCTTGAAGTTTCGATAGCAATGGTATTCATTTTTAAGGGATGGGGTTGCTAGCGTCATGCCCGATCTTCCCTCTTTACTAGTGTTATTACTGGCTTAGTGAGGTAAAGGAGTGCGTTGGTCGGGAATCGAACCTCAAACCACATGAGGCGTGGTTTGTAAGCATTCTATCTCTGTGCCGCCGATGCACCATTTGAGATCTAACTGACCTAAATTGAGTTGATTAGTTGTTTTGTAGAGAACTAAGAACACTAAACGGCTAAAATAGGAACAAGACTTGGTGTTTTACCGTTAATTTGGTGTATCACTTGGTCCATAACCTCAGAGCTGTTACCTTAAGCTGTATCACGAGTCAAGTTTCATTATGTATCTTAGACAGCTGTCCAGTTTGATGATTTATCATCTGTAAAGCAGTAATAAATAATAATCTTTCCTTCACGTTCCCAGTGGAACATAGGGCTTCAAGCTAGTGGCTTGAAGTTTCTGTAGCAGTGTTTATTTTTACAGGACGGGGTTCCTAGCCTCATGTCCAACCTTTCATCTTTACCAGCATTATTTTTGGCTTAGCGAGGTAAAGGAGTGCGTCGGCCGGGATTCGAACCCGGACCGCCCGCGTGGCAGGCGGGCATTCTACCATCGAACCACCGACGCTGGTGATTCCGCCCAGGCGGTTCAATGGTAGAATGCTCGCCAACTAAGAAAATAAATTTTTTCAAAAAATTAAAGCTCCCTCCCCATTTGAAGCTTTTTTAAAATTTCATTAACAATCATTTATTTTATTTTCCAGATCTGTTACCTAAATACCCTCCACATGTAAGTCAGTCACTGAAAGTTGATTGGCGTCGACCCGAGTTAGATTTAAACATTAGCGGTTACAATTTCTTTCCTGCAATTGATAATGCCAACCAGTTTGGGTTATATTCATTAATTGAACAACAGTAAGTCAAATAGATAATTGGTTTCAAGAAAAACCACAGGTGGATGTTAAATTCAGTTTATATAAAATAGGTTTCATTAACAATATTTTCTCTCGATTTCGATATTTTATTTTTTAAAGACAATTGATCAATATAACATTTGTTACAGTTAAACGAATATAGATTCTTAGTGTTACCTAAGGAGAGAAAATGACTGTGGAGTTGCATCGACCGAGACAGCTAAGTCACGTGTTACGCATGCCAAGCCATCACATTCCTCAACTAATGGTGATGGCATAAATATGGTTAAGTTGAAAAAGAGATATTAGTGGTAAGATCAAGATGCAGCATCAATCTAGAGAGTCTTTGAATGTCAGTTTAAGGCATGTGGATTGTCTGGTCTGGATCTACAAGATGCTAAGAATCAATAGCTTGAGACTACCAGTAAAGTAACTTAAAATAGTTCTTAGATGAGCAGATACACTAGCGCCTTATGTTCTCCCAGATTCATCGTATCCCCACTACACTTCATGTAGCTGTTCTTAGCCCTATACACTTACGTTCATTATAGTTACTTTAAACTTCTTTTTCAACTTTATGTATGCTTTTATGAGATATGGAAACATGTTCCCTTTTTGCTTTCATCGCCTTCATTGCAAAAGTGTTTAGCTGGTTAATACCTGAAAGACCAGATTACCGTTAATAAGTATCACTCTGTCGAATAATAACAATAATACTGGTTTTTTAAGAGTAGTTTTATAACTAACACGAATTCGATATCCATTGAAAGTGTTTGATTTCAACTCAGTTAACGTTATGTCACTAAAAGAAGACAGTTGTTGATAAAGGTCTGCAATAGCCTGTTGGTGGAAATGTTCTTTGTGACCCGCCCGCCAAGTTTCTGATCCGATCCGTATGGAAGAACTGACTGACTTGACGTTTGTATTGAAAATCCTACGGAATTTTGTTGCTGATGCTGGCTGAGTGAGGAAGATTTCCAGATTGGTTTAAGGTTGATGAGTGAATGTGTTTCTCGCCTGCCTTCCCGATTCTGGCTCTATTTGACATCCTCGTCCGTCCCGACTTCCTGCAGTTGAGACAATGCTCCCTAGCTAGATAAGTGAATGAAGTAACCTCTTTCAAATCCCTCCCGTTGATGGTGATTGGCGCTGGATGTTTCTGTTGTTGTTGTTATTGTTGTTGGTTATTTTCATCACCTCCGTCTTGTCTATGTTCACCTGGAGTCCTGTCTTTGTCGGCTGCTTCTTCGACCAGTTTGTCGGTTTTCGCTTGTAAGTCTTCGATTGTGTGTGACATCAAACATAAATCATCGACGCGCGAAATCCAGGTCTTCTAGGTTCTTCACCTGGAGTGGTGAACACATTGCAAAGTTGACTGATAGAATTCAGTCTGCACAAAAATAAGGACTAGACAAATTACACTAGTTACTAACTAGTGTCCAATCACAAATTGTCATGCATCACAACAAAGCAGTTACCTACGTCCTATTCAGCTGTTGTGTTTTTACTCAGTATTGTGAGGCAGCACTAAGTGATAAAGGTGTTATAAACAAACAATAAAAAATTGCAGACGAAGTGGTAGATTGAAAAGAGACAACAGAAGGTGGTGGGGGAAGAATACAACTTACTGTCACACTATGCGTATGCAGGACGGAAAGGATTACCACTATGTAATGGAAACAACTGTGAAATCTGTCATATAAGTGGCTTGTTGCAGGTTTAATCACGAGTTGATATCAGTCGGAGAACCACTGTAAAACCTTGGAGTAATGAATAGCTGTTTTGTTCTAATCTGGAATTACTTAGTAACACTCATCTACCAGGGTTCGAACCCAGGACCTTCCGGTTACAAGGAGAGCTCATAGACCATTCAGCCACTAGGATGTGATCCAATGGCTAATGAATTCCAAAGTCTGCCAATTCATGATATATTTAGAGCAACTGCAACACTTGATACAAGTGACTCATACACATTCCATATCAGGTGAAACAATAATTATTATAACAGCAAGAAAAATACCAGCCAGTCATCTTGTGTGTTTTATTTATGTACTAGACTTTAGAAATATGGATCATTGTCTTGAGTACTCAATTTTCAACCAACAGGTCCATGGTTTGAACTCCATTTCAGCTATTTCAACCTATGCAGTATTATCAGCTCTCACGCAGTATGTATTGTATGGCTCATAGCCTGGTACATGACATATTGGTTCCAGGTAAATGAAAGGGAACTTAATATTCCACTAAGTTACCTAAACTTAAGGAGATTGGGGGTCATATGAACCATTTAACCCACTGACTAAAAAATGGGGTTTTCGAGGTGTTATTTCGCATCTTCTGAATATAATTATTGTTAAATAGTGTACTTTAACGCTCACAAAAAACGTCATGCTGTCCCTTTTGTCATTTGTATTATTACCATTGTTACCATTTTATAGAAGTGAGGCTATGAAACTTTATGAATCTCTACTAATGCCTTGGAGTCAGACAATACATGAAAAGACAAATCAGATAATTCAATCTATGGAATGGATTATAAGCGTTAATCAGACAATCGGCGAATTATCAACACTTTTAAACAATGAAAGAGAATGTTTTGAATTATATAAATACCGGGTGAGAATTTGATTGTAGTTTTTATTTCATTACTCAGTGAAAATTCAACTTAGTTTACTCGATGAGCAGTAGTTAGCAATAGGACCTAAGACACACAATTTTTATTTGATCACTTTTTCACTTTGCTCCTTGTACAAATGATTTAAACTATTCACTTCTATCCTATCTTTATTTACTTCTGTTATATTTCAGGGCTTATTTCAAACTTCTGTTGATTGGATTAATAAATTAGTGAATTTCTCTAAATGCAGAAGCCTATTTAATGATACTATCAAAATGAATACTAATCGGTTTTTTATTTTTATTGATTTCAATCCATTATCAAACTTATTATATAATGAAATAATTCAAAAATTATACCAATTATTAATGCCATTTATAACAAACATACATAATTCAATAGCATCAATGAATAATCACCTTGACAACTTAATTCAGGTGAGATTTATTTTCAAAAGAAAGTGCTTTGTGATTTTGAAGTTTTTTTTCAAGTGTTAGTTTGTAAGAAATTGATTGGTTTCAGGATTGATTATAGACTGATGTCATTTGGAGAAAAACTGAGAACCAGGGAGTCCTGAATAGCTTTTCCGCCCTTGTTTGAGACTCTTCTGCAGTATGCACCCATGACCCCACCGGGGATGGAACCCAGTGACTTTAGGCTACAAGATGAGCTCGTCTGTCACTGAGACAGAATACAATGGCGTGTGAATTCTAGTTTCTTTCACTTTGTGATACATTTAACGCCACCTGCAATCAATGTCATATGAAAGTATTTTCTCGCAGATCCGACCTCTTGGACTCCAATGTTCGTGACTCCTGACTAGAAACCTAGGTAGCTTCATCTTGTGGTCAGTCACTAGTGAACATCTGATTAATCTTCAGATGTTATATCTAACAATATTGTAAGTCGCTGAAAGTTCATTCAAAAGAGACGATTATATTCTAATCTATTAGGCGAATACTAGTGTCTTTGGATTGACCTAGTAATAGGGTTGTAAGTACGAGCAGATGAGAAGGCATAAAATGGGACGGAAAAATTATTCAGTTTTTTGTCTTTTAAATGGTTCTCTATCTAATATTAACCATAATGGTCAGGGATGTGTTTTATTAATTCTCGCTGTAAACATTTATAAAATTATATTTGTAAAATCTCAGCGAAATTGAAATGATTAATTCCAACGTTTCGTTCGGCAATCCGGTCCGAACTTCTTCAGGGAAATTAATCGAAATTAAGATAACAGATTGCCGAACAAAACGTTGGAATTAATCATTTCAATTTCGCTGAGATTTTACAAATATAATTTTATAAATGTCTATTTCTCACTCGGCGCTCAATTCTTTTGCAACTATCCGGTCAAATCTTGATCACAGTTCATATGAATCTGCTGTAGACCTTAAACTCCTCTTTGGCAAAGGTTTGAGGAAAGAAGGTGGAGTCATACGCATCAAATTAAAGACAGGACCATGCAGACTGTGGGAAAAGCGATTCGGAAACTGCTATTTCAGTTTCACGATCCTTCCTGCTCTGCAGGTCAATCATCTTCACCGACCTGGCGGTCTGGGTCGGATTCTAACTAGTGCGCTTGTATAAAAACGGTGTAGCAGCCAGATCCTTCCACTCCTACCAGCAAAGAAGGCCCCAAAGTCCAGATTATCTACTTTAACCTCCTAAGTGGAGACGGCCTAGAGTGCCCGACCTGGGTTATGTTCCAACCGGATCTCACTATGCACTCTTCTCTGCTGTCCACCATCTCAGCCCTCATCTCCCGAAGAAGCGAATGATGGCGCCCAAAGCATTTTAGACTGTAAGTGTTAGATATTTACCCTCACCGACAACAACTGAGAATTCATGCAAGAAGCTGATTTCAGACAGTTGAAAGGTGGTTAAACCCTTGGTTTGGTGTAGAGCCAAAGAAGACAGAATGCAGTGTAAAACCCATGAAAGATTTTAATAGTTTCTTTTATCTTTAGACTTCTTAACAATGTCAACATCTGTTGTACACATGAAAAATGATGAATTCAGAAGTAGTCACACGGTTTTATCGAGATTTGATCTGGTCACTTAGGGGGGAAAGGAATGTTTGGGATTGATAAATAATCATTAATGATTTATATTCTGAGTCCCATGTGAAAATGTTTTAATCTCCGGTTTTTTGATAGTGGGTTGGATTTCATTAGTTATACCACAGTATAAATAGGTTACCTAGATGTACTAATTACTGACCATTTCTGGCGGTTCATCTGTTAGAGTGAGTGTAAGCATGGAATCATACCAGCCTTCAAAAAGTATTTGCACCTAAATTTTTTTCAAAAATGTTTATAACAGACAAATACTAATTTTCAACCTGACTACGATGGATTCATGCAAGTTGTCAAGTATCTGGATTGCGTACGTATTCAACACGAAGATATATTTTTAAGACATGATGTCTTATGTTGTCAAGTTGAGGTAAGTAAAACCGCTGAATTGTTTCGCGCTTTTGTTTTGACTAGTTTGGTTAGCGATATACAAAATTTTGGGCCTTTATAATCTGAACATTTAAAAGGAGTACATTTCTTTTAATTACTTAAAATGGTAGCTGAAGAACTGAAACCCTTGGTCTTTGTTTTCGAGAGATTCATCAACAGTTTTCGGTTCTTGATTTATCTTGGAACTACAAGAATTGAAGAAATTAATCGATTTTATTCATGTGTTATATGTTCTTATTGAATTTAATTTTTTTTGATGGGAAAAGCGATTCCGAAACTGCTACCTGAGAAATGCAGGTACATTCAGCTGACGAGTCCCAAATAGGACGAAATGCGCATCCTGGATTCCACTGCTAGCCACCATCCACCAATTGTTATATGTTCTGTTAATCTGGATTGATTCTTTGCTGTCCTACGTTCAACATCTATCCTAAACTGCTTCTCATTATTTATGAGAAATATCTTTTAAAGACCTATGAATAAATAGATATTTAGCACTAAGGTTCACTGTTAATATTGAAACTGTGAGTAGCAGTCAAACGTCAGCTAACTTGATAACCACACTTTAAATTTGATTGACGCACTCAGATTTCCTATTCATTAACACTGATTACATTTACAGCGTCATAATTTCAGCAGTTTAGCTGTAAGTTCATTGACTTCAGTACTGATCGGTAGATCCTCGAATCGCCGGCAGGACATTGCTTCCTTAATAGTTGCATCAACCGCTTGTTGATAAGTACCAATAAACACGAAACCTGGATCCAGCCAAGGCTTTTTACAAATTATGTCCATCTGGCTAAAAACAATAAACTCTCCAAGATTTAGCATATTTGTTACTGGTAAGTGCAAATAGAGAGGAAGTCTTTATCGGACATACCTTCTTAACACTTAACCCTTAGTTTTTGTAAAAGACGTTTTATTCATGTTTTCAGTACATATGAAACATATGACATTCAATATAATGTATGATATGTTAAAAATACTCAGCATAAATCAATGAAACATGCTGATGACATTAGACTTTATGAGTCAAAGGAATGGTTTAAAAGTAAATGATGATGTGCGTCGGTGGCACAGTGGTTAGGACGCTCACCGACCATGCACATGGTCTGGGGTTCTATCCCCGGTCATGGACGCACTCCTTTGCCTCACTAAGCCAGAAATAATGCTGGTAAAGAGGAAGGTTGCGCATGAGGCTAGCAACCCATCCTGTAAAAATTAACACTGCTACAGAAACTTCGGGCCGCCAGCATGAAGCCCTATGTTCCACTGGGAACGTGAAGGAAAAAAAATGATGAAATAAGTTCGAAGAATGTGACAGTTTTCATTATTCAACATTTTATTTTAGCAGCTTGTATAAAATTTTACTTTAGGTATCCTAGTTAACTATTATGGTATTTTGCTGTAACTTATTTGAAGAGTTTATTACCAGACGTCTCTTCATTGGTCATGTTTTCTTATTCTTTAGGCGGAGTATGTCATATTTTATGTTTTGTATAGACAAAAGCGAATGGATATTTAGGTCACATTTTCATTTTTGACGAAATATCTTAGTGTAACTAATGAACTGTGTTTTCACGAGTTGATCACGGATTGATATCAGTTAGAGAACTATTGAAAACCAGGGAGTACTGGACAGCTGCTGTTTCATCCTAGTTTGGAAATCATCGGCAGTACGCACCCACTGGGTTTCGAACCCAGGACTTTCCCGTTACAAGGCAAGCTGGTATACCATTCAGCCACTGGGACCCGATTCAATGGCTCGTGAATTCTAACTTCTACCAATTCGTGATTTAGCGCGGCCCCAACCATTGTCGTTGGTGGGACATCCATCCACACACCTGACATCTAATTGGACCCCACTGGTCACGATTTCTCACTAGAACTCAGGAAACTACAACCTGTAGTAAGTCACTAGCGAGCATCAGAATAATTTTCTATAGTTTGGTTTGTAAGGGTTAGTTATGTTTTTACGAGTTGATCACGGTGCGTACTGCCGATGGTTCCCAAACTAGATGAAACGGCAGCTGTCCATTACTCCCTGGTTTTCAATGGTTGTCTAACTTATATCAATCCATGATCAACTCGTAAAAACATAACTAACCCTTACAAACCAAAACTATAGAAAATTAATGAACCGTGACTTGAAACATGCTTTACTCTTATCTGTGACATGCATACTCTTTTATTTGGAAGGTATATCACGTTTATGATAAGAAATAATGTGGAAGACAGTTCAGTGGCATTGACATCTTTTGAAAATATTACTAATGTGAGAGATATTCAAATTAATTATTGTTGCGTAAAATAGTGAATGTTTGACCACTAGCTCACAGGTTTTAAGTCTGTTTCCTGTGTTGCATTTTGAACCTATTTTGGCTCAGGGTAACTCGATAATACTGACTAACTGGTTGGCTTATTAAAAGTCAATCAATTCAGTCTACTACACTTGACAGAAGCATACTTAGAAGTAGAGAAAAGAGATGGAGGGTGAAATTTTTGTATTCCTTTTACTTTCCGAGTGGAACAAAGGGTGTTAATCTAGAGCTTTGAAGCTTCGGTAGCAGTAGTTATTTATTTTCACAGGGTGGATTATCTAGCCTTGCCCTTGACCTTCCCTCTTTCCTGGGATTACTAACGGGTAAGAGAGGTTTAGGAGCGTGTTGGTCACGGATCGAATCCCGAGCCATATAAGTGTTTGGAGAGTATCTGTTGCCAGACCACCAAGTCACGGAAAATGAAATGAATTGAATGGAAATTGGTGATGCGTTTTAGGGTCTGAAAAGTGACAGTAAGTGAATACACATGCGGCTTTGAGAACAACTATGAAATGTTCTACTTAGAGTCTCAAACGTTTTATCCTTAGCACTCCGAACTATTCAACTATTTGATAGGTTTCATTGTCTAGTGCACGAAAAATCAGCACAGATACAAAAGGCTTGTTTGACATTTGCCTACCAACTTACGCCATCTATGGCGTAGACATGATATCTGGATGCCGATCAAAGGTTGTGTGTACTGCTCAACAGTTTGTTCTGTTTCCTATATGGCTGTGAAACATGTCCATTGAAAGTGGAAGATACGAAAAGGCTAGCTGTCTTCGATAAAAGGTGTCTGCGTTCTATATCCCGTGTTAAGTGGTATAATAAGGTGGACAATATTCAGGTTAGGCATCCGTCGAGTGCTAGATAAGGAGGGGAAATCAACCGACGAGGTTGTGAAGTTACACAGATTGCTATGGTTAGGACCTGTTTTACTCATTTCTAGCCATCGACCACCTTCCTCGACAGGGAATTTCGGCTGGTTGATATATGACTAGGCTGGAAAAGATCCAGTGGTGGTCAAAACAAAAATGGAGTCAGTCAGTGAAATCTACGACAGTTAGTTTAATCCAGCTGCGTTGACAGGTGTAGACTTCCCAGTTGAGGTCCTTGGGGTGGTAATAACTAATGGCTAGAGACAATTAATGATTTGACTCAAAGTCATTCTTAATGGAGCAAATGCATCCACTCTTCGTGACTTAGAATGCCCAATAAAACTATATTGTTCTTCAATATTACTACTCTTTTTGCCTCATATCTCTTTTTACTGTCTTCTCCTGCTTTGTGTGCTACATAGAGTGTGGGGATTTGAACTGCTGCAAATCGGTGCAAAGTTCTATGCTGAGACTAGTAAGTCAGTCTAGTGCACAAACTTACAGATATGACGGCTGAAGGTTTATGTTTTTATCACGTTGCAATAGAGATCAATAGAAATCATTCAGTTAATAACATGGTGATAAAAAGGTAGCACTTAAGGCAATGATTCATATTTTGTAGATTGTTCTAAGATTAATAATCCCAGAGTACAGAGAACAGCTACTGAGCATTGTTGTGAAGTTTGACATCGAAAATTCAGTTCAATCGAACTGCATTCTCTCATTTAAATAGCCAAATATTTCACCAATTTGAAGAGGAAATGCATTGTCTTAATTTTTGTCATATTAAAACCTGCGCTGAAGATGTTATCTAGAAGGATAACGAGAGCTCCGCAATTAAATCGACTAGCTCAGAGAACTCAACTAAATCATAAACAACCACATGAGCTGCAAATCTTCTCCATTATTTTAATAACATGGGAAAATTCTTAACAAAACGGTCGACAAACTGTTCACTTATCAAATACTCGTCTACCCTTTTTATAACCTATCTGCAACTGTACATATACCATGATGGCATTTGTTGTCATAAAAAGAATTAAGTAATTAACTCTAACATGGTGATTTCTTTTTTCCATTTTCTTTTAAAGTTTTTACAATATTTTCTAAAATGTCTAATCAACTGTAAAGAATTAAGTGAAATCCAACAGATTAACTGGTCACAATATGAACAATTTATTATTAAATGGAAACGATTTACAAATCAAAATGAATGGGCAAGAAAAAAATTCACACGATATCATCAGGACTTTTATCAGTGGTATAATAAAAAAATGAAGGTAGGTGTTGTTGCAATTTATTGTTGAGTTTCTTTTTTTTTTACCAAAGTCATTATTAAGTTCCAGTGTGCTTGAGAGATAGTGTTAAATTGGAACTGATAACTATTTCAAGAAGTTTTTATATCGTCGTAGTGCTTTCGGAAACATTTGTCATGTGAATTGAGATATACTCCCTTGTCATTTCAAAGGATGATTTTATATTGGTCTGTTGGACTGATGATGTAACAACAGAAGACAAGGGCCGGAAACAGATCGTTTTATTACGGAAATCAGCACTCATTTATATATTCCATATACAATATTATAGCTTATTCAAGCAGGCAAACACAGTCTTCTGATTGGTTGTTTCGGTTTCTCGGAAAGTTAAGCCATACATTTGCGAATAATATTTGCCCACGTTAAGTCTGCTGTGATTGGTTGTTGAATCAGCCTTGTTCATATTTTCTCACAGCCAACATTAGTGACCTAGACATTGACGTAAATTAATGTCTACCAATTGGCTAGCAGCCTGCTCTCATCACAACGATAGGTGTCTTAAAATATATTTTTTGGAAGATGCTTATAAGGTGCTTCTCCTCCATTCTTCTTCTCATGACAGATATGCTGTGGCGTGTTCTTGCACTTCCGAATACTTTTTGTAAATACCTTCTTTGTGGGCTGTTGGGTTGTGTCTGTTGTAATTGTGTGATTCGTCTGTATGGGTTGACTTTTGATTATATACCAGTCACAATAAGAATCACTAGGAAAGACGAATATTCCATCCATGAAGAACTCTTAGAACTAACTTCACAATGAGTTTAGAGGTGAAAATGTTGTCCAAGAGGACGACGAAAGTTTTGCAATTAAACTATCTTGCTCAGGGAATCCAGCAGTGCCAAAAACATCTGTCTGAGCTATAAATCTTCTTAATTATCCCACGTTAACTCAGTCTTCGTCACTATATCGATCTAAATAATCCTTGTTCAATGAAACATTATAAATGTTGTACAGCTGTTGAGGTTTGAAATCGTCAAAATGGTATCTTCTGTTGAATTTCTTGTTTTCTCTTTGACAACTGTCTTGATAATGAATTTTTGTCAATATTTAATGGCTCATTAGCATATGAAACAGATTTATTATTGACTTTTTCACTTTATTTTTATATTAGGAATCTCTAGACGAAGTGAAGCGTTTGGTTTACTTACTCACATCCGGTAAATATTCTGATATTACAAATGATTCAATCAGTGTACTTAGGGATATGAAGGAGGTAAGTTAAACTAATGTATAGTCGTTTGCAAATTAACACTTTCTCTCTCTCTCTCTCTCTCTATATATATATATATATATATATATATGAAGACATTTTCACTCCTACGAGATGTATCTGTCCCACTAAGCACTACCATCAGCCAATAGGAGTGGTCTTTAATGTCCAGCATTTACTGATTTCTAAGCAATGTCATTGATAAGCATTTGTCCAAATATTTAACTCAGCGGACCTTATCATTTGAGAACTACGCTGAATTTAGTTGGTTGTAAGGAGTCGATAGTAATTAAGTCAAATATTATGAATATTCGACTGATTGAGAGGTAGATATTAAAGAAAATTTGTTTTATTTCTTATCTATAAAGGAAAGCTTAGTAAGTGCTAAAGAAACGACTACGAATTGTAAGTAGAATTATTAGAAAACCTAAAGTAGATATGTGGACGGTGTCATAGTTATCTGTGAGAAGTTGACAGATGCTACGGAAATTTAAATTGGCTGAATACAATACAGAACAGTATGTCCTTGGTATATGTAACAGAAAAAAGTGACTGCATTTCATTTTTAGATGCACTCATAACTCACCGACATGATGGGTAAGTGAAACGATCTGTCTACAGAAAGTTCATCTGAAGGAGAAAGTAGCTAAATTACTATGGTTTTGTCCTTAGTCAAATGCTTGTCCACATGTGTCCACACATATGTACCGAGGATACAATTGGAGCAGAAATCAAAGTTTTACTAGATAATAAATATCCTGCGTAATTCATCAGACATAATAGGAACATCAAACAAAAGCTTTATAGATCTAATCAACCCCCAAAAGGGTGTTTATACACATTCACCTCTCTAGGGTCATTGCTAAACTCTGATCACTAAACAAAGGCCCAGAGCTGCAATCTGTAGAAATTACTATGCAGCCAACCTGATATTTATATAGAAAAAGAAATTTATGTTATGCTATTCACCTTCAAAGCATTTAAACTATGGTATTACATCCATCTGTGTTTACCAGTTGTAGATATAGTCATGCATACATTAGAGGATCCAAGACCTCTGCATCTTAGGACTACTGGAACATATTTCCTGATGTCCTCAAGAACAAATGAAATCAGTTGACTCATTTGATCCTTAAAATAGATACCCGACGTTATCTATCGCAGAACGCATGGTATAGACGTTTAGTAAAGTTGACTTCAATAATGCCTTTAAATCTATTTCAATTCAAACACATCTCAACATTCTAACAAGTAGCTTATTATGACTGTAAAAAACACTCGTCCTTTTTTTCCATCTGATTGTAATTGATCAACAACACTCGCACTATTGTTTCTGAATGTACATTATCTCACATTGATTTTTAATCCAATATCCAATCGATTCCACACATGTATATAAATGAAAGAACAAAGTTGTGTGAGTAACTTGATATGATTATGAGCAATGGTTTGTGTTCGAAACGTCATCAGTAAATATAACTGTACATCACTGTGTGATTTATCAAAATAAAATCTTATCCATAATGGAGCCTTTAAATCCATATATAAAACAGGTTTGAATCACATGTTTAGACTTTTTCACGTTCAGTTAACTTTTATACACAGATCTATGACAAGTGTGAGTGTGTGTGACCAGACTGTCTGAAAAGTGTTGTACCAAGTGAATATTACACGTTTTATATAAATTAAGTCCTTATCGTTTTATCAAAATATATAAATGAAAGTAGTTGCTTTCAAAAACTCAACTTAATTTCCCAACTTAGTTGGTGGAGACTAACAGTGGATTTTAGGATGAGCATTTCATTCTATTTGGGACTCAGCATCTGGATGTACCCACAGTCCCCAGTAGGTGATGATGTCTCCATTGAGATTCAGTCCCTGCAGTCGTCGTCTCAAACGCCACTATTAGTCACCATCAATCAAAATGATTTCATTTTAATCCTTAGATATCATCAAAGCATCAGCACTAGGAACTGGTATGTCATCAGAGGCTAAGCATTTCCGACCAGCATAATTTAATTAATAGGGAGTGTAAATGAACCTAGAAACAAATTATTTCCAACATTACTGGTTAGCCTTCGTTTTATGGTACCAACATAGATATTTCGTTTATTTTCTTGTTTTAAATTATGGTTTTCTATTTTATAGCCATATTATCAACTAATAAAGTTGGAAACGCTTATTCATCAACTTGTTGCTCAGCATAGAAGTGTTCAAAATTGTCAACAGTATCAAGAATCATTTAATAAAGAGTGTAACAATCATAAAAAGATGAATAAACCAGTTATCACGACCACAATAGATAAAGCTATGAAATGTAAAAAGAATAAGAAAAATTTCATCTGGGAAGATAATTCAGATTTAATATCAATGGATAATGAAATGAAAAAAGCAAATTGTAGATATGATGCATGGCAATTAAATAGACAAATTGGTGAATTTAAAGTAGAGTTATATAAGTTAACATTGGATAAAGTGAGTAGAGGTTTTACTTCTTTTTTTCTCTGTATTTCTGGAGTAAACTTATTTAGCTGTTGGTATTTTCCGTTTTCCAAACTGGCAATAATGCTGTCTTCCGAAAGTGGGTCAAGGGGAGAACCCATAGCTATTGGTCGAAGTGGTAGACTGGATATACGCATCTTTGGTAGACCATAAAGTAGGGGAATAGTTATCCCAGTCAGTCTCAGATGCTCAAGTAGGTAGGCGTTTATTTATTGGACCGATTCCGGATAAGTCAGAGTCACCCTATCATCAAATCGCCCAACGGTTGTCCGAAATGTTACAGCCTGTAAGACAACATTTATCTAGGTACTCTCTTCGAGACACTTGAGTTTAAATAAAGCAAGAACAACAGTTTTTGCAGAATAAAATGTTACCATCCCAAACAACAATAATAATCATACACAATAGAATCTTTCGGCGTTACGCAGTCAGATGAAAGAGAGGATAAAAATATCCTCTTACCAGAGCAAGGAAAGACCTTTAACCGCTTCTTAGTGAACTCATAAATTGGGTTTCCGGTGACTGATGGAGATTGCTTCGGCACACTTAAAATGCTTTTTATAGCTAAGCTTAATAATGTCTTTAGCCTGTAAGAAGTTGATAAGAAGCCAACAAAATCAATGACGGTACCATTTTATTCTGCGAAACTGTTGTTCTTTTTTTATTCGAAGTTATTAAGGGGAATAAATGTAGGAAACTTTTGAATTTGTTGACTGTATAAAAGGTTTGAATTTAACTGGCAAGGGTATGTCACCTGTGAATGTAGAGGCACTGTTTACCAGCGTGGCACTCGCGGAAGCTACCTGTTTCTTATGCAGATGTGTGGATCACATGAATCTGAGCATCAGGATATGAAACTCATGTCGAAAAGATCTGTTATTGGAATGTACATTTAATGTCAAGGTTTGCCTTCAAAGAAGATATCTACAAACATACAGGTTTTACTGTCATGGGCTCTACAATTGGTCCGCTTTTGGCAGATAGCTTTATACTCACTTTAGAAAAATGAAATCTGAAAAGCATCAGTCAACAAATTACTATTGGTATTTTCATTTTATTGAATATAGACAAGACGGAGGTTATGAAAATAACCAACCAACCAACAAACAACAACAGCAGAAACATCCAGCGCCAATCACCATCAACGGGAGGGATTTGAAAGAGGTTACTTCATTCATTCACTTATCTAGGGAGAATTGTCTCAACTTCAGGCAGGAGGAAAGGACGAGGATGTCAAATCGAGCGAGAATCGGGAAGGCAGGCGAGAGACACATTCACTCATCAACCTGAAACCAATCTGGAAATCTTCGTCACTCAGCCAGCATCAGCAACAAAATTCCGTAGGATTTTCAATACAAACGTCAAGTCAGTCAGTTCTTCCATACGGATCGGATCAGAAACTTGGCGGGCGGGTCACAAAGAGTATTTCCACCAACATGCTATTGCAGACCTTTATCAACAACTAACTGTCTTCGCTGGCTTTATACTGAATGAAGATCAGATGGCCGAGCCTGGCTGGAAAGAATCACCAGTAAGAAACTATGGGAACAAACAAAACAAAACAAGAACCAATCGCCCAACAAGTATGCAGGATAGAGTGGAGATGGATTGGACACTCGTGGCTGAGGAGGCCTCTGGGTGACATCACGCGCGCGTCAGGCGATTGCTCGAGTGGAACCAGGCCGAGAGGGAAGCGGTGAGTGGGTCGTCAGTGCAAGAGTGACATAGAAGAGATCGTGTGAAGAGGAGTTGGAGGAGTATGGACTAACATGGATGCATGTGAAAAGTACAGCAGAAGGAAGACAGAAGTGGCAAGTGGAGACGTGCAGTTGAAGGTTTATGTTCCACTAGGAACCCACTGGGACAATAATAATAATAGTTTTCATTTTATCAGTTGACAGACCATTTTAACCTTTTTTTGACAGGATGAAAAGAAATGGTAAATATTCTTGGGTTAGTATACCTGAATATCCACCTTTTTGTCTGAAACTGCAGTTTCTTTAGTGTAGTGTAATCTACAATCGACAAAAAGATTTCATCAAAAAATAGGACAGCATTACTGCATACTACAAATAGAATCTGTATCTTACGTATAACGAATACGAATAAAAGTCATTTCAGTTAAAAATACGAAGAATACTATGAAATCAAAAGTTATGTGAAACTTAGTCAAGGAACGTAAACTTTTCTGCCCAACTCTGACAGTCAGTTATTGTTTCGTACACTTTATCCCTTTTATAAATCTGAATGAATAAAGTAAGAATAAAGGTTTGTGCAAAATAAGATAATACCGTCATTTATTTTACCGGCTTTCCATTAGGTCCTTAAAGCCTAAAGAAATTACTGACTTTATGTACAGAATAATTTTCAACATACTTGAAAATTTTATATGATGTCAGTTAATGGGATACACCAGACTTGATAAACAGAGCTAAGAGATTATCTTTATATAGCCTACAAAAGCAAAAGAGTTATATAGTTAAGACAAGAGGTAAATAAAATGATGAGTAACTAATATGTCGAGTAACAGCGTGGTGAGTTTAACCCAAGTCATAGAAACAAGAGACAAGCAGAGTTACGTTATGGTGAAAGGGGAGAGATTAAAGACAAAGATTACCTGATCAAATTCAGAGAGAGAGAGTTATTGCCTTAGTCGACTAATGACGAATTTCACTGATTTACAAACTCACCACGAAACGAATGAAACAGCAGTCCCGTGTATAATTCACTTTGGTCCGGTTTTGCGAGCATTCCCATTTGATGTGGGTGGTTTTCAACTACTTACACGAATCTCTAGTATATACCAACAGTAATTTATATATTTTTGAATAATTATACCCTTCAGTTATCTAAATCTCAGTAGGCCGAGACAAGCATAAATTTGTGACTATTAATAGTAGTATAGTCAAGTACATTGATCACTAAGTTATAATTTCAGAATGTCTAGTTTGAGAATGTAAGACTGCCTTATTCAGCAAAACGATTTTGTTTTCATTTAGAAAAAAATTTACCGGTTAAGTGACGAGAGGACTACGTTGTATGAAAAAAAGACTAACTGATGAAACCGTACACATCACAATGAAAACTCTTCTGTTGAGTACTTTTCGGCACATGAATTATTTTTTTTTAGCTGATATTTACAAATGGACCAATTTCTGATAAAAAATTTTAATGCAAGTCTGAACTATGGTCTTATGCTATCTGTCCACAGGATCAGTCAATAACCAGAAGGTGGCTTTAGGCATAGGTTTCGTGCTTATGAGTCCTTGTCGGTAGGATGTGCTTGCAATCCCAGTGCTAACGTGTTTGACTGCAGCTCAAATTTCTGATAATGCATAGGTTTCGTTGAGATTAAATATATGCATTACTTGATGGGTGCCAATAAGCAAGGGAATTAGGCCAAGTGCTTGATACCAGTTACCTCTGGCCATCTAACATTATTTCAGATTGCATTGGGGTGACCAATCACGTGGCTTGATGATCGCATCACAAAAGTGACTAATAAAATTTACTCAGCAGAAGTACTAAGAGCTAGACATCCAAGTGAATAATCTAAATTCTGTTTTTTTCCAGTCTATTCTAGTTTCCTTACAACTAGCCTTACGTTTTCTAAGTGTTGCCTTGCAGAGATCTGATAAACTGCGAAATAGGTATCATTTAAAGAATCATGCACATATATTTCGTCCTAGTTTAGGACTCTTCATCAGTAGGCCTGTATGATGTCGTAAGTCGACCACATTCTGCTGTTAGGACTAAGTCCAATGGCTTATGAGTTCTGACTTCCACCAAATTACAGATACCAATCCACTGTTCATCAATGACTTGCTACGAGATGATTTTCTTGGAGTTATAGCCAGAATTCATGACCGGTGGGGTACATCGAGTTCGGTGTGAGGATGGCTACTCACCGACGACGTTGGATGGAAGTAGAAAAAGTTAGAGTTTACAGGTCGTTGGTGGTGGCTTAGTGGTAATGTGCCTGGCTCATTTCATGAAAGTCCTAGGTTCTATTCTTGCTGGAATTGTGACTGAATCTCTAACTGATATCGGTTTTCAATCAAATCTGACTTTAAGTTTGTTTATCAAATTTTACCAGTTCCATCTATCTTTCTTTTGCATTGTATAAAATCTGTTCATGTATCCTTTTTAATTTCATATTTACTTATTTATTTATTTTTGTATTTGTGTAGATTTATTTAAAAGGGATCAATGAAAAATTTGACAAACTTTTAACAACATGTAACAATTTGTCCCATGATGATGTAATCATTCAGTTCAATTCTAAGTGGCTAAAACATCTAAAGAAGATTATAAAAGCTTTATATTTTATTACTGATACTGAATTGATAGTGAGTAGTATATGTGTTTATATTAAAACATAATCTTATTTTATAGAAAAAAGGCTTTATATATATATATTCTACTGACTAATTACTCTCCAGTATCTTGCTACCGTTCATTTGATGGTAACAAGAGGTGAAAGTTTGTGGTGCGTTTCATCTTTTCTGGTACTCTTTAACCAGATGTAAGAAATTTATCCCCTTTTTTCGTATGATTTATTGAACTGGTGACATTTTTCGACTCAGTGACTGTTTATATCCTCTTGTTGAAGCAGTGGTTAAGTTTTAGAGAGGATATTCTGAGGCGAATTGTTCTACCGAAAGTTTACATGTGTGATAAACATTCACCTATTCTGAGAGTACGAATATCTGCTTTCGCCGAACTTGATAACTTCATCGGGAAACTAGCAATGAACATATCTGGAGGAACAATAAAAGCTTTTCTGTTTGACTTAATAATTAGCATCCAGCTGACAGAATGCAATTAAACTCAATTCAGTCAACTAAGCTGCAAATCTTCATTCTTGCTAAGACTTCAAGTACATTATTATTTTCTTTAGTTACGAGGGGAACAATGAGACTTAGAAACACATCTGCAGTTCACTCAGTTCTCTCAATTCTTTTTTACTCGCCTCCACGATTACCCTCAATCTTCCATTTCCTCTTCGTACGATCTCCTCCATGTTACACTTGTATTTTTATCCGACTTGTTTTTTCCCATTCGGGTTCGACTTAAGAGCTTGTTTGGGTGTGTGGTTTCACTCAATGGTCTCCTCAGAATGTGTTTAATCTACACGACTATTTGGTAATGGGTTGTTGTTTAGTTTTTCACCAGAACTCCTTGGTGTTTATTTTTTCTCGCCATCTGATTTTCAGTATTTGTCAGTTAAAGTTTGCAGTAGTCTTCTGAAAATGCACTTCATGTAGCGCTCTCCAGCTATCTGAACAAAACATAAGAACTGACTTGATATTGATGTTGAAGGTCTGGATCTTGTTCCTTATTCTCAGTGCAGCAGATTTTCTCACTGATTTGATAGCAATGAAGGTATGTCTCGCTTTTCCAATCAACATGACTGACTTGGACATACCCATCTGTGTCACTGCCTGCAGTTGAAACGATGTTGTTTAGATTGATGAAACAGGAAACTCCTTTTAGATTTGTCCTGCTGATGGTATCAATAAGACAAGGAAAATAACTACTGGTAATTGCAAGGAATGTTTTATTCGCTTATCTACAAGTAGAAATCATAAAAAAGCTTCCTTATTTTGTAGTTTGTCATTTATTAACTGAGAATTATGTTGAAATAAATATTAAAACAATAATTCTGTGGGAATATTTATTTCAAAATATATTTTTAAGAAATTGCTGCAGTCCACAGTAGGTATATACTTCATAGATAACACACTGATGAGTCATTTTTTAGCATTCTTTTAGAACTCTAAGCCAGCTATCACTGAATTGCTAGAACATACTGTCTCATCACAATTCGAAAAGAATGACAAATCAGCATTGATCATCACAGAAAAATGCATTGATAAAAATGAGGAACAAGCTGTAATATACAACAAACAGTTCAAAGTAAAAAGTATTTAGGGCGATTTGGGAGGATTCAAATCTCTGAAATTAGTCGTTCCTGGTACATTTTTTCACGAGATCTGATTGAGGCAAATGTGGCGGTCGTCTGGTGTTTAAACCATTTCGATCCGCGTAGAAGACAGTACTGCTCTATTTAAGTGATCTGTAATCACTCATATCAATCAGTAGTATAAGGCATCATGTAAGCAACGTATCGGGTCTATGAGATACTCCTTCTTATTTATATTTTGACTCTACCTATCGAGTAAATTTAGGTCCGTATAACCATTGATAAGTATGATTCATATCTGTCCACAAGAATCAGTTAAGCATTCTAAACTGTTGAGATCAAACAACGGGAAATCCACAGGTTTCAGTAAATACTGACTCAAATCTTTTCAACAAGACCTGGTTCTTACCATATGTCGGTTTGGTGGTAGGTGCTGGGTATGAGACTCACAGGGGACAATATCATCCACTTGAATGTATGTATATTCAACTAACGTGAGCCAAATAGGGCAAAACTTTATTCCTGGATTCCACTGCTAACCAAACTAAGTAAATATGTAACAATATATTAAGTATGTTTGTTTTTCAAATTTCAATTTAAAGGATTCATCACCAGACTACTGGAACAAATGTTCAGGTTTATTAGAGCTTCCATTAACAGTGAAATGGGAAAATTGTACAATTGAGTGTTTAATGAAAGAAGGGGACAACAATAGTAGTCTTTTGCAAAGAAAAAATCAATTAAAAGAAACCTGGAAAATCTTTCATTATTTAAAATCTGCACAAGAATGCAATACAATGCTTGAAAACCAGTGGTCATCGCTATATATTCATTTTATTCATTTAATGAATCCACATAAATGTTCGTCGAAAAATGTTCAATGTTCCATGGATAGTAGTTCTTTTGGAACATTGAATCAGGTAATATACCTTCTTCATTGTGAATAATTTGAATGAATATATTTTTTTGAATGAGCAATTATACTTTCTTTTATTGTTCTGAATAACAGGCGATAGAAAGAATGAGCAAAGAATATTCATTTCGTAAACTTCCTAATCTGGCTGTACTGTTATATATACATAATAATTGAAGAGTAATTTTTGTTGATAGTACTGATATTGTTTAAGTGGATTACAGTTCGTAAGCTTCACTGTAACAACAGAAGACAAGGACCAGGCAACAGATCGTTTATTTAGGAAATCAACACGACCAAATATTGGGGACGTACAAATTGACGTAAATCACCGTCTACCAATTCCGGCTAACAGCCAGCTCTCACTATACTACGAATAGACCTTATTTGTTCTTTGTTTAACCGCACATGATGATGTCCGGAAACCTGATAAAGAAGATGACTAACTGTACGCCAAGTGTAGCTGAATCCACAGTATCACTCAAATTGAACGTGCTATTAAGTGATTTATCCTTAATTCTCGAATGTAAGTTTGGAGTGGTTGGAAAAAGACATTGTATTCCTGCTGTAATGAATACTCTGTTTAGTTTATGGGTTTCACCACCAAGCCACTCCAGTTGTATGAACAAGAGCTTACCTTGAAGTTAAATTCAGATATTTATCAACAAAATTTTCTGGATATCCATTTTGCTGAGTCGTTTTCGAATCATTTTGAGTTCTTTAAGTTAGTCATTAGAGCGCACCACCCTAGCTCTGTGAATCGAACACTTTCTGAAAACTGCATTTAAATCTCAAGGGTACAAGAGTAAAAAAATTAGTATACTGACCAGATGATGCATGTTTTCCATTGATCTTAACAATGCAACATTACTGAAAAAAATATGAACGCTTACAATGACAATTATTTGTTAAATATTATGCGTATAAAACAGTATAGCCAGATGGGGACGTTATCGAAAAGAATATTCTTCGTTCAGTCTTTTTGTCTTCTAAATGTCTAGATGGGAATTTTCACTGTATTGAAAATAACAACTTCGAAAGCAAACCTTTGGTTCTGATCATATGATGAAGTTATCAGGTTTTAAGTAGAAGATCTTACGTTGGTTTTAAGGCTAGAAAAGCTGAAAGGTTCCAAAGCATACTGAAGTAGATATCTGATGCTCCTTTGACTTTTTAATGATTTTTGAATTGATCTTTAACCTGACAAGGAGTAATATGAAATCAGTCAGTCTAGCACAAAACATCCTATTGAATAAGATTACTCAATCTGCAAAAAGTGCTTAAATACAAGTAATCTTTGAGAACAACGAAACGGGAATAAGTATTGGGCAAGAAGTATGCTTAAAAGGCTAACTAAGCAGCATGGTTAATACTGTTCTGGTTCAGTTAAAGTAATGAGACCCAGAAATCTGATAAACATTTTTGAACTATGTTACGGCTGACAAATCAATGCATAACATGAGAAGAACGATACTAAGATAGAGAAAGAAATACAAGTATGTTGATGAGGATATTTAAATGAAGAAATAGGAAGATGATGTAGAGTGAATATATCTGTACCATTTTGAGCGATTTGAACTATACGTAAAGCATTAATAACTGGTATTTTTATTTCTCTTGCTCACCTCTTTTTTATTATAGAGCATTTCAGGCAGATGTTCCATTAACACTTATAATGCATCCTCTGATATACAGTTTCCATGGATAATTTTAAATATCACTGATTTAATTGAACAACTGTACCATATATCAGTTAAATTACAAAGTTTATTACAATCTGGATTGTTATATGTAACTAAAACAGTCAAAATGAAGCCAATTTCCACTTCCTTATCAACATCGGTAGTAAATGAATACATGAATGAAAATGACTCTATAGTATCTGCACGTTATTCGTTGAAACAACTGAATCAAAGCATAACTGTGTTAACATGTTTCAAGTCAATACAGGATCATGTATGTAACTAGTATTAAACAGTATTGAAATCCATGTCTTTCCGATGCTAAACTTGTATGTAGATTAATTAGTTATTAAAAGACTGAATTGGTGAACAAGGAATATTCTTTTCGATAACTTAATCAGATTGCAGAAAGTTTGAGCGAAGAAATATTTACTTTTCAATTAGATCCTCATCTCTGGCTCTACTCTAATATATATGTATAACATTTTTATTACAATGCACAACAGTTTACCAATCAAGTGGCGATAAGTTTGTTAACAATAATTAGTCAATGTCTTTTCACAACCGCCCCTATTCTACGTTCGAGTAATAAGGATAAACTACCCAAATTTGCCTCTTCTATGTGTATCTACCAGTTTGACTGCAGCTGTGGAGCCAGCTACATTGAGCGTACAATTAGGTAGGTTCATTATAGTATTTCAGAACATCATCCAGCATGGTTAAGCAAGGGACAAACAAGATTTATTTGTAGTTATATTTTAGTAGACCTTGTTGATCCTGAGCATAAGGTTGATGTTAGTACAGCATTTAAAATTATCTATCGCATTCCTACTAATCTTAATTTTGCTCTACGAGTTCGTCTTCTACATACAACAGCTGAAGCAATAGGAATCCACCTGCGGAAGAAGCCAAACCTATGTGTTCAGAAGAAATTTGTGCAGCCACTTTCTTTGCCTTGGCCATCATTATATGAATGTGTAAGCCGGACTACTTCGCCCCCCTTCCCCTTAATCTTTAAAGTTATAAAAATTATAATTGTCCAAATTATTTTTTTTATTTATTTTGACCACCTCATCTTTAATTACGTGTTATCCTTGTAAAATTAGTTTATTCTAACCATTTCTACCTTTTAAATGTGTATTGATTTTCTTCGTTAATTATTACCCCATTGACATTTTGACACTGACTAACTATTGTTAACAAACATATCAGTGCCACTTGATTGGTAAATTGTTGTGTATTGTAATAAAAATGCTATAGGTTTATATTAAAGTAGAGCCATAGATGAAGATCTAGTTGAAAAGTAAATATTTCTTCGCTCAATCTTTCTGTTTTCTAGATGTCTAAATGCAGATTTTTCTATATTAATCAGATTGTACAGTTATACGTCAATGATAACTAAATAATTATTTTGATTAACAATATTCAAGTTATAAATGATATTGAATAAATATTATGAGTAGATTACAGTTTGAAAGCACTTGTTAGTGGTGGCTAGCCTAGGTAGTTCCTCTTTCAGTCTCGGAATCACAATGTATCGTGTTAAAAATGTGAGTTACACCTTACAGGCGTTAAAAGTTCTACGAATCGATCTTCTCAGCTTGTTGATCATTACTTCGCTTAAGATATCACCTTTGAATCGTAGTCGTACACATAGAAGCTCTTTGTTAACAGATACAGAAACGTTCTTGGCCACACAGCTAGCACTGAAGGGTATTTCTCTATCTACAGTCGGCTGCCGAACTGGTCGCCAAAAGCCTCTAGATACTGAATTCTCAAAACGACAGATAGCATTAAAATTCACCTAAATCAGTCAGTGCTGTGCGTGCAAAAGAGACAGGTCTGATCACTGTTGCTACGCTGGGCTGCTGTCGAACCTATAAATTCAAAGACACACTGATATGGTTCTTAATTTATTTGACATTCACTTTAATAATACATTTTTATGCATATTATCGCTCACAAATGCTTTCAAATTGTAATCAGTTCATATTACTGATTCAGTATAATTTAAAACATTAATGCTGTTAATAACAATAATTCTCCAACTGATACTGACGTCTTCAGAGCATAAAAAATTCCCATCTCATGTGATTAGCAACTAACTCATGAGTCAGCAAAGATACCCTTTTTCATAACTTCACTTCAAAGCTGTACAGTTACTTAGGATGTTTATATATGCAGATTGACAACAGAGGTCAGAGATTATTGTCATTTAGTAACAAGGCAAATCAGAGTGCATGAATAATAACTATGCTTGAGAAATTAAGAATCAAGAGGATTGACAACTAATTAGTTGAGTGATCATTAGTCATTTGGAGATAGTTGATGAAAGATAAGAGAACAAAAGATTAAAAATGAGTCGTAAAAACATAAGACAGACTGCACAGAACTTACTATGCAATTATTCAGGAAGAAAAATTGTCTTAATTCTGTGGCAATAAAAGAGGATGGACACAACATTTCTGAGTACAAAGCTTAGGTTTTTTTCTTAAGGACAGCTTCGGCTACATGAAGACGAAGGCGAAATCCTTTCAAACAACTTGGTCAAATTGTTTATATGACTCTGAATAAAGTTCCTGGTGGTGCCGCTTGTCAGAAGTAGTAGTATGCTCCAAAATTTGGTGATTGACTGTTCTGCGTTCTCCGTTTGACAATCATGCTGGTAAGTGATCATTGGCACATCTAGAGAATGTCTTGCTTCATAGGAGGAGGTGAATTGGTAAATACACACTGAGGTTGCCGACAGTGGGATCTTGTCATCGATGTTTTGCTGAACAAAAACATGTGTGGAGAAGGTGAGATCTAGAAGCGCAGTGAGGAGCGTTCTACGAACCACTGTCGACAAGTGGCTTCGAAAAACTACACCAATGAATTGAGATTTAAAATTAGTTATTTGTTCGGCTCATCAAAGTTTTAGGGAGTATCACTCTTTCTCTATAGATGCTTATTGATGGAGGTTGAATATCCATTTTCGACTAGAGTTTTCTGAAGGACTCTAAATTCTTATTCAATGCATCTTCAGTGTGTATACGGTATACTCTTGTCACATGAGAGGTGATGAGATTTCTTTTTCTGATCAACAGGCCATTGTCAGCTGTCCATTTTAATCTTGCTTGTGGGAGACTGGATGCAAGTTCGAGGGATGATAATTAACAAGTATAACTTATTGATTCAATGTTGATGCTGTTATCATTTTCATTATTATTACTATTACTACCTCCAGTATTAATTTTGTTGTTTTCGTTGTCGTTACCACGGTATAGTGTACAACAACTGATACTTTCCGCTGATCTACAGACCACCTTCATTGACAAGAATTCATGTATCATGCAAACCTACGTGTGCTAAAGGAAAGCTTGTAGATCTCGAGCTGTGTAAATTGACAATACAAATTTGACTCAACATATTACCAGTTCGCCTGAGTAGCTAGTCAAAATCCTGGTGGTTTCAACTGATTCTATTCTCTGGGCTAAATAGAACCAGAACACCGTTTATAAGCTCGAGCACCAAACGACGGAAATGGCCATCTGATATTTTGACCAGTTGGCTACAGCTAGGTAGATTTAATTACTGAGAGGTGTGAGCGATATCCAATTACCCAGATGTAGCGCCAAGCCTGTGGAAGATCTAAATGGAAACAGTACTGTTTACTCTATGTGTTTTGTTTTAATATTCTTAAGAGCATTAATCATCAGAAATCCCTAGACCTAAATTCCAGGCTTATTCATAGTCGAAAGCAAAGCGTATTAATTACAAAAAATTTATGTTTTAAGATTTTATCGATCCACTATTAAAGAATAGCAGCTATTCTGAGGTTTCTTATTATATTATTATTTCCTTTAATTTCTAGAGGAACATAGGGCTTCAGCCGAACGTCTCCATTGCGTTCGGTTTTCTGCTAGAGTTTTCATCTGACTCCACTTCTGCCCACATGCTTTCATCTCCTCATATAACCTCCTCCATGTCACCGTAACCTCGCACTGACGACCAACTCACCGTTTTTCTTTCGGATTCACTCGAGCTATGGCTTGTCTAGTGATGTCACCTGATGGTTTCCTCAGAGTATGGCCAGCCAGTCCATCTGCAGTTCTTCTTGCCTATTTGTTGCACAATCGGTTCCAGCTCGTGTGGTTCGTTCATTACCAGAGATCCTGTTGCTGATCCTTTCTGGACATCTGGTCTTGAGTACTGAGCAAAGACAGTTGTTAATGAAGGTGTGTAGTTTGTCTGAGGTGCTCTTTTTGACGCGCCAAGTCTCTGATCCCTATAGTAAGTGGCATTGACTTCACTTTGGAGTTGAAAATCCGGATCTTATTTTTGATGCTGAGTGCTGTTGACCATCCTGAGGCTTAGGGTGATTGAAGTGTTCCACCAAATAACTTTTACAATCTTATGGGGTCAATGTGTTAAGGAAATTATAACTTAAATAAATTCTCACTTAAGAATGATAATTTAAGTTTGAAGGGGGAGAGTACTTTATTACCAATTTTATTTACTTTTCAACTTTTAGCGAGTAAAAACATCTGCGTTGTTGTATATAATTACATTCTTTTGTCTTGCATGTGACTCTTAGTAATACATAGTTCTTTTTTCCAACATATCTCATACCTTAAATAACCTATAAGTACCAATTATTAGAGCTAAATCCTACTAGTCAGCCGAAAAATGGAGATTGATTGGGCACAAGGTGTCGAGACCGTTGAGTGAAGTCGCGTGTCAGACCATCGTTCGAATAGAACCCGAATGGAAAACGACAAGGTGAGAGTCCGAGGCTAACATGGAGGGGATGAGAGCCTACAGGCAATCTTGTAGCCAGATAAGGAAGAATTCAGAAAGCAGGACCAAGTGGAGATTTGAATTTGTATAACCCTATGTTCTCCTAGAAAGATAAGGAAGTAATAAGGTGACCATTGATTGAGAAGACTTAACATATCTAGATGTCCTTCAAAATGTATTCAGTTGGCAACTTTTGTTTACTCTCCTAACCGATGTAGCTGGAATGTACATTCTGTATGTATATGACAACTGGTAAGAAAGTACAGTCTTGCTAAAACTCTTACCATTAACTTAACTCGTATTATTTTACAATGCTAATAAGTCCCTTAAAAATTTCTGGTGTTCAATGCTCAATAGTTATCTTTCCTTCTAAAATTTATTTTATTATATAGTGGTTATATTTACATCGATTGCATTCATTAAAACAAACCTGTGAAGAAGTAAATTCAAGTGGATTTATTAGTTTAACAGATAAATTTATACAAATGACTAATGATTTGTTAACAAACAATGAAATAGAAATTATCAGGGCTACTGATTGTTCTGAACTTGAAGATATTGAAAAATTGAAATTGGCGAAAATGAACTTGAAGTTATTCATTAGTTATGTTCACATCAAATGGGATTCATGGTTTACGTTAAAATCAAATTTTGAAGAAAGTGTTGCGAAGTTTAATAAAGCAGCTGAAGAAATGTGTGATGTAAGTTTCTTTTAATGAAAAAGGAAATTAATTTTACTTGTTAAACCTATTCATAAAATGAAACTATATTTGGTTAGCACTGATTATTGTGAAGACTTTTTGAACCAAAGGAAAATAGGTAAGACTCATGAAATTTCAGTGTAGATTCTGGAGAGAACTGACATCTCTGAAAGCCAGGAAGCACTGGACAGCTGTTTCGTCCTGGTTGAGGAATCTTCAATAGTTCACAGTCGTGACCTCACCAAGAATTCAGTAACCCTCGAATTCTAACTTCCATGAATCAATTCAACATAAATCGAATCCTCATCAGTGGCACTGGTTGATGGTAGAGCTATACCACATGAATTGACAGTAGTTAGAATTGAAAGGTCAGTGAAAAGTCAACAGGTTGGCCTCTTATCCTTAAGTTCATGGTATAAATGCTCTGTTGGGTCGTGAGTTTACACTGCCTAAGATTTACAAAGTAGTATGAAATAGTTTTACAGTACTTTGTGGTTTTCAAAGATTCTTTAACTGATTTCGGTTCATAGTGAAATCTAAATTCAACTTGATGAAAACTCTAATGAAGCCTAAAATCTGAAGAACTTATAAAGTTTTGACCCATTGGTAGTATTGGATAGGTGGACGTTTTAGAAGGCAACGGTGCGGAAACTCTTTATCCGCTATCAGCTTTATTTAATCAACATTTCGATTCACTGTCATTGATATACTGCACATATACAAATATGAATGTGAAGACCGTAAGTGAGTGAGACCTAAAGAAACCAGCAAACCCTAGTTTGTTGCTCTCTTGAGAGCCATTTAGTTTGTAGGCTTCACTTGATGAATGTTTTGAAGATAAGGGAAAATGAATACACATGAATCGCTGTTACTGATATAAAGTCATAAAACGGTTGTTGTTCCCTAACCATTTCAAAGGTAACTTACATTGAATGAATACCGCATACTATTGTAATCAGTCTAATTCTTCTATAGAGCATTCCAACATTTACATATCATCAAACGATTCCATTTGATATAGTTTTAAGAGTTAATCATCACGAATTGTGATAATATTTGTGTTGAATCGTCTTCACACTGCAGAGTGAGTAGAGATCCTTGTGAAAACATACCTTGTTTCTGAGTGTATCAATAATCAATTAAATATAAGTTGTGTTAGTGGTTTTAAACCGTACTACCGTCAACTGTTCACTAAACTCTTTGGATGACTAATTTTCCCCAATTTTCGAAGTTCACATTTACATACTGAGTATATTTAATTTTTACTTAATTTTATTTCTTATTTATTTAAATTTATTTTAGACATTTCCTCCATTTTGTTTACTAACTAATATGGAAAGAATGAACTTATAGCGAATTGGTGCATACCATATAATGATTATGCAGCTCCATTAAATTGTTCAATTCATGATGAAAACGCTGACAAATATTGTTTTAATAATTTACCTAACCGTGGATTAATTAATTTAAACAAATGGATTACTCGTTTGTTTCCTTTGTAATCAATTTAAATCTGATATGGTGTAAAAAAGAAAAGTGTTGGAAGGTTAGATATTTATTGAATTATTTTTCAACGTATTTTATCCCCAGTTTATGTATTGATGTACGAATACAATTACACTAGTATTTATGATGTATGCCTTCAAAGCCCTGATGATAATAATGACAAGTTTATTTAAGAAAATGCAATCGTACACAAAACGTAATTCCCAGAGTATTTTATTCTAACATAGTATTTACTCCTTCAGAGAAATCTGCAGCTAAAGTAATAATCAAGTGTTAGTTTGATTGGCTTCAAGCTGGATCACGGATCGTTCTGTATATCATTAATTAGCAGGAGTCAGAATTCCACAGCTATATGGTGCTGTCTCAGTGACTGATTGGTTATAGAGGTCGCTTAATGCCTTGAAGGTAATAGATTAGATCCCTGTGGAATTATGTGTATGTACTGCTGAGAAGCAAAAACTAGGATGAAACAACTGCCTCTCTGGTCTTCACTAGTTTTCTAACGGATCCATCGTGAAGTAGTATTGATATGTATGAAGTATGCTTAGAAATTCCGTAGTATTTCACTTTTAGTTTTTTTCGTACGATTCACAGACGTCACTGAATGATGGATTTTGGCAAATAGAATATTAGGTCTCAGTGATTTATTAGGCCTCCTCTTTCAGTCGAGAATATTTGTGGAAAATTTAAAGAGGCGTAAAATGTTTGGTTTCACTCAATTTCGTAAACTTTAATAAAGACTTCGACACCATTAGTTGGGAATTAATTTAGATATAATAGAGAAGATTTGTAGCTCAGGTGGATGATTTTGATGTGGTTTTGTTCTCTGAGCTGGATGGTTAATTTGCGAAGCTTTCATCACCCTACTGAGTGACATCTTCAGCGCATACTTCAATTTGAATTATTTTGGAAACTACTTTAACAATGTGGTGTGCTCGAAATCTTTATCAACCTCATTCGACAGTTATATGACAGTGCCACATGTCAGGCAATCCACAAAGGAAAACTTAGCGAAGCGTTCAAAGTGAATACAATTGTAAGACAAAGGTTGGCTGCCTATTATCACTGATGATGTTCTTAATTGTGGTAGAATGGGTCACGCAGGAGATCATAGGGAGAGGGAAGACAGAAATACGTTGAGCCAGCAAGAAGACTCTAGACGATCTGGGTTTCGCAGGTGATTTATGTTTAATGTCACGTAAACGCGAAGAGTTGCAGGAGAAAACCAACAAAATGACTAAAGAAGCAGGCAGCGGAAACAGGACTCCAGGTGAACATAGAGAAGAAGGAGGTGATGAAGATAACCAATCAACAGCGACAACGAATAACATCAGTCACCATTAACGGGAGAGACTTGACAGAGATTACTTACTTCACATATCTAGGGAGCATCGTTTCAACTGGAGGCGGACAACAAGGATGAAGGTATCAAAGCCAGCCAGAATCAGGAAATCAAAACAGATCTATATCACTCTGAAGTCATTTTGGGACTCTTCTATAAGCAGCAAAGAAAGTATTCGGATTTTCAACACCAGTGTGAAGTCAGTTCTTCTTTGCGGGTCGAACACGTGGCGCTCGCATCACGATAAGCATCTCCAAAAGGCTATTGCAGACTTTTATTGATAACTGCCTTCGATGATTCCATATTGATGACCAAATAACCAGGAAGAATCATCGACAATAAACTCTTGGAACAGACAAAACAAAAACCTTTTTGATCAACGAATATGTGGGGAAAAATAGAGATGGATTGCAAACATGCTGAGGAGAACTTCATATGATATCGCGTGCTAACCCGTCACTCGAGGGGAATTTGAATGGGAACTAATGATCTGAGCGTGTGTCCGAGGGTGACACAGAGGAGATTGTGTGAGGAGAGAATGAGAGACTGTGGGAGAACATGGGCCTAGCTAAAGAGGACCGCAGGAAGTTGGTCAAAATTTAGATGTACTGTTGCGACTCTATGTTCCACTTGGAACCCAAGCGAAAAATAATAGTAATAAAAATATTTGTAATCAGAAATTCAAAGACAAATGAATAAGATCTAAATTTATAGATGCATTACGTATCATTTAAGAGTGACGGAAAGGCAGGTATGATACACTGTCTGAAGGTCCTGAACTACAAGACAGAGCATGAGAAGGCATTGAAATGAGGTTAATATAAACCAAGGCTGGCGGAGGGAAAAATGAAACCGAACGGAATATAACAGAGATTGCATTGTCAGGTTACATCTTTGTTTGTTCTTTTAAACTGATTATATGCATTTGTTGTCAGCTGTTTTTGCTGGAATTATTTTTTCCATCTGCTTCATTACATTTTACAATATTATTGTATTTTACTTTTTAACTGTGATAAAAATTGTGTTCAGTCAGAGCGAATAAGCACACTGTACTACGATGATTAATATATGCTTGTATGTCTGTCAAAATTCGAATCAGGTTATCATCAGGCAACTTTTGGTAATATAAAGATGCCGTTAATATTGATGCGATCTCGTCAGACAGTGGGAAACGAGGAGACAGGATATCCTGGACCGACCGACGTGAAGAACCTAGAAGACCTGGATTTTGCGCCCGGATGATTTATGCTTGATGTCACACGAAATCGAAGACTTACAAGCGAAAACCGACAAACTGGTCGAAGAAGCAGACAGTGAAGACAGGACTCCAGGTGGACATAGACAAGACGGAGGTTATGAAAATAACCAACCAACTAACCAACAGCAGCATCAGCAACATCCAACGTCAATCACCATCAACGGGAGGGACTTGAAAGATGTTACTTCATTCATTCACTTATCTAGGGAGAATTGTCTCAACTTCAGGCAGGAGGAAAGGACGAGGATGTCAAATCGAGCGAGAATCAGGAAGGCGAGAAACACATTCACTTATCAACCTTAAACCAATCTGGAAATCTTCGTCACTCAGCCAGCATCAACAACAAAATTCGGTAGGATTTTCAATACAAACGTCAAGCCAGTTCTTTTATACGGATCAAAAACTTGGCGGGCGGGCGGGTCACAAAGAATATTTCCACCAATAGGCTATTGCAGACCTTTATCAACAACTGTCTTTGCTCTCTACTGAAGATCGGATGGCCGGAAAGAATCACCAGTAAGAAACTATGGGAACAATCAAACAAAACAAGAACCAATCGTCACCCAACAAATATGCAGGATAGAGTGGAGATGGATTGGACACTCGTGGCTGAGGAGGCCGCTGGGCGACATCGCGCGTGAGTCAGGCCATTGCTTCAGTAGAACCAGGCCGAAAGAGAAACGGCGAGTGGGACGTCAGTGCGAGGGTGAGTGACATGGAGGAGGTCGTGTGAAGAGGAGTTGAAAGAGTATGGACTTACATAGATGCAGGTGAAAAGTACAGCAGAAGGAAGACAGAAGTGGCAAGTGGAGACGTGCAGTTGAAGGCCTATGTTCCACTAGGAACCCAAGGGAACAATAATAATAATAATCTCAGACAGCCTTTAGTGAGTAGCTTGTTACTGATATAGTGGATGATGAAAATTTAGATCGTGACACAAGTCGAACCATCAGCCTCCAGTGAAATGATGACCATGTTAATAGTTGGGTCTCGCAGTTGAACTGGTAAAGCAGTGAACAACTCCATAGGAGGCAGGTGGTTTGAATCCCCCTACGAGTCAGGTTTTCATTCGTTTAATTTTTTATCTGGTTCTGGCTTTTCAGATATAAAAGACTACAGAAGGGGCTTAATAAAGGAATAATAGAAGGTTGGAACTAAAATGAAACGAATTAGAACACCTTCCGGATAAATAAGTAGTATAGATGTGAGATCACATTTGATGAGTGACATGCGTTGACAATAGCCTATTTAATATATTATTTTGTATATGTTTAGAAAGTATGTTTCGCAAATCGCTAACGAAGTTAAGGCATTCAAATGCAAATTATGCAGATATCTTCAAGAGTTTAACAGAGTGAAGCCTTTTTGAAACTAGTGGTGAAACCTCTCAGATTTTTGTTTTACAAAAACAACGTATAAAGACTATGGAAACGAAATGAGTACAGAATAGGCTTCTATAAGAAATGTGGCTAGGGGTCGTTTGAGGAGTTTTGACGGTAAACGAATGTATGCACTACCGAAGAGTCCTGAAATTTGGCGAAACAGCTGCTTATAACTGCCTCATTTCCGATGATTCGCTAAATGTTGTCAGTTTGTGATGAAAGACAACTTCGAATCAGTCAGATCCCCATACAACCACACTTAAAAATGCATGTATATGGTGGTAATCAGTTTTCAGATGTTTGCTGGACCTCAGTCAAGTAGGTAAAAGTACAAAACATATGTTGTACTGATACTGGTCGTCTAAAATAAACCATCATAATAATGCGCAACATATGAGTCTATCCCACTTAAAGTACTATCTTTGTTTGCAAAGTGGAATTCTCCTAGATCTTCTGGGAACAACTTCCAGCTGTGAGATTAGCAGTGAATTTCTACTTTTTGACTTAATCACGAATTCAAGATTAGTCAGAAACTGACTTCAGTTAAATAACCATTGAAAACGAGAGATTTATAGATAGCTGTTGGGCCCTAGTTTAGGACACTTCAGAGTATACACCCATGACATCATCATAGATCAAAAGTAAGACCTTCAGGTTACAAAGCTATCTTACTGACCATCCAGCAATTGAGATGGATTTTAGTGGCCAATCAGTTCTAACTTATGCCAATTCTTGAACTTTAAGCATTCTGAGAAAGGTATCTTTGAAGTGTTAGAAGCCAGAATCTAGTCTTCCTGAAAAAAATATTGTCTAGTAATTCTTAAGACACTGTTGTTCAGTAATTCCCTGTGGAATTCCTTGACTATATGAGTGTTACACTATTTATTCTAATATATTTCAATATCCAATTCCAATGTCACTTGAATTTTTATTGGAAATATTTATTCATCTGATAATCTGTTTTAGGTAACTGAAGTTATTAACGAATTCAAACAAACTATCCCATTAATCCAACCAGTTAAATGGATGCTGTCAGTTGGTCAGTGGTTCACTCAATTTTATTCCAACTTACAACTAACATTAATAAGGTTAACACTGAATTCAATACTAGAATTAAAGGAGCATAATCAATGGTTAAATGATTCCTTGGGAAAAGAACAAATGTTACCTGTGGTAATATTAGAACTAGCTGAAAGAATTATTGGTTGGAAGAAATTAGAAGAGATATTCGACAAAGAGAATAAATTTGATGAGCTAGATAAAACTATGTAAGTGATTGTTTAGAATAATTTTTATATAAGTTGATTATTTCACTTCTGCTTGTGTGAACACAGACGATTTCTTTCGTTTTCAAATGTTTGCTTGATAGATAAGCGTTTAAATAATGTATCTTATAGTCCGTACTACTATCTATGAAGTTACATAAGATCTAATGGAATAGGTGTTGACAAAATCTCAGAATGGGTACACAAAGCAGATTTTTGGTGTTTTCCAACTTACGTCATCTTACATAAAAGCGTGATTTCCAGTTTACTACCAAGACACATACGTACAAGTCATTAATTCCCTAAACTTTATGGCTGAGATGTACAGTTACCTCTTGTTGTTGTGGAAACCAGTAAAGGACTTCAAGACATGCAATTTTTGCGCTACTTTATGCTAATTTAAACATCATCCATGTCTGTATTTCTACTGATATTTAAAAGCAAAGGTTTGTTTACTTTTTTCAGTGCAATTGACATCAGTACCATGTTTTCAGCATAGCTAACTCATATAACAAAATATGCTGTTCTGTTTGAAGTAAAACAGGGGATAAATAGTATATGAACTAGCCTACATTGTTTGAAATCCTAAGGCATGGCGCTCTGTGATTCGAAATAATGTGTGATGAGGAGATTAGGCTGCATTGGGGGGAAACAAACATTCACCATGATGATTTTGAGATCAGATGGAATGCATTAGCTACCATAAAAAAGCCATGATGTTGTCTAGAAAATTGGATATCTTCGCATCAATTAGATTCACTTCCTCACTACGTTGTATACTCACTTCACAACCAGTATTTTTTGATGTGAACAGTCGAAATCGAATATCGTCAAACAAAATCAGATATAAATGTTACGGGGCAAAAGTAATAATAGGAAGCAAAAGAAGTGTGTTTTACGGAATCAACCATCTGATATGACTTGCAATGAGATTTAGCAGACTGCATGATATGCGAACTTACTAATACTACTACTTAAATCGCTAGTCACAATGTCGATCACAAGAACATCAATACTACTGGAGTGCAAAAACAAGAAGAGAAGACAGACTATCTGTGAAAAGCTTCTATGGTCTCGAAAATAGTCGAAACAGTTGATACCAACGTTATATATATATATATATATATATATATATATATATATATATATATATATAAAATTTTTGGTAGTAACTAAATCCATTGGGGAATTTATATGGTTAACAATCATTGCGAGTTAATAATAATTATTATTATAATTTGCTTTATTCCAAAACAGTACTTGTGATGCAGAATGGAATTCTCAGCATTTTACTACAGTATTGCATCCAATTAGTACATTATCAATAAATAAAATTCTACATAGATTAAGGGTAATCTCAGTTAGTTTTGACAACAACATATTGGCATGTCGGTAGCAAAGCCAAAATTGAACAGAGTGTTTGAAGGTGTTAGAAAAGTAGATGCAAGCATATTCACTGGCGTAAGCGATAACAAAAGGTCGAGATAAACAGAGTGTGAGAGAACGAAGAAGAATGTTTTAAGTAGAGTTTGTAAGGAAGAAAGAAAGCAGCACATAGCAGAAAAAATAAGAGGAAGAAAAGGAAAAGAAAGAAAGAAAACGTTGTACCTATAAATGATATGAGTTGGAAAGACGAAATCCAATTGTTCTACTGACTATTTAATAAGTTAAAGGTTTCAAGCCTAATGCTTTCTTTGTTGCACAGAACACGAGCTAAGTAAGGTATGGATGAGGTTTTGTACTTACTAGTGAGGGCATATAGTTTCCTATATAGGCTTCTAGTTTTCCCTGAAGAGATACAAGGGGAGGGTTGTGAATGAAGAGGGTGGTGTGAGTTAGAATAAATGGATTTAGCCCATTTTTCACATGAGTTCAAGTGCCTGTCAACCAGAATATTAACAAGCAGGTTAAGTGGCACGCTGTTCACCCTGCTGACAACCTTTAACATCCTGAGTAATAAGGTATAGTCTTTCTTCAGTAGCCCTGGAAAAACTAAGGGGGGACAATAGAGAATAAAAAGCAGGATGCAAGAGTTAACGAATCGTAAGAGTAAGGTTTGGTTTATACCAGAATGTCTTCACTTCTTGATGTAGAAGGTAAGACGGAATATTTTCTTAGAAATCGTCAAGATATGAGACGACCAGGAAAGATCAGCAGATAGAATGACGCCTAGGTATTTAATTTCAGACTTGGTTTCTATTTTAGTGCCATATGTGTTGCACACCTCATGAGTTCTAACCAGTTTGTTTAAGTCAGACTTATGCCTAAAGTGTGGGAAGCACAAAAGCCTCCAAAAGTGGATGAAAACAGAATTTCAGGGTTATAAACCAATATCAGGCAAGAGTTAGTCAACATTAAGAGTATGCGACAAAGACATACAATTCAGGCCCTACGAAACGGCCTAACCAAAGGATCATATAGTTCAAAGTAGAGTTACAATAAATTATATAAAATGTCGGGGATATTAAAAATTTGTTCTGCTGAAGAAATAAATCAAGTAATTATATTACAAACCTTCAACTTTGTGTTTATTCAGCTTCCAAACACAAAGAAACTGATGACCGAACAAAATGTCTGACGGTTAATAAAGGTGTGAATTCAAACAAATAATATACAATAGTTCAGGATGTACAACAAATTTGTCTGGTTAACATGAAAATGAAAAAAAGTATAAATTGTAATATAAGTACTTCATAGCACATTACTAAATTAACACTTCCTATCAAAAGAACGTTAGTTTCTTTTAAATAGCGATTTATAATGGGGCTTGTTCAGGTTGATGCACTCAGTATCAATACACAAACAAACTATTATATCATACTTGTAAATTGACTACTAGGGCTTAAAAAATACGTCAGGCACCCATCTGGTACAGTTCTTAACTTTGTCCTGCATGATTTATAGCAGTACTTCCAGATACCTCCTTAGTGTTACTCTGCTCGGTCCGGAATAGTCTGCATCCACTGTAGGGAGACAGAAGAGTCGTCCATAAAAACTTCTGGCTGTCGGAATTAGTGTCATTAACTTGTACTCCGATTAATTTCTTTTATAACTCTGAAGTTTGATTTAGCTTATCAGTGGCTTTGTTGTTTTACTGTACAGCAAAATATGCTAAAAGGTCATTGAGGAGTTTATGGTGAATTTTTTATGAGGTATTAAATTTTACTCTGAAAAGCAAATGATATATCTGCCTGGATGGGCTTCGGTGTTGGTCGAAGTTTGCCAAGCACATTAAATGTGTTGTTGTATGTATCGATCTTGTTAAGATTTGTAATAAAGAATTTGAATGTCTATTTTAAAAGGAATTTTCCCTATTACTTCCTTGGGTTCCGAGTAGAGCATACGGATTCAACAGTGCGTCTCGACTTTGTTCTGTTCCTTGAAGTTCTCTTAAAATGGCCCCACAATTGTCTATAAGCCATCATTTTCTCCCCATACTATGTCCTCCATGTCACTTTCAGACCCACGCCCAACTCGTCGTTTCCCACTCGGATCCCACTCAAGTGCCTAGAACGCAGTTTCATACGACCGCCTCCACAGCGTATGTCAAGTTTATAGCCATTTTTCCTCCAGCACATATGTTAAGCAATAGTTTGTTGGTTTATTAGTTCCCAGAGGTTCCAACAGATGTTGAGTATCTGATGAGGGCAGTCGGCAATTTATTAGAAAGTTTAACAAGAAAAGATCAACAGTACTCTTTGGTAAATGAAACAAAGAAGAACTGCGCTTGTAGTTGTATGGTTGAATACTTAAGTTATTAAAACAACTTCTTTTATTGAAGGATTTCACTGAATTTACAGGTAAATAGATTAGTCAGAATGATTTTCACTGATATTTGTGTTAACATGCGATTTAATGTTTTTTCCCTTCTATTTCTTAATAAGTGAGCATTTTAAAGAAAAACTGGAAATACTAGTGTACTATTAAATTACTCATTTGGCTATGATAAACAACTAACTTCAAGAATTAAACATTTAACATGTCAATTTTTATGGGGCACAATTTTAGGATTTATTCATTTAGCACAAGGTGAGCTAATTGACTTGTAAACTCCTGATGTATCGTACGGAGTTGTATATTCTTGTTTTTAAAATTATTAAGGAATGTTAGATATTCCTGAAACCTTTCAGATCCAGTTGAGATACTTTGAAAGTTTGAGAAAAGAAAAGTATTATATGCATAGATATCAGATAATTTAATGTAGTAAATCCAGAAAGTTCTGAAATATATGGAGATTTCTTCTTAAACAGTGAACTTCACGTTATACATTTCATTGTATATCTTATTTTGTTTTCATGGAATCAAGGATCTATCAAGGATCAAGACTTTACGCAAATGCCAGTAGCACTGTTATGTCACTGATTCTATAGAGAAATGAATAAATATATTATCTATTTGACAGTTAGATGGGAGGCCTGTGTTATAATTTTAAAGTGGTTTAACCTGGAAAACAAGTGGTTTCCGAATATATGTGCGTTCATCTAAGAATTTATGAAAAAGGTGAATATAGCAACTCATAGCTTGAAGTTATGAAACTTTTCTTGATATTTTCAAAGATAATGAAAACAAGTTAGTAAAAAGAAAACTTAAGTATTGTTTGTGTATTTGTCTGTGGTCTGAACTCAGGGAACCGATCTTTGAGTCCTACTATATAGCTGACAAAACTTCCTTGAGACATACACAGTAACAAAACGCTTCAAAGACAGAAAAACGACAGTTTTCTGTCGTAAAATTTGTGTTGTTCTACTCAACAGTAATAACATCAAAAACCAAAAATTACCTCGATATCGCCGGAAACGTTAAACTTTAAGCACTACCAATTGACACATGACCTTGAAGACAGCAGCCATATGATAAAGGCGATTTTTGTGTATAAAATGCATATATTAATGAAAATAGTGAATTAAAAGTCATGGAAGTGTTACACAGGAGTCCAGTTTCTGATGTGTGACAAAAATAGCTTACTGTTTTGGATCGGAGTATCAACAGAGCAATTTAACCACATATCGTGTATGCAACTATCTAGTCTTCTAACCCCAGCACTAACCCTAATCTTTTATTACCCTAACCGTAACGAGAAAATATCCCTAAACTAACCCTAATCTATTTCAAACCAGCTCTAATTTCGCTCTCATTAGGTTAGCCTAACCCTACTTTATCCCTAGCCTTAAACTTAATCTTTCCAAAGCCTAATCTAAGACATGCCAGATATCCTATTTAGTAACGTAACACTTCAATAAGCATATTTTATTGATGATTACAAAATTATTTACTAGATTTCACTTACTTGTTCACTGAATATTTCAAGGTCACTGGTACAGTCGAGCTTCACTGGTATTTACTGCTGCTTGAAGTTTAACTTGGACATTGTGACGCTACCCAGCTATACAGACAATGTTATTTTCCAAGTATAAAAACAAGTACTGCAGAGAGAAACTGACTAACCTAAATTCAACTGTAAGTATTACCTGAGAATCAAGTATAACATTGCCAATAAAGTAGGATCAAAACCTGTGTCTGGAGGAAACACACACTAACGCTTCTCGTGGAGAGTTTGGGATCGGAATGACCTTGATTCACTGAAACGAAATCATATCGTAAAGCAACATAAAATCAACATTTCACACACCCAGAAGTAGAAGCATTAAATTTAGTGATTAACAGTGACCAAGATAAATGATAGGGATGAAGTCAGCATATGATATGCAAGTGTCAGAACAATGATAAAGAGTGCAGGAGAAAGAGGGATAATAATTACACAGTTTGTTGAATTATCGAAATAAGTATATATTTATATTGTAGATGGTCGTTCAGAAGGAATATTCCAAACAGGTGTTCCTTTATAGTCTGTACAGTAAACAAGTACGTATTACGTAAGGTTATTTATTTACTTTGTAATATTTAGCAAACATATTACTTTCAGAGATTTGGCTTACCACAGATTGACCGCTCAAATTTTGAGTACTTGAGGTTGAAAAATAAACAAAATCAAGCTAAAATCCAGCTCACAAGTTACAAGTGCCCACTAAGATGAAGAGAGAAATTTCGTTGATGACTTATAATGAAATGCTGACGATTGGTTTGTGATAGTAGTTGAGGTTAAAGAGTTATAGTGTAACATATGAATTACTTAACTAAAAATCTCTACTTGGAAAAAGGTATATTGAGAGTTATTCGTTGATTTATTCCAATCGATTTCTGGTACATTGACGTGGTGATCGGGTTTGGCTATTACAACGACCAAACGACCTGTACTAGTTGAAAAAAGTGCTTCTACTGCTGTTCTAGAAAGGTGGTTTGGACAGCAGTTAAATTGAAAGTAGTCACCATCATAGTATAAGTCATTTACGCTATGCTGAAGTTCTGAGGACAAATTTCTACGGTTGACAAAGAGGAGTATAACTGCAGAACAGTGTTCTGCTGTCAAGTGACCAACAAGCCTACTACATTGTCTTTACCCTCTGGTAGATAGGAATTAGAAAGTGTCAACCTCAAGAACTGTACAAGCTGATCTACTCTAAGGTGGTCTATTCCTAGTAATAACATCATCATACGGACATGATCCTGAAAACCTCTTCAGAGAGAGAGAGTGTGTGTAACCAGCCTCAAATAGTTGTCCCTTGTGATTTTCAGTCATGCAGTACTAATCCTCTTTCATTCGCTCATTCAGTCATTATTTTGTTTGTAAAACTATGCTGGAGTTTTATTTATTTATTAAAGCGAAAGGTATTGCTACATTTACTGTTCAATGTGAGCCTAAAATAGTCATTTAAACAAGCAGTAATAACCACTCAGCTGAACCATACAAAAATTCAGTGGAATGAATTTTGAAGACTGTTGAAGGTGAATTTCGTCAGCCTATTCTGTTACCGTATTTAGAAAATTTATATCTGTACATACATTTAAGTTACTGGATAGTATAAGGTGCGTGTCCCAAGGTTTTAAAGATGGTTGAAGTCTGTGTACTGAATATTCTACTCGGACATAAAGGACAGACCTTAATAATCACTTGAAATTCATGGTGAAAATACCCTGACTATAAAACGTATAAAACAAGTTTGAATCTTCAACAGAACATTAGTTTTTTCTTAACATTAGGGGTACGCTTTGTTGATGAGTAGTGATGTTTTACTAACCTATATACAGCATGGCTAATCGACAATGGGTTCCTAACATCCAGTGCTGTAAGTATATCATAAAGTGAAGAAAAAAATAAAAATATGCTTCTGATGGTTCTGTGGACAATGTCAATGAAACTGATAATACCACAGAGTTTTCATGTATTGAATTGATTTTAATGATGCTTGGTAATGTTGTTGCTTTTGGGGTTTCACACTATAAAAAGTCCACCGAAATGGATTTTTAAAACTGTTGAGCATGGGAATATCAAATATGTATTGTTTTAAGAACTCTCTTTCTAATTATATTTGGACACATTGTATAAGACAGTGGTAAAACTGGTAATTGTCTATTTACTGAGGAGTCCTAAGACAGACAAAACTCCGTGTTCAGGTTACATTACTGATTGAGTATTAATCCTTTAAACATTATTCCTCATTCTTATAGATTTAAAAAAGGATGCAAACCTTAATGAAAATAGCTTTACCTGGCTTCAACTGATTAAAACACAACTTTTATCTTCAAGAAGTAATAATCATGTCGATAGAGAAATAAAACAATTTGAAGAAATACCATTCATTGGGATTAATCAATTTTCAACAGTGCATGTTTATAAATGGGACAATCAAAGTCTACTATTAAATAATTGTAACACACCATATATACCATTGTTAAATACATCTACGGAATTAATCCAGCTAGGATCTGCTTTAATCAATCATGAAGTAAGAGAATGAAAGCTTTCAGTATAATGTTTTAAAGATGTTATTGATGAGCTCGTGAATTGCAAATCTTAGTTTCAGATTTATATATGTATATATAGATACATATGACATTTGTCGGAACTCATTTTCCCAAACCGAAGTAGATCAAAAACGTTAAATCCTTTTCCAGTGGCTGGATGACCAAGAGGCTGTCCTTCAACCTAAAGGTCATGCGGGTATACTTCTGAAGAGTTTCAAACTAGTAGGATTAACTGTCCAGTACTTCCTGGCTTTCAGAAGTTCTCTAAATGACTCTAGTTCATGATCTAAGTTGAAATCGGTCAGATTTCTGGTAATCAAAATTTTATTAAAAATTAAAAATTTGGGACACTGTTTGTAAGTTGGTATTATTATCATTATTATTTCTTTGTGTTCCAGGTGTAACATTGCATTTTTATCCTACTCAGTTCCTTGCCTTGAGTTTATGGAACTCTATCACTGACCATAAGCCATGATTTTCTCCTTATGTGGTCTCCTGTATGTCACCATCGGACGTCTAAACAGTCGCTTCCTACTCAGGTTCTGCTCGAGGGTTTCACTTGAATTTCTCCTTGATGTATGTCCACTTCACCTCCGTTTCCTCCTGCTTATTTGTTTGGTAATAGTTGCTTGTCTGGCTAGTTCGCACCACTGGAGTTCCATGCTGCTAATCCTTCCTGGCCATCTGATCTGTAGTATGGAGCGAAAACAGTTGTCGCTGAAAGTCTGAAGTCTGTTAAAATGACTTTAGGGATGTGTACTGACTTGATATTGGTGTTTACACTTCAGACTTGTTCCTTTTGCTAAGTGATTTCCTTTCTTTAGCATTTTCTAAAATTAATGGCATGACTACATCCACTGAGGTTGTAGGGGACTTGATAGCGAGCATGGTAACGGTACAAAATATTTGAATAAAAAATCTAATTTAATAAAAGAATATTGTAGCAGTAAATTATAAAAATACAGTTAACCAGTTATGAAAGTTAATGATTACTTAATCGCAGTTACAGTCAACTGCTACAAATGATGACTATCACCCACAGATCTGTCCCAGGGATGGAGGTGTGACCACAGGTAGAATTAGTTTACCAGCTGGAAAATAATCTTTGGACAAGGATGGGATATTTCTACAAATTCTAAAGAATACAACGTGGTTATTGGTGGAGCAGGAGGGCAGTAGGAACTAGTGAGAAGGAGGAGTGAAAGGCAGCATAACTATATTTCCGGTTGAATACCAAAGTTATATATTGTTGATGAGGGAGTCAACTACACAAAAATTATGTACAATGTGTCCGATTTTAACACTTACCAAAAAACCCTACAGATCTATTATTTTGAACTCTACCAGGTCTCTGGGTCTGTTTTTGTTTCTTCTGAGAGAATTCCATCTAGTGCTTTTGTATTTTGTTTAACATTGACATTATGGCCTTCAAGACTTCTATTTTTATCAAAACGTCGGTGTTCACTTTTTTATTCTCTCTGCTAGTAGTATTTCCAGACAAGCCGTAGGTGATGATTGATTGAGGGGGCCTTTGAAGTGATCAACATGGAGCTTCCTTTGTTTCATCTCTTTGAGTTTCTTCCACTAGTTTTACCTGTGTCCATATCTCCAGTTATCTGATATGATGCTGTGAGGTCTCACTTACTTGTGGTCTGCTCTGCTTCAGTTTCCAATGTGTCGTGGAAATGTCTTTTGTCTTTAGTAGCATTTTTCTTTACTCCCTCCTCCATAGAGAACCATCCCTTAAGCTACCTCTTCTTCTTCTTCCTTAAGTTGCCCATATATGTTTCTTCCCAAGCTTCTGTTAGACAGAAGGCAGTAAAGAAAGCCAGTGTGAAATGTTTTCCCCTGTTTCATTTCTATTTGTCCTTTTATTTAATGCCCACAGTTATAAATAGTTTGATAATTAATAAAGTAGAAAGTGAAATGTATTGTACTATATATATTCTTTGTATTTTGATTAGGTTCTGGGAAATATAAACTACAAGTATGATAAACATATCCACAAGTAATTGAATTGTTCTACGATATAAGCCTTTGACTTTAGTGGTGTAGTAAAGCTGGGGTCTCATAATTACCATCGTTTGAGTAGGTTAAATCACTAGTTGAAGGTCGAATAGTATAGTTCAGTGCTTTTTGCACACCATAGTTCCGTAAAGGAGCTATGAAATAACCTTACGGATCTATTCCTTAGGCCAAAGATTGGAATCGTTTGGTGTTATCCGACACTTTATGTTCCACAGTGAACGTGTAGTAATCAAGCCTGGTAGTAGCATCAGGACCAACTACATTGAGACGTTAGGCATGGTTCTTTCTCTCGGATAAAATTTGTCCAAGTGTTAAATACGCCTCAAATCCTAATATAGTTCGTACTTAAGATGTTAGCAAGTCTGTTGGTGAAATGTTCTTGAATAAATGCAAAAAGCTTCGAGAATATCAGTCTGCAGTTCTTACTTTATAGAACTCGACTTCTGATATAATCAAATTTAAGTGATCTTAGCATCGGAAGGATGTTCTGACATTTCATAGAAGAGCCGTTCATATGGACTGATCTAACTGAGACAGTCAAGTTTTGGTCAATGACTTAGGTCTTATCAAGACCTTTCATGTTACAAGGAGAATACGTAAACTGTTAAATCACTTCATCGATTGGTTCATAACGAAATCTCCCCTGAAAAAAATTCACTTCACGGAAATCCAAGTAATGAAGATACAGTTTAGATGGATTGGTCAATAAGGAGAAACCAGTGTCATATATATAGTTCACACTATTGGCGTTGATTGGCAGCCAAGTTTGCAGTGTGGCGACTCATCGTCACGGTGTACTTCTCATTGGTGTTAAGTGGTTAGAGGTAATCAGCAGGAAGCCTGGCTTTCTCACTTATTGGTACTTGTGGGCAGGTGTATTTATCTCCTCAAAGGGACTGATTTTGTATTTTAGTGCTAAGGAACTACAGAAATCAACAAATGATCAGCTTTGACATCTTTGCAACATAAAAATTTTAGGATTTTCTGCATGAATGTTAAGTAAGTTATTCCGTATGGTTCAGAGACTTGGAGCGTCAAGAAAACCATTTCCTAGATGCTTCAGGCTTTTATCAGCAGCTGTCCTTACTCCACACTGAAGATCATAAGATCACAAAGAATTAGCAACAGGAACTATGTGAATGAACCTACAAAAAGCCTACCAGTCAGGGAGTATGCGGAAGAAAATGGAGACAGACTGGACACACTCTGAGTAGATCGTGGAATGACATCGAGCACTAAGTCCTCAAGTGAAATCCGAATAGGAAAGGATGAGTTGGATGCGGGCCTAAGAGTGACATAAAGCAGATCCTGTGAGAAAAAGATAGGAGCTAATGAGCAACCTTAGAGCTACCTGAATACGTTTGTAGTGAACAAGATCAGACGGTGAGGTTCTGCTGAAGCCGTATGTTCCATTCAGAACCTAAGGGAGTAATTGGAATTTACATAAATTGTTTCTTCTTATATGATGGAAAGAAATCTTCTGAGCACAATTATTTTACTTTTTATATACTTTACTTAAAGTTTGGACTATTGATTGGCCCAAATAACTGTGGTAAACAGACAACGATTCGTCAACTTGCTTTCATACTTGGTCGCCGTCTTATAGAATTCTCTAATCTGCCTTTTAATAATAATCTTAAAGAATTTGAAAGGCAATTAAAAATTGATTTGCTGCATTGTGATCGTATCGGGGGTTTGCTTTCAATGATGAATATGCATGTGAGTATTTACTTCTATATTAGTTGTTTTTATCAATTGAATGGTCATTTTTATTACTGGTTGGATTATTCTAAGAAGCTTTAATTGACTGGATTTTTGTGTTCAGCGTTTATATCGTAGTCACACGTTCTTTGGTTTTGATGGCTTACTTATAATAAGGCCATTAAATTTACTAGTGACCTCTGTGTACACGAAGAGACTCTAACTCAGTTTACCTTCAATCACCTGATATCAACAATTCAAAGTGCAGCGTGATGGGGAGCCATCTAAAATAGTGGTCACATTGCAAATGTGACAGATAGAATTCAGTCTGCACCAAACATAGGACTAGACACATCACACTAGTTACTCATTAGTGTCCAATCAAATCTTCTTCAACTTCATCTTACAATAAATATATCAGCTACACTAAGACTGGATAAAGAATCTGTTGGGAAGAGGCAAAACACATGGAATTATCAAGTTATTATCATGTCGTTGACATGGATTTGTTTCTGCTTTCTGATTGGACGCTTGCACAATTCCAAACTCTCAACCGGATTGGTTGATTTCCAGTCTACCTTATTTTTGTATAAATAAAGTCACTTTTGTTATAAATAAATGATTCTGGTTTTACCGCTGACTCTCGCGTGTTCTGCTTTACCAGTTAAGTGTGCACTGGTCAGTAGTTAAGCAGTTACCTCGTGACAAAGATTTCAGTATCATAACAGAATCCATCAAGCAAGAAGAGAATCTCAATAGGATATAGACAGTTCACTGCTCATAGATCGAGATGCAGAACCGATAGACAACCTCAAATTGTGTTATATAGTGCACATGATTGGCTGAGTGTTTTTAGGAAATACAAACCGTATTGAAACAATGGAAGCTGTAACACAGATGTAAAAGATTTATTTCGGAGGGTAATTTGTTGCTAAAAGCTGATAACAATTTCTGTTTCTCAAGATTTACTGAGTGTTAATAACCTTGATATATGAATAAAACCTGTGCACTGTGGTAAAGTGTAATTTCATTAATTCCATAATGTTAATAATCTTGTGTTATTGTGTGATACATTTAGACTGTCAGTCCCCAAATTTTCTTACTAACTCAGCAATCAGTAGTGGTTTTAGTTCATAGATTACAGTGGTAGCTCACATCCTGGTAAATGGGGAGTTGCAGATATTGTAGGTTGTATCAGTGTCATTTTCTCACTACGGTTGTTTTATTCCTTCACGTTCCCAGTGGAACATAGGGCCTCAAGCTAAAGGCTTGAAATTTCGGCAGCTGTAGTGTTTTTTCTTACAGGATGGGGTTGCTAGCCTCATGTCCAACCTTTCATCCTTACCAGTCTTACTACTGGCTTAGCGAGGTGAAGGAGTGCGTCAGCTGGGGATCGAACCGCGGACCATATGCATGGTCGGCGATTGTCCTAACCGCTATGCCACCGACGCAACCATCTTTTACCTTAATTTAAACCGAATACTGCTTCAGATGACGTAACACGCCGGAGACAGTAGGTATAAATGAGAAAAGTATACCTCAATCACGTAAGTCGATGAAATTTTGCCTTGCCACCTGACTCATTTGTCTTTATCAGAACCCCAGAATTAACCTTTATACTGTCAACTTGATAAGTGTTCCAGACACCGTCGACATTGAGAAAGAAAACGTACACCATTAAAATTATTTTTTGAGTCGACGTGTTTTCTAGTAATGCAGGAAAGATTCTGTACACTGCTTTCAGTTTCTTGACAACTCACCAGGACCACAAATCAGCAGAATATTAATAGGTCTTCTAGAGCCATGTTGACATTTCATAGACTACCAACTCACAAAAACTAATGCGTTTCCCTATTAGTTACGTTTATTTGATTTGACACACAGTGAAACAGAACCAATACTTGGATAACCTTTTGAGCATACTTTATTGTTCATTATTATATCAGTGTGATTACATGAATTTTATAAACTACTTCACTACCTTACTACCGGATCTGATCATAGTAGTGAACAGTATTTAGTTTGCAATGCAGTATCATTCTGAGTTGATACAATTTATTTAGGGATGATAAGTGGTAGTGACAAGAGAGTTAACTTAGTTTTATAACCTTAAACATGATTCTTCATCATGTATCTAAAAGAATTCACCATCTAACCAGGTTTTATTAGGCAATTAAACAAAGATTAGCAAGACAATCATTGAAAATAAAGGAGCATTTGACGACTGATTCATTATAGTTTAGGATAATCAGAACTAATAATGAGAAGTTGTGGTTTTTAGGATCTACCATGTCAGATGTACAGTGGATGCCTATCGATGGCACCAGTTGGCGCTATTTCGAGCGAATTCATAGAAGTTGAAATTATGGGTCACTGAGTTCCACCCTGATGAATGAATAGTCAATGAATGACCTCAGTCCAGATGTCATGGATTCGGGATTTGGTTGGATAATGCGTGCTCCCAGCTGAGAGCTCCTAAACTAGGACGCAATGGCTGTCTAGTCAGTTTGAAACAAGCAACTTCGTGTTGTTTTTATGTCTTAATTGCTGACCGAGTTCTGACATTAAGATAAAGGAGACTTTGAAGTACTCTGAAGTGAAGTACTCGTTAATGGCAGCATCTTCTTCACACCTGATATGGTGGATTCTATAGGTCACACTTTCCCATTATTAGTTCTGAAGAGTCTCAAAGTGGGATAAATCAGTGTTCTATTGCTTCTTCATTTTCAGTGACTCTTTAACTGATGTCAGTTCGTATTGAAATCTACACTGAAATGAAAAATAACGCTTATTACTCCAAACAGATTCAGTAAGATAACATTTGAAGCAAACTAAGGACTGAAAAAAGTGGTTAGGTGTTGCTACTCATTTTTTACATTATTAGTAGTATATCTTACGGCGAAGCTCATAATTCATATTATATTCAAAAATATTGTTACATACTTAGTGAACATAAAATCCGATAGGCAGACTTCGTCGATACTCTTATAACTGAAGTGTATAAATGATAAATTAATTCATACAGATAAATTTCATTATTCATGTTCCATTTGTAAAGAACATTTTACAATCACGAATATTTATTTTTACAAAAAAAAACAGAATCTTGAATTCGGAAAGTTAGAAATTGTGATAAATTGTTTGAATGAAATACAGAAATGCCTGTCTGTGAAAACTGACAAAAGTGAAGTGAGTACTTTTAAATTTATCTTACTGTTTTTTTATTGGTTTTACTTTCTGAATGGAACATTGGGCTTCAAGTTCCTAAAGTTTTAGTATCGGTGGTGTTGTTTTTACCGAGGTAGGGTTGCTAGGCTTATATACAACCTCCCCTCTATTCTGGGTTTACTGCAGGCTGGGAAACTAGGTGGTGTACACTGGCAGTCGGATACGAGCTACATGGCTGGTTAGCGAGGACTAACTACACAGTTATGCCCTTCATTTATTGAAAAATGCTAATCTAGGAAGCTTTTTATTTGTGATATCGAGAATTAGTTAAACGGATACTGATGTCGTGGTATCTAAAGCTTTTTTAAAATTTGAGTCAGACAAATAACTCAATAAGGAAGAATTTAGCATAAACTTTAAGTAATTTATGTTGTATTACAGACCTAGATGACGTGCAACATTCTTTGAGCTACTCAGAGTTTATTCCTGTCATGTGGCGAATTATTAAAACGTTTTTAGAATGCTAAGTGTATTAATAGCAGTAAAGCTGATCGCTTCAGTGTGCAGTGTGGAGTGACAATTCTGTGTCTAGAATCAATTTCAATTGGTTTTGTTATGCAATACTAATAGAAAACATTAAAAATGTACCGTACGACGGACATCATGGCAAAATATTCCAAGAAACTAATTAGATATTATTTTTTGTACGTGTAGTTTCCAGTTGATATTTATAAAATGTGCTGAAGGGTGTCATTTTAGTATATAGGTTTCTTAAATGGTTATCTTAATGGTACCATTCTTTCCATCATGAAGTTGATTGTTTTTGACAGTGATTATATGTGAAATCCGGGACGCGAATTTCTTTCCGTTTGGTGTGGCATTTCCGCTGAGATTCGAACCTTGAACTTATCGTTTTAAACTCCAAGGTGTTATCCACTGGGCTACCCATTTCAGGATTCTTTACTATTGTATTATATGATCCTAACTAGACTAGACACTGAATCACTATAACTTATTTAAAAAAATCACAGCGTGTTGAAGGCAAAATCAAAACATGGCAAGATTTTTCTGAATGTTTCGCCGTGTAAGCCACAGTTTCTTCAGCAAAATTATTCGGATTTTATTAACCATCACAGTACATAGTCAAAAGTAACAAACTGAAATCAGCTCCTTTGACAGTAACTTGTCGGTGGACGTTTGTGCCAATAGAAAAGTGTAAACAGTCGTGACATATTTGTAACAACTAATGTCATAATGTCATATATGCGAATTTGTCTCTATGATTGCGTGTATGCTGTTTGTTGTGTGGGAAACACATCACAACGTGCCAATGTTTCATAGTGATCATGATATGGGAGTGAATTTTATTCGCCTCACCTGTTTCGCTTTATCAGAGTCTGTCAGTTTATGTTACTTTTGACTATGTATTTTGATGGTTAATAAAATCCGAATAATTTTGCTGAAGAAACTGTGGCTTACACGGAGAAACATTCAGAAAAATCTTGTCATGTTTTGATTTTTCCTGAAACACGCTGGGATTACTGTAAATAATTATTTATGATTCAGTTTGACTCAGTGGTCAAATTATTCCAGGAAATTTGAAAGACCCACAGTCTGGAAACTTATTTACATTAAATTTCACAGGTACGGACTTGAGAATAACGATTAGGCTTTCAGGTGATACCACCTTCTAGTTCATTATTCCATTAGTTTAAAAAAGGTCAGCTTAGTTTACAACTTTCTGAGAACAGATACACTTTTGGTTGGTTGACTGAAGTTTATTAGTTCAATTAGTTTTTCAGTTTTTTGCGACACAGTGTGACAATATAATTTACCCTTAAAACTTTCGGTTTCCAACCTCAGAAAATCAAGCTCTAAACAACTATTTAATGCGCGCTGTTATGCGATTAGAGTGAAATTATTATTTTGTATGTATTAAGGAAATCCACCTCTTTGCTGATGAAATTAAACAATGCGGTGATAACAGTATTTGTAGGAAAGATAAATTTATTTTATTCTTCCATACAGCATTTTTGTAAAAATTGTAAGGAATGAATGAAAGAAATAGTTACTTAAAATGACTTTTTTATTCCTCTACGTCCCCAGTGGAATATCGGGCTACAAGTTTGGGATTGAAGTTTCGGCAGCAGTGGTGTTTATTTTTACGGGATGCGGTTGCTAGCCTCATGTCCAACCTTCCCTCTTTACCAGTCTTATTACTAGTTTAATGAGGTGAAGGAGTGCGTCAGCCGAGGATCGAACTCCGGACCACCTTTATGGCTGGCGAAATTTCTACCATTGTGCCACCTACTCACCTCTTAAAAAGACTATTCAACTTATTACACAGACATTTTACAAATTTCAGTTTCGTTTTGATGAAAACAAGAATCTGATATAAAAGTAAATTTCTTCCAGACTCTAGGAACATTTTCAAATAAACAAGATGAGATTGGTGAAATCATTATGTTTTTGAATTTCCCGTTGATCTATTTTATTAAACCGAAATGTTCAGTTTCCACTAACATATCGTTTCTTAGTTTAGATACTTCAACGACGCTTGGAGGTTAAAATCATTCTAATGAGCTGACTGCGATTAGTAACAGAATTCAGAATGTGCCTTCCCTCCAACATGAATGCATATCAAACCTCCAGTCACCGTAAAAGCGTTGGTGCTAGGAGCCAATATGCCAAAAGGGTTGAATATTTCTGGTTAATTAAAAATATTCAACGGGAAATTCAAAAATAATAATATCAACGAACTACAAATTATACCGGCTACACAAGAAATGGTTTTCATGACTTAGTAGTCTTGTGGATAATCCTTCGGTGTTTGAGTCACTGTCTCAGTGAGAACATTACTCATTGAGGATATGGGCGCATCCAACTAGTGAGTCGTAACATTCGTGCTGGGTTCAAGTACTAAGTAGTATCAATCAGGTTACTCTGAACCTGAACAAAAGCATTTACATGGTTATATGGAAGTAATTATTTGTACGAAGTTGAAACCAATTGAAATAAACAGCATTTATGGTAAAAAATAGATAAATATGAAAATAATAACTGACTTCAATGTATAATTCATGATGAGACATTCTACAGATATTCTGTCTAAGTTTGTTCTGAAGTACAAGCCCGGGAGTCTGAAGATAAACTGAGCTCTGCGCCGCCTTTCTATCCTTTTGCCACCGGATGAAAATCTAGCTCTTCATGATTTAAAACTGCTGACAGCTTACATAGTCTTCATCTAAATTATTTAGCTGAGTAACTAACCTCAGTTTCGATTTATTTATAATAATAATATAATAAGCATAAATTAGATAAAGACTGAATATTGTTTGTAAATGTTGACGAGGAGGATTTCAACTGAATTTCGGGTGATAACAATCTTAAAAATTTATTATATAAACTGTTTAATAAGCTCTTTTGCTGAACCAATAGATTTCTTTACAGTTAATTTTCTGTTTTAGGTTACTAGCTTCACAGGAAATATTCAACAAACTATTGAAGATATTGACAATAATAGTAAGTGTTAATACCAAATGACAGGTCATTTTAATGTGTCATCATTTGTAAAAGTTAATCTGTACGGAGAATAACAAAATGAATATAACAGACGTTAGATTTACTTACTCATTTTATTAAAACTGAACTATGAATGGATGCAGTGGTCATTGAAAAGATTCGGATTAGGCAAAAATAGATTATGGTCTTATGGTTTCTGAAATTTTTATTTTTAATTGAAGTAATCTATCTGTCGGTGATTCAGGAGTAGAATTCTTGCCAACCAGACAGATGGTCTGGATTCAATTCCCGTCTGACAGATTCCAAAACCCCTCCTAGCTAGTAATAATCCCGGAGAACAGGGGGGGGGGAAGGTTGAGCGTAAGGTTAGAAATCCTGCCTTGTGAAAGCAAAAACATAACTGTTAGTGAAACTTCAAAGCTCAAGCTTGAATTGCAGTGTTCCACTCATAACGCAAAGGTATGAGAGAAGGATCCTTCTTATACAAGTTCATAAAGAAGCCTAACTTACAGTCTAGAATTAAAACTACAATCATAACACTATTATTAGGTCTTGTTTATTTTTCTTTAGTTCCTTGTTGAGGAGTTCCAGCAAGCCATTGCACTTGAAATACTTTGGGTGAACAATTATAACTTATTGAATTGGATTTTTTGATTTTCCCGTCGATTGATTAGACCGAAGTGCTCGGTCTCAGGTTGACATGTCGGCTTCTTGTGCAGATGCTTCGACGATGTCTGGGCATTTAGTTAGGATACAATTGGTGGATGGTGACTAGCAGTGGAACCCAGGATGCGCATTTCGTCCTATTTGGGACTCGTCATCTGGATGTACCTGCATTTCTCAGTGAGTGATGATGTTCCCACCGAGGCTCGAACCCAGTACCCATAGTTTTGAACACCAAAGCGTTATCCACTAGACCACTTGGCCACGAGAGCCACCTCTTGTGCGACGGGTCATATTAATTACTGAATTGGATTTTTTGATTGTATCCTAATTATAACTTAGTTTAATTCTTTCATGTTAACCCAAGTACTCATGAGACAATTGTTTTTTAACTCCCCCAGAAAATGTGCTTCGCTGACCCACTAATATACACAGAAGAAGAATTAAACCTGAACCAAATAGTCAGACTGGACAGAATCAAAACATGAGATGAATCCATGATGTTTTATGACTGATGACCTGGGTCATTTAGGTCAGACTTTTTAGTTAAAAAAGGAAGGCAGATAATTAGGGACACCAAGTAACAGTGAGAAATTAATTACGGATATGAATACAGCAAGAGCTACGGTTTGTACAGAATAAGACGGTGCAGTCACTTATTTCGTTGACTTCTCATCAGCTGCTTACGACCTGAAGAAATCGTTTAGTTTATGTAAACAACAATTCGAACACACAAATATTACATGATATCAACTGACAGGGTGCTCAAACTTAATAAACAGTTACCAGAAGACACTAATTATTTAGTTTATACCCAAACAGTTTGCTTACAATGGCAAACATGTTACTCAATAAATATAGGAGGTGATTAAGAGGATGGGTAACTAATAAATTGAGTAACAGTATGGTGAGTTCAACTAAAATCATAGAAACAAGAGACAAGCAAAGTTACACTATATCAATGGGGAGAGGTTAAAGTCAAAGATTACGTAGTCAAATGAAGGAGAGAATTAGGACATCCAGTTACCAGGACAAGGATATATATATTCAGTTTCAGTTATTTTTATGAATGGGAATATCTGTGCTTACCATCATTCAGTAATCCTGTCACCTATGACATGCAAATAGTCAACATAGGCTAATAATTCCTTCAATATGATTGTCGTGTGATTCATATTGCATTTAGATTCACCGCAATACTTTACAATATTCCTTTTCTTTTCTTTTTGATATTTGTGTAGAACAAAAGTGTATTATACACTATGCAAACAAAGAGAAATCTTATCCAGAACAATGTTTATTTAACTATAATGTGAAAATCAATCCAACTTTTGGATATTTTGGAACGTTCAACTTACAAAGTTTTAAAAATATTTCAGAAACTCAGAAAGTAAGCTAGTCACATAACTAATTTCGTTATTTTACTTCAAGATTTTATACTTTAGAAAAAGTGTTGATATGAATTTCGTTTCACATTTTATGTAACATACTGTGTATTAAGTTAACTAATGTCTTTTTCTCACCTATTACATGTTGAGATGGTATAAACTGTCTGTGTTGGTGAGCTGGATCACGTGATCACTGTTTTTCTTCGTAGAGGAGAGCATTTAGCTGAAGTTTTATTTCAAACCAGCTTGTGTAGAGCTGTGGCTCATTAATCAAGGTGGTCGATTTACAGACTGTGGGTTAGGGGCTACAACTCCTCTCTAATCTACCAAGGTTCGGTCAACCAGTTAGGGTCATCAGTCCTCAGGCAATAGATGTGACTCATGTTGACTTCATCACATTGCAAGTGATTGCTGAGTAACTCCATTATGGATAAGATTTTATTTGATAAGTCATACAGTGTTGTACAGTAATATTAACTGATGGCGCCTCGAGCATTACCACTCATAATCATATAAAGTTACTCACACAACTTTGTTCTTTCATTTATATATGTGCGGAATCGATTAGATATTGGATTAAAAATCAATGTGAGATAGTGTACATTCAGAAATAATAATACGAGTGTTATTGATCAATTACATCATATGGGAAATACGACGAGTGTTTTATAATCATAGAAAGTTACTTGTTAGAATGTTATGATGTTTTTGAATTGAAATAGAATTTTAAGATTATTTACTATCCTCCTCTGATTTGACGGCGGTAATAATATCTTTCATATTTCTGGTATTTGCATTGAGTCATTTCTGTTGCATGTGTTCGGTGTAGACTCGATGAACAAGGATTCAGTAATCAAACTCTCTCTCCACCTACCTAGATTACATCTTAGAATTGTAACCCTCTCTCACCCTACTGTGTGGTTTTTTTGTTAATGCGCGAAGTGCAATAGCTTAGCTTTTTTATAAATTACTAATCTTCGCGGGGTCAACCATTCTTACCTTAGCTAAATTCTTATGTTCTGATAATCTGACTATCCCCGACCTACTAGTTTGACCTATGTGGTTGACTTAACTCAAGTCATTGCATGGTATTTTGTAAATAATATTATTTTGTCTAATTGGGTCAACTGGGTCCTTCAACCTACAGAGCTTGTCCCTGAGTGAGTTTGTAGGTTTGAATGCCACCCTAATTCCTGCTTTATTAGGAATCTCACGTTGGGTCTCAGATGTCCCTTCTTTATATGGTATAACAGTGGATGACTTATATTCTCTCATATTTATGTTATCATTACTAGTTCCACAATATTTTTATGTTGCTTTTGGCCTTTTTCGATCTTCCTAATGAATTTTATAGGATAGTTATTTGATACCAACGCTTTTTCTATCTGTTTTATTTCGTCATTTAGGTATTTTTTGTGCTACTTAGTGCTATGGCCCGGTTTGTTAGACACTAAACCTACCTAACAGTTAACGGATGAGATGAATTAAAGTCTAAATATCTACTAAAATGAGTTGGGTTTTTGTACACACTAGTGTGCAGTTTACATTCTTCTATTCGTTTTATTTTACAATCTAACATAGCTAATTCTTCTTGTTCATTTTCCGCTTCAAGTGTGAATTTTATTCCCTCCACTAGTGAGTTTATGTGTGTCAAGAAGCTAGAGAGAGATATGTTCTCTTTTTAACACTGTGAAAGTGTCATCCACATATCTCCACCATATTTTTGGAGTAGGATTAAATGTATGAAGAGCTCTATTTTCCCAGCTGTTCATAAATATGTCTGCTACGATAGTAACATTTTGAGTAACATTCTATTTAATACGAACCTGAAGCAAAAATGTAGAATACAATGACTTGTTATAGCCTCCTTTAGATCGGTTAACATTCAGTATGAAAATGCATAAACAGACTATTATTCACTTGATAAATTATCTGGATCAAATTAATCAGTATTTGTTAGTTGGCTAGTTTAATGAATATTTCTGTAAGCAGTAATAACTAGCATTAGAATTCAGAATGTTCATTCAAAATATCTGGGACTCATTCAGTAGATGTATCTACACCTTAGTGTCAAGTGTTGCTTTAGTTTTGTCGACGGTATTTCTTGTACTGCCTCAAAAATTCAAGCTGGTATGGTCAGTTGTGGTGTTTATAATCAGTCAAGGTTTGGTAAGAACATACTTTTTCTCTGGGGTGAGGGTTTACCCAACCAGAAAGTTTCATACAGGACACAACTGTGAGTTTCCAACACAAAAATACATGGCTACAGGAAAAACTTACCTAGCAGACATTCGAGATGCAAAATGGATGGAATGGGAGGTCACTATGTGTGTAAGTGGAATTCCAGATGTATTCATGACAATATTTTTGTTGGTTGGTCGGTAAATTAAACTCGTAATCTCTATTTAAAGAGGTTAATAAATGATAGTCTAATGGAAATTAGTTCATCTTGTCCAATAAATTTTGTATTCCAGCATACTTAGCCAGCTCTCATTGATGATTTTGCTCTAAGGTCGATCCGATGGTTACTTAAGAGGATACTGTGTTAAGAAGTTTTTTGGCCAATGCATTTATGCTGATAATTATATTGCTGATAAGGAAGGATTAGAGAATCTATCTTTGTTTACTCCATCGAAGTCTTTAATATTCATCGAGTTACAATAAGGCATGAATGTTGAGGGATTAAATTCACTATGCATTCAACAAAGTTTCAGTCTCATCAGGTCTAAAGCTAGATTATGTTACAAAGGTTTTAGTGACTCCCTCCTGTATAGGTCTTAGAGGCTATCATTTGCAGATAATAACTACAAATGATATACTTGTTAATGCTGTCTTCTAACTGGCCACATATAAAATTCTATTAATATTTTAAGTCAAATATTAAAACGTGTGACATGTATCTTGCACTAGAACAACTTTTATGGCAAAGTTACTGGAAATAGCTAACCTTCAGTTGTAGCAATTGGTGAGTGATATGTATATTGTTTGTTCAAACTTGGTTACCTTCAGCAGACGTTTCGTGGGTCAGGCAGTGAGTCACACTTTTTATACGAGGGATGACGTTACTACCAAGTTGTCTATACTAATATGGGTGGAATGCAAAACCTACAGGTCGAATGTTAAGAGTTTAAGGCAGTACGTTAGATCTCCAAGGTACAGAGAATCAATACAGTGTTACTGAAACATGTATAAATACTTTTAATCTTATTATGAGCTAGAGAACTAAATTTTATTGTCTGAAAAGACCATTTCTTTTATCCTTTAATTCTATGCGTATAGATATGCGATGAAGAAAGCTTTCATGTCATATACAACGAAATCGTTTAAAGTGGATTATGTTGGCTGTATGAATTAGGTTTCACTTGGTTCACATATATGAAACATAGCAGGGAGAATATAATATATTTACAGGCATTTATTCGTAGACTGAGAGTGATAGTCAGAAAAAACAGTGAATGATCTTACAGTCTACTATATAAGACCAAAACGTCTTTATCACACTGCCTTCGATGTTATTTTTCAGCCATTTGCTTAGCCAGTATGAAGTGTCCAAGTGATGAAAGAATTTTGAAACTACTCACAGTAAAATTATATTAGATTCATTCGGTTTTCGTTGCTGCCAACTGCTGAAGGATTTCAAACAGTGCCTAAATAGCTGACCAGTGTTAAGTGGATTTCAGTGATTATCTAAGTGAAATTGTTAGTGAGAAAATCAAAAGACATTAAGAAATAAAGTACAGTTATATTTCAATAGCTTATACACAATGATAAGTTTTGTTAGTGGTAATATTTCGAGCAAAATTACTGATTTTCAACTCTCGTGTGAAGTCAGTGCTACTATACGGATCAGAGATTTGGCGCGTCATGAAAAGCACTTTGAACAAACTTCATTAACAGTTGTCTTTGGTCAATACTCAAGATTGGATGGCTGGCCAGAAAAGATCAGCAACGGGGTCGTCTGGCAATGAGTGAAACAACACTGCAGGAACCGATTGTGAAACAAATAGGCAGAAGGAAATGGAGATGGATTGGCCATACTCTGAGGAAACAAATCATCAAGTGACAAGCCATTGCTCGAGTGGAACCTGAAAGGAAAGCGGCGAGTTGGTCGTCAATGCAAGGGTGACTTGGAGGAGGTCATGTGAATAGGAGATGGAAGCATGTGAGCGTTCCTGGAGCCAGGTGAAAACTTCAGCAGTGAACCGAACGCAATGGGGAAGTATGTTCCTCTAGGAATCATAGGAAATAATAATAATATACCTCCATTTAGATAGTCAAAGTCTCATAAAATTTCTGTTTAAACACTATAATGCTGCAGATCAAATTGATAATATCTTCAACTTCTGATATCATTTTGGTGAATCAACTTGTAATCATTAGACTGATGCACCAAACATTCATAAGACACATATCTGTTATTGTTCTCAATCAGTGTATTCACTACAATCTGGTCGATTGTCAGACCGCACAGCGCAACGGAAAACACCTCTGACTGTAACATTGGATGACACAAATTCGAATCTACAGGATAGGTCCTTCTTCAATTGCAATACGCCCTTCGGATGTGTGTCATTAGGTGAAGAAACTTTGGTAGACAGTTACCTACCAATTGCCTCCAACTACATTAAGTGCATTTAACTTAATGAATGGTCTTTGGTGTTATTTTCTGTATGGTAAATATTTAGGCTACAATCATGATTGCCTTCAGGACTTGTGTTTTCTTCAGGTGGTTGATGTTTACTGGTAGTTCTGCTTCCGTTGTTGGTATTATTGGGCGCCTTGTAGGTGGCGGTCGATTTAGAAATCTTTTGAAGTGTTCAACCCAGTGTTTCCTCTGCTCTGCTTTGGTGACTGACTTCCATTGTCATCCTTCACTGGCTTAATTTGCGTCGAAATTTTGCCCGAAAGGTACCTAGTTGTTTGGTAGAGTGTTGCGAGGTCTCTTTGGGTGCACTGCAGCTTGTTCTGCTTCACTCGCCATGGCTTCCTGGCACTCTTCTTTACTCTTTTGTTCAGTGTATTGTGACTTGCATTGTAGTTGGTCGTCCAACGGTGACTTGGTGGAGCTCATGCGAAGAGGAGATGAAAGCATGTGGGAAGCCCTAGAGCCAGGTGAAAACTTTAGCAGAGAACCAAACGCAATGGAGACATGCAGCTGAAGCCCTATGTTCCTCTAGGAATTAAAGGAAGTAATAATAAATATTTAGGGGTTTCTGCTTAAATCTATGTGAACAGGTATTTATTTTTATGCCTGTTATCTTTTTTTTGTTTCAAACAGGAATCATTTCGTGTCATTACTATTCACAATCCGAATTGGGAATTTATTGCAAAATGCCTACTTATGTTTTATATACCAGGAGGATCAAATAATCAATTAATCTCACTATTAACTAATTTATTAGCACATATTACTGATAATGCTGTAAATGTTTATGATCAAAAGAGTATACGCATCTCCTGGTCACTTATAATACGATCATTTGAATTCGCCCAACAGTTTTGGATGAAGAAAATTGATCGAATTCAGTTAAAGCGCAAAACAGCTGCACTACGATCAGCAATTGTTTTAAGACAAGAAGAAGATAGATTAGTCAAGAATGCAATCATTTATGGATTGATGAAAACATTCAGAGTGAAATTACCAGTCAACAGTGATGCTTTTAAATTTATGACAGTCAATCCAAATTTTGATTGCGTTAACGAGATTTATTATTCCTCCTGTGAAAAATATCTCTGCTTAAATTCTGCGATATCATGGAGCTGTGAGGATGAAGAGGTTATAAACTCTGAAATTGATAGATATCCTAAAGTGTCATTGGATTTTATTCATAGACTGTTGAAAGAGATTCGTGTACGTAATCTGGAAATAATAGACAGTCAATTAATAAAGGTATGTTATTTATGCTTTTGTTACTAGAATATTGTTCAAAACATGTAACAGCAGGCATAAATATATTCAAGTATTTATTTGGATGAGCCATAATCATCCAAGACGTTTTGTCAACGACGGAAACAATAATTAGTATATTCAAGTTTTATATCAGTTTGAGAACTATTGAAAACCCGCAGAGAGGACTGTTTAGCTGTTTCGTCAGCCTAGTCTGGGACTCCTCATCAGTACTGACCCCATCATTAGTGTTCGAACCCAGGAGCTTCCAGCTACAAGTGAAGCTTGTAGGCCACCCACCCCCTGGGACTTACTCAGTATTCCATGAACTTCTACCAAATCATGACGAGTCCCCGAACTAGGATACAACAGCTGTCCAGTACTGCCTGCTGGTTTTCAATAATTACCCCAACTGGTATCAATCCATGGTCAAGCTTGAAACAGATCAAAATCCTACAAACTAACTTTTGAAAATTAGTAAATCTCAGAGAAAGTCCTATTTGCCTAAATGATCAAAAGTAAATGTAATCACTCACTGTAATCTAGATCAAAAAGCCAACAAATGATTTGTTGATGGTGACACTATCTGAGGTAACCTTGGATTAGTAGACTGTTGTGCTTGGTGACTGAAGGTGAATTAATGAAATTAGAAGCGAAGTATTCGGACCAGCTGCGGACTAGTAATTCTAAGGCCATTAGTTCGAATTCTGTTGGAACTGAGGTCTTTGTTTTCATTTTCATTCACCACCAAACAGTGTGAATATAACAGTGCAAAATATTTTGAAACATTAAGTAAGACAACATCTTCAAGTTTCTAACAGATTTAAGCTATTAATTGAAGAATATACAAATTTCGGCCTACAGGTATCGGTAACAGATTAATTAAACTTACCATTAGGAAGGTTTATCCAGTGGTCAATGACTAGAAATACTGATTTAAAGACATAGGGGAATAGGTGTATTTTGCATCTCATCTTGACTGGTCACCTCATCTACCTCATACCTGCCGAGTCATTTTTTGACTTTTTTTGAATAACTCAAGAACAACAGTTTCTGCGGAATAAGATGCTACGGTCATTTACTTCGTTGAATTCTCATCAGTCACGTATAGCTCACATGTATAACATGATGTCAGTTAACAAAAAGAACAAAACTAAATAAACGTTGCTCAGAAAATTGCACTTATATGGTTTATACTCAGACATTTCCAGTTTAAACAGAAATGTGCTTGCTTAAAGTGGCAAGGAAGTTGCGTAACAAAGACAAGAAGTGACTAAGATGATGAGTAACTAATAAACTGGGTAACAGTGTGGTGAGTTGAACTCGAATCACAGAAAAAGAGGGAGACAAAGTTACACTATATCAAAGGGGGCAGAAGGGGTTAAAGTTGGAGTTTACGCAATCAAATGAAACAGACAGTGAACATATCCAGTTACCAAGGCCAAGAAAGTCTAATAACGGCTTCTTTCTGAACTCGCAAATCGGTTTTCAGGAATTTGTTAGCCATTGCTTTCGCATACATAAGGAGGATTGAGTTATTTTATCTACTGATAATTTTAAAGGATTTCGCAATATCTTCCTCATGACACGTATCAAGGAGATGTCTAGCAATGTCACTGTTGTAGGCGTTTGTTCTCTGAGACGTAGGTGTTTTTGTACATGTTCAAAAAATCGGAAGTGTGCCATTCTTTCTGTTCTTCGAATGTAACTGCTCTACAGTTACACAGTTGAAGTTAACATGAGAAGGACATCTGTCGACTTTGGACTGCGTTAAAGACCTTGTTGTTCGATAGACGGGAACCAACTTAGCTTCAGGATGGGATGTGGCTAGTGACGTACTCAATTTGCAATATTTTCAGCCTTAAAATCGAGGGTGAATGAATACAGGTTTCTTCATTGTGATTCGTTTAGCGTCGGAGTCTTCACAACTTCAGTACTTATGAATACATTTCTGAGGGTTGATGTTGTTTTTCAGCATCTTTTCGAGAGTTAGAAGCTCCTCTTGTAATTTTTCAGTAGAGTATATTCTCTTGACTCTGTGAAACAGATTTCCGAAGAGTAATTTCTTTGTAGCAATTTGAAAGAAATCCATTAAAATGTAAGTACTGCTCATTCCATGTAGGCTTCCGGTGAATCGATCTCTTGAGACTACCAACTTCCAGTCGTTGCATGAACATATCAAGAAAAAGAAACTTTTCATCACTTTCATGTCCCAGTAGTTGTGCATGCATCGTTGTACAATCCAAGTAGGTAGGAAGCATGACTTTCATTGTTTCACACGAAAAATATGTCATCAACTTATAGACTATAATAAGTTACTTCGTCAGTTGTAGGCTTCAACTTTTTTCTCTCATTGTTGGATTTGAAAATGTTTTCTAAAACAGGGCTAAGTGGACTGCTACATTATCTATTTGGTCGTAAAAAGTGTTGTCAAACTGGAATTTATACATACATGATACACATTAGCAGTAGGCGTTTGAATTTCGACATCTGAAGTGGAAGAAGATCAGAATGATGACAAATGATATTGATAATTTCACTGATCAAGATTCTAGTGAACAAGGAGGTTACATCAAATGACACCGTAAACTTATGTGAAATGTATATTTAGTTCAGGCTTTTGGTGAAATAAAGTGAATCATTCATGGTACACACAGCTAGCCTCTGATGAATAGGTTCCAACTTCTGCGCAAGCCAACAAGCAACTTTGTGCTGAGGACAGTTGACTATAGAAGTCTTGGGAGGAAATGTTCTTTGTGTGTTTGTAGTGGGCCACACATTTAAAGCCATCGGGACTATCAGGGTTTCAAATCATTTTAGGCATGGTTTTCAATCAGTTTCTCCTAGAGGAAATCTTTCAATATGACTGTGATGCTCCATAATCTTCATTATTTTCCTATGTTGAAAACATCTCGTTGAAAATTTATCTATTTGTTTACAAAATCCCTTTATTTTCAGATTATTGAATTATGGCAGTTGATAAATTTAAATCGTCCAGTTCTAATTATTGGTCCTGTGGCATCTGGTAAAACAACAATTTTAAGATTGCTTATTTCTACAATTAACTGGTATCAGTACACGAAAATTAATAAGAAGAATAACACCGAAAAAACAATGAATCCACTTCCATCATCATTAACTATTTCTCCTTTGAAATTAAATGAGCAAAATGCCAGTAGTGTTACGGATAATAGTAGTGTAATACCGTCCTGTCGGGAAATGAAGCTGGACTTTGGCATCCTGAAAAGCTTAAAGTATACCTCAGTGACTTAGATCTTATCTCAAAAAGTGATAATTCAATTGAGAATGATTCAAATGGAAGAATTATTCACATAAGGCACTTATTTCCATATTCAGATGAATACATCAATGCAACCTGTGGTAGAAATAAGGAAATTTGGGAAGTCACTCAGAATGATTCATTCAATAATGTAGAAGAATGGTCAGTGCTAGACTTCAGTGATCAACCTTTGAAAAAGTTAACATATTTAAATGAAAACAAAGTTGTACAACTACTCGAAATATTTCATTCTGCACAGCGTAAGTTGATTTTCTTTTAGTATTGTATGATACTGCACATATTTATATTTATTGCCTATGAAAAAGGTCTGTGGATGCAAGTTATTCAAGAAGTACCTTTTAGGTTTATGCTAGCAGAATACTATGCAGTTTCTGACTTTGAATTTCGTACCAGTTGCATTCAGTAAAAATTATGGTATTAACGTCTCAAAGCGGAGATACAAGAGGATAAACCGATTAGTTACTAGGCATTGGGCAATATTATGTATATAGTCCTTATTATTAGTGCCGATTGACAGACTTTAGTCAATGAGAAGTTGATCACCAGAAGTATCTATGACTACAGCCCTGGGTGAAATGGGTTAAAGTCTCCAGGAGTTCATCAGTTTTTTTGCGGTTGCATTTATTCCTTACTAACGGGCGCTAAAAACAACTAAACCTTGGTTAAGAGTTTCCTGCAGACTGTCTCCGAATACCTGGTATCAATACAAGTGGATAAATATTGAGAAGGACATAGGCAGAAATAAATGTGGTAGTTAGATAATGTTAAAGTTAAACGTAATGAGGTGACATAATTAAGGATTGCTGAAAATATTCCGAAAACTTCACATAGTCAATTTAGCCTCTTCATGTACCTTATCATGAAATGATTTCACTTTAGGGATCTTTGGAAATCAAGCAGAATTATATTCTAGTTCGGGGTATTTCAGCAGAAAGCACCCATAACTCCCATAGATTAAACACAGGACTTTTCAGCCCATTCGCTTGAAATCTGAATATCAATTTTCTGTTCTATAATATCTACATGACAGATATCTTTTAGTCCTAACTAGAAGTCGTGACCGATAGGATCCACGATGTTGAGTATGAAAAGAATGCTTATCGATGGTGTTGACTAGCGGTAGAGCAAATCGACAGAAGTTGGAAATACATATCATTAAATTTCAGTCTAGTGGTCGAATAGTCAACAGAATGGTTTCACTACTTGAGGGGGTTGTGTTCGATTCCCTGTGGGATTATGCGTAAGTATTGTTTATGGTTTTCAAAACAGAACAAAACAGCCATCTAGCACTTGTTTGTTTTTAATAGACCTCTGTCTGATATTAGCCTTAGATGAAATCTGCATTGGAATCACTCTGAATCTCTGTAACTCCAAAAATTTAAGGCATCTTTATAAGCCCCTTACATCTTACTCATTATTGAAAAATTCTTGTTTTGAACTCTTTTCTCAAGAGGTACAACATGACAGAAATGCTGGAGTATTATATTCATTTAATTAACTTAATGACTTTTCTGGTAAAATTGACTTATCATGAAATCAATAAACCCCATATAGTATTTAGCTAAGAAATATGCTTTTCATACTATTTACAATTTCAGCTAGGAGAAGATTATTCATAGAAAAAGTCTCTTTGAATGAATTGTCACCCGGTTTTTTGAGTCAATTTTCAATTTGTTCAACTGATGTGAAAAATGAACTTAATTGGTTACATATATGGAGAAATTGGTGTAGAACAAGTTATGGATGTTACATGGCAATCAATTCTATGTGAGTTGTAATTTTAAGTATAACAATGCAGAGATAACCCTGGAAAAATATATCTGATATTGTCCAGTGGTAATAATCAGGGAGAACAAAGATGAGAATAATTGTTATTATTATTATTGTTATACAATTCACATTTACTTCCTGCTATACGAGGGGAACATAAGACCTAAGCCGCAAATTTACACTGGCCTCGGTTCTCTGAAGTCACTTTCAGCAGGCTTCATAACAGCCCATCTTTTCTATTGCGCCCTTTTGAAGCCACACTCGTCATTTCGTATTCCGGTTCTACTCAAGGGCCTGTGGTGTATATCTAATTTATCTCAGCTTTTGCTTTCGTCGTTCATTTCTGCAGTAATTCGTTTCCTGCTTCACCATCCTTCTCTCTCTTCTATCAGCCTCCAGGTGTCCATAGTGACTAGGTTTTGTTCTTCCACTTGTTCTTGACTAAGGCGTCTATACAGAATCTCTTCAACATCTCTTTCAGAGAATTCCAGGATTCTTTTGCACAGATTCCTTACGTGATGTTGACTAATGTCACTATCCTTTTCTTGATAACTGTCATGAAGGTAACCCTTCTAGCTTGAAGCTTCAATTTTGAGTTCTGAATATAATGAGGTTGCTAGTCCTACGCCAAACCTTACGTCTTACCCTGGATTAGAACCAGCTGGTAAAACAAGAAAAGCTAAGAAAAATGATCGTTTCTATAGAGTAATTTCGTCCTAATCGCTGATGCAAATGGTCACTCTGCTTCACTTTGCTGAAACTAATAATGAATGCAAACCAACTTTGAATTATTGTCTTATATTTAAGATGATTGAAATGCATACTCACAGTTGTACTTCCTGGTTTTTAGTAGTTGACCAGTTAGGTGTCAGTGAATAAAAATGCTTATTTGGTGGTGTGAGTAACATACGCAAACGACTGGTTTGTGTCATTCTTACGCTGTTGCATTTTTAGTAAAGGACGTTGTTCGGCGTATAACAATATTCATGTGACACTTTTAAGGTGAATATTTTTATCAGATAAATTGATTTTTTTTTGATATTCTGTTGATTTCTATTGCAGAGGTAGGCTGTACACATGTTAAACAAGGAACTCCAGATGTTAGTGGAAGTATGAATTTTAGGCTGATTCGAAATGTAGGAAAAGATTTTTATCAGATATTTTGCAACTTGAAAATCAATCTTACTTACAAGGAACAACTTATGGGAGTATGTTTCACCAACCGAAGTGAATTCATTCTAGAAACACAGAAACAAATCTGTTTTAATCAATGTAATATAACTCTGAGAATGAGTTTAAAAGGTACTTTTTGCATGGAACAGACAAAGTATCATAAAGTCTTGGAGAAATGGCATCTTTTCAGATACTAAATCGTCGTCTTGACTAAGTACACTTCAGAAATTACTATTTAAATTCTTTCAGGTTTAATTTGATGGATGGTGACTAGCAGTGGAATCCAGAATGCACATTTCTTCCTATTCGGGACCCACCAGTTGCTTGTACCTCCAATTCCCAGTTACTGTGTTTCTGCATCAACTTGGACTGAAATGCAAACCCATTCCACTAGGCTATGAGAGGCAGCCCCTTTGTGATAGGCATCACTAATTATTTCTTTGGGTGAATTTCAAATTCTTCGTTGATTGATTATATTGAGTCGAAATATCAGTCGTTGTTGACATGTTAGTATGGACGCTTTAACATGATTCTATTTGACGGGCGGTGATTGGCAGTGGAGTTCAGGATGCACATCTCGTCAATTGTGGGACTCTTCAGCCAGATGTACCTACAAGCCCCAACGATTTATGGTTTTTCCACTGAGACTCGAATCCAGCACTATTAGAATTGCGAATAATAATAATAAAGATTTGTTGGTCAAGTGACTCTTTTCAGTTTTGGCATGTAAATTTTTAAGCTTTCATTATCCTAACTCAAAGATAAATTGATCTCAGAAGAAAACAATGTGCCACCAAAAATACTATCAGATTTATATGATAATTATATTTTATTGTGATTTGATTTATTTATTCCATAAATTTACTTTTTTTAAATTATTTCTGTAGATGGAGTAAAATACTCAAAGAATTAGATATTCTTTTACCGGTGTTATTAGATCGAACATGGGAACTTCTCAGTCAATGGTGTACACATCACAGTGATTACACTTCTAATCCATTAAATCTACAAGATTATAAAAACGCATTTTATCATCGAAATATGAATAATTTTTTAGCCATAATATCTGAATTATTAAAGAAATACTTCTCCAAAGAATTATGGGAATGGCGTATAACAGGAGGGAAGCCTAGTGAGTGAACATTACTTATTCATCCAATGGTGAGACTATTTGAGATAGTTTTGTGTTGGCAAACTGTCGATGAAGTTGTAGGTAATTAAAGAAGGTGAGGTGAGAATCTGGTTTTCCACCAGGATTCGACCTACTGCCCTACGAACTACTAGATCAAGCCTCTTCCAGATGAACTACTAGGTCCAACTACAAGCGTAATGTGTAACACCTAAATGCTATGTGATTTAGGGATACATCACTATCAATTTGTCGTCACGACAATCCCCAAGCTAGCTGAGTAAAGAACCAGTAATTGAAAACTGCCGGTTGAAATCCTGCCACTACCCAGATTTCTATTTCACTCTCAGTCAACATACACTAATTATTTTTTCGTACGATAGTTTTTGCATGTATGTTTAATTTTAATGCAGCCATCATCAGTTAACGGATGAAGTTTGGAGATATTGTGTTAGTTTTTTATTAATTTCTACGTTCCTGCCTAGTTCTAAAGAAAGTCGAATTGTTTCTGTTATCCGATTAATTGTTAAAAGTATTTCTTTTGATTAGCCTTCGCTGTTATAAGATATGACTTTCACATGTGATGCAGTTGTTAGGTCTATAGAACTGCATCAAAGCCAGATATAGTACAGATATATATACTGATAAAAATTGTAAAAACGAAAAGGTGAGTAATACAAAGAAATGCTAAGTAAGGAAGACATTCATCGTGAAACTTCAGTTTTTGAATGACTGAAATTATCTGGAAGTAGAAGAGTTTTGTATAGAAGCTTTCGCCTTATTGATTGAGTTTCGTACTATAACACTGATTCATCAATGCAATAATGGTCATTTTTATCAAGGGGATCAAATTTGGCTAATTGTTTTACTTTTATGAATTACAGACAGCAGTTAGCATGAATCACAGGTGAACATTAGCAAGCTTTATTTTATTCCAGATGGTATACTGCTGTGCAATAATTATTGCCTTAAGATCTCTCCTACTTTGATTTAAATTTATCAGAAATGTATGAAACACCTTGCTGTGTTGAAAAGTCTACTCACTTAGAAGGTCATATTTATTCTAGTTCAGCCCATATAAATCTCTGCTAGTCTCCTCTTATTTACTGGACTAACAGTATCCATGATTTATGTTATTGTAGTGATAAGTGAATCTGTCAAATGGGATAACTATAAGGTTTAAACGTGAGAAGTTCGATAATTTCTATTTTTAATGAAACATAAATATATGCTGTTAAGATCTATTGCAGTATATCCCGATGCGTGTCTATTCAAAGTTCTAAGCAGTTATGAATAAGAAAAAAAGACACATTATGGCTTTCACTTTGACTATTTTCAATAAAGCTGTATTTGTCAAGCTAACTGACGATACTGAAAGGTATGACGCACTATGTTTCATCTAGATTATTCACCGGAAAAGTTCTTGTTTGATAAAGACACTGAATTCTATATTACGAGATGGTAGTTTAATTGTTCATCTGTTTATTCGTGAAAATTAAATTTTTATATACTACAGCTGTGTAATACAGAAAGGCGAATGATGTTTTTCATATTAGATAAGTGTACTTAATATAGTGGTTAGTGGTTAAACGTCAGTAGCTGAATGACATTCTGAGCACAGTTTACCGCTCATAACCACGTAATTTCATCCACATCACCAACTCACTTGGTTTAAATAATCTTTACCTTCGTTCTTTTTTAAACAGAGAGTAAATTACTTGGCTTAGTGGAGTCAACCCTTGCAGATTTAGCTTGATTCTGACATTCTGATAACTGACCCTTATCTAATAGTTTGATCTTGGTAATTGACCTCGCAGGCATCACACGTTATCCAGTGAATTACACTATTTCAGGACTTCATCATGAATTGACATTAGTTAGAGAACCATTGGAAAACCTGGGATTACTGGACAGCCGTTTTGTCCTAGTTTGGGACTCTTCAGCAGTACGCACCCACCGGGATTCGAACCCAGGACCTTCTGGTTACAATGCAAGCCAGCTCGTTTACCATTAAACCACTGGAACCCGATCCAATGGTCCTTGTATTCTAACTTCTGCCAATTCACGACATAGCGCGACCGCTAGCCAATGTCTTCGGCGAGTATTTGTCCTCACACCCGACACGCTGCACCCAACTGGTCACGACTTCTCACTGAACCCAGGTAACTACCTACTTGAATAGGGCCAGTCGCCAGTGAGCATCTCATTGATATTCAAATGTTGGTTTGTAGGGATTTGATTGGTTTGAAACCAATCCACCAACCTACAAACCAACACTTGAATTACACTATTTTTTCTAACCTTGTCTATTTGATCCTTAAGCCGAAAAACTTTTATCTGTAAGTTGGCTGGTTGATTTAATTGATGTTATAGTTCTAAATATATTAAGAGTTAGTTACAAGGTTTCATTATGAGCTGAAATTGGTTAGAGAACCTTGGAAAACCTGGGAGTACTGGACAGCTGTTCTCTAACCAATGTCAGCTCATGATGAAGTCCTGTAAACAATCAACCAAATCCCTACAAACCAATACTTGAATATTAAGAATTCGACATAGGATCTCTTATGTTCCTTCCCAACATGGTATACATTTACTAATTTGTATCTATACGTTAGTATGCTTGTAAGCAATACATTGTGCTCGTAAAATCATCCAGCTATTATTATTGTTTCATTATCTACTGACTATTGACTAAACTTATCTAAAATGGAATCATATTCTACCCCAGTGTCAAATCGAAACAGCTTCATCAGTCAATGAAATACACAACAGTTAGTTGAAGCCGCGTAAGAAGGTGTAAATTTCCTGGTTGGGATCCTTGGGATGGTAAAAACCAATGAAGACTGGAGACAATTAGTGAATGGCTCAAAATCGTTGTCGATAGTGGCGCAGATGCATCCACTCCTTGTGACTCATAATATCCAATAAAACTATATTGTTCTTCAATATTACTACTCTTTTTGTCTCATATCTCTTTTTACTGTCTTTCCTTGTTTTGTGTGCTACGTAGAGTGTGGCGACTCGAACTGCTGCATTTGGTGCAAAGTTCTATGTTGAAACCAGTTAGTCAGTTAGCTGTGCCAAAATGATATGCATTTTATGAGTTTCTCTATGCAAACTTTTATAATAATTCAACTAACACATTCATTGTAAGCGCATAATAACTGAAAAGATAACAAACTTTCTGTTTTTGTTATATGTTCAACGAAACTTAATTTTAGCACCTGCTCATCGATCAAATCTTGAGCTAATTGATCGCTACTGGTCAAATTGGAAAAATATTGAAGACGTCCAGAATTTTATAATTTATTGATGAGAAATTTATTTGTATTCTCATTCCTATGGGGTATAGGTGGTCAATGGCTGGTGATCCCAGATTAAGAACAAGGTAATAGTCACTTCATTATATACACAGTGTTGGTAATACTTGGTTTTTTTTGGTGAGTGTGAATTTGCGTATATGTAGTCGACGTTTTAAAATATGATGTGAACGAAAAGGATACTGATGTTTGTTTTCATAGATGATTTGTAAGGATTAGATTTGTTTTCACAAATTGATCACGGATCAGTATCAGGTAGAGGACCATTGAAAACCAGGGAGTACTGGATATTTTTTTCATCCAGTTTGGGAATCATCGGTGCTGAGTGGTATATGAGCTTGCCTTGTAACCGGAAGGTCCTGGATTCTGACATCAGCTGGTGCGTATTGCCAATGATTCCCAAACTAGGATGAAACAGTAGCTATCCATTACTCCCTGGTTTTTAGTCAATTTTCTAACTGATTTCAATCCGTGATCAACTGTCAAAACTGATATTTGTGTTTTATAACGTTTCCCAAATTGATATGAGTTGGTATGACTGTCGCCAACATTAGTGCTGAGACTAGGATTCTATACGCGAAGACAATATGTAAATCCACAGAAGACCAAATTACGAGGCCAGATAATAATGTTTTTGGTGTTACCATTGAAGAAGATTATAAGACGATTAAAAATGAATATGCCACTTTTCATAACTGTTTATAAGTTAAGGAAGGCAAGGATCGCCTTTTATAAAGATTTTGCTCACTTGAATCACCAATTATTCGTTGTTTTCCCATCTTTTTGACTGTTTTTGTTATTAAAGGTCACTCACAAAGGTATAATAGTTCGATTGGACACTAGTAACTAGTGTGATATGTCTCGTTCTTTTTTGGTGCAGGCTGAATTCTGTCAGTCGGGTTTGCGATGTGCCCACTACTTTAGATGTCTCGCCATCACAGTGAACATTGATTTGGTGATATTATAAAGTTGGAGGCAATCGGCCACAGGTTGCCTTGGACCTAGGTTTTGTGTTAGTTGGCACTTGTCATCAAGGCGTATCTGCAATCACCTTGAAGGAACTCATATCCCTTCTGAGAATCGAACCAGCGTTACCCAATGCTGCGGTCAGAGATGTTGCCAGTTAGCTATTCGGGATCTATGTGTTGAACACTGCCCTACTTATAAGCTTTTGTATGACTTTCCATGTGCAATTCATTCACTTTTCCTTTCAGATTTGAATCACTGCTACTAGAAACATTAAAAGATTTTATTCAATTACACAGTTCATTGAACACCAATGATAACAGTGATTTATCATCCCTTGAAGTATATTATGCACAACAAATCAATCATCATATGATATCATCTAATATAACTGGACTACTGAAGATGAAAAAGGAGATGGCGACGAAAATGAAACAGGAATCCATGAAATAAAGTATAGTCTGTTCAGTTGTCTTGTAGACTTAAGAACTGGTTATCTAACACCATTCTGGTATACAGACAGCTTGGATACTTATTGGCCAGAAGAATATGATATCATTGTTCCTGGAAACAATCACAAAATAACAGAATTGCATTTTTACCAATATTATTTCATGTAAGTTATATCTTGATAAATGCTGGTTATTTATATTTACTGAAGTGAAGAGAGTTTTGGTGGACATTTGACTCTGCATGCTCATTCTTCAAAAATGTGAGTTATTTATGATAGTTTTTTTCCCTTCACGTTCCCCAGTGGAACATAGGTTTTCAAGCTAGTGGCTTGAAGTTTCTGTAGCAGTGTTTATTTTACAGGATACGGTTGCTAGCCTCATGCCCAACCTATCCTCTTTACCAGCATTATTTTTCGCTTAGCGAAGTGGAGGAGTTTGTCGGCCGGGAATTGAACCCCGGACCATGTGCATGGTCGGCGAGCGTCCTAACCGCTGTGCCACCGATGCACATTTATGATAGTGCTTAGCATTATTTCTGTCAGCTAGGAACACACGCATTTCTTTGTAATGGGTCAACAAACAATATAGATGATTTTTATACGAGCGTTTATTGATTTGATAAAATATCAAGTCTCATTTCTAATCGACTGGACAGTAGAGTTCAGAAGTTGTGGTAATTGGAGATTGGATCTATTTCAAGGAGGTTTTGTCATGGAGTGAAATCATTTGCAGAATCATTGAAAAGCCATGAATAAATTTGTCTATCAGAGGCATCTGTTCACCAGCTTCAGGGGAAAGTAATAATGAGCATTGGTATATGTTCTGCACATCTAATCCTTAACTCCTAGGCTAATTTCATGGTGAACTTGTAAGTATGCAAGCTTGGAGAATCACTAAAGCAGTTTGAAACAAATGTTTATTGATTCTTGGTTTCTAATGATTCCATGCTGATATCGGTTTGTGACGTACAATACCTTAAAGTTACAAGATACGAATTAGAATCAAATTACTTACTCACTTTAAGTAATTATTTCACAGTGACTTATATCCCTATTAAAAGACGACTGGAAATGCATGAACATTTGAGTATTTAATGTCCTTGGATAATGCAGCCACCATCACACCTTATAACAGAGCAAAGAACACTTCTGATGGTCAGTTGCCATGAATAATAATTGATGTGTTTGAGTTTAAAAGGGGGTCTGTCACCTAAATAGGTGACTATTCAAAAGCAGTTGGTTACAAAAAATTTGCGCAGTTGTTCAACAGAAAATATCAAATGAGCCAAATCCTACTGGCTGACAGAATTTTTTTTTGAGTACTTATAATTTATATATGGCACTGGAATTATCTCTAACTATAGCAATGATCAACGCCGGTTTAAGTCTTTGTCGTACATCATTTTCATCGGAGCTTCTGACACATTCCACCAAAGCGTGACAACACGTAAAAATACTTTGGCCCTAGGCTTCTTTTGCATTGCCTCCAGTAGTTTAGCATCCATTCAAAGTTAACCAAGATGCCGAGTCTCGTAGCTTTGTAACCACTATACGAAACTTCACTGATAGGATTTTATAAGTCCTAAGGATTAGAAAACACACCCCTATTACTCTTCATTATCCATGAAGTGTGTATGTGCTCAGTGTTTAAGAATGAATCTTGTTTTATACCTAAGCAGTCAAGACTGCCTTTTATACTACCTTTTTTGTAACTGAAACTATTAGTGGCAAAAGGTAACTACTCAAAATAGGTTTTCCATGCGTCAGGCTGTGAGCCACACGTATTATGTGAGGGCTTATGATACTGCCTAGTTTCGAAGACTGAAGTGGATGAAACAAGATTCGATCCCCTGATCCACTAGTTGAAAGCACTTTGCATAAGCCGACGAATCAGCGGCTGTAAACGCATTAGTGTAAAATTATATGACAGGTAACACAGTATGACAGAAGTGTGTATATCTAAATATTCGTTTTTTCTCAAAGATATACCGATTGTCTTCATGCAGTATGACATGCAAATGCATATTCCCTTAAGTTGTTTTGAATTTCCGTTTATTTACATACCGGTTGGAATGCTGCGGATCGTTTGCATAGTCTTAAGTGTTGATACTGAATAAATCCTACAACTCAGGACTGGAATGAAGTTATAAAGCTAGATAGCTCTCAGTCACAAGGACTGTTAAAATGATGTTCTATGGTTGTTGACAAACGTTAACAAAGTGTATCTTCAACCTCGAAGGGAACATATATTTCCCAGGAGATTTAATGCTGAAATCAGAGACTTTGGCAACGAAAGTGTAGGGACATCTAGCTGATCAGTGTCGATAAACACGAAATCTGTAGGTTGAGCTTCTTGATGATTCCCCCAATAACAACTTATTCTATCAATCCTCGTACTCAGATACTTTACCATAACTACTACTTATTATTGTCTATTTTAGCTTTCAGTTCATTTATTCGCTGGTGCATTATTTATACAATCTGGTCATCCAGTAATTATTACAGGTCCATATGGTTCTGGTAAATCTCAACTAGCTATTGCAATAAATCAAAATTACAGTAGACAAAGAAGGCTGAATAAAAGCAAAATCAAATCATTCCGAATGAATTCCGTAGATTTTGTTGGAAAGATTTCTTCAACACTGAAATATTCAAAGGAGGGTGAAAATATCAATAAGATTCATACACTACATGGATCTGTGTTGAATGAAAATAAATTCATGAATAATATTATCATTTTGGAAGATGTACATTTGGTATCAAAGAGGCCAGAATGTAAGTAAAAAATAACAAGATAAATGGACGTTTTGACATAACTGTGTTTTTGAACAGAGTGATTTAATTGCATAGCTTTCACTGTTCTTCTAAACAAAGTTTTCGGTACTTTCTGCAGTGTCAGGTGAACGTTTTGGAATCCACAATGAATGGTGTAACTGTTTGTGCTGATGATCTTAACTGTGACTAATTGTCTTTGCAGATATGTTTACCCTTCCATTATTTTACATTGTTTTCGATCATTTCACTCACCTGGAGTTCAATCATTTATGACATTTTTGCAATGTGATTTGTTCTTTATTGTGGGATAAATTTGATCTGTACTAATATATATGAAGGCTGATCTGACTTCCAGGTTTCTAGGAATTCTCTACGGTATTTAGTATTTCTGCTATTTAAAATTTTTGCACTGGTATGCATAGTTATGTGCCTCTAGTGATATGAATGAAAGTATTCCATGTCTTTTGACGGCCACTTTGTGTTCCTGGATCCAAATTCAAGACTGCCGTCCACTTTGGCGAATAAAGTGTTTTTCACAATTGTGATGAGATGAAACTGATCAGATCTTTTTTGCTAATGGGTCTTTCAGACATTGAGACGATCGATAACCATAAAAACAAAAGCAAGAATAAGAAAGTCTCTGAAGACAACTAGTCGTGGTCAACGTCATCAGGAGAGACAGTCACAACATTTATGCACAATTCAAAAATGCTCACTTGATTCTGAAAACTTTGTGAAGAAAGACAATGAAAGCTACTCAAATAAATTACCCAGTTCAGAGAACACAAACGCATCAGCATATATGGGTGTTAGTAGGTAATTAGGTCACATAAGGTTTTGGTGTGCTTACGTCCTCTAAGCTAAATGATTTTATTGTAAAGCTTTCATTTCTCTTCTAAAGACCGTCTTCAAATTGAAAGCAGCCTTTAGAATTCACCATGAATTTAACAGCCGTCTCTTCTGATGAACTTACAAGTGATTGGTTGTCTCCGAAGGTGCATTTTTTACTTATGTTCCCTTTGCACTCCTATTTATTATTTTGTTAATGTGATATTCAACCTTATTTGAAAAGCCTATTTTGGTTGTTAAGATATTGTTTAGAAAGACAAAGAAGTCTTCGCATCAAAATCCTGTTCGTTAGAGGACGCATATACATCGAATTCATCCATCCACAAATCTTTCCCATCACCTCGAAGTTACATAAGTCTACAGAAACAATGTAATGATAGTATGAACTGTATAATTTTATTACAAATACAACACTATTGTATTATTGTGAGAAGTCTGGTATATCAGCAAGGTTTAGTGAGTTGGCCGGGTAGTATCAACAATGATCAAAGTTCAGAAAGCTTATGAATGCAATTTCATCGAAGGATTTCAGTAACAGAAGGATTTGAGTTGGCCGTTTCAAGGTTAACAACTAATGTGTATCGACTGACATATGAAGTTCCACTATTCAGTGGAGCTTGACCTTCTACAACTGTTCAGATGGATAACAATAATTGTTTTAAAACCACTGAATACAATAAAGTGTATCTTGAAGTCAGATGGTGGATGGTGACTGGCAATGGAATGGAGGATGAGCACTTAGTCTTATTCGGGACTCATAATCTGGATGTACCTGCGGTCTACATTGAGTCAGTGGTGGTGTTCCCACCGAGGCTGGAACCTGGTGTCCATAGTTTCAAACGCCAAAGCGTTATCCACTAAACCACTTGTGGAATGGAGGTAAATCCGGATGACGGGTCCAAAACAGGACGAAATACGCGTCCTGAACTCCTCTGTAGTCGTAGTTCACAGACTGACTTCAAGTTACATGACCATACATCGTCGAAGCATGTGCACAAGCAGCCGAGATGTCAATCTGAGACCGAGCACTTGGGTCCAATCAATCAACGGGAAAAATCTAAATTGAATTAAATAAAGTGTATGTTTAGTAATAAGTGTTATACAGTCTTCCCAAAAAGTCTAAATTTAAGCTTCACGCCTCTTGATTAGTATTTATCACCAAGTCGCATTCACAAACTTGAGAGATCTCATGCGGTTCGATACTCTGTCATTCAGTATTAAAGTCAGCGACTTACCTATTGATTTACCTATATCACGAATAGCCATCTACCGGACCGATTGGACTACACATGTTAGTCATCTACTGTACACCAATGTGGTTATCGATTCTTAAGCTTCCTGATTTAAATTAATCAGTGAAAGAGATATGATGTAGTCAGTGGATATAATTACACCACACTAATGTGTGTTGTAGGGTACTCTTGTTTTTACTGTTAATATTTGTTGCCTTTTCTATTTTTAATAGTATTAAAGATTCTTGTAACAAGATTTTGAAAAACACATGCAAGCAATCAACATTGTGTTTTCAATTAAATCTCATCGGGTTTTACTCCAGTATGCATACCTTTACAAATTGTCACTCATGTCTCTCAAGCCTTTGTGGATAGTTCACTGGGATTTGAGATGATGGGTACAGGGTTCGAGTTTCACTGGGAACACCAGCTATTACTGAGAATATTATTATTATATATATATATATATATATATATATATATATAATATATAGTTTAGGCTTAGTTTTTAGTTTCAGGTTAGACCACAGATTAAGATCAGTTGGAGAACCATTGAAAACCAGGGAGTACTGGACAGTCGTTTTGTCCTCGTGCTTGTGACTGTTACCCAGTACGCACTCACTGGCTTTAGAAATCAGGAACTCCTGGCTACAAGGCAAGGTCGTAGACCATTCAGCCCTGGGACCCGATTCAATGACCCATGAATTCTAGCTTCAATGAATTCGTGATTTTAATGCAACCACCAGACAGTTTCATGGGCGAACACTTGTCCTCACTCCTACTGGTCATGTCTTCCCACTAGTCCTTCAGTCAACTTCGTCCTGCAACCAGTCAATAGCGAGCATCAGATTTGTTTTCAAGAGATGATTTGTTTTTCAAGTCTGACCATACCTCTCAGTGGCTGAATGGTCTGAGAGCTTCATTTGTAATCTGAAAGTGCTGGGTTCGAAACCCAGGTTTGAAGTGCTGCAGATGAGTGCCAAACTAGAACGAAACAGCTGTCCAATACTCTCTGGTTTTCAATGGTTCTCTAACTGATATCAATCTATGATTTAACCTGAAACAAATAGAATCCCTACAAAATAATTCTTAAAAATCAATTTTTGGTATTCCAATGACCTTAGCTGTATGTAGTAAATGATTGCAGACAAATCATCATGACTGGTTTATATATAATATTTATTTGTAAAGTAGTGTATATTAGAGTAAAGCCTGGTCCTCCCACATCTTGCTAGTTACTAGAAAGATGTTTCACTTAACGTTCCACGTTGGGACGTTTAGGCAGTTTGGCATAAAGCAGTTTTTGCTTTCTCAGTTTGTTAATTCTTGTATTCTACCCATCCCCCTTTACTGCTCCCCATTAATCTTTCCTGAACTACTTAAGGAGGACTTTGCTTTGCTGAGAAGGGCACTAAAAGCCGTTAGTAGGGCAAGTGGGATATCGTTAAACCAACTGGTTAACACTATTGTGCATAGACATATTATGTCATATAAGAAACTAGCGAAAACAATATTGTCAGACCCCGAGCATCCTCTCTATGCGCAGCTCTCTCCTTGTATTTCATATGGTAGAACTAGAAGCAGCTATAGGAGGCTATATGCTAGGACTACCAAATACAAAACTCCACAATACCATATCTAGCACAGCTGTTATGTGATGAGAAATCCCTTAGGTATGACACAATCAACTTACTGCGGCACTCTAACAAATAGTCCCACTAGTTTTTATTTTCCTTTCCTTGTTACTATTACACTGTTGTTCTCACCTATTACACACTAGTTTTATATTTCTTATCCTGTGGTGCATTGTTTAAAATGTAAGCGCAACGCTGTTCTTTTCACATTTGTATTTATCTTTATTTCTTTTCTTTTTTGGGGGTTTTGCTTTTTGATTTTAAAATCTTGTAAAATTTATGAGGTAATTAGATGCAATATATTGTAATGCACGCTGAAAATTCCATTCTTGTACCACAAATGCTGTTTGGAATAAAGCTGTTATTATTATTAATACTGTCCGCTTACATGTGTTGTATTAGGTTTCTCTGTTTTTCCTCAAAATTGAACTTTTGCATACACTAATGATGATGAACTTTTTCATTTTCTTTTCAAAGTGCAAAGGATGTGGAGTCAAGAACTACGTTATCATATGATGACAATTAATTCAAAGGCATTTGGTTATTCTTCCCTACCTTCGTCGTTTACCTCTTCATCCCTCCCCTACACTTCATCTTCATCATCGGCATCACTACACTGCAGGAGTTCACAAGATAGTGTTCTACCAATTATAACAACTTTAGATAACCATCAATCTGCTCAAACACACTGGATTTTCCAACTAAATTGAATAGTTTATCATATAGATTTGCATGCATTGCATTAACAGATCCATGCTTATTATATCATAAAGAAACAGTTAATATGAATAAATTTTGGTATGAACAGAATGTTTATGGTTTCAGTCCAATTAGTCTGTTATGTCAGTTAATAATGAGTTATGAATTATCAAGAACTAGTGGAATGTTAATTGAGGTAAGTAAGAATTCATCTTTTTTTCTGAAAAGACTTTTTAATGCAGGTTGCTGTTCTGTTTCCTTCTTCCTCTGGCATGACTGAGTTCATTCTGATGAAGTCAATTTTGTTACGTACGTCGATGATCTGACTGTTTCCGTGAAGTTTACTTCCTGAAACGATTGTTCAAAATGAAAGGCGTTTTATCAGAAATTAGTCACTTGTCGTTGTCAGATGGTATCAAGGTAAATCCCTCAAAGTGTTAGATTGTTCATTCCTGTTCAAAACAAAAAGCTGATTTACAGTGGACTATTATGGGTAAATTTTGTTTTGATAAAGTCTCACAGTGTTATACAGTAATGTTTACTGATCAGTAAACATTACTGTATAACACTGTGAGACTTTATCAAAACAAAATTTACCCATAATGGAATTACACTCTACCACAGTGCACAAGTTTTATTCTTATATCAATGTTACAGTGGACTAGTTCGTTCCCATGACTCTTATATCATATAGGGAAATGAAGGGAAAGCTAAGTCGAATGTTAAATACCTTGGATTATTTCCTTCCTCCTGTCTTTCCTGCTCTTCTCTCATTATGTTTATTTCTGGAAGGATATTTTCTCTAGTATTCTATGTCAAATAGTTGAGACACTTAAGTATCACTCGGTCTATACTTTTAAATTTTGTTAACTCTTTCACTCTACCTATTCTTTTTTATTTCTTCCCCTTCATTATTTCTGGGTTACCTGAGAAAGACTTCATTACATTATGCGTCGGTGGCACAGTGGTTAGGACTCTCGCCGACCATGCACATGGTCCGGGGTTCGAGCCCACGCCGATGCACACCTGATATCTATGGTCGGCCTGCGAAATCTGGGCTACCGATATTCACGCTGAAAATTCCATACTTGTACCAAAAATACGGTGTACAATCAAGCTGTAATCAAAAATAAAGAAATAAAAATAAAAAATAAAGTACTAAAATCTGTCGAAAGGGCAAGGGTTCAGCAAATCCTCTAATATAATTATGAATAAAGTACTTGAAGCAGTGCAAGAAATTGGAGAATATCATTTTATCGGACTCTTAGCATTCTCTGTATACAAACTCTCGTCTTGCATCTAATCAAGTAGGATTAGAAGGAATTCTACAAGACTTTGTCTTCGGATAACTAAATATAAAAATTCAGGCATGTCTTGTTTGGCACGTGTTTCGCGTGATCAGAGAAGTGTTATTCATGCGACTATTAACTTATGGCTTTTTTATTCGCTGTATTACCAAAATACCCTTGTTGGTCTTTGGGACTACAAAAATAATAAGGAAACAATGTATCACCAATGCATTTAGAGGATTAGTGTCCTCTCATTGCTTAGCCACTGTTGGTTTGGTTATTATAAAAGTTAATAGGCTATTAGCTACATGCTATTTTTATGAAACTGTGAGACCCATATGCTAAGTCGACCTCAGTTCCATTTTGCTGGACAAAAGCGTTATCCAGTAGCAACGTCTCTGACTGCAGCACTGGGTGACGCGGAGTCGAATCTCAGAAGGGACATGAGTTCCCTCAAGGTTGCAGATACTCCATGCTGAAGAGTGCCAACTAGCACGAAACTTAATTCTAGGGCTTCCTGACGATTACCTCCAGCTATCCAATATCATCAAAGGCGTTATCCAGATACTGTGTTTAATTTAACCTAGTAAAATATATGTTGTGCATAGTTCAGTACATGGAAATATAGTCTGTTACTGAGTAGATCATTTCTTTTATGATTTCCAGAAATACAGTGAGGATAACCTGAAGTAGTCAAATAGTTCAAAACGAACTTTTACCACGGTCTCTTTTAGAATGAGATGTTCTGATACTTAAAAGTTGTTTTATCCCTATAGGGCTTAGGTCATTCGAAATGTAACAGGTATCATTAAGTTTAAATTTTCAAATGACTATGATGAGAGATTTTACAAAAGGCTTCGTTCACTAATCAACAACTCTAATTTACACAACGTTGGCTAACTTTGAAATTTTTGTATTGCACAGATTAAGCTTGATGTCTACAACAAAAGTCAGTTTAGGGAAAGAGAGAATTGACTAGAGTGTCACCAAGAGCATTTCCAACAGCCTACCGTGGAATTGCATCAAAAGTTGCCTTCATTGACTCGATACGGAAATTCAGACGGCAGGCCGTCTTGAAAGAATAGGCAACATGGAACTCTGGCAGTGCAGTAAACCAGTCGAGAACCTATTACCTAACAAATATGTAAAAGGAAATGAAAGTGGACTGAGCATACTTTGAGGAGATCTTCAAGTGATATCACGCATCACAAGGCCCTCAAGAAGAATATCAACCAAAAGCGGTAGTTTGTAGGTGGGGTTGAGGACGACAATAAAGAGGATCACATGTGGAGGAGATGAAAGTGTGTGGGTGCTTGTAGAGCCAGTTGAAGGTGAAGGTTGATAACCGACTCAGAGGCTACTGCGTTATTGCTGTCCTACTGTCCACTCAGAATGCAAGGGATGAATAATAATCATATAAATGATACTAATCTACCATGGTGATAGGACCTACTGAGTAAACTTTGACGAGCAGCCAATTCGTTTACTCTCTACTTCAGGATTTTTGCAGACTGATTTCTAAACAAAATAACAAAACAGAAGAGATATAATCTTGATTATCTAGTTTTCCTTTTATTAAGTATTATCATAATTACATTAGGAGAAAATAATGAAGATAACAAGTGAAGAACGTACCTTGATTTATAGTTCAAAATATTGTCACTTCCTTGTGAATATATTCTCAGATGTTGTACAGTAGCTCATATGTATTCGAAAGCTTACAAGATAACTTTAAACCTTCTTCTAATTTCCCGGATACAATAAAAAGTTGACATCTGTAAAAATACTGTTTTATGCGTTGTTTTAATATTAAGTCAATAAAGTGTTTTATTTAATTAGCGGTTAGATTGTATAACCAGAGGTACTGATCAATTTTAATTCCACATAAAGTAGCACTGAGAACAACACTTCAACACCTGAACGTCTAATATCAGACATAATCCGGTACTCGGAGAACAGTAAAAACTAAGAGTGATGAGATCTTGTAACCAATCAAACCCCTACAAACCAACACTTGAATATCAATGAGATGCTCACTGGCGACTGGCCCTATTCAGGTAGGTGGTTACCTGAGGTTCCAGTGAGAAGTTGTGACCAGCAGGTCAGGTGTGAGGACAAATACTCGCCACTGAAGACGTTCGCTAGGGATCGTGCTATGTCTTGAATTGGAAGAATTTAGAATTTATGGGTTGGCCATTGGATCGAGTCCCAGTGGCTTAATGGTATACGAGTTGATTCGCCTTGTAACCAGAAGGTCCAAGGTTCGAACACCCCCTCCCTGATGGGTGCGTACTGATGGAGAGTCCCAAACTAGGACGAAACAGCTGTCTAGTACTCCCTACAGGTTTTCCAATGGTTCTCTAACTAATGTCAGCTCATGATGAAGTTTCTTATATTTTCTTACTGCCACTTCCCAGTATTAGTCTAAAAAAGAAATAATAAACATATTTGCAGGGTTATATGAGGTCGTTCTATTTCTCAGATTCTCTATAGTCGCATATATCCTGAACAGAATCATATTATAATTTAAAACTTTCTAAACATGCTTTTTTACAGTGACTTCGAGTTATAGGAAATATAAGCAACATAACTCCAACAATGATATAAGTAGACGAATTACTCAGTAATAAAAGTAACTGTTTTCAGTATAATAAGATAGAGAGGTTGGCAGAGTTCAGATATCTCCTGGAAACAAGGATTTACTAGAGACTAAATACAAGATGGAAAAACAAAGTGAATTTATACGTATTATAATAGCGAGTTCAGGAAGATCGGAGTAAATAGTGAATTAAAATTATAGCACAGATAAAACGGTTAACGAAATTTGGAAACTAATTAGTGAGTTCAGCCCACTTAGTGAAAATCAGGATCCAAACTGAGTGAAATGTTACGCTACAGGATAAAGCACAAAAGCGCATAGACAAAACAACTACGGTAATCAGGGTAGTGGGAGATTAGTCACACTATCTTTCTGTATTCATAGGTTGGGTTGAAGCCTTTGGATAGCATTGACTTCTTCAAAATGAAGTAAATAGGTGGTTTTCTTTGTGTTTTGGTTATCTCGAAAGCCTGGCTAATTTGCACTGTATGTACCATGTCAACTAGGTGTATGGCAGTTTCACTTGAGAAAATTATGCTACCTTTCAAACGCAGAATTTTTAGAGATATGCATGGAGAAAACCTAGTAAGTTCTCATATTTTCAATTATTCTTTATTATTATTTTTGTTAATTTACAGAGATTTAGTTGGATAATTTGGTCAATGCATTGTAATTTAATGAAGGAACGTTGTATTCATGGAGATTCCTCTGTTGATTGGTTAGTTACACAGAAAATTGCACATTCCATTGGATACCATTTAAAACGATATTATTCTGTGAATGAAATCGGATTCAGTTGTTCAATTACTGAAAAGAATATAAATCAACATATTTATTCAAGATGGACACCACTGCGTAAGTGTTTTACAAAATCAAGCATATTTACTCACCTTGTGTCCAGTTTTCAAAAGACTTTGAATTCGTTAGTAATTATGGGTTAATTTATTCAGTGTGATAAATTTTATGTATTTCCTTAGTGAGGACCTTTATGTGATATCATGCAAAACACATGAAAGGCAGGCGTTCGAGTAGAACTCTGATGGAAATCGACGTGTCATGGAGAAGATCGTGTGAGCCTTTTGTATTCGAGCTCAGACTTCGTCATCACTTGGTCGAATACGCCTAATACAACTCCCCTATAAAATGAAATAGTCCACACCAACTACTACTTCACTGTCTACCTTTAAACTACGAGTTTGTTCAGATCAGCTTCTTACATATGACAGAGGAAAAGCATGTGACAGCTATACTGAAATTTCTCTCTAAGTTGTTCAAAAGACTTCACATTTTATCAGAGTCTTTATACAGGAGGATTTTATCATCTAAATACACTTATAAGAAATCGATATACCATTGGTAGGAAATCCTTTAGACATTCTACATTTTTATTGACCTCTAAATGCTTACAGATTTGAATTCATTTAATTTTGAGTCGTTTAGCTGAATATGGTATGCATAAATGTTTCATTTGTTTAGACTGAATTTGAATGAGGAAAAATGTCTTAAATATGCATAGTCAATTTCAAAATAGATATTAATTCGTATCATGTGCTAGAAATTAGTTACGTTTACATTGATCGGCCCTTGACAGGTTAACAGTGTCATGTGTCTGTGCCTCAATTTCGGTATTGATTGAATTCTATCATGGAAAATACTCATCAGGACATTAGAGAGAAAAGAACAAGAAGTTCAGTAAAGATACCTTTCCAGCGATTTCATTCTCAAAAGCTGTACAATCACACCTAATTTTTGTATCGAGTTAAATAATTAGTATTTCAGTTTGTTTCCATGCCCATCTCACCTACACTTACGTCCTTAAAAGTAACTATTTTACAAGTAACGCAATTATTTTCTAATTCTTTGTAATTTTGTTTCTAAGCCCCTTGTAATCTATATTCACACCTTCAAACTTTCATATCAAGTCGGAAATTACTATCACCTTTAGTTTTCTTGGTTATTATGTGGAATCAAATAGCTATGAATTCTATCAGCTAAGTTTGCAGTATGATTACAAAGGGAGGTGACTGTCTACCGTGATGCACTTTGAATTGATGTAGGAACGTCGGAGGCAATCGGTATGGGAGCCATGCATCCAGACTGCTTTCTGGCTGCCTCTCGTCACCTAACATTATTCAGGTTTACTTGTACGACATGGTATAATTTTGTTATCATTAAGAGCTGAAATTGTCAAAATATTCGAGAACATTTTGCATTAGCATATTTTTTGTTATGAATAATGAGATATATTAGAATTTATTTTTTTAACTTCTACTCTTTCATTTTCAGTTCTAAGTGAAACTATCCAACCCAAATCAACCGGCCAGTTAAATAATATTCTGGAGTCAGTAACTATTTTATGTCATGAAATAAAACGATATTTTACTCCATTAATACCACAGAATTCAAGTTCTCAATGGCTTTCCAAAACTTTATTGAAATCGCTGGAATACTATCTAGTAAAACCATCTCCAATGGGTCTTTTAATTCCAATCTCTTATCTTCTTTTTGGTCCAGCCGGTAGTCTTTTTATTGATTCTAAACTCACTAGACAGTCGATATTCAATTCACAACGAACAATGAATAAGAATGTGATTAAAAAATGCGACAGCATACCTGATAATGCCACAACGCCTGTTTCTTCAACATCTTCTTACACAACTTCAATTACATCATTCACAACGTTGACTAGTTCTACAAGTACTAATCCATCCTCGACATATTCACTCACAACTTCTGTCAGTAATACTACAGCGACTTCTGCTGAGATCCCATCATTATCTACGCTTTCTTTGCCCGGTTCATGCAATCAAACGTCTTCTGTGAACTCATTATCTTCCACAAATCCTACTTCCATAGTCTCCTCTTCAATAAATTCTATTTCAATCTCAACATTATCTTTGTCAAAATTGAGTTCGTCGCTTATTGAATGTGTTCCGATGCAAGCATCTAACACATCCGTTCACGAAAAAGTTGCTTCTGTTGATACATTACACGTTAATGGCGATGATGATGAGCTGACTACACACATTGCATCATTATGCTCTAAACTGAATAATGAAACTGAGACTGTTCTATCAAAAGGGGAAAAACACCGCAAAGTATTATCATTCTGTCATCCCTTAGTTAATGATAAAATTATTTATAGAAGTTGGGCAAATTATGGAATATTGAATCCATATCTTGTACCGTATATCAGTTTACCTGGATGTATTGACCTTTCAAATGATTCATTTACTTTAGATAAAATGTCTATTACATCAGGCAGTATCATGTCTCTAGCTGATATTGAAATTAATTTGGATAACGAAGCATTTCACCAGACGATTGAGAATACAATCAATTTGCTTACAAGGTAGGTGAAAGCAGATAGTTATACCCTGTAATTTTAAGCCAATACAGACACAAGCCTTTCGATGTGGGGGAAATCTCGATTTACACATTTAGGAGGCAAAAGAAATAAATGAAGTAATATTTACTTTTCAATTAAAATCTAATCTGTGCATCGGTAGCACAGTGGTAGAATGCTCGCCGACCATGCACATGGTCCGAGGTTCGATCTCCTGCCGACGCACACCTGGTATCTATGGTCGGCCTGCGAAATTTGGGCTACCAATATCCATGCTGTAAAATCCATACTTGTACCAAAAATACAGTGTGGAATCAAGCTGTAAATCAAAAAAACATACATGAGGCAGTTTTGAATTCAATACGGGAATTCACCTACCCAGTGGTGATACGTTTGTTAAGCATAATTATTCAATATCGATTTGTCAAAAGGGGTGATAACTAACTAAGAAAACTAATGCAACAATTAACAGATAGAAATATTTGGAAATATTAAATAAATGGTTTACTCAGTGCATAATTTTGGAGAAATAAGAGGAGTAGTCAATTAATTAATGAAGTAATACTTGAGTTACCGCACGAATTTCTTCTTAACATACAAGTCTGGTTTCTTCCGGTAGATTCCGATGACCTCGGATGTATCTAGTGGACAAACGTATAAAGCAAAACTGGTATTGGTCAGAAAGCAATAAATAAGTTTAAGTGGTTTATTAGAATCAACCTTGTACTCACTGTCTACAATATATGCTAAGACAGAGCTACGAACAGACCTTGTTTATCTCTTGCTTAATCGCACTCAGAGGGATGTTCAAAAATCCAATGATGTACATGCTCAGTGTAACTGGAGCAATATAACCTGTGTGTAGGTAGTTTATTCCTTTTTCCAGAATGCAGAATTGGAATGATTGTGGAAAGACAGTGTATTGAAGGGTCTGCTTACTGCATTGTTTAAGCCTTGTGCTATTTTATCGCTGATGTTAACATTAGGAGACTTCAGATTTAGAAAAAATAGGCCTCTTTGCAGCTGTTGATTTACTAGCTTGCCTCGGTGCTAAACTTATATTTTTATCCATGAACTTATCTGGATAATCATTGTCGCTGAGTAATTTTCTGGTAATCCTGAGGTCAGTGATGAGTCCATTAGCACCCACTGAAAAACACCGGTGTGAGAATCAGTACATGTTAACTCATAAGTAAACATCTGATTTATTTAAATTAATCCGTACTTCTTGTTGGTTTATCATTTTTGACCTCTATACTCGATCTGATTTGACACCTCAGCTATTATTATGAACTCCTCAGTGATGTCTGAAGACTAACATGATGTTGCTAGCACTGGAGTCTAGGATGCATTTGGCATTTGAAACGATGGGTGCGGGGTTTGAGTCACACTTGGAACGCCATCACTCGTGAAGGATTCAGCTAAAGAGTCCTAGGGAGGATTAAATATGCTTGCTAAATTCCATCGGTGCGTCGATGTCGCAGAGTTAGAATGCTCGCCAACCGACGGACGCACTCCTTCACCTCGCTTGGTTGGTCAAAAGCCCAGCAAAGACGGGAGGTTAGACGTGAGATTAGCAACCCCACCCCGTAAAAATAAATCCAATGATACCAAAACTTCAAAGCCCTGGCATGTAGCGCTATGTTCCACCGAGAACGCAAAAAAATGAAATAATAAGTAAAATAAAGATTCCACTGATAGCCATTAACTGATAACCAACTCTGTTTTAATATTTATACAATTAAAATTTTGTCTAACTTTTTGTATACTCACCATTTGATACATTGTCGTTTTTTTCTCCTCTGTCTTCTAATTTCATCCTAAAAATAAATATATCTCAAGTGCTCTGGAACACAGTCCTTGTTATATACTGTTAAAGAATTTAACCCAACAAACTTGTGGAGCATATTGCTGTGTACAAAAACAAGTTATTGAATATATTATGAAAACAAATGGTTATAACAAAGTTTATTATACTCAGTGGCGGGAATATCCTGACAAAGTGATTGATGATGATGATAATAATAATAATCCTAATATTGAACAATTAAATGATTTATCTTCTATGCCATATGAAATTATAATCATTGACTTACAAAACAAACTTTCTAATCAAAAGTGGAATTATTCAGAAAAAGCAACTCAACTCGTCCAACAGTTACACAGGATTCGTTTTAATTTACCATGGGAAAGTGATACTTATCAAAGCGTATTGAAAGGAGTTATTGTTATAACTTCATGGAATGGTAAGTTTGTAATTCGATCTGAATTTTCGCCTTTGTGACTGGTATTAGTGCCGTGTTAGTTTAGATTGTGATGGTGTAGAAGGGTATAATAGTAGCGGTATTTGTTATCTATGATGGTAGTATTGTTACATGTCTGCAGTATCCTAGAAAATCTTAAATTTTCAAGTATTCCTTTTATTCTGTGTATTTTTGTTGTTGTTTCTAACTTAGCTGTGAATTTCAGAAACTGTAGAAAATCTCCGTAAATGTACTCCAGAGGATAAACTACTGCTGAATCGCCTAAGTTTGTCACTTTGTTTGTATTTTTTTAAATCCATGAAAACACCTTATCTGAATATATTAATAAAAAATAAAAAACAATTAATCCAGAAAAGAAGCTCTTTTCGAGGAATTCATTTTTCTCTTTAGCTGCACAATCTCATTTATATACAATTATTTCACGAAAGATGATATTAATTAAAGCAATGAGCTGAAATAATTATTTCTGTTAATATTGGTCAGTACTTTGGTTGGACACTAATTAGTAACTCATATCATGCTTCTGGTCTTCTGTTTTCTGTCAATCAAGTTTGTAGTGTGGCCACTGTGGTAGCCGACGTCAAAGCGCACTCTAAACTGTTGTTAATAGATGGTTGAAGGCGGTCGGCAGAAAGCTTCAGATCTGGGCTTTGTACTTGTTGGCACTCACCAGTCAGCATGGTGTATCTGCAGTCTCGACTGATAGAATTCACTTTTCCCCGGACATAAGACTGAACGCATTATACTAGTTACTTGTTACTGTCCGATCAAAGCATCTAATACAGTCCTACATCAGGTTAGACGCCAGACCGAATAGCTAGGTGGTAACATCTCTGACGGCAACGCTGGGTGATGCAGATTGTAATCTTAGGAGGGAATGAGTTCCTTCAAGATTTCAGATCCGTTTTGTTAACAGGTGAGTCCTGAAAAGCATGAAATCTAGGTCCAAGGTTACCTGCCGATCGCCTCCAACAGCCTAGTAACATTAATCAATGCCTAAGATAAGTTGTATAAGGGTACTAGAGTTACGTAAAAAGACAAATAATCTAGTGAATGAGTTGTGAACAAGATGCATACAGAAATGAGGAAAAATGTTATATTACCTGAGTTTCGATAGAAATACTGGATGATTTGTAGTGGACGATTGTTTTCGATAAATTTCTCCTCAGGCTCTACAGTTATAAATCCAAAAAAATATTATAATACAAATAGCCATTAAAGGCAAGTGAAAATTATATCAGAAACTGTAATTGGGAGCATAGGAGTCAAAATGAGATATAAAAACAAAAAAAGTTGCTTGAAAACAGTAAGATTGTCATCATTACAATAGAACTGGTTGAATAATTTTGTTGTGTACAGAGGTTCAGTTTCTCTATCTGAAAGGCTAAAGCTTTATCATTACAGTGAAGACGAAAGTTTTTATCTTTTTTGACCGGTTGGTCTCCACATTTTAAATTACTTTGGAAGAGGAGTTTGTTGAGGCAGAATGACCTACGCTAAGGTATTCAATTATTGCACTCCTTATAGGACCATTAGTACCTTAATGCAATCACGCGGGATAGTGTTCTTGAGCCTTTTTAGGTAGTGAACGCGTCAAACAATCAATGTATCTGGTCTAACCTGAACAGATGAACTGATAAATACACACAGAAGAGGTCAGATGAGGCATCTTGGTAGGCTTCTGGAGACCGTCACTCTTAGCATTGCTGTGGAGAATCTTTTTCACAAAGGTGATCGAATTCTTCTCATACGGTTATTATTACAGGTTGGGTCTTTTTTTAAATCAGGGTTTATGTTCATTATTTGTTACAAAAAAGAAACTTTGCTTTGTTGTTTATCTATGATTAGAGTCACAAGTATACTTATTGCAAATAGCAGTATTCTTCCAAAGAAGTTCGGACCAGATCGCCGAACGAAACGTTGGAATTACTCATTGCAATATCGCTGAGATTTTACAAATATAATGTACTTCTCACTCGGCGCCCAAATATTTTAGAACTATTCTGTCAAATCTTGACTACAGTTCATTTGATTGAATTCCATATTAGTTTGTTTATTAGATGTATCACACAGTGAAACAGTATTATTTACTGGATGACACAGTTTCGAAGAAAATTTATTGTTCATAATCATGTCAACTGTAATCACACGACTTTGAAACTTGAGTTTTATAGTTATCTTTGTCTTCTCTCATTTGTCGTAGGGGTAGTAAAATTTTCCAGATATCATTCCTATTACACGTATTTGCAGTTGATTCGATAAGTAAAGCCTCAATCATTTATCAATCTCTCCCTCCATTCACCCTGTGACATTAGATTTTAAAACTGTCATCCTATCCCATCCATCCTATTGTATGGTTATGTGTGATTGCATGTATTGCTATAGCTGAACTATTCTCTAGATTTCTTATCTTATTTTGGTCAACCAATCTAGATTTAGTTGGGTTTTTATGTTCGGCTAGTCTGACTGACTGCCCCTGTTCTACTAGCTTGACCTATGTATTTGACCTCACAAGCATTGTAGGCAGGGTATTAGATAGACTTAATTGTTTTGTTTTAATGGCTCCACAGGATCCTTTAACCGACAAAGCTTGTTTCTAATTGAGTTTGTGGGTTTGAATGTTCCAAAGTAAATTATATAAAGAGATGATTGTGGAGCTTCATAATAGTAAATTCGTTGAAAAAAGACTCTTCGCTGAAATCACATGTTATCGTTTCTTAATAATAAATGCCTTCCCTTACGCCTCACCCGAAATGTTCTTGAATCAGTCGACAAAGTCATCTACCGGTGTAACGATTTCATTAAATACACATTTTCAATTGATTCTATTTTTTTCATATATTTCAGATGATATACTCAATCCATTACTACAAAATGTATCTTGGGATTGTACCATCAACTTCAGGGAAATATCAAATTTACAAGGGATGAATACACAATTAGAAAATATCACAAACTCTGTTAATATTGAACAAAAATCAATGTTGAACAATTTCATTCTGAATTACTTGAACAATATTCAAGATGATAATAATAATAGCAATAAGTTTAATCTTATTCTATATGATGTATTCACTGAAGCACATTTACTCGCTTACCAGTATGCTCTATCAGATCAAAATCTCACAAAGTATAAGCCTTCAATCAACCAACTAAATTCCTTTGGTTATTTATTACAAACACTGAATGTTTGGTTATATTTACAGTATCATCAAAAGCAAGATAATATAAAAGAAACTTTACTCAATGAATTACATGAAACCTGCTTACTAACGGATTCAATAAAATCTGGTTGTCGGGCATTAGATAAGCAAATTACTCAAGCGAATACTTTTCTTGATGTATTGAATAAAGATTTAGATAATTATCAAAATATTTACTTACCAGAAGCTAAATTAAATCAGAAAAATGCCATTGAACAGATAGAGAACTTGGAGAATGAAATTAAACGTAAAGAAATTGAATTGGAGCATTCAAAGAAACCAATGGATCGTGTTCAAAAATTAGTTCAAATTGAATTTAATAAAGTAATTTTTTATTTATTATAGTTAGCCTACTGATATAATAAAGGTTTTCTTGTATTTCCCAATGAGTGAAAAACAAAACGATGTTGTTTTTACTGACATTTCGCTATTTAATGCTAATAGCTTTATCAAAGTATTATTAAACCGGAATTTATAAAATCTCAGCATATATATAACAAAGAGTTAAGAGGTGAGAAAATAGACTTAGGTCAAGTTAAATTAAAAGGAAATACTGAAAGTCAGAATAACAATGAAGATCACTAAACCAAATATCAAAGGTAATAGTATATCTGTTATGGTATCAAAACAAAGCTTAGTAACTTGATCATCGTTCGTCAGTCAGGGGTCATTTTTTGTAGTCAAGTTGGTCAATTGGTAAAGATAACAAAATCAAGTGTAGATTGTTGGATTTGATCAGTGTGTAAAATTATAAAAGTAGTGTGTGTTTACATAGTGAACTTGCTTATCACATTTGTGTTGATTTTGTCACTTCATGGGGGAAGGACGTGTTGTAACCAGGTCAAACTCTGCTTTAGTCCATCATTCCTATTCAGGCAATTTGGATTCCACTTGATATGAAGTGCTTCTGATATTAGACGTTCTTTGTGATTTCTGAAACACTTTTTTTGGATGATGATTTCAATACTGTCAAAATCAATTTTATGACCTGATTCTATAGCGTGTAGACGAGCTATAGGTGATGATTTTTCAAGCTTTCCTAGTTCAACCGGATTTCTCGGTGGTCGAAGAGATGCTCTATGGTGTTCACTTCTTCTGATTGTGATTTCTCACTGGCATTGTTTGTCCGATGTAGATCGCATCACATTCCAAGCAAGCATTTGATTTTATGGACACAATTAGGCAGAGAATCTTTAGGGATTTGGTCTTTTATATGGACAAGGTTGTTTTTCTGTGTGTCTGATGTTTTGAGGAAAACTCTGTTGTCGTGCTCATTGAATACTCTTCTGATATCGTCTGACGTCTCTGCTCTATATAGAATGATGACTATTGAGGTCCATGTTTTCGGAATGCGTTTTCGGCCATATTTAATTTCAGTGTTGATTTTGTTGATGAAGTTCTTTGGGTAGTTGTTTTGCTTGAGTTTCAGTAATGTTTGATATTTCTTCTTCTTTTTCTTCCTCTTCCGTTATCAGAGAGTGTGCTCGTCTAAGAAGACTTGAAACAACTGAAATCGCTGCGCTGATGGGGTGTGATGATTTGAAGTCTAAATATTTGTTGGAGTGGTTTTTCTTCCTGAATATGAACATACTAAAACGTCCATTCCCCCTCCTCTTAACTAGGGAGTCTATAAATGTTAGTTCACCGACGTCTGATTCTACTTCCGAAGTAAACGGGATTCTGGGGGATAGACAGTTTATTTTTTCTAGGAATGTACTATGTAGATCTCGTTTAAGCACAACAAAAGTATCATCTACATATCTTAATCATATTTTAGGAGTGAGGAGTGAGTATGCTTGAAAAGATAATATTTTCGAATCTGTTCATGAAAAGGTCGGCGACTATTGGGGAGACTGGTGAATTTTTTCAAACTGTTAAAAGTAAACTTGGTTCGGATGTGTACAGCCTACTGATAGATTGTTAGTACTGTGATTCTTCCCTTGGAAACCTAGTGCAATACGGGGTTTCAGCAATATGCCATCATTCCACTCTGTTCTGTGCTCTCATTTCTAGCTGACTTAACAAGCCTTCATTTTGTCTTTATGAGGTTTCCACTGTGTCACAGTCTCCACTGTCTGCCGCATGATCTAGACCACTATAATTAGGAATATTGTCGGTTATAGCATGCAGTATTGTATTACTGCAGTCTTCACATCAGAAGCTTCACTGGGTTTTCCGTTATCGATCACTTGACATATGGTATCAGCAAAAAGCTGTTGAAAGGGGTTTGTAAGGGTTTTGAACACTCCTTAGTTTTAGAGGATTTCCAATATACTTCATGGTTAACGATATCGAAGGACTTTTAGAGTCGATGAAGTTGAGCCAGAGGTTTGACTGCCGTTCTTTTCTCTGTTGGATGGTGATGCGTATGTCTGCAATGTAATCTGCAGGTGATTTATTTTTTTATGAATTCCACTTGTTTCAAACGCAGTTGTGAATCCAGAGCATCTTTTAGTCTCTTCAAGGTGGTGCGGTTTAATATTTTGTTTGGGGTAGATAATTTCATGACTCCAAGGCAGTTCTCGTGTTAGTTTATATCACACTTCTTCCAAACAACAAGTACCTTTCTTTCCTACCAGACTTTCGGCAATATTGGCATGAGAATATTTACTGAGGTCTCTATGTCCATTTTCAGTGCCTTATGGTATATTTCATCTGGCCCTACTGCCTTTCCAACTTTCTGTAACCTCATGGCACTGAAGACTTCTACTTTTACCGGAAGGTTGGCGTTTACTGTTAGTTATGTGTCTTCTGATTATATTTCGTACGTGACGACCGATTTAACTGCAATCTGAAGTGATCAGCTTAGTGTTTTCCTTATTTCACTTTCTTGGTAATTGGGTTTCATTCACTATCTTTGATTTTATTCTTCTGCTTTGATGTGATTTCTCTCTCTTAAATGCGGCCTTCTGCTTCAGCTTTTCGTGGTCCATCTCCAGTTTTTTTCGTAGGAGTTTAGTTTGATCTTTAAATTGGTACAGATCAGACAGTCGTCTGAGCTTCCACCTACAGCGATGTTAGATCATTCAGAATTAAGGTGTTAAATTATTTGCACCTAAAGCCCTGAGAAATGTAATAATAATAGCTCTATTTTGGACAGTACTTTCATCAACAATAAAGAATTATCAATACACTTTTTTATGCGACAGTTAACATTTGTTTAGAGTCCGTGGGAGGAAGAACTTTGTGTTGTGTATCTCATTATAGAGCACACTCTAATCTTCCTCAAGTCATTTTGTCGTCCGCATCCTCTAGAAAACTGATAAAAGTTGATAGAAATCTGTTTAACAATGCTTTATATGTAGAAAATATGAAATAGATTAAAGGAAAACACTTTTTTGTTAGACGTAGCCTAGTAGTTGAGGCGAACGGCGAACCAACAGTCCAGCATATTTTCAGTACAGTTGTGAAAGTATCGACAGGTTGTTTAATAACTTTCAGTATTTCAACAGTTTCCTGTTGAGGATGAAACAGCTGTCTAATGAATATTTTCGTCAATAAAAAAAGTTTTAGGAATTTGATTGTTTCCTCTTAGAAGTGAAGTACCTGATGAATGTGAAGTAATGGAGATTTTTTTAGCTGAGGTGGATGATATTGAATCAGTTGAGCTCTCTGAGCTGGTTGATTTAATTGCGAAGGTATTATCGTCCTCCTAGAAAAGCTTGACAAGTAAATCAACCAGCTCAGAGAACAAAACTAATTCAACACAGGGAATGTAGCAGGAAAGTGACGATGAATGTATATTAGGAAAGAGAATGTTTAACCACTTAAATATTTTGACGAAATAAAGTGTACTTGTATTAAATTTTGTTTAGCATTCATATCCAAACTAATTTGATGTATACATTAAAAATTTATATATTTGAATACCAAAGAATTGAGTAGCGCACTGAAATTTCGAAGCTTTGCTTGTCAGTGTCACTATTTATATATATTTTCTTCTGTTTAATTGGTAACTTAGACGTCCTGATACTTTTTATGTGTGAGTTCCCTTTCACTAACAAAGTCTTCAACCTTATTTCCTTTCCCAACGAGCAGTGTTGGCTAATATAAGATTACTTTGTAACCGGGATACTAATATTCGGAGTGAAACATGACAGTAAGCTATGATGTCTTTCAGTGTTGGTTTGAGCCAAGTAAGCAGGTTTAGATTTCTGGTTTAAATCCTTGTGTAACTAAGAACCGCTTGCTAGAGATTGTCACTTATATGGCTCAGAATCAGTCTCATTGGAGCATTTCTTATGATTACCTCGTTATCTTCCCAATAAATTACCTTTTATTATGTTTTCTTTGCATCTATTTCCTCTGCCATTATGTGCACTATTTATGAAGTGTGATCACTTTAGCTGCTGGGTTTTTGTGAGAACTTCTACACTGACAATTAATTTAATTGCATTCAGCCTCAATTTAGGTGTCATTTGCAATAATTTTATCTAAGAAGCAAACAGGATATCCCCCTTTTTCAGCATTCGTAAAGGTTATTTATGATTGACTGAATAAATAGTGAGTTATTTACTAGGATTCTTTTGAGTTTACTTTTGAATAAAGCATTAAGAAGACAATTTCGTGAGATGATATCATTTCGTAGTTTCTTTACAACCGCTTTACAATTAACATAGTTAACAATAAGAAAATAAAGATTATGACAATTACTCAGTTAAATAAAATCCAAAAGTACATACACTAATGACCAATCATATTTAGATAGGTCATGTAGTCCATGGTAGGCGAAGATTGAAGTCTATCGATTTTGTAAACACAGTTTAGGCTGTATGTGATTAATCCAAACTGCTTCCATCACCTTCAATAACCTTGAGTTAGAGTTATGTGAAATAATTGTGAAGCAGTCATTAATATTGATTTTGTGACCTGACATTAATAAGTATTTCGCAATGGATGATGCTGGATTTCTATTCAGATTAATTGCGTTGGGATTTTCGATATGATTTAGTAGCCATTTTGGAACATGTTCTTTTCGACGAAATTGGAATATTCTATTGGTTCTACCTAGATAGGTGTCACCTCAGCTGCAGGTGAACTTGTTGATACAGTTTGAAGTAGAGTCCACAGAATTTCATCCTTTAACCGTAGGAACAGGGATCGAAAATGTTCGGCAAGTGAGATAAAGAGGTGCGGCGTAGAATGTGTGTTTGATGGCTGACCGAAGTCTTTGAGCTGTCAACTGCATAATCTGGTCGTCCTTGAATGGTAGATTAATAAAAATTGCTTCCTTTGGTACAGAAGCTGTCTTTTCGAGATGTGGTCTTTCTTTACTGTGACAAGTGATAAAGTTCTCCGGATAACCATGAGCTAATAAAACTGAATGTACATGTCGAATCTCATCCATCAGTGTGTCACTCGTGCATATTTTTCGGGCCCTTGAGAACAAACATTTTACTAGGGAACGTTTATACTGGATAGGAACGAAACTGGTGAAATGAAGATATTGTCCACTCCATGTGTGTTTACAAAAAATAGACCCCTGAATCGTACCATCATCTCTCTTAGTCATAGTAATATCCAGGAAACCGAGTTTGTTATTCGATTCTGGTTCGGAAGTCACTTGGATATTTGATTAAATTATTTATTGCACACAGCGACGACTGATTTCCTTCAGGGTTAGTAAGTCGGGCAGCCGGCAGTTCGAGTTATGCAAGGGTCTAATGTTTCCTTCATGAGTTTCATCATCAGCGTAATAAAACAATCAGATAAGCAGGTAAGATTCCTCAAGTAGTCATCTTATTCACCAAGCCTTTCATTCTCCTTTTTCTTTTTTGTTTTTAGTTGAGAGATTTGTATCGTTTAGCTGTTCAAGGCTTACATGCCTTATCAATTGAAGATTTAGATGAGATACGCTCATATCGTGAACCACCAGATGAGGTAAAAGATTGTGTCTACATCATTTGTATGCTGATGAATGAAGCAGAAAAGTGAGTTGTAGTTTATTTTCATTTGTATTTTTGTCTTTTCGCATGACTTGTTTCCTAGAAATACAAAGATTAATAGAAATGCTGAAGCATTTATTTCTGTAAAGTTATATTTACTTTTGGACACATTCTAATCTCTCAACATTGATGGAAATTTAATATACCAGATGTTAGCTGTTATCTACTATCTTGAAGTGGTGGTTGAGCTTGCATATCGTTATAATCTAATGACCCATAAGAGCTAAGGCAAATGTTTCTTCAGGTTCTACCCTACTGGTGTGTAGGAATGTAAAGGTAGAAAGGAACTTCTCTCAGGAAGCCATCAGTTAGTACATACTCCTTTCCTGCTCTAGAGATAAAGACTTGACTCTAAAATTGTAAACCATAGCTTACGCGATGGTAATACAAAATCAGTGATTAGTTAGTCTTTACGGATGAAAGTCCAAAAGCTCTGCCCAGAGTTGTTGCTAAACTCTTTCGTTACCTTTCCTATTCCAGATACTTAAATGAGACATGAATTGCAGGGGTGTGAATAGCAGAGAGTTAGTAACCATCCATTTACTTTCAAGTGCACATTGATGTATTGTGTTCATTATTCACTCTGTTTATCTTCTTGCTTTCTTTCCATCTTTAGTACTATCCCAAGACAGCTCCATAAAAACTTTCATAACATATTGACTACAGTGTGTGACTTAAATCACGAAAACATCACTGTCAGTGCAATAAAACTAAACGAGCAACTACATACTGGGGCTTCTAATGTCTGAACCATATACCTAATCGGCTATAAAGCCTTTTTCGATCGGAAGCTCAATGGTACTTGTTCACTTAGTTGAAAAGTTCTGAAGTACTCAAAACTCCTGTGTGACGAAAGAAACACTAATTATTTATGCAGATTTCGTAAATTTTCTAACCTTCAGAGACTTATGTTTATAAAGACTTCGATAGAGATAGATCAAAAAACAAGGATTTTAAGACATCATTAAAATTTACTTTTTAGTCTAGTTTGGCAACATTATATTATTATTTCCTTTAATTCCTAGAGGAACATAGGGCTTCAGCCGCGCGTCTCCACTGCGTTCGGTTTTCTACCAACTTTTTCACCCCGCTCCAAGTCTGCCCACATGCTCTCATCTCCTCTTCACATAACCTCCTCCATGTCACCCCACCCTCAAACTGACGACCAACTCGCCGATTCCCTTTCAGGTTCCACTCGAGCAATGGCTTGTCTAGTGATGTCACTTGATGGTTTCCTCAGCGTCTGGCCAGTCAATCCATCTCCATTTCTTCCTGCTATTTGCTTCACAATCGGTTCCTACTGAGTTGGTTCGCTCATTGCCAGAGATCCCTGTTGCTGATCTTTTCTGGCCAGCCATCTGATCTTGAGCAAAGTACTGAGCAAAGACAACTGTCAATGAAGGTCTGAAGTTTGTTTGAGATGCTCTTTATGACGCGCCACTGACAACATTGAAGAGGTATTTTAGTTTGGTTAAAAGTGAAGCAGTACTTCTTAGACTTGGAATCTTTGATTTCTTCAGGATTATGACAATTTAGGTGGAAAGACCATGTATTATGATCATTAAGGAAACTAAAAACATTTCAAGGGGTGAGTTTCTTCAGTCGAAAATGTTCTGCGAATTTCTGGAGGCATAAGTGCCGCTTTGGATTACTTCAAAGTTTGTTTGTAAATTTACTTACCTCTATGGAGTTTTTACTCTTTGCACAAAACATGCAATTTCCAAACGCATCTCAGGACACTATCTGATATATATATATATATATGTATGTCAGGAAGACAAAGGTAGTAAATTGTTAGCCCCGTCTTCAAGCACCTGATGAATTTGGGCCATGCAGGTCCGCCTAAAATATCCTTTGAAACTATGCATAAAGTAATGTCAACAGGCTCACGAGGTGTGACGTCTTGATACTCCGGACTATGTGTGGCGAGAAGATGTATCTGGTCTCTCATCCCAGCACTGTCTTATACCTACTCCTATTTGCTTACTTCAGTCTGATGTAGGTGATTCACTATGACTACCCTCACGTGTCATTTTTGTACATTTTACCAGTAAGGTTTTTCCTTGTCATACATCAAAACTCATCAAGTGAACACCCAAAAATCCTGCTTCTTATCTAATGACAGTTTTCACCTTATAAAATTTCAAAACCATATCCTCACTGTGTTATTCCTAATTGCGTAATTTCTCCTACCGTTAGAGACCATTTTTGGAAGACTGTATCACTTATTTCACTGATGCTTATTGCTCAGTAACAGACTAATATGAATCTTTTTCACTCCTTTGTTTTCCGACTGGAGCATGGGACTTTAGGAATGAACCTTAATGTTTCAGTAGCGCTGATGCTTTTTGTAGTGTGGGGTTGCTCGCCTAAGGCCTAAACCTATTTCTTCGCCGGACCCACCATAGAATAGGCGAGGTCTGGCAGCTGATTTGACGGTAATCGAACCTGGACCACATCTGTGGTTGGCTAGCATTCTACCACTGAGCCTTGTAGTTATTACAAATACAATTGTTAAGAAGGCAATTGCAGCGAAGAAAATGTTTTTTTCGACGAAGTCATCATCTAGGCTGTACATTCGTGTATTTATATCAGATTAGTGGGAAAGTTCCAGAATAATTTCCGGTTAAGGGTCAGATTAATAAAAATTACAATTAGGAATTAAAATGCCATAATAAACAGGAGGATGGATAAAACAAACAAAGTAGCATCATGATAGCTAAGAAGATTGACATTGTACAATTAGGGGTTAGAAAAGTAGAAATAACAAAATAGACAGGATGTTTGGATAAAAACTAATGTGACGAATAATTGTTTATGCAATCAGGGATTAAATATGTAGAAATAGTAAAGTGAAAAAATAAACGAAAGTTTGGATATGAAAATATGGTAGTGTAAACAGGGATTAAGAAAAACTTAAAATAACGTGAATGAACAGGAAGTTTAGATAAGAACAGCGATGGGATGGTCGTTTCTAAAAAATTATCTGTTTATGATGGCCATGGCAGGGACAGGGGTTGGACGTATTTCTTTTGGATACAAAGCGTAGGTTTGAGCTTTAGGATAGCTAGCGCCTCGGCTATGCCCAGTTGTCTTGATTTCACTCTCTTTGATAGGTTTGATTGAATCTCGTATATGACTTTGAAGGATTTTTCGAAAGGCGCTGAATGACCTGAATTGACCAGATGTTCTGTCACTGAACTGTATACACGCTTTTGCTTTCCTTTTACTAACCAGGCTGGGTAGTGTTCACGAGCACGTTTTTCAAGTCGGCACATGGTACGGCCGATGTACTCAGCTCCACAAGAGCAAGTAAACTGGTATATGCACGTTGAGGTGGCTCAATGCGACAGCTTGTCTTTCGCGTTCTGGCTGAACAGTTTTTTGCAGGAAAACGTCAGTCGTAGGCTCGCGGCGAATTATGTTTTCCTCAGCCATTTATAGAGGCGTTTATGAAGGATTTCTGCTTCAGTGTCACCTTTGAATTCTAGATTCGGGACGGACTGGAATTGTTCGGAAGTCTTCTTAGATTTGAGATTCTTGTCTATGAATCTGGGCGGGAAACCGTTTTCCATCAGGGTTTTTTGAAGATTACGCAGTTCTTCTTCAACCACTTCCTCGCTGCATATCTTCCGAATCCTCGAGGAAAGAGTGTATATTAGGTTCCTCTTTCTACTCAGGGGCACGGAGCTTTGAAAGTTGATGAATTGTCCATTCCATGTAGGCTTTTTGTATACGGACCTTTTCAGAGAGTTGTTGGCGTTTCTTGTCAGATGGACGTCGAGGAACTGGAGCATTCCGTCGGATTCAGTCTCAAGTGTAAAGTGTAAAAAAAAATAAAAATAAAAAAAATATTTGGGTGGGCATTATTGAAGATTTGAAGTAATTTTTCTACATCACAATTCTCATCACAAGTAATGAAAGTATCATCGATGTATCTCTTCTAGAGATGGAGGTCGTTGATAGTTGGTAATAAGGCGTTGTTCTCTAAGCTGCACAGTTTCCTCAAAAGTAATTTCTTTTCTGATCTTTTGTCTTATTTTATCTTATTCATGAATCAATGGATTTCATCATAATGTTTCTGATGACATACAAAAAAAAACTTTTCATTACAACAAAGAAGGAAGGATCTATTGTCTCTTAATATATCGCCTAATTAAAATGAAATACATAGAAAGTAAGATTGAAAATTAGAAACATATTTTTAACTATACATGAACAATAATTCTTCAGCTGATTCTTTCTTTCCTTTCATTTTCTCATTAACAAATTAGCTGGGAGAATGCAAAACAAATGATGGTTCCAGTGAAATTTATCAGTAAAATTTTAAAACTTCATACTCAATTACTGGACAAACGAAAGCATAATGAATTAAGACAGCGTTTAAATAATTCTGTAATAATGACACCAGAATACCTACTACAAGTAAGCAATATTACTTTTTTTTAAATAGGACATAGAACTGAAAAAAAATATCTCTGTGTCTTACACTTCCCTCAGGGAATACTGTCTTGGTTTTCAAAGATTTGTTTTGAAATTTGTTCGATTTTAAAGTGATATGATTGGTGTGTTCTGCTGGAAATGAAGTACTTCTGATGAGAATGTGACAGATATTCAGCGCTTCTTTGTCTGCACTTGTCTTCTTATCTAATACTAGTTTCTGATGAAATTCATCAGGAAAATACCACCATTCTGAAGTTCATAATTAAAATCTGTTGAATAATAAGATGAAGACGTTCTACAAACTGAAGAAACTACTTAATTGGTTATGGTTTACACTGGAATGATACAGGAACATTTCACTTAGTTTAAGAGTCATTAATTTGATATAACTAAGGTCCTAGTGAGTGATCCTGTTTTTGATGAGACTCGAACTTAGCATATATCGTTTGAAACACTACAAACGCCATTCATTAGGTTGATGAGCTAAGATGACTACGACGGATATCAGTTATTATTTAGTAGTATTTCAAAAGTGACTGAATATTTCGATCCAATACAGTAAATCAACTGGAGATTCAAAGCGGTTGTATTAAATTAATTAAGTGGCGTCTTATGATATGCACACTGAGGTATCTTAGCAGAAGAATTCTTTTCTTGACTAGTTGGTATAATATTCCTTATAAAGCTTGTGGATTTTTTCAAACTGGTATGTACTGGGCGATGGTAGTATACTTGTATTATGAGAAGAAACCTGTTTGGTTTCTGAAGTTGTCTTCTTCAAGGACGGCATGGTTACTGGATACGGGTGAAAGAGATGGTTGCAGAAATTTATCCATGGGTGTCTTATTTCCACTGCCCCTCTTAATTGAAACCGTGTACTATATCTTTTAATTATTTATTATTCCCTTGGGTTCCAAGTGAAATATAGGGCTTCAATGACACATCTCCGCTTTGTTCTATTTTCTGCTATCCTCTTCAGCTGAGTCTACGATCGCCCATCATCTCTCATCTCGTCCTCGCTACGCAATCTCCTCCATGTCACCCTCGCACCGACGACTCACTCGTCACTGACTAATAAGGCAGTCGCTCTGAAGCCATCAGTATACGTGTTAGGTTATAAAATTCAACTAGCTAGAAGCCCTGGACCTAGGTTTTGTGCATGTTGATATTCGTCAGCCTTGAAGGGGTCAAATGTTCCCTGTTGGATTCAAACCCACCTAAGTGAATCAAAGTCCTTACCAGTAAGCTATTTAAGTCCGCGGTTAACCTTTTAATTCATCGCAATGGATTCTTCGATAGGCCACCAGGAAGTTATCAATGTTCTGAATTTAGTCCATGGTGTTGGTGTAGTAAGAATATGTGTCACACATATCACAGTCTTCTTCCTCGATGAACAGTGTAACTGAATTCGGACTAGACTGTAATGAAGTTAGGAAAAAACATATTACGAATCAATCAGGTTTATAGGGTATTGTTCTGAACTACATTGGGAAGTATGGATTACCTGATATTCTTTTTTATTCCTTCACGTTCCCAGTGAAACATACGGCTTCAAGCTATAGATATAAAGTTTAGGTAGCAATGGTGTTTAATTCTACGGGAATGGTTTTCTGGCTTCGTGCCCAACCTTCCCTCTTTACCAGTCTTGTTACTGGCTTAGCGAGGTAAAGCAGTGCGTCCGTGGCCGGGAGTCGAACTCTGGACCACATGGGACGTGGTCGGCGTGTATTCTACTGCTGTGTTACTGACGCACACCTGATAGACTAAGAATCAATATTTACAGACTTTTGGGGAAACAGCTTAAAATCATTCACCATAAAGCATATGAATTTATTTAGCACGATTTCATCATTTCTAATAAGATCCAATTCTACTTGATACATTTTCATTACTTACGGTATTGTTCTACCTCTGTTCCATTATTTTCCGTGCACTGTTCTGATGGGTTGACACTTGAAGAAGCGCAGTCTTGTAGAAGGTTCTGCGTGAATAAATTAATCAGATAGTTAAGGTTTGATAGAGAGCTGATATCGGTTGGAGAGCCACTGGAAAACCACGGTGTACTGGCGTGCCGTTTCGTCCTAGTCCAGCACTCCTCATCAGTACCCACCAACCAGGGTATCCATCCGAGCTTGACCATTCAGCCACGGAGACCCAACCCAAGAGCTCATGAAGCAGCATTGTTTTATTCATATTCATGACTCATTAGAAGTATGAATACGGGATACTGTTGGAAATGAAATCTAAATTCATTAACTTGCCATCTGACTGTCCTGAATTCAACTACTGGTTTTCCGACTTCTTTTAAATCGCATTATACAAAAAAGGCTCTATGCGTTGATAAATCTGAACTGGTTGACTTCACTTGTTAGACTTATGCATTAAAACTTTGCGTTAACTCATTTTGAAGATAGTCAATCCGAAACGTCTTTTATCATGTCCTAGGAATGCCATATTGAAAAGCGTAAAATCTGAATTAATCAACTGCCTACAATTTCTCACTTTGTTATGATTTTATAATTGCTTTCACTTCCTAATGAAAACCACAGGTAGAATAATTAAATTTTTCGCAAACTAACTCTTCAGCTGATTAGATCCACTTTTCTTTGCTATTTACTACTTAATTTATTCATATAAGTAGAGTGAACGTCTTGTTTTTCTCTCTTTTTTATCCTCATAGATAAGTGTAGCAGCCTCCAGATTATGTCAGTGGTTAAGAGCATTATGTGAATGTTGTAATGCTGGTGAACGTTTACAAAATCATGTCAACAATTATTCTTCAACAGAATCTCAACTCAATCAAATTGAAACAGCGCTAGCCAATCTGCATTTATCCTTACAAATGACTAAGCTAAACTTAGAAATGATAAATAATCATGTAATCGACTGTGAAAATCAAATTAAAAATATTTCAGAACAAATTGATGTGAGTTATTTTACTTAACCATAGTGACTTTGATGTTTTATTATTATCTTCTGGAGTTGTGCTTCAAAATAAGAAGTTATTCCATTGAATACTGAAGCGTAATAATTGTCAGCTTACCGAGGTTATAATAGTGTCATACAGAAACAGTGACTACAGCTGTTTTATTTTTTTATATCCTTCACGTTCCCAGTGGAACATATGGTTTCAAACTGGAGGCTTGAAGTTTCTGTAGCAATGTTTATTTTTACAGGATGGGGTTGCTAGCCTCATGCCCAACCTTCCATCATTACAGTCTTATTACTGGATAAGTGAGGTAAAGGAGTGCGCCGGCCGGTGATCGAACCTCGGACCATGTGCATGGTCAGTGAGCATACTAACCGCTTGGCCACCGACGCACAGCTAAAATAGCTAAATGTTAACACCTCTGTCTGTAAGTCTGAATCAGTTGTAATGAGTGGACTTGTTTGTTTTTTTGTTGCCGGCAAACGTTTTAATGTGTTTCAGTTAGCAAAAAAATACTCTCTCCGATAAAATCATCTTGAGGTTCTACATTTATATGAGAGTAATAATTAAAGATATATTATTATTATCAACACTAACGTTTTAAATGACAGTGAATTACTAGTATCGCCAGATTACATTTCAAAAGTGTCAGTATGAGATAATATGCATTAATATAACACTAAAATAAATACTATATAACACTATGCTTGGAGAGGTTATTTCTGATAGGTAGGAGGATGTCTGGGACCCATTTGGCAGTAGCATGATATGAGGAATTTGTCATATCCCAAAGTCGACATAGTGGCACGTTCTCTTTGTGCACTTTCGGCAGATCGTATAAACAGGGAATCGATTATCAGCTCTGAATTATTCGAGCAAATACAACCCTCCGCTTCCGGGATTCTCCATTGAAATACTAGATAAGTTATGGGACATAACAGAGAATTTATGAGTTTATCGGCTTGTCAGCGGACCAGGGTTGCAATAGTCGTCGAACTTGCTTCGTTTGCACACACAGCTCCGGTTAGTTTAGGTGGATCGCAATGACCTCTGCTATTAGGATAAAAACATACTCTTATGTAATCACTTGCCAGTTATTTCCCACAAAGGAACTGATGACTTCGCTTACTCAGATTTATTTTGTTTAGTTTTATAAATCAGGTAATAGAATGATAACGCAACGCATTTTCATCCGACTGCTTTACGATGAATTTATTAAAGATTAGAATGACAGAAAACCTGTATTTACGAAAAATGACAAGCTGAATGGCTCTAAATCAATATATATACTTATATAAATAGTTTTATAACAAAATTATACCAGTCATGTGACTATGCTTTTTTCATTCCTTTACGTTCCCAGTGGAATAAAAGGCTTCAAGCTAGAGGCTTGAAGTTTCGGTAACAGTGGTGTTTATTTCTGTGGGATGGGGTTGCTAGCCTCACGCATAACCAGTTTTCTTACTGGCTGAGCGTGGTAAAGCATTGTGTCAGTGGCTAGGGATCGAACCCCGGACCACATGAAGCGTGGTCAGCGTGTATTCTATCGCTGTGCCACCTACTTACATTTGGTTATGTTAATCAGTAAAAATTATCAGTATAGAAGGGATGAAAATAACTGAATGAAAGCCATCAAGACAGTTGGTTAGAAGAATTTCGTAACATATTTTCAAAGCCACCAAGAAATACAAATTTTCAACGCGTAGGAAGAGTGAAAATAATTATGAAATTCAAGATCAATTACTTTTAGAGATTAAAGACAAGTTATTACACAATCGTTAATTTGTAAAATAGTGATGACTAAGAATAAGGGGTGCGTCGGTGGCCAAGTGGTTAGGACGCTCGCCGACCATGCATATGGTCCGGGATTCGATCCTCGGCCGGCGCATTCCTTTACCTCGCTAAGCCAGAAATAATGCTGGTAAAGAGGAAAGGTTGGGCATGAGGCTAGCAACCCTATCCTGTAAAATTAAACACTGCCACAGAAACTTCAAGCCACTAGCTTGAGGCCCTATGTTTCCCTGGGAACCTGAATGGAAAAAACGAATAAGGCGATGTGATACAGACAGTGTGTTCCAACGAAAAATTATTCTCACCTAATCCCACGGTTCAGTACTGCATTAGAGGCAGAATAATATATGTATTTCATGTAGTTTAATGTAAACCGAAAACACACGCTCATTGAGTGACTGGTTGAAGATTATAAACTGTATGGATGTAAATAGCTGTCTAATCAGTTGAAAATATACGTTTGCGTCGGTGTCTTGCCTTCTGTGGCACAAGAAGACTCGATGAATTAATTAAAAATGACCCCATGATGAACAATCAGTTCTTATTCTAGTCATTATCCATCATATGCTCAGACATTATTGGAGTAGCTGTGTAACAACAGAAAACAAGGGCCAAGTAACAGATCGTTTATGAAGGAAATCAACACATATTTATATATTTCCATATACATATTATAGATTATTGTTAGCAGAAAAACACAGTCCTCTGATTGGTTGTTTCTCACTGAAAGTTAATCTTTCATCTCTCTGTGGCTGTTTCTTGAACGTCAGATCATCTATATGCTAACTGTATCCGCCTACGCAAAGTCTTCTGTGGTTGGTTGTTGAATCAGTCTTTGTTCATATTTTCTCACGACCAATATTTGGGACATAAACATTGACGTGAATTAATGTCTACCAACTTTGGCTAGCAGCCCGCTCTCACCACAGGTATACTTGAGTTCGATATGTCAGCATAAAATTAACATTTTAGTTCAGACATGATTAATAAACAGAATATAAAATTCACCTAAAGTTAAGTCATTACGTAATCGGTAATGTGACTGGGGAGAATAGTAAATGAATGAACTTTATGCATATTATGTGGATAGCCACTGCAAAGAAAAAAACTACCCAAAATTCTTTTGAACACACAAATTTAGTTTATTCAAATGAATTCCTATTTCCTCTGTTGTATGCAGAAGTCATACTTGTAGAGTATGCGCGATGTTGGGTGAAGGACGATAGAGAAATGTTAGAATAAATGTATTTTGTCATCACTACACTTAAGGATAGACAGAAATAGACAAAATGTAATATATTTGACATCAGTACATATGACAGAAAGTTGCTAGATAGTTATTTGACTAAGTAAGATATTTAAACACCTGCTGATCGATAAGTGGATGGCGTCCTCGATTAATTTCAAGCTTGAATACTGTTTTCATTTGGTAGACTGTTCACTTAATTTATGCAGAGAACAATGGTGAATTGTCACTTTTTGGACAATATCATAATTACAGTTTGCTGCTTATAATAAAATATGGAAATCTAAATTCAAACATTAATTACATTCAAGCACAAATCGTACATTAGTCAACAATTTCCTCCAAAATTGTAGAGAATTTCACATTTAAAAGATATGAGTTACACATATAACGTATGTACCGAAAGTTGTCAAATCTGTTGGTGCGAACATACCAAAAGGCATATTTACTTTACAGTATTAAGCACCAAGTGTGCGTCAGTGGTTCAGTGGCAGAATACTAGCCAGCCCCATATATGGTCCAGGTTCGACTCCCTGCAGACGCACTTGTAAATCTTGCCTAGTTCACTAACCGGTAAGAATCCCGAGAAAGAAGGAGGGATGGGCCCTAGACTAGCAACACTACCCTTTAAAGATAACAACACCATCACTAGTGCAGCTTCAAAGCTTAGAACTTAAAGCTTTATGTTACACTGAGAACCCAAAGGAATGAAACAAAAATGAATGAGCAACTGGTGTTTGAATTCAGTGTAGGCTTTGGCTGAACGCTAGTTAGAAGCTAGTGTAATGTAAGTGTCTAGTCCTATCTTTGGTGAAGACTGAATTTTATCAGTCAAGTTTACGATGTCGCCAGCATGCTGCATGACTTGCCTTCACGGTGCACTGTGAAGTGTTGGTATTATATGGTTGAAGGCAGTCGGCAGGAAGCCTTGACCTGGGTTTAATGCTAGTTGGCTCTCACCAATCAGCAACTTCGAAGGAACTCGTGTCCCTTATGAGATTCAAACCTGCATCATTCAGTGCTGCATTCACAGGCATTGGCACTGAGCTATTCAGGCTACGTTGCAAAACTGACTAATAGAATTCAGTCCACACCAAAGATAGGAATAGACGCATCACATTAGTTACTGACTAATGTCCAATTAAACCATGCAATTCAGTCTTACAGAAGGTCAATTGTGAGTCTGAATGGCTCAATCGTAACGTCTGAGTGCAGCAATGGGTGACGCGGGTTCGGACTTCAGAAAGATTGCAGATACGCCTTAGTGAGTGGCAAGTGCCAAAACGCAAGAAACCTAGGTCGAAGGCTTCCTGCCGATTGTCTGCAACCATCTAGTATCAATATAGGTCTATTGGATAATTAGTTCTAGTACAATCAAATATGAAAACACAAGGAAAAATAACTGATTATTCTTCAACTGTAACAAAACATCTTTTTTGATCCTAAATGTTCATTGACTGTAATGAAATTTTATTGGTCAGAGGTTATTAACTCAAACAAATGACTGAAAGAGTTAAAGCGGCTGTAGATAGTCGATGAAAAATGGAATACGCAAGATAGTTTTAGTGAATGTGCAGAAATATTTCTCTGTCTTCTAAGAAAAGTACAAGATTTCAATCACATAAACCCTTCAGCTTCTATTGATAGTTTCATTTAAATGACCCATTTTTTGAAATTTGTTTATTGATCCAAATTCTGTTGTCTAAGTATATTCAGAGAGTCTCTAAATTCTTTTTGCTCATGTAAGGGGATTTAGGACTGCTTGGCCATCCATTATCCGTGGGAGGCTAGTACACAAATTACCATGAAACGCATGCTGCATATGACATTCAGATATGATAGAGAAGATTTGTAGCTCGGGTGGATGATTTTAATGTAGTTGTGTTCTCTGAGCTGGATAGTTGATTTGCGAAGCTTTCATCACCCTACTAGGCGACATCTTCAGTGGATACTTCAATTTGAAGTGAGCTAATAGATTTCTCCATGAGTTTATTAATCATCTCTCCTGGTGACCTTGAACGTGATTGATTGTTTTTGTGTGTTTTCATACCTTCTAATTTACTTGTATTGGAACTGAGGAATCCGAGAACCAAATCCTATTTTTGGACTTCTTAGTCAAGCGAACAACCACAGGGGAATTAGAAACTCAAGTTTATAGAAAATCAACTCACACAAACCAAATAGTGAATTACAACAACAACACTCCAATAGCACACGAAAGGAATTGCATACAAACACTATTCAAGAGAGCAAGGACTCATCGCAACACTCCCAAGTTAAGGAAAATTGAAGAAAAGTATCTCATGGACGTCTTCCAAAAGAATGGAATTTCATCAAAAGACATACACTCCCAAGCCAACCTATCAAACCAAAAGCCCCAAGGAAAGCACAAAGAAAATTGCCTTACCATATATAAAGGATATCTCAGAAATCACTACAAGTCTCTTCAAACCTTAGGAAATTGACGTCGTACACAAACCAACAAAGTCACTTCCCTCAATTCCAAGTCAAACATAATACTCAACAGCGAACGAAGATAAAACCAACATCATCTACAAAATAAACTGTAACAACTGTGAAAAGCACTACATTGGTCAAAGTGGACGTCCCCTACGTGTTCGTATCCACGAACATAAGCTAGCCGTCAAAAGACATGATATCCACTCCCTTGTTCATATCACTGCATACAGACAACCACAGACATCAGTTCAACTGGGACAACGTTCAGATATTAGACAGAGGAAACAACAAGAATGCTGGAGAATTTTCAGAAGGCTGTCTGGCATTCCAGTGAATCATCAATCAATAGACACATCCAGATAGATAAAATTTATCAACCGATAAGAAAGAAACCTCAGACACAAAGGGTTAAAGTTCAATTCAAAGAAACAATCAGTTCCAATACAAGTAACCTAGAAGGTGTGAAAACACACAAAAACAATCAATCACGTTCAAGGTCACCAGGAGAGATGATTAATAAACTCATGGAGAAATCTATTAGTTCACTTCAAATTGAAGTATCCACTGAAGATGTCGCCTAGTAGGGTGATGAAAGCTTCGCAAATCAACTATCCAGCTCAGAGAACACAACCACATCAAAATATGACATTCATGGATTAATAAATCGAATAGAGTGGCTGATTCTGATCAGCTGTTTCTAAAGTCACTAATCTGCTTATTTAATTTATGTGAGTACTCTTTATCTTCACTGTTTAATGAATTCAACCCTGTTTTCTATTTATATCTTGTTTCATATAGACATTGGAATATACAATCTCTGAGGCTAAATCTCTTTTATCAACTATGCAGTCTAATCTAAATGAATTAATGAACATTAATGATAATCACATGTCAGTTGATGATTGGAAATCTATGAAATTCTGGCTTAATGTACTCGGTGCCCTAGGCGCAGTATATGTACAAATATTTCCAGCCAAGCATAGGTAATTGTACTTATTTTTTTATGATATATGTATATATTGCAAGATGTTTAGAATACAAAGTGACGTCCAATAACTGTTTAATAGTCCTGTATAATTAATTTACTTTTAGGAAACACCTATGAGCTATAACTGAAGTTTTAGAAGTCAGGGTTGTTCATTTTATGAGTTTGTTCTCCTATGTGAATATGAATAAAGTAAATCAACAACAGCTTTTACAGAATAGGTTGGTACCATCATTTATTTCACCGAATTGTTATCATTTGCATCTAACCTTAAAAAAATCAATGAAGTTAATGTACAGAGAAGTTTTAACGTACTTGAAAAAGTGGTATGATCTCAGTTAACAGGAGAATATAAAATTAATAAACAGTGTTCAGAAACTCGACTTTGATAACTTGTACACAAACAATTTCAAATGGAGGATTTCATCATGAGCTGACAGCAGTTAGTGAATCACTGGAAAACCTGGGAGTACTGAACAGCTGTTTCGTCCTGGCTTGGGACTCTTCAAAGTGGTGTCGGGAGTGGGATTCGAACCCACGACCGCTCGGTCATCCTGAATAGTCACAGACCAAGACGAAACAGCTGTCCAGTATTCCCAGGTTTTCCAATGGTTCTCTAACTGCTGTCAGCTCATGATGAAATCCTCCATGGAATCAAACAAAATCCCTACAAAACCAATGCAAACAATTTCAGTCTAAACAAAACAGAACCAAGAAAGTATGCTTGAATTCTGTGAGAAAAGATTTGTTTAATAAGGACAAGAGTTGGATCAGTAGCTGATAAGTAACTAATAAATTGCATAACAATGCTGTGAGTTTAACTCAAATCACAGAAACAAAAAGAGATAAGCAAAATCACATTGTGGCAAAAAGATGAAGAGGCTGGAGTCAAAGATCGCGAAATCAAATAAAAGTGAAAATTTAATCATTTTATTTTTTTATTTTATTTTTTTTATTTTTGATTACAGCTTGATTCCATAATGTATTTTTGGTACAAGTATGGAATTTTCAGCATGGATATCGGTAGCCCAGAATTTGCAGGCCAACCATAGATATCAGGTATGCGTCGGCGAGGGTTCGAACCCCGGACCATGTGCATGGTCGGCGAGAGTCCTAACCACTGTGCCACCGACGCACAGAGTGATGAAAAACTGAAAGCTGGCTTCATGATGAACACATAAATTGGGTTTAAAACTTTTGATAGCAACCCCTTAGGAAACTTGAACAGGCATGAACTGTGTTGTCCACCTCATAACCTGTATCAACGAGATACCTGACAACATTACTACTAAAAGCCTATGTCCCTTTTAGAAGTAAGCTTTTTATTGCATGTTGGAAAAGTCGAAGATGCATGCTTCTTTCTGTTTTGTAGATGCTAACGCAGATCCATGTAAATTTGTATGCAGGGTATCTGTTTACTTATGACTGCACCAAAGCGTATGTTGCTCGATAAACGGAAGTCAACTTACCTGTGTAATTTTTGAGAACTGTTTATAGATTTCGAAAAATCCTGTTAACTGGCAACACGTCACCTTTTCAAATTTTCTTTTTACACTAAATTGTTTTTTAGGTTGAACGCGGCTGATGAGAAGCCGGCGAAATAGATGATGGTTTCATTCTGTTTTACACGAACCACTGTTTTGACTGATTTAGTTCATTTCGGCCTGTTGAATAAATGGTGACGAGTTCACTGAAATATATGAAAACCAGTGAGCAGGTTCTTTTATAGGGTCATTTTATGCATACTGTGCGTCGGTGGCACAGTGGTTAGGACTCTCACCGATGATGCACATGGTCCGAGGTTCGATTCCCTGCTGACACACGCCTGATATCTATGGTTGGCCAGCAAAATTTGGGCTACCGATATCACATGCTGAAAATCCATACTTGTACCAAAAATACATTATGGAATCAAGCTGTAATCAAGATATAAAAATATAAATATATAAAATATAAATATAAATAAATTCTCCAAAGAAGTTGAAAGAACTATTTATAAGCATAACTCCCGCGATCAGTATTGTCTTGTATATATATATATATATATACGTTACATAACGATTCCTGAGAGAATGCATTGTTAAATCAAGTTTATTTATGATGACTTTGGTCACTTTTTCCAAAAGTAGAATAATACGTTTAACTAATTATTAGTGATTCCATATTAGATAAGTTTATTTTTATCATATCAAGGTGATATGATTATGATCAATAAATTGTTCTCGAAACGTCATCCGGTTGTTAATACTGCATCGCCATGTGATATTTAAAAACAAACTTATCTAATATGGAATTACATTCTATCACAGTATCCACGTTCTTCGCTTACATCAGTGATTGATAATGAACTTGTACAAAGCCGAAATACCCAGTGTAACGCTGCAGTAGGAGGTCTTTTCTCTTAGTTGCTTTTAGTGAGAAAAGTAGCGAAGTATATGCACTACAAAAGCATTTGCACTCATTTCTACCAAGGTTACAAGACAGTATTCACAAAAATACTGATAGCATGGGTTGGGAGTAATATGAGCAATCAACATTGACAAAATTGTTAAGTATTAAGGATATTAAGTATTTGGAGGATGGTTAATTTTGGGAGAAACATAAGTTCAGTAAGGTGGATGGAAACAAAATTTGAAAAGCAATGGTATTCTCATGTAACCGTGAAGATTCTACCAAGGCGTGAAGAATAAGCTAAGCCATATTCGCGTAAAGAAGTAAGATTTAGCAGCAACGCAGGGGATATGAAAATTTAGGCTACATAGTAAGTCAAATGAACTGCAGTCAAGATTTGACAGAATAGTTCTGAGGTCAAATTTTGATCACAACTCATACAATTTTGTTTATTATACTTGTTAATACTTGTTTTATGGCTCATGATTGGACAAAGTTTTTAAAAATATCAGATGTTCCTTTTATATATAAACCTCTTTTATGTTAATTTCGATTAAATTCCCTGAAGAAGTTCGGACCAGATTGCCGAAAGAGACGTTGGAATTACTCATTTCAATATCGCCGAGATTTCACAAATATAATTTTTTACAAATGCATAGTAAATCATCTGTATAGTTTTGCTTGGTGCACTGTGATCGTCAGGGCACTGCAAAGTTGATTACTATCTCCTTTTGACAACACATATTTATTTAAAGCCGTGTGATAGTAACTAAATAAGTTAAGAATTTTAAACGACTTCGGGTTATCTACACTGAATCAAGTATCCCTTTGCGTGATTACTGACCTCAAGTTTTAATACAGATGGGTTCATAACTCATAGTTACTCCTAAACATATTGCTAATAATATTCACTTTAGACCATCACAGCTGTTATTACAATAAAAAGAAACTGAAAACAGTTAAAAAGAAACAACTGTTCATAAAACGGACTTATACTGTCGCCACCACCCTTTGTTTGTCATTTTCTAGCCTACCAATCATGATTGCTCAAGTGAAAGACAAGCTACCTAGCTGTGCCACTTCTGTGTGTATCCATAAATTTGGCTGCTCCTATGGAGAGAGCTATATAGGGCGAACAACTAGACAGCTTAACATACGCGTTAATGAGCATCTTCCTTCGTGGTTCCGAAAAGGTGAAATAAAATCTATACGAAGTTCTACTTTGGCTCATTTGATTGATAGAGGTCACCAGGTGGACAAAGTTATCTGTCGCATTCCATAGAGCCTTTAGAACGGAATTCGAATCTGTCTTTACACTTAGCCGAAGCTATGGGAATTCGAGAGAACAATCCTAGTCTTTGTATACAAAAGAAATTTGTTCTACCTTTGTCTCTCCCTTGGCCTAGGTGAATTCTATTGAAAACCCTCCCACCCTTTTTTATTTTCCGTCTCCTTCGTACTTTTATGACATTCATTTAAACTCTGTCCACTTCACCTTTAGTGTTACTTAACTTTTAAGATTTGACCTAATTTATTTATTTATTGAACTGTCTACATATTCACATATATTCATATACTACTTTTGTTATTCTCATGACCTGCATAAACCTTATTATCAATATTTTGTTATCATTATAAGGACTTATATTAAAAACTTTAATAAAAACTGCCTACAACATGAGTACTACAGTAGACGAATCTGTAATCTAGAGTGGCCCATTTACAACATCAGGCTAAGTAAATTTTCATCCACAATAATGCATCTACTTTTCTGGATTTACAGTTATTTCCTTCTCTCGAAACACGTGCTATTATATATTATTCTCTTCGGCTTCCACTGGAAAATAAAGCTTAATCAGCACATTTACATTTCGTCTTTTTTTCTACAGTCTTTATTAACTGGCTTCAGGATTGTCCGTAAGCTTTCATTTCCTCCTCATATGATCTCCAGCACATTACCCTCGAACGCCTGCTCGACTCGTCGTTTCCTGTCCGAGTTTCACTTGTGTGTTTTGTGTTTGATTTCACTTAGTGGCTTCATAAGAGTAATATCAAGTCTACCTCCTTTTTCCTATTGCATACTTGTTGGGCAGTGAGTTGTCGGTTAGTTCGTTACTAGAGTTCCTTTTAGTTTGCACATATTCTCTAGCTAATCATCTCATTTTTGGTATCGACGGCATTTGTTGATGAATATCTTCAGCAGCTTACTGAAAATCTTTTTCGTGACGTGTGCACCATATCTCTGAATCAAACAGAAGTACTTACTTCATACTGTTGTTGAAAATTTGGAACTTGTTCCTTATGCTGACTGTAGCAGATTGCTACTCAAAGCATGTACTCAAGCACATTTCTGAGTACTTCTAGTCTACTGCACTGGAGTTCTTAAGTAAATGATGGAAGAATATGTCAGGATATCCAGTGCAGATTCAGATGGTGCAACACCGAGTCATATGAAGTACTATCGACTCATTTTCTACTTGAGAGATCCATATAAAGAGTAAATATTGTGGAATGAAGTATGCTAAAGTTCCTGTGCGATAAGTTAACTTGTTGTTTAGATTGAAAATGTTATTATTGCTATTCTTTTACAATTATTGAACTGTTATTTAGCAAGTTTTTTTCTTTTTCTCATATCTTTCTTCTTTGATTTTTTACAGGTCTATTTTATGGAATCATTTTAAACAACTTGTTTTAAACAAAATAAAGGTAAAATTGATAAAGTGTTGATAGCATTTGCCTTTATAAATGTATACAACTCAGCTGGGACCGTATATACTACTAAATTGAGTGAGTAGGTAAAAAATTACTTACAGATGTCGTTCGTTATAGCACAGTCAATTCAATCTGAAGCATTTTAATGTACACATATACAATCATATCCACAGGCAATCAGACACACAATAGACATACAGGTGGACTAATAAATACCATACTAAGCCAAAAAATGAGAAATGAAAACTTAAGATGAATCATTTGGACATGTCAGTACAACTTTGGATACTCAGGTGGATTTAGTTTAATGGATTTCATCGTAGTTTTTTTCATTATCACAAATGACTAGCGAATTAATATTTAGATGCAGTATTTGTGGGGATTTCATTTATCCTACTGGATATTAGTAATAATATGTAGCCAACTAACGGACATCAGAGTTTATGGTATTACATTTCATCTCAATGGCTGAATGCTAATAACTTTCCTTCCTGATATTTAGGTTCCATTTTTCACCTTCATTCATCGATAACCACTGGGATAGCTGACAAGTGTTGCAATATTTATTTACTGAACACGGTTTACTTTTCATTTATTGTTAAAATGGTGAACTATATTCCCAAGGGTTGCGGCCACGGGAAACTATGCTGGGGAATCATAGCGATGATTACGTAATAAACATTTAAAGATGAAGTGGGCTGATTATTGTGGAAGTTCGAACATTGATAACTTCAAAGTGTGGGATAGGCAGAAATTGTCAGTTTTCTTACACTGATGTCATAATGATCAAGATAAGTGGAATGGTTGCACGAGTTTCTTCTAGACAAACAGGTTAGGCTGCTTCAGATATATTTCAAAGGTATCAGATATAAGTAGAAGATCAATTCACAGAGCAAAATTAAGTTTAGTACGAATATCAACATTATGCTCAGTATCTACAAGGTTGGCTAAAGCAAAGCCACGAATAGACCTTTCTATCCCTCCCTCAACCATTCAGGATGATGTTCAGAAATCCGATTATGAACTTGCCGAATTGTACACTCAAGGTAACTGGCTTCACAGGAGAAGTCAGAATGGTAGATACATACAAAGGAGGCGAAATTAGGCAGTTTATTCTTATATCTCAGACATAAAAGTGAAGTGATTGTTATCAGGTATTGTACACCTGCTGCATTAACGGCTGTCTTTATTGTATTCTTTAGGCGTTCTGTCATTGTTTCAGTGATGTTATCATAAATTTATTGTTGTTCTGCTAGTTACCTTATTATTCTGCCACTCAGCTAATTTGAACACTCAGTTATCTCTCATTTAGTGATCTTACTTTAACAAAATTATACATTTTGACTGGACACTAGTAACTAGTATAACGTGTCTAGTCCTTTCTTTGGTGCAGATTGAATTCTCTCAGCCAAGTTTTGCAATGTGGCCACCATTCTAGGTAGCTCGCCCTCACGGTGCACATTGATTTGTTGATAATAGTTAGTTAGAGGCCGCAATGCAAAACTTGACTGATAGAATTCAATCTGCACCAAAGAAAGGACTAGACATGTCACAGTAGTTATTAGTGTCCAAACAAAATACTCATTACAGTCCTACAAGAGGTCAATCGCGAGCCTGAATAGCTCAGTGGTAAAGTCTCTGATTGCAGCGCTGAGTGACGCGGGTTCGAATCTCAGAAGGGACATGAGTTCCTTCAAGGTTGCAGATAAGCCTTGCTGACTGGTGAGTGTCAACTAGCGCGAAACCTAGGTCGAAGGCTTCCTGTCGATTGCCGCCAACTAACTAATATCATCAAAATTATGCATTAAATAACCACTTGTTTCGTTAAATATGTATTTAGAATCCCTTATCTACTCTTTACTAATTTTGACGGAAATCAAGTGTCAGTTAGATTGAAGAAAGACATCTTAGTATTCAGATATCATTGTGAGCGTAGTACTATTACTTGGTAAACGGGAGTAAGAACAAATACTCACCAGTGATAGTGACAGGGGTTTTTGCTATGTATCACTAACTGGAGGGAGTAAGAACTAACAGTCCGTTGGATTCCGTCCCAGGAGTTGAATAGTCAACCACCTCACTCTATAACCCAAGGATCTTAGCCTTCATTCCCGGTGGGACCATGAACATCCCAAACTAGCATGAAATGGCTGACCGATACTCCCTGCTGGCTTTCAGTGGATCTCTAAATGATTACAGTTCATGATCAAACATGAAATCAAGCTGTAGTTAGTTTTATTCCCTGTGTACTTTCAATAGGAATAAAAAAAACACAAAAGAACTAACGAAATACTGGATTTAACTGCATTCGGTTTTCATCAAAGCTTGTATCAGGTAGAACAAAGACGAGAGGCTTATTGACTGGTCTAGACCACTGGCGTGTGTTTGTTCTAGATTTTATGAGAGTTCATCCTCAGCATCAAATGGATAAAGTCCAAAAACTCAATAGGGAAGAAAAATTTCATAAGTTTTCACCACAGAAGTAATATCAACTTTTAATGAATTAAATGTTTATAGCTTAGATTATCTTCATTACATTTTGTCATCCTACAGAAACGTTTTGATGGAAAATGCAATAATTTAAGTTGTTCTCTCTCTCTCTCTCCTTAATTTCAAGTTACACCACTACATTTCTAGTTGTGCAATAGGGCTATCCGAGGATCCTTGAATTAGAAAACTCATATCATTGTAGCTCACGCTAATTTGAGAAGCTTGATCTCTTAGTTGAGTTAATCAAGTGCCAGTGGTTTGAATAGCATTGCAGTACTTCACCTTAAATCACCATCTATTACACACTATTTAACCACATATGTAAAATACTAAAATCTTTATCATACATTTTCATTTTCTTGCAGGAATACTTTAGTCAGTTGGGTAAAATTTCACACTTCAATGAAACTTTAATTCAAAATGCCCAATTATTTAAAATTCTTCAAACCAGACCATATGAATTAATGAAATGGTTATCAAGTAATCAGTTTCCATTAGAAGTAGCCTTATTATATCATAATCATCAAGTTGGATATATACTTGAAGCAGTTCTATCAATACGTACAATAATTTCTTCTAATATGTCGTGTAATATTGAACATCGAAATAGTTTTAATTTATCACTGCCATTATTTATATTCATCTTCGATCCAGATATCATTGGAATGGATATGATCAATTTACTCTTATCCAGGTGAATAGATGATGATGATGATGACAATAAAGTTAATTTGTGTGAGCTATTTTTAAAGTCCTAATTAATTAACAATAACTATTCCGTAGTGAAGTGGATCGGTTGCACAGCGGTAGAATGGTCGTCGACCACGCCTCATATGGTCCAGGGTTAGATCCTCAGCCACAGACACACTTATTTACCTCACTTAACCAGTAGTATGACTAGTAAAGAAGGAAGGTTGGGTGTGAGGCTAGCAACCCTATCGCGTAAAAATAAACACCACTGCTACCGGAACTTCAAAAAGCTCTAGCTTGAAGCCTCTTATTCCACCGGGAACGTAAAGGAATAGAAATTTTAAAAAATTCCACATGGAAACGTATATTGCCCATCGCAGCTTCAATCTGACAATAGGTGCTGGAACACAACTGAGTTGTTAAGCAATAGCTTCCCAAGTGTAAAAACAGTGATGAGAAGCAGTCAAATGACTGATCAACCTTTGTACTGAGTTTATTTACTATCTGACCGAAAATGGTTAGACTGTGACGTACTTCTGATGATCTAAGTTCTCCAACATTTTGAATTCGGATATTGGGATTTCGCAGTCATAAATTATTTCAATGCAGATTTCGTCATGAACTGATAATAACCTGAAATTCTTGAAAACAAATAAGCACTGGAGGATTGTTGTAGAACAGTTCGAAATTCTTCAGAATTGCTATGCCGGAACAGACTGAAATTCTTCCGGTTGCAAAATAAGCACCACTATGTTAAATTCCAGTGGGCTGTTGGTCAAATCTTTTACCAATTCGCATTCTAACATGAACACCAGCTAATGCCATTAGTGACAGTCTCATATGACTTGTCTCGACTTATGTTTCCAACTGTTAGGCTTAACCGTATAGAGAAGAACCCGTTAACCAGCCAGCTATTTATATTATTATGGCTCTCTCTTCTTCGTTCTCAGTGTTTTGGTTAATCCAATGGGTTTTTTCTCATCACACATTTTCTCATACCTTTTTTACAGTGATCTTATGATCTCATTTACTTCTTTTTTGTACGTGATTTTAGTAATCAGTGATACAGATTATTCCCAATTGTCAAGTAAACGGGTGACAAGTATTTCTCTCTTGAGCTAAATGTTGTCTCATCGATTTTAAGCATAGTTATTTAGAAATAGAGAAGTGGGTCGTTGACTGATTGTGAGATTCTGTGAGATAGTCTGAAATGGAATGATGATTTATCGCAAGGCAAAAGCCTGGTTCGCTGGAGGATTTAAGCCGGAACTTCAGTTCATATTCTGTCATCATCCACGATGTTAATATTAACCCCATCAGTAATACATGTTAGTTGATTAGATGACGCTCTAATAATTTCATACATGAATTTCACTTTATGCAAGTGAAAATAAGCAGTAAGAACAATCGAAGTTAGGAGAAATGGAATACATTTTATCTTAGCATAATGCTGTCAGCTTGGAATATCAAAGTTTACAATTTTATTTCGGAATTAAAATTGCTTAGCTTCATTGAAAGAAGCAGAATCTCACTCATTAGTGAAGATGAACGGAAATATTTAAAGCATAGTGATAAATCATAATTAAGTTGATGGGAATTTGATAAAATCTTATGAATAGTCGAAATCATATGGAGATTTTAAGTAGAGTTTATAGAAAGAGATGGGTTAGCCTTGATATAACCATAGATGTGACCTAGCAGACTGTGGGCAATACAAACCTGACGCCCATAAAGAAACGATTTCAGTCTTTAATTACAGAGTCGTCCAACACATTAATTAAATCACTATAGCAAAAATATTCATTCAGACATCTATAAAACACAAAATAATTGAGCAAAAAATATCCTTTTCGATAAATTCCTCTTCTGGCTTTACAATTATATATATATGTTTATATACATAGAATATTCTAGATTGGTAGTTAATAACAATATTGGTGTTTTTTAAATAATATCGATTTGTAAAGTATGGTCAATGGAATTACAGTTCATTAAAGATGCTTATATTATTATAAGAATAATAAAGATATAGTAGCAAATAGAATATCAATTAAAATTAGGAAAATTCTACAAAAATTCAGGATCATTCAAACCTAGATGGCCAAGGTAATGATAATGTCTGAACTAACTTCTTTTAGATTCACAAATTAGGCTTGTTAATATGGATCCCCATAGCCTCAGCAGTATATAGTATTCGAATTCTTAGGGCGAAACTGGGATTCGTAGGTATGCGGTAAATAACCCTGAAAGCATGGTTAGCGTCAACCTTGTGTTCTGTATTAACAAGATGAGATGGAATAGCGCTACGAATAGATTTTGTTTGTCCTTTGCTTAACCACGCTGGGTGATTTTTGGAAATTCGACGAGAAACAGGCCCAATTGTATGGCCTATGTAACTGGCTCCACAGGAGCAGTTAAAGTGGTAAATACACATGGAAGAGGCGAAATTAGGCAGTTCGTCTTTTACTCTCTAACTCAAAAGAGGAGTGGTTCTGAAGACACAGAATAATTCACGAGCAGGGAATGCTCTTTCTTTGCATTTCTAAGGCCCAGTGTTAGTATCTCGCTGATGTTGTCCCCAAGGAACTGCATATGTTAGAATAAGGCTTTTTTAGGAAATGTTGTTACCTTGGACTGTTTTGATTTTAGATTCATGTTCTTATCAACAAACTTTCTGGATAACCGTTTTCCTTCAGCAGCCGTTTAATATTATTAAGTTCCTCATCAAGACATTCATCTGAGCAAATTGCTCTTGTTCTGTGAACCAAGCACTTTATCAGACTGCGTTTGTATTTCAAGGGTACGGAGCTGAGAATATGCGTATACCGACCCGTTTATGTAGGTTTTCTATATACACTTCTTCTTATTGTGCCATCCTCACTATCATAAGGAGACAAAACTGGAAAGACAGAATTTTCACAGAGAGTTTTTAATGTTTCAGTAAGGCTCAGTCGAAACACTTACAACAGTCTATAGTTATTTTAGGGTAATAGGCTAATATCAGGCGATTGTTAGTTCAAATTAAAGGTATATATGAGTGATTTAACCACTTCTGCAGAATACAGAGAGTTACACTTAAATTAGATCAATTCTTCTGGAGAAATCGAGGTTTTAACAGGTTATGATTTGACTTATTATTACAGTGGAGTGTACACTTATACACAAATGTTTGACATTCAAAGCACCTTTGCATACTTCTCTCTAAGTTCAGTTCATTTGGACAAAAAGATTGACCATTTGAAGACCTCTTATTCGAATTATTTACAAACATATCTCCAGCTAATTTAGAGAATATCAAAATAAAGGATGCAATGAAAACGGCAAAAATATGCACAAGTTTTAATCCTGTTGTGGTTTTAGAAGATTAAGAAGTTATGAAAGGAGAGGGATTGGTTTTATCACACATTGTTTATCTTGGATGCTTTACAGGTATTTCCTTAGATGCAAAGAAGTTCACTGCATGAAAATATACACTCTTACTGTTTTATATGCTACTCGGTATCAGTCTTCCAGTTGTATTTATGGCGTTAATCTACATTTCAGATCAACATGAGTTTTCTGTTTGTTCACCTATCCACCTCATTATGGTTAGTCTTGAACATGGAAGTTTTGAAGAGAGTATAATCTACATGTACATGTGCAAGTATAGTATAACCTACTGCATTAGCTGCGTGTACTTTAAGAGTTTAGCGATAGCTTATAAGAACATCAAGAACCCCTGTGTCAGTGGCTAGCAGTTAATTTAATCTATATAATTTCCACATATTCTTATCTTTGTTTTTAGCAAGCAAAACCAAATGATTTCAAATCTCCGTATAGACTCTGATGACTTTAAAGAGCATTTTAACAATGCCATTACAAAAAGTAAGCTTTAGTCTTAAAATCACTTTACTTTATCAAAATTATGTTAGTTTCAAGTGTCAGTTTGTAGTGATTTGATTAATCTCAAGTCAGATATGGTCATGAATCCATATTAGTCAAAGAACCACTGAATACTAATAAGTACTGGGCAGATGTTTCGTCCTTATTTAAGACTCGTTGTCACATTGTTGATGAAATCTACTTAGAAAATTATTTTATCTCAGTCATTTATATTCTTTAAGATGCGCGTTGGTGGCACAGCGATTAGGACGCTTGCCGATCATGCACATGATCCGGGGTTCGATCCCCGACCGATGCACTCCTTCGCCTCACTAAGCCAATAATAAGACTGGTAATGAGGGAAGGCTGGGCATGAGGCTGGCAACCCCATCCTGTAAAAATAATCATCACAGCTACACAAACTTCAAGCAACTAGCTTTAAGCCCTATGTTCCACTGGGAACGTGAAGGAATGAATAATATTCTTCAAGATAAATGGTGTGACTGTTGGTTAATTTTATATCACAAATATTGATTTTGAAAATAAGTCAGATTTTTGATATTCTGAAGGAATAAAATGGTCGTTTCTTCCAGTGGTATTTGGCATGGGTAGTCATCTTTATTGGCTTCGTTAGAAATATGTTTAGTCATATTTATATTGGCATTCAGACAACTTAACGGCCAAAAGAAATACATCTGGATCTTAAAATTCAAAGAGGAGAGTCATTTCAAAGAATTTATTATCAAGCCGCACAATCGGATACGTAAATGATTTTTAGGAAACTATACTCCGGAAACGAAAGTCAAATCATGTTCTGACCAAATTGCAACTCTACGCATCATCATCACAGAACAAAGCATGGGATGGCAATCAAACCTCTACCTCAACTTCATAGACTTTGAGAAGGCCTTCAACAGTTAGCGTTGACCGCGAAGCAATTTGGAAACTACTCGAGTACTACGGTGTACCCCAAATATTCATCAACCTCATTCAACAGCTGTACGACAACGGCACATGTCAAGTCATCCACAACGGAAAACTCAGAGAGACATTTGGAATAGACACAGGAGTCAGACAAGGGTGCTTATTATCACCAATGATATTCCTAATTGTGGTGGACTGACCGGATTATGCATCAGACAGTGGGAAACGAGAAGACAGGGATATCCTGGACCGACGTGAAGAACCTAGAAGATCTGGATTTCGCGCGTGGATGATTTATGTTTGATGTCACACAAAATCGAAGACTTACGAGCGAAAACAGTCAAAATGGTCAAAGAAGCAGACAGTGAAGATAGAACTCCAGGTGAACATAGACAAGACGGAGGTGATGAAAATAACCAACCAACAACACAACAGCAACAAAAGCAGCAACATCCAGCGCCAATCACCATCAACGGGAGGGATTTGAAAGATGTTACTTCATTCATTCACTTATCTAGGGAGCACTGTCTCAACTACAGGATGTCGGAACGGACGAGAATGTCAAATCGAGCGAGAATCGGGAAGGCGAGAAACACATTCATCAACCTGAAACCAATCTGGAAATCTTCGTCACTCAGCCATCATCAACAACATATTTCGGTAGGATTTTAAATACAAACGTCAAGTCAGTCAGTTCTTCTATACGGATCGGATGAGAAACTTGGCGGGCGGGTCACAAAGAATTTTTCCAACAGGCTATTGCAGAACTTTATCAACGACTAACTGTCTTCGCTCTATACTGAAGGTCAGATGACCGGGCCGGAAACAGTCACCATCAAGAAACTATGGCTGGGAACAAACAAACAAAACAAGAACCAATCGCCAAACAACAAATATGCAAGAGAAAGTGGAGATGGACTGGACACTCGCTGAGGAGGCCGCTGGGTGACATCGCGTGCGCGTCAGGCCATTTCTCGAGTGGAACCAAGCGAAAGGGAAGCGGCGAGTGGGACGTCAGTGCAAGAGTGACATGGAGGAAATCGTGTGAAGAGGAGGTGAGAGACTATGGACTAACGTGGATGCAGGTGAAAAGTACAACAGAAGGAGACAGAAGCAAGTGGAGACGTGGAGTTGAAGCCCTATGTTCCACTAGGAACCCAAGGGAACAATAATATATAATAATACTCCGTCTGTGAAGTGCGATAAAATATTTGTGATTATAATCATAGTACAGTATCAAGCGATAAAATAGGTCATGTAATATATTAACCAGTTCATAGAATAGATGGTTAGTTAAAATCACTGGGCTTCTGAAATTGCTTTCCGCAAAGTTTTTAAAATTTCTCTGGATTAGTCATTGTTTTGATCGTCCACTTATGTCAGATGACCTATACATGAACTTCCGCACTGATTTAGTTTGATTCCAAGTAAATGCTGTGCAATTCTTCAATAAAATGAAGATAGACTTCAGAATATTACTTTACACGTAAAACCCTGTATGAAGAAAAAAGTGTTTCGGAGCTAAATACGATCAAAATATTTGTACCATGCGTTCACATAGTGTCTGAAATAAAGCTTTATTATTATTACTATTATGAATATACAGATCTTGGTAAGGAGTGTAGAATTAATAGGATTAATAGGACCACTAGGCGAAATACACGTTACGTAACAAGATGAGAAGTTTATTACGACAGAGACTAATATTGCAAGGAATATATGGGATTGGAATAATACATGGGACAAGTGCAACAATATCAGTGACTGGTCAAAGTGGAAATAACAAGAATGAGAGTCATAATAATATCAGAAAGTCACATAGATTAAATAAACAAAACGAAAACCCAATAAATGTTTTATCCTTGCTCTCTTTTCTATCCACCGAAGCTTGATATCTATCTCATTCAATGAATAAATTTAATGAAATAAATGTAGGACTGAACCTTATTCATCACTTTTGTTTTATTCGTTTGAAAACTATAACGACAACAAGAAATAGAGAATAAAAGTCGGGGTTGATGGAAATAACAGTTTGAGTTCCTAGATTATCAGTGATTTTCTAGTCAATATCAACTGATGACTACACATAAGTTCAGAAAAAAAGGATTCTTTTTTTAAAAAGCGTTATTATAAGTAATGAATGCGTACTAGAACAGCATTGTTAGCAATAAACGGCTGAATTTATTTAAAGTGTACACTGACAATCCTGTGTGCAAGTCTGTCTTGCAAGGTATACTTCATCAGGTTTACAGGTTTCAGTTCATTCGTCATGTAACATGTCTGCTTTTTCATACAACCAATGAGTAATAACCCTCACATATAACATAAAAATAGTCGTTATGTTAAAAACAATACTCAATGTGACTAGCAGACAAATCCAGCAAATTTGGAGCTCCTCAGTTGAATGTAACTGCATCTCAGCGTGTAATGTTGTTCCCATTAAAACTTAAACTGAGGTGCCATTGTTGGTTACTAGGCTAATAAGTCCAGTCGTAACTACTAACCACCATCTATCAAAAGACGTCAGATTGATACATGAAACATTTCTTAGTAGGAAAATGCCAACAGAGATGGTTTATTTCAGTTGAACGAGGATAGATGACCTGTGAATATAGACGTTCACTGGGTTTGAATGTTTACCCTTTGAGTCGAGTTTGTCAACGCACGCCGAAGACTAGTTTAGTGCCAAACAAATAAATTCCACTTTCGTCTAATATAAAACTCGTTAGTAGTATATCTGCACATATTTGAATATATTCCAAAGTCACATAAGTATTTTACTAGTCTTTAAGCAGAGTTATGTGTCGCTTTTCTCTTTCTTATTTTAGACAGTATAATTCAAATCAATGTCGATGAATTTCATAGTTTTAAAGCTACAGAAAATATAAGGTATCTATCAAACTTTTATTGTATCCATTTGTCCGACGAAAATACTCATTTGAATAATTGTCAAATGATTCTATGGACTACTTATAATGCAACCAGTGAAGTCGGTAAGTAGTGTGGATATTTTTCTTTTACCTTGATTTTATGCTTTGGTTTTCTTCTTTGTATATGCTTATTCATGATTCATAAATAAGCGTAATCGGCTTTCATTCAGGTCAACTCCAATATAAAATTTGGAACTATCTACTTAGTTAGACATTTCAGCCTCTACCTAGCCTGATTACTTCAGCGACTCAGGGATTCACTTGTCATCAGGGAATAATCTTGTTGACTTAGAATATGCAGACGTTACACTCATTCTAGGTGAAGACGCTGACAGAATGCAGTCTTCTGAACTCATTGACCTGCAATCTGAGAATGTTTAGCATACGATTCGCTCCTGTCTAATGTCAGACGATGAAGCTACAGGACTACCGTGTGGAATAAAGCTGTTATTATTATTATTAGAATACATCGTTTTGTAGCAATAGTGAAGTGGTGGAGCGTGTTGACCACTTCACTTATTTCAGAAGTTGCATCAACCAGCCCTGGCGGGTTGATCGCTGACGAAATCACAACACAGATACAGAAGGCTCGTGTGGCATTTGCGTCATCTCTGGCGTAGACGTGATACACGACTGGCTATCGATCAAAGGATGTGTGTAGCACTAATCGGTCCGCTCTGTTCTTTTTTATGACTGTGAGTGAAACATGGCCATTGAAACTGGACGACATGAAGAGGCTGGCTAGCTGTCTTTGATCACAGGTGTCTGCATTTTGTCTCCCGTGTTAGGTGGTAGGTGTAATAGGGTGAGAAGTATTGATGTTAGGCATCGGTCGAGTGCTAGGTAGGTGGGAGGGAGAAATCAATCGACGAGGTGGTAGTGAAGTTACATGGATTGAGTGAGATGGTTAGGACATGTGTTACACATGCATGCCTAGCCTAGCCTTCGCTTTCCTCGATGGGTAATATTAGCTGACTGGCATAGGATCAGATTGGAAAAGAACCAGTGATGGTCTAACGAAAACATAGCTTAGTCAGTCAATGAAATCCACAACAGTTAGTTTAAGCTAGCCACGTGAGGAGGTGTAGACTTCCTGACTAGTTGGCGTCGTCGGGTGGTAAAAGCCAATGAATGCTGGAGATAATTGGTGATATGGCTCAAAATCTTTCTCGGTGATGGTGCAGATGCATCCACTCCATGTGACTTTTCCAATAAAACTATATGCTTCTTCGATACTACTACTCTTTTTGCCTCATATCTCTGTTTACTCTCTAGGTTTTGTATTTGTTTTTACTTTTTTCTCTTGCCTTATGTGCTTCATAGAGTGTGGCGACTCAAACTGCTGCACATATATGCAAAGTTCTTCATTGAAACCAGCCGGTCCAGTAAGATCTGTGGTGGTTCTTACTAATTCGGATCTTTAAACAGACTCATTCTGGGTACCTCATTGATAGGCTTGGTCCCGAACATGAGGAATGTTCATTTGGTGTTCATATCACTTCACTTTTGCTAGCAGTCACAATCACTCGACTTAAATGTTTTCCAACTGCTCGTTTCAATCGGTAATACATCTCATTATGCTATATTGCTTGCTTTCGTAATTGCCATTCAAACGGATCACATATTGTGATCTAGACAATTTTGGTTTTTAAAGAAAATTCTGGTAAATTTTTATCTCAAACTGTGTAATTTGCCAGTTTTAAAATTGGAGTCCAACTTCTAGTTGGTGGGTCACAGAATCTGAATGATGTTCTTGCCAATTAACTCCGAGAGTGTACAGACTTGGCATACTAACTCCATAGTATATTTATATAAATACGACCGACTTAATTTTAGTTGTATTGTTAATGGCATAGGTGAGATATCCAACTATATTTCAAAAGTTAGGTAAATGACATAATGAGTACGTTAGTAGAGTACGAATATGTGTTTTCGATTATCAGTAAATGGTTTTGATATCTGTCAGAACTAATTGGGGAAATCTAAATGAAGGTTTTCGTCACCCTCAAATCACTATGGGGATCTACAGCATTCGGTACAAGGAACAAGATCCGAATCTTCAACTTTAATGTCCAATCATTGTCTCTACATTGGTTCAGGGACTTGGCGTGCTCGTTGCTGAAAACATTATCACCGGGTACCGTAGACGTTCATCAACAACTACCTTCGCTGGATAATGAATATCTGATCACTAGCAGGAAAGAATAAGGTTGGAAGAACTGTTGTTATGAGGAACCAGCCAAGGAACCTATTGTCCATAATATGTGCAGAAAGGAGTGGAGGTGGGGTAGACATATGCTGAGGGGGCCATACAGTGACAACACACGTCAGGCCGTCGAGTGAAACCCGAACAGGTAGGCATCAGTTGAGCGTCTATTCATAACATGCAGGAATTCATTTCACAGGGGAAATGAAAGCTTGTAGACAATTGTAGAGCCAGTTAAAAATGACAGCAGAGAATCAAATGAAGTGAAGATATTTTACTAAAGCCCCATTGTCCCGTCTGAACCACAACAGACGAATAACAGTAATAGATATTCATGACGCTCACTTTCTGATTACTTCTGGCAAACTCAAAACCTGAGTTGATAGAAACTTCCTATGGACTATCTTCATGGCTCATTATAATAGGGGTTTTTTTGTATTTCACAATAAATGAAAAAACAAAACGAGATTGTTTCTTCATTCATTGGGAAATACAAAAAACCTCTATTATAATGAATATCATATACCCAATGCCCAAATTTTTTCTAACCGTTAAAAGTGAACTTGGTTTGGATATATATTATCTTCATGGCTATCTAACAACACTGAAAATTGGTTAGTATTTGCACTGCATTGTTTTGCAAAGTAAATTTCCAAATATTAATTTGCTCTTCTGTTTCATATTCTTTCTCCATACATACACAGGAAATCAGTGTAGACAGTTTTTCGCTGAAATCGACTTTATGTCGATTGACTTATGCTTGACACATTTTGAATCAGGCAGTGGAATAACAGGATGTCTATTAAATTTACTACCTAAAAGTAACTTATTCAATACACTTCAAGAAATACGAAAGAACGAAATTGAAACCTTTGAAAAGATACATGAGGATCAAGTAAATTTCAAATTTGTATTTAAATTAAATGTAGATGAAATTATTTTATGATAACTGATATTTACTCGGAGTACTTAGTGTGTTCACTTGTGTTGTGAAATGACTGAGAAGTCAACAGACATCGAACGCTCTATGACTGAAGTCTGGAACTTCTTAGAGCTCCCTAGCAGAATTATTGTGTGCACCATTTAGGAGGTCAGTATTCCCTCTGTGATTCAAAGCTGCACCACTCACTTCACCAATTAGCTATTCTTACACCCCCCGTATATAAAAGAATCGATCTTTCGCTAGTGAGGTCCACCATATGAAGTGTCGGAATATCTACACAATAATAGCATTGGCTCTATTATATTATTATTACTGCTTCCTTTAATTTCTAGAGGAATATAGGGCTTTAGCCGAACGTCTTCATTACGTTCGGTTCTCTGCCGACACTTTCACTTGACGCCACGTCTGCCCACACGCTTTCATCTCCTCTTCACACAGCATCCCCTTCCATGTCACCCTCGCACTGACAACCAACTCACCGCTTCTCATTTTGGTTCCACTCGAGCGATGGCTTAGCGTGTGATGCCAATCACTTGATGGTTTTCTCAGAGTATGGTCAGTTCACCTCCATTTCTTCTTACATATTTGTAGCACAATTGGTTCCTACTTGGCTTGTTTCCAAAGATCCCACCCTATTGCTGATCGTTTCTGGCCGGCCATCTGATCTTGAGTGGTATCGCTCGAAGACGGCTGTTGATGGAAGTCTGTAGTTTGTTCGAAGTGCCCTTCGTGACGCTCCAAGTCGCTAATCTGTTTAGTAAGTAGCACTGATTTCATATTGGAGTTGAAAATCCGGATGTTATTTTTGATGCTGAGTGCTGTTGACCTCCACACAGACTTGAGAGTAACGAAAGCTTGTCTTGCTTTCCCGAATCTCGCTTTGATATCCTAATCAGTTCCGTCCGCTTGTAGTTGAAACGGCGATACTTTCTAGGTAGGTAGGTGAAGAAGGGTTGCTTCTGACAGATCTCTCCAACTTATGGTGGTTGTTGTCTGTTGTTGTTGCTGTTTCTGTCGGCCAGGTACGTTCATCACCTCCTTTTTCTCTATGTTCAGTTGAAGTCCTATTTTCGATGCTTTTCTCTGTCACCTTGTTGCTTTTCCCTTGCATATCTTCCAGTTTGTGGGAAATCAAGCTTATATCATCGGCGAAGTCCAGATCCTCCAAGTTTTCTGTGGGGGTCCATTTTATGCCTGTTTCCTCGCTGGCCGCTGTCTGTCGCATTATACAGTCTACCACAACTAGGAAAAACATTGGAGATAGTAGACAGCCAGCTTGTCTCACTTCGAAGGATTCCGAGAGTTTCCCTTTGTGGATTAATTGACATGCAGTGTCGTCGTACAACTGTTGGATAAGATGTATAATTGTCGGCGGCACCCTTGGTAGTAGGGACTTAGTTGCCAAATCACCTCTCTATCGACGCTGTCGAAGGCCTTTTCAAATTCGATGAAGTTGAGATAGAGGGGTGACGTCCATTCTAAGCTGTGTTCAATGGTGATACGTACTGTTACGATTCGACCGATGCATGACTTATTTCTCCTGAATCTAGCCTTTTCCGGTCGACGTTTTACATCTAGGGTTTTGTTTGAATCTCTCCATGATGTTGCGGCTTAGTATTTTGCCTGGAGCGTAATCATACGCCAGTTCTTGCATTGAATTAAGTCTTATTCCGTTGGCAGTTTGAATAGGTAGCCTTTCTTCCAATCCACAGGTACCTTGCCCTATTTCCACACTTTCTCCAGTAGTGGTGTCATCAGGTCTACATTGGATATTAGCGGTACTATTTCGCTGATGACTGTATTCAAAAGAGATGGCTGAATACTAATGTAATCACCTTGTAATATGATTACCTTGTGTTCGATCTCTGATCAGGTCAGGAGGAAATACTTCCAGAGAAGTTGTTTAATTCTCTATGGCCTTTGTCGGCTTCTTGACTCATTCCAGTTTGTGACAACATCCACTGTGAGACGGAACAAGTTATTCCATGTGCAATATCATCTTTATACGATGAAAATCGAATATTTTGTCACAGAACTCTCAAACAGACAATTTTTTTCTCGCATTAATCTTTATTAATACGCGAGAACTGGACTATGACTTATAGAAAAAAGTAGATAGCTTGAAATAAAATGCAGCCTAAAGCATTAGTTAATTCGGCTTTCTAACTTCTTTAAATGAGAGTATAAATTGTAAGGAAAAGTGTACTGAGATGAATCGGCAGGTAGAATGAATCAATCGTGGAATGCCTGCTAACTACCTGGAAGGTCAGAGTTCAATTGCTGGTCAATGCTTTCGTGAACCTCGCTTAGTTTGTACGTCGATAGTAAGCTCAGTAAAGATGGGAGGTTAGGCAAGAGGTTAGCAACCCCACCTCATCAAAACAAATTGACTGCTTTTAAGACCTCAAAGCCTAAAGTTCTGTGTTCCACTCTTAATAAAAATAATCGAAAAAATGAATCGTCTACAGAACATAGGTGGAATTCAAGTAAATAAATAAATACTAATAACTTGTTTCTATCTGATTTTTTGATATTTTATTCGTTTCTTCCAAGGAAGATAATGTGTTTTAGGCTGGTAGTCATTGATCTGATGGATAAGTACTACTGTCTATGTTTAAGCTGAAATCTGCCTCATATTAAGAGGCTGCTTGATACCCGCAATATACGCTCTACTAATCTTCGTTAATGCAAGTTTATAGTTGACAGTTATAACTTTTATTTAGGTGCGAGTAGTAATTTAAATGTGAATTACTTATGTCAAGTTTGATCGCCGACTGAGTTCAGTTGAAGAACCAGTGAAATTCAGAAGCGAGTGCTGGACAGCTATTTCGTCTTAGTATGAGACGACTCTTCAACATTATGTACCTGTGATTGCACCCGGGATCTTCAGATTAAGAGGCCAGTTCGTTGACCATTCACAGACTGGGATGAAATCCGATAGCCCGTGAATTCCAGCTTCCACCAGTTTGCGTTTATTTGTCAGAAAAGGTTTACTGTACTGAAAATTATCGAACGTCATTGTAGTAGTGGCAGATACAGATGATATAAGTAGCATCTCGATGATTAAACTCTGTCTTAAACCTCTCTGACTGACTGAATTTCAACGTAGAATTTCACACAGGAATACAGCAGTTTAGGCTGCTGTACTCCATGTAGCATGTAGAGATTGAGAAGAGAAAATAAAGCATAAGAAACTCAAAAGAACTATAATAAGCACAAATGTACGAGAGAAGGAATAGTAACAAGGACGAAATTGGACATGAAAACGGAATGGATCTGGAAGATTTCAAGTCCTATATACATATGCACCACTGAGAATGATTTGCAGCCAAATCAACGTAGCATCCTAAGAACTCTAACCGGGTATGTGGGGCGTTCATGCGGAGAAATCCTAAAGATTCAAATAATCTGCTAAAATTGAAATCATTTACATTCACACATTTCTAAAACCTTAATTTATGAATTAGTATTATTATTGTATCCTTTAATTCCTAGAGGGACATAGGGATTCAGCTGCGAACCTCCATTGCCTTCGTTTTTCTGCCAACTTTTTCACCCCGCTCCGAGTCTGCCCACATGCTCTCATCTCCTCTTCACATGACTTCCTCCAAGTCACCCTTGCACTGATCACCAACTCGCCGCTTCCCTTTCGGGTTCCACTCGAGCGATGGCTTGTCTAGTGATGTCACTTGATGGTTTCCTCAGAGTATGGCCATCCCAATCCACCTCCATTTCTTCCTGCCTATTTGTTTCACAATCGGTTCCTGCTGTGTTGATTCGCTCATTGCCAGAGATCCCTGTTACTGATCTTTTCTAGCCAGCCATCTGATCTTGAGTATTGAGCGATGACAACTGTTAATGAAGGTCTGCAGTTTGTTTGAGATGCTCTTTATTACGCACTGGCCAAGTCTCTGATCCCTATAGCGAGTAGCAGTGACTGACTTCACAATGGAGTTGAAAATCCGGATGTTATTTTTGATGCTGAGTGCTGTTGACCTCCACACAGACTTGAGAGTAATGAAAGCTTGTCTTGCTTTTCCGAATCTGGCTTTGATATCCTCGTCAGTTCCGTTCTCCTGTATTAGAAACGATGCTTCCCTGGTAGGTGGGTGATGGAGGTTGTTTTTTTCAGGTTCCTCCCATTTATGCTGGCTGATTGTTGTCTGTTATTGTTGTTGCTGTTGGTGTTGGCCAGGAATCTTCATCACCTCTGTTTCATCGATGTTCACCTAAAGTCTTGACTTCTCTGGATGCTTGTTCTGCCAACTTGTTGCTTTTCACTTGCATATCTTCCAGTTTGTGGGAATAATTACCTAATTTTCAAGCCTATAAACAGAAATATAAACGAAATCCCAGGTTAGATGACGACCAGGATACATTATAATGAAAACAAAATGATAAAATTTGAGAAAATCAGACTTGAGAACTATTTATTCAAATTTTACTACACTGTAGGTATTTGTTTTAAATTCAATTATCTCGAATCTCAATAATCTTAACAGAACTTAGTACTTAGTATAGTAATTTCCTTTAATTTTTTTATAGATTCATTTATTAAATATATCAAAAGAGCTTATAAAATTAGAATTATTCGATTGTGATTCAAACGGACCGGTAAAAAACTTTAAATCAATTAAATTGAATAAATCTTGTTTAAATTTAACAAGTCAACATATTGAAGCGGTTAAAATATATTCAAAATTATCAAATAAATATATGCAATTAAAAGAGTATCAAATACAACGTGAACACCTAGATAATCAACTTAGTATGTATACATCACAAAATGGTACAATTGGATGTATCACAAACTTTACACGTAAAGTTACATTGCTACTGAATGTTTTGGAAGGAGAAGGAGAGAATTCAACTGAAGATTATATTACTTTTCGTCGGCCATGCAAAAGACTATGTCGATACTTATCATCAAAATATACTATCAATTTGAATCAATGTTTTTCACACAGTACAACTGGATCCACCAATCAGTCTGATTCATTTTTAACTCAAGAAAATGATATACGGGTGAGTGTGGATTGTATTTCATGTTTCATTTGATTCCATTTGCGTTCCAAGTGGAACATAAGGCTTCAAGAATTAGGCTTTGAAGTTTCAGTACCAATGATTTTGTTTTTACAGTGTAGGGTTCATAGATTTCTTTCCCTCTTCGCAGGGCCGAGGTTTAGGAGTGCATCCGCCAGGGGTTCATATCCGGACCATGTGTACGGTTTTTGAGTATTTTACCAATGAACAGCCGATTCAGTGTGCACCACATGTTTTGTTAGATCCTTAAGAACACAGTATTCTGCGAAGAGACTCTCCTCAACAACGAATTTATTATCAAGCTGTACAATCGTATATATATATGGTTTTTTAAGAAATTATATCTGGTGAGGGAATCAGATCAAATGTGTGAATACATGAAATAATAATAATAGTATGAAATGCATCTATCAGTCCACTTGCTCTTGTGGAGCAAGGTACATTGGCCGTAGTCAGAGATCGCTCTACACACGGATACGAGAACATATTCTAGCTTAGTTTAACAAGGGAGAAAGGAAGTGTACGCGAAGCTCTATTCTGGAACACCTGATCGACTTCTGTCACTCGGTTAACCCTGACCATGATTTCAAGATCATATATAGAATCCATGGTAACTTCCCGCGTTTTCTTCGTTACAGACTTCTAAAGATAGCTGAGGCTCTGCCAATTCATGACTTTAAGCCAGATCTTTATGTAAAAAAGAAGTACGTACAATCCCTACTTCTGCCTTGGCCGTAGAGGGATACACATTTATTTATTTATTCTGTTTATTTGGTTATTCTATGTACCTTTCCCTTATTACTACGATTATTATTATTGTTATCATTATTATTATTACTATTCTCACTCTGAATTGTTTCCACTTGACCCACTTGTCATTTTAAACCCAAAATTATTAGTCTGTATATTTTTAATTTTTACAATATTGAATTCTATCTTATCAGATTTCACACCATGTTATGTAATATTTTATATTCGTCTACTAATCTTATAATTATGTATACCTTTCCAAAATCTATACACCTTATGTATTATTCTATATATGACATTAATTATTTTGCCACTTGACATTAAACCATGATTATAATCACAAATATTTTAATTGTATTTCATACTATTATTGTTATTTCATGTATTCACACCTTTGACCTTAATTCCATCACTGGATATAATTTCTTAAAAAACCATGTATATGCGATTGTACAGCTTGATAATAAATTCGTTGTTGAGGAGAGTCTCTTCGCAGAATACTGTGTTCTTAATGCCACAATGGGAATTATTAAATTATTGAAAAAATGTTAGATCTTTAACAATACGAAACAACTTAAAGACAAATGGAAATAAAAATTTCATAAAGTAAATTAAATTTTCACTGCAGAGATGTGCACAGAAGTACAATTGAAATATCAGTTGAAGTTTGCAGAAAGCATAAAAAATGTAACTAAAGGTGAAAGAAAGAAATGAGAAAATTGGTTTAAACAGAAACTTTAGGGAGAAAGAATAATCAAATAAAGGGCGATAAAGATTTATAACGACAGAAGACAAGTACTGGACAACAGGTTGTTTATTGAGAAAATCAAAAGATATTTATAGAATTTTATGTACATTATTATTCGCTATTGTTGGCAGAGGAGCAACGTCTTCTAATTGGTTGTTTTCTCACTGAAGGTTATTCTATGCTGTTTGTGACCGTTTCTTAGAAAGTTGAGCCGTATACCTGCGAATCGTATTCCCACACGTTAAGTCTGTTGTGATTGATTAGTGAGTTCCTCAAGGTTAAGCCTTGTTATTGTTTTTTTCTCATGACCCCTATTTGGGATGTAACATTGACGTAAATTGCTGTCTACACTTTTGGCTTGCAGTTAGCTGTCTCCACAGATTTAGTGGATCAGACAGACCCTAAGGAGCAAATGCATCTACGCTACTGACAGTCACTTTGAAGCAGCGTCACAAACAATCTCTTGCCATAGATTGTTAGGTAGTTTACCCCTCACTATGAAGCTCAAAATAAACTTTGTAAAGAAGATGGATTGATGCCGTGTTTTAATCTGACCATGTGTAACTCTTTCCGAATTTAGTCCTATTTCATATTAGGCAATTCATAACGATAATTTCATTAACACGTCAACTCTTTGTTTGTTACTACATCGGATGAAATTAAAAAAAAACAAATGAAAGTAGTACATAATTGGATTTGCACATTTTCATCGTTAGAGTTTACGTTTTTGGGTAAATTCGTCATTCTTTTCATGACAAGGAATATAATACATGTGGTCATTCATGAAAAATAGTGTTAATCGAAGCAGAATAATGCTGCAAAACTGTAAGTAGTGATGAGACTAAAACATGATCGCAGTCCATGGAATCCCTGAATTTCGATTTGAGGCAGTTAAGCGGATTTTAGTTACTTGGCTGAAGTTTTGGAGACTCTAAGAATCAGTTTTTGAAGACTGTTTATACGCATTCTTCTCATTCTTCAGATTCTGAAAATCTTTAATTTTATTATCACTCCCTTTGGTTCCAAGAGAAACGTAAGACTTCATTAGCACACTTCTACTTCCCTCGGTTCTCTGTATTCTTCTCGAGCCAACCCCACGACTACCCATACTGTTTCATGCACTCATCACAAGATATCCTACACATCAAATTAATACTCACGCTTGACTCATTGTTGCCCGAGGGCTTGCATGTTGCGTGATGTTTCTCGACGGTCTTCTCAGTGTATGTCGAATTCGTCTCAGTCTCCTTCAGCATATTTGTTGGGCAAAAGGCTCTTAGTTGATTCGTTGTCAGAAATTCCTTTTGCTTATTTTTTTCCTAACTGGCTATCTAGTCTTCGATATGAAGTTAAGGAAACTGTTGGTGAAAGTATTTTTGTGATATGTGTACCGTGCCACTGAACCAAGCAGAATAACTGACTTGACATTAATGTTGGCAATTCGAATTTTGTTTTTTATCCTGAATGCAGCGGATTTCCATACTTATTTTAAAGTACCAAAAGTCTGTCTTGCTTTCCCAGTTCTATCTTTGAAATCCTACTTGCGCAAAGTGTAGGTAAAATGATGCTACCAAGATAAGAGGAAGAAGTATTTTCCATAAGATTTCTCTCGCTCACGGTGATTGGGAATTTTCTTTACTGGTTAGGTATCCTCATCACGCCTGTATTCTCTGTGTTTACTTGAAGTCCTGTCTTTGTTAACTGCCTGTTCTACCAACTCGTTGGTTTTCGCCTGTAGATCTTCGATTTTGTGTGATACTAAACATAAGTCAGCCTGTAAGTTCAGACCTTCTGCTGTCTTTTCATTTGTCCAGCGTGTTCATATCAGTCCACCAGAATAAGGCGTATCATCGGAAATGATTGATAGTCGAGTCTTACTTACTCTTGTCGTCAATTCAAAGGCCTCACTGAGGTTTCTTTTTTAAGTCACTTGGCATGCGGCGTCATCACATACCTGCTGAAGGAGATTGATTAGGAATTTTGGCACTATGTAGTGTTGAAGCAAGAGAATATCAAATAATTTCTGAATGTCCTTTGTTTCACAAATTTTCGTTCAGTGTATTTTAGTTACACTTTTTTCAATTACTGCGTTCTTTTCTCAACTTTTTTTTCTATTTCAAAATGCAGCGACTTTAACCGATGCATTTCTGTGCAGAGTACAGTGTTACTTCATCAACCAGAACCACTGTGATTTCTTAAATATAAGTGTAGCATGATATGACTGGTTAACATAACCATATATGAAAGATACTCATAGTTTACCTAAGAAGTCAATTACAGTTCTATAAAAAACTTGAAAACAGTCTCATTCAGTTTTGTTTTCATTTAATTTTTTTCTTCTGAAGGATTTAACCCAATGGATAATAAGCAGTCTTCTTGAGCTTCAACTCGCACCTTTAGACAAGTTGGATAGCACTATGAGTTTAATTTTACAAATAGAAATATGCATATACTTTAATCTGCTTCACCATTCGAAATTCACTAGTCATGAATTACAGAATTTGGAAAATGTGAGAGAAATTAAATTATTTAAACAAATAGTATACAATAATATATTCAATAGTGTGTTCAATGTTCAACACAACTCTAGTGTCAATGATACAGATGTAAGTTTAAATTTAATATATATGTATATAATATCCAACTGTACTTGTTTCTTACATGTGTAATGTGTATTTCTATAAAACCCATTAGGTGTATACCTTTATCCAGTAGGACAGCTGTTTCGTCAGTCTGGTTTTGGACTCTTTGAAAGTGCACACCCATAACACTAGGGTTCAAACCAGGGACCTTTTGATTACCAGACGTGCTCGTAGACCATTAAGCCACAAGGACCTGATCCAATGGTCCATGAATTCCACATTCTACTAATCCACTTGAATATCAATCCGATACTTACTAGTGACTAGTCTTATTCAGGTAGGAACCAGTGAGAAGTCGTGACTTGTGGGGTACAGCAGATCAGGTGTCAGGACAAATACTAGCCGATGACATTGGCTATTGGACGCGCTATGTTGTGGATTAGCAGGAGTTGGAATTCATGGGCTGGCCATTGGATTGGATCCCAGTGGATTAGTGGTCTGCGAGGTTAGAACCACAATATCCTGGGTTTTGAACCCTAGCACAGTGGGTGCGTACTGTGGAGAACCCCAAACTAGGACGAAACAGTTGTCCAGTACACCCTACTGGTTTTCCAATGGTTCTCTAACTGATATCAGTTCATGATGTGATCCTGAATTCGGTGATGTATATATATACCTCCGTTTACAGTCTCATTGGCGCTCCTTTTCGTTAAGAAGGCTACGGGTTGAAAGCTTCCTCAAATTTCTCTACTGCACCATTAACATCATTTCTATTTCTCGTAGCTTTAAATAAAGTATCCACGCATTTCTAATACAGATTCAGCCTGTGGATTTCGTTTGTGTTGGACTAAACTATAAACACAGTTAGAATACTTATTGCTCAGAGCGAACCAAAACAATATAAGATAACCCGACAACAAATTATAATTACTGTGTACCAAAAGTGATTAGAAAGTTAAGCTACATGAAGATAGGGCCTATTCCAACTGTCACAGTAATACAGTCCAAAGAACGACGTGAAATACACGTTGATGATGCTTCTTCACTGGAGGTTCGTTGATTCTGCTATTTACCCTACTGGGAAAGAGGATGGGTATAAGCTATCAGGTTTAAAAAAGGCGACCAGTTATTAGAATGTGGTTTGAATGGCTATAATAAGTCACTATGTTCAAGTATTGGTTTCCGAGGATTTGATTGGTTACAGGATTTTATTATGAACTGATATCGGTTTCGTTCTAGGATGAAACAGCTGTCCAGTACTCACAGGTTTCCCAGTGGTCTTCTAACTTATGTCAGTTTATAATAAAACCCTGCAATAAGTAAAGATGTGTTGGTAAACACTTACACTTTGAACGTTTACCATTTCGGAAACTTTATTAGAAGTATAAGTGTGCATGATAGATAAACCAATATTTGTTCTTAACGGAGTGTTCTGAAGGAACAGAATGTTATTTGTAACTTTGGAAGAAAACTATACAATATCGTCTCACGTTCTTCATATATCCTTTAAATGCCGCGACTTTAGGAGAAGAAAAGACGCAGAAGAAGGTTAAAAAATATAAAGAGAAACTTTATCGAAAAGTCAGCTGCAGAAAGTTATGTAATGATAGCGTTATTAGAAGACAGAGACTATCTGAAAAATGTGATGTATTAGCGTTATACATTTCGAACAATTTGATCACACATTTACTTGTCAAGTCAATATATATATATATATAAAGGTTAAATGTGCAATCAGATTATTCGGAATGTATAGCGCTAATACATCACATTTTTCAGATAGTCTCCGTCTTCTAATAACGCTATCAAAATTTATAAAAAATGGACTAACTGTTTTAAAAATGTAATGATAGTAGAATACATGTAGTTTTCTGACGAGACAAGGATAAAAAACAACTTCTTGTGGAATAATGCAGGAGATTTGTAACTCAGGTGGATGATACTGAATTAGTTGTGTTCTCTGAGCTGGCTGATTTAAATTCGAAGCTTTCTGTGTCCTTTTAGACTACATCTTCAGTGCAGGTTCTAGTTATGAAATGAAGTTATTTGAATTCACCATGAATCAACAACCAGTCACGACAATGGCTGCCAAGAGATACAGTTATACAGGATTTCATCATGAGCTGACATTAGTTAGAGAACCATTGGAAAACCTGGGAGTACTGGATAGCTGTTTCGTCAGACTAGTTTGGGACTCTTCAGCAGTACGCACCCACCGCCACGGTTCGAACTCAGGACCTTCTGGTCACAATGCAAGCCAGCTCGTTTACCATTAAGCCACTGGAACCTGATCCAATGGCCGATGAATTCTAACTTCTGCCAAATCACGACATAGCGCGACCTCTAGCCAATGTCTTCGGCGAGTATTTGTCCTCACACCTGACCTGCTGCACCCTACTGGTTACGACTTCTCACTAGAACCCCAGGTAACTACCTACCTGAATAGGGCAAGTGGCTAGTGACCATCTCATTGTCATTCAAGTGTTGGTTTATACGGATTGGATTGGTTACAGGATTTCATCATGAGCTGACATTAGTTAGAGAACCATTGGATTCAAATAAGTTCATTTCATACTAAAACATGCACAGAAGATGTTATCGAGAAGAATGACGAAAGCTTCTAAATTAAATCAGCCAGCTCAGAGACCACAACTAATTCAATAATAACCTCTTGTCTCTGTCTCCCTTATTTTTATTGTTAAATGAGGAAATAATGTCGCCACATATATGAAATAGTGGTGATGTTATATCCCGCGCTGACAGATATTACGAGGCTACGAACCAACGCACTGGACAAGTGGTAACGAGTTTATCTCGTAAACTGGTTATCCTGCGTTTAATCACTTGTGAAATCATGATTTTCCACCGCTTAAGACTTTCAACCTCCACGGCACAAACAGTGGGCATTTATTTTACATAGTTTTTGATAACACTGAACAATGACAAAGTTCCCCTTTGAAATTTAAACAAATCCATCACAGAAACTAATGCATAAGCAGCTTATTTTTCTATTTTTCCACTTAAGGTTTTGAATCGTATCCAACTTCTAGAAGAAAATCTACCATCTTTAAAAGGTTTGCATAAATCATTACTGGATGAGCCTTTAATATGGAATGAAATGCTTGAGGTGAGTGTGCAGTTTCACTTTATTCTTACATATCTTACATTCCATAGTTTAAATAATGCCAACATTTAAAAGACATATCTTACTGTATAACAAAGTGATAAGTGGATGGAACAATTAGTGTACAGAATGGAACAGTCAAGATTTATTCTGTTTTCCTAGTTACAGCTAATAGTCAGACTGACGTATCACCAGTTACACTTTCTCCATTTTTAAGCCACTACTATTTCAATCTAGTCCCACAAACTATATCTGGCTGACTGTGTGATGCAGTTTGCTGAGCTATTCAAATATATTAGAGAAAATATGTCCAAGTTTTGGTTCACTTATAATCTTATAATAAAACACCTAATTTTATTAGTCCTATTCGTCGATATTTTCAGTTACCATTAAATGTTTTGGGATCTTCTATCTGAGTATGCTCTGTACTTGCTACAGGCTACCTTTCATATTATTGAGCTGGATATAAGAGTCACTGTAATTCCATCCTTCTCGTAGACCTCTGTTTCTTATATGAGTTATATCTTTTTTAGAGGTATTTCGCTGACCAAGCCTGTCGTTCATGAGTAATACCTGTTGTTGATGTCTCTTAAATAACTTTCATTTTCGTCCTGCCACCGCTTTTCCCACTTGTTATGAGGACTTCTTTCTAGTCAGCCTTACCCTTCTACTGGTTTTGAAACATTCCAACAAGTGACATGTTTCTTTGTCTGAAAGCTATAGGGTAACATAGTAAGTGATAATCTAGTTAAACACAGTATTAGGTTAAGAAAAATGATTGGTTGTAAGATTTGGTCATTTGAGCTGACATCAATTAGAGAACCGTTTGAAAATCTGAGAGTATTGAACAGCTGTTTCTTCCTAGTTTGGCTTAATGGTGTACGAGCACGCCTTGTAACCAGAAGGTCTTGGGTTCGATGATAACCAAACTAGGACGAAACAGCTGTCAGTACTCCCAGTTTTCTCAATGGTCCTCTAACTGATGTCATCTCATGATGAAATCCTCCAACCAATCAAGCAAAATTCCCTGCAAAACCAGTAATTGAAAAAAAAGAATGAAGCGTCAAATGGTGAAGTTGTGAAACTTAATCGACTAATATGACTGAGACGCTTGCTACGCATAACAAATCGTCGCGTTTCTTGTCGAGTAATATTAGCTGAAATAGAACTTGATTAGGAGAAAGATAAAAGTGATTGAACAGAAGTGTAGCGCCGATACATTGTTCGTTGACTAAAGATTAAGGGGTTAGGAACTACTGGTGAGACGGCTTAAAAATGTTGATAGTGGCGTAAATGTATTTATTCTTTTAAATTTTGAAAATCACCACTACTACTGAATAAATTGTTTTTCTGTCTTATACATCTTGATCCATTGTAGTTCCATTAAATTCCTTTCCTATTATTAACTGACTGAGTTCTTGAAGTGTCATAACTTGAGCTGATGGGATGTTATCCTCAAGTTTTCATTGTTTTTGTAGTGGGTCAGTTAGTCATACTACATTAGAGCCAACCCAATGAGATAAAAAAAATATTACTGATATTTTAAGATTTCAAACAGATCGCTACACATTACAATTGCATTCCTTTTTACTTTTAGCTAATCATACATTTTTTAATTATTATCTATGATTTGTTTTGTTTATTCCTAACTCTAAACAATGTGTAGACATGTTTGAATTTCCTTCGTCCTTTACCTGGATTCTCAGCTGCAAAGGTAATACCTGAAGCGCATATATTTTTAGTTTGGATTTCAATAAAACCAGAAAGGGTAGGTTGATACATTTATCATATTTATTATGTTTGACTTTTACACGTATTCATAATGTTTTAAATGGAAAAATTAAGAAGACTTCATTTAATTGGTTTTTGTTATAAATTCTTGCCAGTTAGAAACAATATGTATTGTGGAGTAAAGCAAATCCATTTCATGTTCTCTATATTGTCCGTATATATATCGAAAAAGATGAGTTGAACGTATGTCCAAGGGTGGCACTGTGATACTATGAGAAGGAAATGAAGTTTATAGGCGTTCATGAATTCATCTAAAAAGAGCTTCAGAGAACATTGTGAAATAGATTATTTATATAAGGATTAAACTTGGACAGTGTGGTAGAGTATAATGGATAATAGTCACACAATGTTGTACAGTAGTATTTACTGATGACGTTTCGAGCACAATTTATGGCTCATAATCATATCAAGGTACTCACATAACCTTCTTGCTTCATTTATATACATCAGTAAAACTTGACTAGACATTTGAATAAAATCAAAATAAGACTTGTGTGAAACAGAAAGCAAGATTAAGTACAAACAAAATGGTTCAATTTAGAAAATACCCTGCAATGACCATGAGATGGGTCAACTACATAGGTTAAACTAGTAGATCGGGAGTAGTGAGATTATCAGAACATAATAATTTAGCTAAGGTTAGAATGGTTGATCCCAAGAAGATAAGTAATTTAGAAAAAAACTCAACCCTAAATTGCACTGCATGCGTTAACACACAATCCCACAATAGGGTGGGACAGAGTTAAAATTCTAAGAAGTAATATAGTTATGTGGAGAGAGACAGATTGATTACTCAATCCTGATTCCTCGAATCTACACCCAACACATGCAATAGAAGTGACTCAACACAAATATCAAAGAACGAAATATTAAGAGCGAACAATTGTTTTCAATAAATTCTTCTTCAGGCTCTACAATTATAAATCGATTAATTTAAGCATACAATAGCCAGTAAAGGCGAATTAGAATCATATCAGAAAGTGTATTGTGGAACAAGTATAAGATGGGGTGAAACAATAGTCATATAGTTTTTTAATATGCATGGTCAATGAGAACATGGGCCAAAGTGAGATGAAGTAATTTAATTTAATGATGTGTGTATATATTTAAATATATTCAACAGAAAATACAGGTTTCAAGAGTGAGTGTAATCGGGTGTGTGAGACAATATGAAAATAAAGCAACTAATGGGGCGGTCTAGAAAAATAAGTTCAAAGTTGAAAATAACAACAATAAGAATGATTGTAAAATAATAACGATGATATGGTGTCAAATTAAAAGCGCTATTGGTGATTGATTGTTAAATAATAATAATGAATATGATGAAGTGGAATGAACAGGGTTTTGTAAATACGATAGCAAGTTAGAAAAGCACTACTTAAACCTAAGGTAATAAAATCATAAGAAAGGTCATGAAATCATAAAAGTCGAAAATGAACGTTTGTCAATGAAACAGAGGAATAGAAGAAGGAAAAGAAAAGAAAATTGTGAAAGGAATTTAAAGCGTTAATGGAGGATTTGTTGGCTTCATTGTAGGCCAAGGTAAACATAGAGGTTGAACATACTGCTTCTGTATGCAAACACATGGTCTTCTGGTATTAATTGCAACTGCTTCAGCTACTGATAGTAGACGTAGTCGAGCTCCTCTAGATAAATTACTAGGAATGCGGTAAATAACTGAGAACGCTTGGTCAAGTTTTATCGGGTGTCCACTATCTATCAAGTAGGCTAAGAGTGAACTATTTATGCATTTGGTTACTCCTTTACTCCACCATACAGGAACATGTTCACGCGCGCGCACTCGTCTTATTTCCCATCCTATCGCATTTTACTGATAACACCACTATTATTTATGAGTACACATTATCTTGCTTTCTGTTTCACACAAGTCTTATTTTGATTTTATTCAAATGTCTAGTCAAGTTTTACTGATGTATATAAATGAAGCAAGAAGGTTATGTGAGTACCTTGATATGATTATGAGCCATAAATTGTGCTCGAAACGTCATCAGTAAATACTACTGTACAACACTGTGTGATTTTATTAAACTAAACTTTTATCTATAACGGAATTGTGAAATGAAGACAGACAGTTTTGACCTTATTAGGCAATATGGGGAATATATATATATATATATATGTATATATAGCCAACAGTAATAATAATCCATTCATTTTAAGTCATGGCTTCATACAGAATGGAATATTCAGTATCTTCAAACTGCAGTTAATTTGCTCCGCTTATAAATGAAATCTAATGAAATAACTACCGAAATATGTAGTTTGGGCTAACTAATTCAGGGGACAGTCATTCGACTTAATGCTTTTTATACGCTTCTTTGCTCATTGCCAGTGTCCACTAAATTTTCTCTCAAAGTTATGGCGATAGAAAAAAAAGATACGTGAGTCAAAACAATATGATTCTAAGGCGTCTCTGATGAATTAAAATTAAATAAGAGTAATTTGATGCAATGCGTAGCTTATGGAAGGGGGGTATTTTTATAACTTTAAACTCAAGTAGACCTCCAAATTAATTGAATGAAAAAGAATTGGGAAAAACTCTAAATATCTTTATTTAAAAAAGAATATTACTCAAGATTAGATAACAAGTACTGTCTACAGTATTTTGCTTTGTTACCTTAAGTGGAAAATGGTTGGATGTTGAGTGTTTGTCAGTGAAATATACAGTGCAGTTATATGATATCACTGGACCATGTACAAAAATCCAGGTTATTTGGTTAACAATCATGACAATCAAACATATGTCCAAGAACTATTTGCAACAATGCTCACCAAGAAGAATAAAACTGATTCACTACTTTGTGTGAAGTGGTACCCAACAGGGTTAGAGAAACAGTGGGAGTTATAGTCCTGATATCTAATACAGTTAGGCGCATGAAAGGTTTGATCATTCAGTCTTTATCCGTCGAATCAATATCCAATTAGTTCAGCAATGAGTAACAAAAAATCAGAAATTTATGATGATACGTTGATATGAATATTTGGAATGATTTGTGCAATATACAGCTTAAATAAATATTACTGTTTCACAGTGTAAAAATTACCAGAAAGCAATATTTATTCCAATATTTCACCTGTTTAATATTTAATTGGGATTAAAATACTTGAAGTCATCCCTCTATGTATCATTTAAGTTTTAGTTATTAGTTGCAAGTTGGGAAGGGTTGTCAGCGAGATCACTGACTTCATTCCTCAGTGAAACTTGTACACACTCTTTTTTAAATTTATTAAAGGTTCTAACTGTTTTCAAATATTACAATCATCATGAATAATTCAGCGGTAACGTCTCTGACTTCAGTACTGTTTGACAAGGGCTAGAATCCCCATGCAACTATAACCCCCCTGAAGTATACAGATACGCCTTGATGTCGAGTAGCAAGAGAAGTGAAACCTAGATTCTAGGGCTTCCTGATGACTGACTGAAACCCGCTAATACCGGTTCAATGTGCTCCGCAACAGTGAGTCATGAAGCTTGGTGATCATGCTGTAAATTGGGCAAAATTACTAGAAACATGAGATTGGTGACCAGCTGATGTATTCAATATTTTGCTTCTGTTCATATAAACTATTTTAAAATACACCGAATGTTATTTTTTTGCCTTATTTTAGTTCTTCACCATTTCAAAAACTTTTGTAAATTTCATATTGGCTCAGTATATCATTACAAGTGACAGCATAAAATATTTTAATGATTCGTTTGAAACTGAAAAGCGTCTACGTGTCAGTGGATTATTTCAACCACAAATCCGAAAGCAATCACAAGGAGGATATTATTCAAATCAAGATAATTTTATATCTTCTGTTGTGTACTGTAAGTATTTTAAGGACTATGATTCCTGTACGTTTCTCTAAAGTATTTTATTTGTGAGTAAAATACAAATTTCAATTCCATCGCATGAAGGCTGTTCCGACAGCCGTCACTTGAGTGAACCCAGCTCACAGAGTTCACTTGTTGAATGTCCAGTGTTTCAATTAATCCGTCTTTGTTCTAGAATGAAATCCAGGAACAAGATTATCAGTACTATATAGTAGGCTATATAGACAACACTTGGATTCATTGTTTGTGAAAGGAATAAATACACACTTTCGGAAGACATCATACCATTTTTTTAAAATTTAACCAAGCCATCGATTAAGACAGTTGAGTGATGGAAGTCAGCTTACAATCACTTGATTATTTCAGTGAGATTATCATAAGCCACATTCAGTCATCTTGTGATTGACAGATATGTAACTGCCTGACTGGATCTTTTGCCGTCAGTTCTGGTCATAATGTTAGAAGAAGTAAAACAGGTTTTTTGATTGTCATGATGAAACTGTCTGAAATGATCTTCGGTTAGCAGATGTAAGAATAATTGAAGCTAGACATTTGATTTTATGTAAAAACCACTCCTTATTCCTATTGACCGCCTCAAGGTCACTCGTGTGTTCAAACTGCTTGAATCGCTGTTTTTTGAGCTTACTGTGCCACCATATAAAGAAGGAACATCAGAAACCTCACATAAGTTTCTTAAAGAAGCTGGAATTAGGATGTCTTTTGGATAAACCAATACACTCAGAGAAAAGCTTTTTCGACTTAGGTGTCGGACAGATCTAATTAAGAAGAATAACGTATTTTGCTGAATACCATGTAATTACTGTGAGGTTAGTTACATAACTCTGACTAGTATATCAGAGTCTGTTAGATCATCAGAACAGAGAAATTTAGGTAGAGCTACAATGATTGGTCATTTTAAGTTAAATACTGTAAATAATACTGTTTCACTGTGTGATACACCTAATAAACAAACTAATATGGAATTACTTATCACCACAGTGCCCAAGTTGTACACACATTTTAGAATTTAGGGGTGACAGTGAAAATGAGATACTTAAAAGTTGTCTGAACAGATCATTGAGAAAAATGTTCTTCTCTGCCAATTTACAAATAGCCTACTCTGGCCGTCCACTGGTTCACTTTAATGTCAAGGAAATATTACCTCGATTGTCTAATTGCATGTGGATTTATATGTTCATCTGGTCTTGGCGACGTTGGTCGAGAAACCCTGCCGACTTCGACAGCACCTCTCAGTTTGGCTTAGCAAAGGAGAATGTATAGGTAATAATTCATATATATATTGCAACATATTGTAGATACTAACCACGTAGCATCTGACACATCGTCTACAAAGTTCGAAGAAGTTTGTCGAAAGGGATAAGAGTGCATTTGCTTTGTATAGCAGAGGCTTTGACAATAAGTAACATTAAGCCAGAACTTTGTGTACAAAAATAGTTTTTACAATCTATTTCATTACGATGGTCTTGATTTTACCATATAATTCACATAACAACTTTGTTATCCTTCTTTATTCCACGTTCAACTTTTGTTTTATTTTATTCCACTTTATGTTATCATATTCTAAAATTTTTTATTTAGTCTTCTGTTTTGACATTTCACGCATCTTATGTCGTCTCCATCACATTATACTCACATATTCACATTTCCGAATGTACTTTATTTTTCGATCATCCATTTCACACTTGGCTATTAAACTTCCGAAAAATTTGCACGAGTGGCACATTGATGGATGAGCTGCAACATATACATTCAGTCTAATTGGTTAATGGTTATTCGGAAAACTTTATCACTTGTCACAGTAAAGAAAGATCACATCTCGAAAAGACAGCTTCTGTACTAAAGAAAGCTATCTTTATTAACCAACCTACCATTCAAGGGTGACCTGATTACTCCGCATCTCTTTTCTCACATGCCGAACATTTTCGATCTCTGTATCTATGATTAAAGGACGAAATTCTGTGGACTCTACTTCAAACTGTATCTACAAGTTCACCTGCAGCTGCGGTGACGCCTATCTAGGTAGAACCAATAGAATATTCCAATTTCGTCGGAAAGAACATGTTCCAAAATGGCTATTAAATCATATAGAAAGTCCCAATGTAATTAATCTGAATAGAAATCCAGCATCATCCATTGCGAAACACTTATTTATGTCAGGTCACAAAATCAGTATTAATGACTGTTCCACAATTATTTCACATAACTCTAATTCAGAGTTGGTGATTAAAAGTGATGGAAGCACTTTGGGGGATTAATCATATACAGCCTAAACTGTGTGTACAAAAAACGATAGACTTCAATTTTCGCCTACTATGGACTACATGACCTATTTAAATATGATTGTTCATTAGTATGCACTTTTGTTTTTTATTTAACTGAGTAATTGTCATGATCTTTGTTTTATTATTGTTAACCATGTCAGTTGTAAAGCGGTTGTAAAGAAACTACGAAATGACGATATCATCTCACGAAATTTGTCTTCTAAATGCCTTATTCAAATTAAACTTTAGGTTGACCTCTATCTATGTAGTTACTCATTCATATATCTAATTAATTGTGACTCATAATCGTAAACACCAATATTATCACACTTTAGTACTTCCACTCAAACTTTAACAAACACAAAAACCTGATTGTTATTGTCGATTGTGCAGCTTTCAAAATGGAATAGTCGAAAAGAGGTTGTTAAATCCTAAATAAGGAATCGGTTTACCGAAATGAATCACAACGAGGAACAGCATTCTACAATATCTTTAAATATTCCCATTTTTAACATTAGAACAAGACATATTAGCGAATGATATTGTTTTCAATTAGATCTTCTTCAGGCTTTACTCTAATTTACATAGATTTATGTACAATGACGGTGGTTTTGTAGATCAAACAAGAATAATAATAATAATAATGTGGTAAATGTTTTGAACGTAATTAATAACTTTGAATAAGGCATTAAGAAGACAAATTTCGTGAGATGATATCATTTCGTAGTTTCTTTACTACTAACATGGTTAAAAATAATAAAATAAAGTTCATGACAATTACTCAGTTAAATAAAGAACAAAAGTACATACTAATGACCAATCATATTTAGATAGGTCATGTAGTCCATAGCAGGCGAAGATTGAAGTCTATTGTGATAACGTTATTAGAAGATGGAGATTATCTGAAAAATGTGATGTATTTGCGCTATATATGTCGAACAATCTGATCACACATTTACTTGTCAAGTCGATATATATGAAAAAGTTAAATTAAACAAGTGATAAAAGAAGATTTAAGAATAATTTAATATATCTTTAAATATTCCCATTATTAATGTCAGAACAAGACATACAAGCGAACAATATTGTTTTCAGTTATATTTTCATCAGGCTTTGCTCTAATTTACATAAACTTATATATAAAAATTTTTAACCAATGACAGTGATTTTGTGGATCAAATATTGATAATAATAATAATGTGGTAAATGTTTTGAACGACATTAATAACGATGATTACAATGATAACAAAATATTGATAATAAGGTTTATGCAGGTGGCGATAAGAATAACAAAGATAGTATATGTATATATGTGTATTTGTAGACAATTCAATAAATAAATAAATTAGATCAAATCTTAAAAGGTGAAGTAGACAGATAATCCGAGTTTAAATATCATAAAAGTACTAAGGAGATGGAAGATAAGAAAGGATAGGAGGGTTTTGAACAGAATTCACCTAGGCAAAGCAAGGGAGAGACAAAGTAGAACAAACTTCTTTTGTATGCAAAGACTAGGATTGTTCTCTCGAATTCCCATAGCTTCGGCTATGTGTAAAAGACGGATTCTCATTCCGTTCCAAAAGGCTCGAAGGAATGCGATAGATAACTTTGAGAGCACTATTTTTGTCCACTTGGTGACCATTATCAATCAGGTGAGCGAAAATAGGACTTCGTATGGATTTTACCATTATTTACCACGTTATTATTATTATTTGATCCACAAAATCACCGTCATTGGTTAAAAAGATTTTATATATAAATCTATATAAATTAGAGTAAAGCCTGATGAAGATCTAATTGAAAACAATATCATCCGCTAGCTTACATGTCTTATTCTACAATATCTCATAATACACTTGTCTGAAGTGTTTCTTAGAATTTTATATTGTGATGAGATGATAAGTTCTGTCAACCCGAGTGAATTGGTGATGCTCTTCATGAACTGTAGAATAAACAATGGGTAACGATGGCGTTATACAAGTTTGTCTATTTCAGCCATGATAGTGTAAGTGGTAGTCACTGGTAAAGTATCTCCAAGTAGAATGAAATATCCATCAACTGCTTCTTGATTCTCAATGATTTCTTGATTGTTGTTGGATCATACCGAAGTGTAAGATTAACACAGATTGTGGTCCTTTGATTGGACACTAGTAACTAGTGTGACATGTCTAGTCCTTTCTTTGGTGCTGACTCAATTCTGTCAGTCAGGTTTGCAATGTGGCCTCCATTCTAGGTAGCTCGCCATCACTGTGCACACTGATTTGATGATAACAGATAGTTGGAGGCGATCGGCAGGAAGCCATGGACCTAGGTTTTGTGCTAGTTGGCACTCGTCAGCAAGGCGTACCTGAAACCTTGAAGGATCTCGTGCTCCTTCGATCCTACAGTAGGTCAATTGCGACCCCGAATAACTCAGTGGTAACGTCTCTGACTGCAGCACTGAGTGACGCGGGTTCGAATCTCAGAGTGGTGGGACATGAGTTCCTTCGAGATTGCAGATGCAACTTGCTGACGAGTGCCAACTAGCACGAAACCTAGGTCCGAGGCATCCTGCCGATCACCTTTAGCTATCTAATATCATAGATTATGGTCGCCTGTTATGTATTTTTATACCATTTTGCGTTACACATTATGTTTACATTACATGTACCTATCATTAATAAGATCGCTACATTGATTCTTACACATTCCTAGTAATTCTCCCAAATAAATTCAATGAATATACAACTGAAGATTTCTTCAACTCAAATTGGTCAGGAATAGAGTCGAATTCAAATAAATTATTAAATGAATTACGCAATATGGCAGTTTATCTAAACAGAACTTTATTTTGTATCGACTGTGCAAGCACAAGTGATATTTCACACTGGCATTCATTATGCGGTAAGCTTATATGTTAAGTACGGAATATCTTTATTGTCACTTGATAACTGAATGGTAATTCACATGTTCTGCATTGATTATTATCTAAATTTTGACAAAATTTTAGAATAATATCAAAAATATTTTGAACGATGAAGTGTATGATGCTTTGCGCCTACGGTTTAATGGTAGAATGCTGGCCAGCTACACAAAAGAGGTTTGGGTTCGGTTCCCAGCTGATGAGCTCCTAAACCTCGCCTAGTTGGTGATAGACTTGGGAAAAAGGGAAAAGTTGGGCAGGAGACTGGAAAGTCTATGGCTACTGGAACTTCAAGGCCTGAGGTGCTACGTTCCACTCGTAAATCAAGGAATTAAAGAAGAAGATGCTATAGTTCCTTTTCAAATGAAGTTAGAATGTTCTGCAGCAGATGGACTACAAGTTCTCAGTGGAATCTGACAGCCTAGGCCTAAGCATTGGAGATTCGATAATCCTCTGTCTCATCAGAGTTTTTGAAACTTCAAACAAATATTGAAAATTTGTTTGATTGCAGATTATCTCCATATGTTCACGTGACTGTCTCCCGCAAACAACTTTGTATTGAATTCGATCAGAAAAAGCTTGACCCACCTTTCTATCGTATTGTAAATGGCAGATATGCTCAATTAGGTATTTGCGACGGCTTCAGTAATACTTTAGTCAACTGATACTTACATGTCAGGGATAAATGTTACAAAAACAAATTAGGAATCAAAATGAAGGTTAAAATCAATGCCATGTGAATTTCAAAGAATAGTACATTCATTCAAAGTCTTCTAAGGTAAATGGATAGAGCCAAACAGATTTCACTTCTATGAGGTTCATACTCCCCTTTCTTTTTGGCATTTAGAGGAGAGAATCGTAGAACCTTAAGCTGCCCGTTGGCAAATGCTATCAGTGCTTAATTCATAGATTTCTAAACTAATATCTTGTTTATCCATGAGAGCCGAACTACATAATGCTGACTGATTGATATAATCGAATCCACTTGATATCTTATCTAATTAAGTCATCCTCACATCTGTTACAAAACAGTGACTTTAGGAAAGAAGGGAAAATCAGTCTATGAGATTGTGAAATTACTTTGACTGAAATGGTTAGGATACCTTTTACTCATGCTATGCCATTGGCTCCTTCGACGAGTGGCGTTGGTTGATGAACGAATGGTCAGTTTTGCAAATATTTGGGTGTAATCAGACCAAGACATGATTCAATTTCATGAAGTCTTCAACCGTTGTTATACACTGTTAAAGGGAGGAACATGGCTCAAAATTGTTTTCAGTGGTGCAGGTGTGTTCACTCTTCCTGATTTCACAAATCCATTAAGTTCACATTAATCTGCCCATAATGATTCTTCCCCGTATTTCCGTTGTATTTCTTTTCTCTACCTTTATGTAAACTTTTGTGAAATGTGGGGACTTGAACCGATGCACTTTTGTGAAGTACAATGTTTTCTATAGTTTGGTTTGTAAGGGTTAGTTTTGTTTTTACGAGTTGATCACGGATTGATATCAGTTAGTGAACCATTGAAAACCAGCACCGGAGTAATGGACAGCTGTTTCATTCTAGTTTGGGAATCGTCGTCAGTACGCACCCACTGGGTTTCGAACTCAGGACCTTCCGGTTACAAGGCGAGTTCGCATACCATTCAGCCACTGGGACTCGATTCAGTGGCCAGCCCATGAATTATAACTTCCACCGATTCGTGATTTGGCGGACCCCAACTATTGTCGTTGGTGAGACATCCATCCTCATATAAGACATCTGGTTGGGGTCCGCCAAATCACTAATCAGTAGAAGTTATAATTGATGGGCTGGCCACTGAATCGAGTCCCAGTAGTTGAATGGTATACGGGCTCCCTGGCCTTGTAACTGGAAGGTCCTGAGTTCAAACCCCGGTGGTTCCGTACTACCGATGATTCCCAAACTAGGATGAAACAGCTGTCCAGTACTCCCTGGTTTTCAATGGTTCTCTAACTGATATCAATCCATGATGAACTCGTAGAAGTACCATGTGTTGGAAATTCAATTAGTATCATATCACGTTGGGATGCTTACTTTCTAATACATAATCAGACTTGTTCAGGGAAACTTAACACTTCTGAATAATTTAAAATAACTATCCAAAAATCTTTATATTTATTGTCGTGATTTAGTTTGGTTAGTCTGCATTTGAGCTCACGGTTAGTTTGATAACCATAGAAAATAAAATAGTCATGGTGATGAGAATTGTTTCACTTCACTGGATAAAATGAAGTTCATCCATTTCATGTGATCCTAACACTGGTTAGAATATTTTGATTACTATATATATATATATATATATACCAATACTGATCTATAATGATCGACTTCTTTTTGTATGTCACCCTCTTAGAAGGGAATTCACGACATCACTCCAATGAGGTCTTTACTGTGAGACTGGTCCTCCAGTATTTGGTTTATCAACATAATTTGGTACACTGTAGTTAGCGCTTTTATTTCAGTTCAGATCATAAACTATGATAAGTTAAAGAACCATTTGAAACCATGAAGTGTTGGTAGGTATGGTGTCCTAATTTACAACTCTTTGGCAGGATGACCCTTGACCCAACTGACAACCCATCACTCACACTGGTGAAGTTCTTGGGGTTCATGGTGGAACGTCGTGACCGGCAAGGTCCAGCAGTCGGGTTTTAGGACGGAAGCTCACTAATGACATTGGCTGGAAGTGACACTAAATATGGCGAACTGGAAGACGTTTGGATTCATGGACAGTTTAATTTCGTCCCAGGGATAAATAGATACCCTTGTAACATGAAGTTCTTAGGCTTGATTCCCCGTTACTGTTTCAAGCTTGGAAGAAAGAGCTGTCCAGTAGTCTCTGGTTTTCAATATTTCTTTCAAGTCAGTTTATGATCCAACTTTAAACTAATCAAATCTCTGCAAGTTAACACCTAACAGCTTTTATTCTTGTTAAATTAACACTGAATTAAATAGTCACAATCGAATAATCTTCAAGTATTGTAGGAGTAAAATACAGGCGATATTTTATCATCAAAACTTTTTCAATTAGTTTTTTTGTTTTGAATTTTATAAGACTAAAAGAAAAACAATCGGCATCTTTTTGTTTAACACTTCAGGATCCAGTACAAATATATTTCCATATCAAAGAGTTTTAATTTGTCTTCGAAATATACACATGATGGAGAGAAATTTGTCTAAAGAACTTCACGATTTACTTCATTATGGACTTTATAATTTAAGGGAACAAGTTATGCGTACTGAAAAACAACAGAAGGAGTTTCTATTGAGTAATAATAACAATAATAATAATAAGCTTGGGATAAGGTTTGATATTTTAATCGATTTCACATGTTGTCACTCAAAGAGACAAATTTCATCACTGTATTATAGATTACCAAGTAAGTATTCTCATTTTATTCTGATTTTTATATAGGTATAGATGTGTCTGTAATTCTTCTTAAAGAAAACCTCAACCTAGTATGATAATGTGTATCTGAAATTGAATACAATTAACGTCTAGGAGAATACACAGTGAAAGATTAGAGTTCCCCATGGTTTGTTCTGAAAATCGGAAGTTTTGAGATTATAGTATGTGATCTACTTTAAAAGACAATACAAAATTTGATGTACATGAGTGTTTAAAACCACTCATATCAATCTGTCGTGTATGGCAATTGAAAGTAGATAATCTTGACACGAGATGTCTGTTTCACCTATCAGTAATGTACCGGGACTTACATAACTCAAAGAGCTGAGTGAATGCTTCAAATGGTAGAATGCTTGTCAACAACGTGAGTGGTCCGAATTCGAACTCAGGCCGGTGCACTGCTAAACCTCACTCAGTTTACTAGTAAGCTGTTAAGGGAGAGAAGTAAGGTTGGATGTGAGGCTGTCAACCTCATCCATAAAAAGCAACATCACCTTTACTGAGACTTCAAACAGCATGAAGTACTATGTTTCGGTAGGAACATAAGGAATGGAAAAATATCGCTAAATCAGTTTACAGCACCTGATTTGTTGACATAGGCAAACTGGTCAGTTCACGTGCAGAGCTGATGAAATAGGTCTTAAGAGAGTAGGATGGTCTTCTGGTGTTTAGATCAACTCTGTCTGGCTAGTAAGCACTAATTGTTGATATGAGTTGTCAGTAGTATATGCTTACTTGTGTTGTGGGTTGGAGGATGGTGGAAATTATTTATTATTTAGTACTGATTCGTGGGCTAAATACAGACCTCCCCAATTTTAGATCTGAAAGTGGTAGATTACATCATTGTTGTGTATTGGCTAGGTGGTTAAGTGTAGAACAGGATGTTTTTTTTAAATAAACTATAAATTTGCTTCGTTTACCTTCGCTTATCTCTTTCCAACATTTACTTACATTATAAGACAGACACCGTTTCATTCTCCTTTTATTGGTATTGAAATTCATGCATGTCAACTCTGCTGTCAGAGTGAACAATTACTAAAAATGTTATTTGGTTGATGGTGACAAGCAGGGGAGTTTAGGACCCGCATTTCGTTGTATTTGGGGTAGTCACCTAGGCACACCCAAAATCCGCAGTGAGTGGTGGTATTCCCAATAATAATTCAACCCAGCGCCTATTGTTCCAGAAGCCAAAGTACTGTCCACTAGGCTACTTGGGTCATGACAGCCACCTCTCGTGCAATGGATATCAGTTGTTATTTGTTCTAATTATGTATTTCCTAACGACCTAGTGAATAACGCTTTGATATCTGAAACGATGAGTGCTGAGTTGGATTCGCAGTAGGACCATCATTCCTAGCTAACTAGAGATACAGGTATGTCGATCTCATTTGTCTAGAATGGAACGAAATATGCATCTTGAATTCCACTACTAGTTACTATTCACCAAATGGCACCGTGCTTATCTTCAAACGTCATTAAAATATCCGTGCTAGAAGCCACCGACAGGACAACAGAGACCAAATATTTCGGTCTAATAAAATGAGTTAAAGGGTAAATACACAATTTACCTTAACAAATTACTACACATATTCAATAGTATATGATGATTGTTGACAGTCAAAAAAAGAACAGTTTGAGCTGTATGATACAAAAATACTTTGTTTCATATTTACGCACATTATTACGTATGTGGCTACTGAATAAGGTACTGTTTTTGGGCATAAAATTTCCCGATTGCAACTAATTGTCATTATGAAAGCTCTGTCTGAGTAATGTGAACACCTAAGCATATTAATAGGGAAGAAAGTTGAAAAAAAAGAACTTTCCACCCAACAAACTGTACTTTAAATGACTACTCAGAGTGTGCAGAAATTCAGTTGTCTGTTCTCAAATAGAATAAGTTAAAAATGGAAATTAGGAATGGAATCATTTGACTAACTCACCGGTGAGCATTTGCGACTCCTTGCCATTGGAGCTGACAGTCCTCAGCCTCATACTCTTTCGAGTTGTGGGTGGAAATCAGTGAGAAATCATAAGCTAGGTAGAACTAGCTAGATGGTTCTCATTTATTCTCTAACTGATATCTGTTCACGGCAAGCTTACCCTTAGGTTAAGTATTTAAACTCATGTATATATATATCCTATTTTCATAAATTATTTTTTTCTTTAGGTTGGTTGCGGTTATACTGCTTGCCGTTATCTTTCACTGATAAGGATGATCAGTCATCATTCGTCTCCAGTCGTCCGGCAATGGTATGGTTAATTACAATTATTCATTGATCAAACTGTGTTAAACAGAAAGTGTATAATCTACTATTACTATCAGTCTATATCAATATATCACTTGTTCGATCACATTCACTTATGCACTTTTTTATATGTTATTATTACTAGTAGACAGACACTATAAAATATTGATTTAAAAATTTAACAAAATTTTAATAACTTATGTAACGGTTTGGATACTCTTTGCATTGTCGAACTGAAGAAGATATTTATCTTTAGGCACCACTATTCAAGGCAGTGACCTGAAACCTAATAATTAGGGCAGTGTAGTAACGGCAGGTGCCTTATTCCAACAGTTATGATTGATTAGATCAGGCTTGTCTAACACTGACTATACTATAGATCATTTTATGAGTTTGAAATCTTGGTTTTCAACTGTCTTCTGTGAAACTCCTTTACCCATTAGTTCGATGTTAAGCATCAGACGTCTTCCCCTTCAATTTTAACTTGAAGTTAGCAGTTTACTCTACATGAAGATATAACCTCTCCATCTTCAAAGAAGAAACTTCAGGGAGGAAGTCCGACTTCACTTGTATTTCGTGATAACGAGGTATTTACAGAAATCTTATTTATTACTTTTTTTCACTTATATACTTCCTTTAATCTAGATGTCAAAACAAGATCAGTGGAGAAAGTCAAATTTTCATTCCGTAGAAAGTTTCAATCAGTCTTTGGATAAGAATATTTCATGTTTATGGTTAAAAGAACATGACAATATATTTGAAAAATTGGAATCTGAGTAAGTGTTTAAGATGGAAATTTTCATTCCCTAAACTTTCATTTATTCTAGTGTATAGTTAAAGAGTAATCTCATTGGATAATTTACCACTTCATAGAATTAATCAGAAAGAAAATCTAAATTGCTAGAAATCATGTGGTTTGAACTAATTCGGCTTTCTGATCTGAGACAAACGGAAAACACCGTTGATGAGCTCAGCCCCGAAAGAGAGAAACCGCCGTCCGGGGTTTAGGTCACTTTGATATTCTGACTAGTAAGCACTACTGGTTGGTGTGTACAACTACTGATATCAATGAAATCAGTAGTATGTAGCTTCATATAGATTACTTTTATTTGTTAAAAATATGCTCCATATTTTGTTGGCTCTATTTCACATTGTATTTACAAGGCTGCTTAAAATAAGTTGTAGGGGCACGTATACATGAGCAGAACTAATAGAGTATTCCAGTGTTATTGGCATGAACACATATTCACAGAGTAATTAAATTATAGAAAATTCAAGTGTTCTTGGTTTCAAACAGAATTCCAGGATCATCTATTGTAAAACATTTATTAATGACTGGTAATGAAATCAATATTAATAAAGGTTTCTTAATTACCCTACATAATTTTAAGTTTGTTAAGGAAGGTGGAAGTGCTTTCAAGTAAATACGTGGACTGAACATTATCCGTACAGAAAATAATGAATTTTACCATTTACCTAGCCTAAGCTACAATGAAGTGGAATGGTATGTCCTTCAACAACCAGTTACGGTTCCATGCAGCTGACAGTAAGCCACACCTATCGTGTGAGGGTTATTGATACTACTTGGTTGCCCAAACGTCGGTTGGCGGAGCGACCCACTGGTTGGAATTTGAACGCCACAGTTTTACTGACCTAAAGTACTTAACCTATTTAACTACGGTTGATTATCAGTGGTTCTTTTTATCTCAGACGATTGATTAATTAGGATTTTAGTGATCCTGATTGGTTTCGACATAGCTTCCGTCACGAACTAACATCGGTTAGAGAAACGCTGAAAACCGAGGAGTGCTGGACATCTGCTTAGTCTTAGTTTCGGTCCTTTCAGAGAAACAAACCCGTAAACCAATCAGGAATTGAGACCAGGACTCCTAAAGTTAAGGAGACAGCCTGTCGGTCACCCAAACACTGGATTAGAACACAATGTCTGCCTTTAAATCTGATTTGGTGCACTCCACTGATAACGAGGTCTCGTTAGAACTATAGAATGTTTCTATTAACTTCATTCAATGGTGATCAGTAGATTATAATTCAGATTTTGCACCAAAAGGTTTTAAAAGAGGTTTGATCACGAAACGATATCTGTCAAAGATAACCATGAGGCAACAAACTCCTGTCTCATTTTAAAATTACAAACTAGTGGGTTGTTCGTTTCCAACCCAAATACTCAACCGTAAATGTGCTCTTCTCAGATTCTAACTTTCTAGAGACCAACTGTAGTACAGCCGTTCATGTGCACTACTATCAGAAGAAGCAACTGGTCTTCAATTTTCGTTTAAGACTAATGTTAACCACAGATGAAATCACTCTTGAAATCAGTCGGGTGCCTACAAATCCTCATTCTGGATAAACTAAATGACACAATAAATTTAAATGATTAGTAATCAAGAGGATTTCTCGGCGAATTTAAAAGCTATAGTAATCAAACTGTATTCAGTCCTTATCATCCCTTTTTGTTCCACTTCCTCACAGTAATTTGTTTAAATGATTCTTGAGGGTTCATGGAAACATTTTCTTCGAATAAGATTTATGGTAACATAAATCTTATTTTGACTGTTATTTATTTACTTGTAGGTAGACGTCAGTTTATACATCAGTTAATAAATTAAACAAATGAAAAGTGAGCAACTTACCAAATGTCTCATTTTTTGATTCGACACTAGTCAGTAATGTGTCTAATCCTATCTTCGGCGCAGACTGAATTCTATCAGTCAAGCTTGCAATGTGGCCACCATGCTAGGTGGCTCACCATCACGGTGCACTGTGAATTGTTGGTATTAGATGGTTGGAGGCAATCGGCGGGAAGCTTTGGACCTAGGTTTCGTGCTAGTTGGCACTCGTCAGTAAGGCGTATCAGTGGTAACATCTCTGACTGAAGGCGGCACTGGGTGACGCGGGTTCGAATCTCAGAAGGGACATGAGTTTCTTCGAGGTTGCAGGTACGCCTTGCTGATGAGTGCCAACTGGCAGAAACCTATTCGAAGCCTTCTTGCTAATTGCCTCCAACCATCTAATAATACGATATCTTTTGAGGTTATCACTGGCGGACTCTAACATAATCGGAAAAATCCCTTTTTATTCCAGCAGAAACCTGTGCGACTGGGGAGCTGAAAAAGATAGTAAAAGAACACCCCTCTATCAAATGAGCTAGATATATAAATATTATGGTGTTGAATGCGTTACTAGTTTGGATTTGTAGGTAGTATGTTGTGTGTGCTATCTGCTTAAACAGTCTTAATTAACGAAGTGACACACTTCAGTACGAAGAGAAAAACATGAAAGACCCTAGTGGAAGAATACAGGAAGCATGGAATGAGGACAATGGAAGCAGAGTGCGAACAAATTTTGCAAATTCAAATTTGAATGAAGGTTTTTGTATATTGCCATAACTCTATATTATTTTGATAATATAAACAATTCTGCCACCAAGTAATACTGTGTTCTGTCAATAAAATGCCTAAAAATTTTATACGAAAATTTGTCCTTACGACTGCTTTACTGCTTGTTTTCCCTTTCAAAGCAAACTTTATGAATGCCTGTTTAATATGGAAGATTTGGAAAAACGAATGAAACTGATTGGTGCATTATGGATTAAAATTGAAGAGCAATTAAGGTAAGTAAATCGATTAGTTTAAGTACTGCCGATGATTCTAAAACTAGGACGAAACAGCAGCTGTCCAGTATTCCCTGGAATGTTTTCAATGGTTCTCTCACTGATATCAATCTGTGATCAGCTCGTAAAAAACAAAACTATCCTTACAAACCAACTATAGAGAATATGTAATATAATTGCTTTCAGGGTTTCATCATGAGCTGACATTAGTTAGAGAACCATTGGATTCAAATAAGTTCATTTCATACTAAAACATGCACAGAAGATGTTATCGAGAAAGATGACAAAGGCTCCAAAATTCAATCAACCAGCTCAGAGACCACAACTAACTCAATAACAACCTCTTGTCTCTGTCTACCTCATTTTTTATTGTTAAATGAGGAAATAATGTCGCCACATATATGAAATAGTGGTGATGTTATATCCCTACAAACCAACACTTGAATAACAATGAGATGATCACTAGCGACTTGCCCTATTCAGGTAGGTGGTTACCTGGGTTCTAGTGAGAAGTCGTGACCAGTAGGCTGCAGCCGGTCGGGTGTGGGACAATACTCTCCGAAGACATTGGCTAGAGGTCGCGCTATGTGTGATTTGGCAGAAGTTAAAATTCATCGGCCATTGGATCGGGTTCCAGTGGCTTAATGGTAAACGAGCTAGCTTGCATTGTGACCAGAAGGTCCTGGTTCGAACCGTGGCGGTGGGTGTGTACTGCTGAAGAGTCCCAAACTAGTCTGACGAAACAGCTATCCAGTACTCCCAGGTGGTTTTCCAATGGTTCTCTAACTAATGTCAGCTCATGATGAAATCCTGAAACCAATCAAATCCCTACAAACCAACACTTGAATGTAATATAATGTTGAAAATACAATGACACAATCGTAATACTGGCACGTCAGAAAATATTGGTCGCTTTCCACTTGTAAATGTTGTCAGTCGTCTGACTGTAGTTTCGTGTTGTGTTTTCTAACGATGACTCTTTTAACATCTGTGTGTGTATGTAACCTCTAACTGTGTTACGTAATCTGATACTATTATGATTGTATTTCGAGGGAATGAACAGCTTTAGACAAACAGGAATAATTTTTTTCCGAAAATGGAATGAAACATGTAAAATTCTTGACTATTCAGTTTGTTTAAATCTAGTAAGTTATGACCTCCAATGGTATTATCAACTCTTGTTAGTATTTGAAATGTTCGCGATTTGTAGTTTCGCAAGGTATCCAACAAACATGAGAAAAAGCATTATGATCGATGACAGGTTATCCCAGTACACGAGATGATCATTCCAGTGTGGTGTCACTGGTTCACAAAATGTATTCTTGAACTTTTTATAATTAGCATTCAGCAAAATATAGTGTATTTCCCAAAGAAGAAGAGATATCATAATGGTGATAGGTTTTCACGTCAGGTCAGAAAGAACTGTGTCACACGATCTGCTGTCAATTATTCTTTTATTCGAAGATCCCGCACGAAGAAGAAGTATCACTCAATAAACTCCGCTGAAAATTCTGTACATTTCTGTAAACATCATTCAGAATGAGGCTATTATTGTTATTATTATTATTCAAACGAGTACCACTTAGTTGTACTTTAAAGAATTAATATCTCATTTAGTGTTTCCTCTTACACATAATTCTGCTACAGTCTTTATTATGTGCATTTGTTAAAGTTATTTTGCATTTATCGTTCACTGATCAAGTTGAGTCAAAACGCCCTCCTGTTACAGATGCTTGATAATACCTTGAGATAAACATAGTATAGATTTCTTGTCAGTGGCTAGGAGTAAAAATGATGGGTACTGGGCTCAAGTATCGGAGGGAATATAAACACTCACTGGAGATTACAGGTTTATCCAGCTGACATGTTTCAAATAGGATGAAACACACATTGTCGATTCCACTTCGGGCCACTGCCAACGGAGTGAAATCCTGTTGAAGTTAGTTAGCATTTCCTGTTGATTGGTTTTACTGGACCAAAATATTCGATCTGCGTTGACATGTCAGAGACACCTACCACGGACGCTTTAACGATGTCTAAGGATTATCATGATATCATTAGGTGGACGGTGACTAGCAGTTGGGTCTAGGACGCTTATTTAATCCTATTTGGGGTCCGTCGGTTAGATGTACCTGCGTTCTGTAATGGGTGATGGTGTTTCCACTGTCACTCGAAACCAGCGTCCATCTTTTTGGGGTACGCCAAAGCGTTATCCATAAGAGACTGTGGGAAATATAAAATCAAAACAAATACCGGTTGTATCAGAGTTGACTCTTGTGGTTTAAGTAGTCTAGTGGATAACGCCTTATTGTTTGAAACGATTGATACGGGGTTCGAGTCTCTGTAGGGACACCGTCACTCACTGAGAATGCAGATGTATTCAGGTGACGAATCCCAGATAAGACGAAATGTGCATCACCATCAACCAAAAATTAATGTCTGTTTATTAACAAATCATCTACTTATCCATACAACTTTTTACATGTTATGTATGTCGCCATTCTAAACATATGCTGTCTTACAAGAAATTATTCAGAATGCGCATTGTCGAGTCCACTGCTAATCACCATTTATCAAGTGACAGTGTTTTTTTTATTATATTCATTTAAATGGAAGTAGGAAAAAGATATTCTAAACACCACTGACTTAGGGCTAAAACAACTTATTCAACAATGAAGTTTGCGGTGATTGAATTATTTTATCACGAATCAACATCATCATGGACAATCTCTTGAAAGAAGCTAAGTAGAAGACCAACAACTCTTCAGTCGATGTCACTTCATAACGAAATCTAGTTTAAAGTTAGTAAATTAATTATAAACGAGAACCCTAACAGTTAGATCACGGTTCTTATTCTCATAGACGAGAAGTAAGGTAAAGTAGCTGTGAAAAAATGAAGATATTAAGAAGTTCTCGATGATACTGAAAAATGATGATTAATTCAAGGTAGTTTGCAGCTGATGAGAACCTATGAAATAGAATGATATCCTTTTATACTGCAAATCTGGTCATTCTTTCTTTGTCGAAATTTATCAGTGGAACCCAATTGTATGAAATGGTGATTGTGTTGCATATCGAAGAGTGGTTGACAGTCATGAGCGACTACATTCTGATTGTGACCCACTATCTGAAAGTTAATGTGTTTAACACTGCTGATATATTTTAGACTAGAAAGAAAAATGAACAGCGGTTCAATACTACTTAGCTTCAACATTTCATGTAGAATGATGTCCATTCTTGACACAATCAAATGGAGACGTCCAAGTTTAAGTAAGGGAAAAACAAAACTTCAAGAAAGCAAAAATGAAAACTCAGTGGAATTTCCCGCTCTCCTTACCACAACCTAAACACACTACAAAGATGTATATAAAACAAAGAATTAGATATTTGGTTGTTAATGGGTATAATCATACCTAGATCGTACATTTAGCGCTATTTTTAGGACTCGTCTGTCGGATATACTTGCATTATTAGTAAGTGATGTTATTCCTGCTGATACCTAGGCCTAACATCCATCTTCGCAAGCGCCAAAGCATTATCCACCACGTTATATTGAACATTTCAATGAAATAAAATCAACTGACGGGAAATTCAAATTAATACTTTTATTAGGTTGACAAGAAGATATTTATAGAAAACTACGAGTAATATGGACTAATGGTTACTGGTTAGTATATCCGCTATAGTTATACAGGAGGTCAATCGTGAACCTGAACGTCTCTGACTGCAGTACCGGATGACACAGGTTCAAATCCCAGATAAGCCTCTCTAATAAGCTGCGATAAGCACAAAACCTGTGTATAAGGCTATCTGCCAGTTGCCTCCGATCATTTAAGATCAATTCAGAGTGCATCGCAATAGCAAGACACCTAGCTTGGGGACCACGTTGCATACTTGACCAATAGAATTCAGCCTGCGCAAACACCAACGTTTAAGCTCATGACATTGGTAACATCCTAGTAACCAATCAATGGAGTAGAGTATATGGTTAAATATCAAAGAAATCTTTAAGGTTGCTCTGAGAATTGACTGTTAATAAGATAATTGGATGAATATTCTTTTGGAAAAAAGGAAAGCAGCTTAGATAATGGATAGAAATAACATTTAACTGAAGACAGTAGGCCAGTATAACACAGTACATTATCTGTTTGGTCTTTTAGAACAGCGTAAAAGGTAAGTTGAGCTATTTTCAGATGATAGTAAGTTTCTAGAACAAAACAGAAGTAACAAAGTTGTGTTTAACAGATCTGACGCGAACGTTTTTTTTTAATTAATGGCATCGCCTACTGGCTACTTTGAAGACTTTCACTTTGTTCACATTGTGTCCAGAATTTATCAGTGACATGCCGTCAGACTGCTTGATATCTCCAAACTATTTTGTATTGATTTCTTCGCAGTGTTTATAAAAGTATGTATCACAAAACATAAACTATAGATGAATTTTATGTTCTAAATTCATTGTTAGATCAACTTATGGTATATAATTATTCGTTTAAACTGTATTTTTGCTTTTGTCTAGGCAACTTGAAACAGTCTTTCTACAAGTGGAGGCAGAAAGTAGTTCATCAAATACCTCAATAAAGTCTCAGCTTAATTCGCCTTTCATTTTACTAAAACTACAATACTTTGCTTATTTAAGGAATATAAAAAATTATAAAGGTCATTTAAAACAAAGCGTTGCATACAATTTCAGATTATACACTTGGTTAAATTGTCAATTGATGATATCTAAACATTTTTATAAATTAATGAATCAGTGGTTCACTAATGGTATATCATCATCATCATCACCATTGTTTGAGGTATCCCTGCCATCTGCTGTAATCATAAATTCAAAATTATTATTTAATTGGATTATTAAATGTTCCATGATCAATTCATCAGAGGTACAATATAAATTAATAGCATCTGTAAGTTATTTTTACAATAGTTATTTATTGGTGTTCAGCTTATGGGGTTGAATAGGGATTTGGGTTAATTTCAACCCCGATTTCATTACGAACTAAAATTAGCTAGTCACTAAAAACCAGGGTGCACGGGGTAGTTATTTCAACCCAATTTAGGACTATTCAGCAGTGTACACCCATGACCGCACAGGGAGTCAAAACCAGGAGAAACAACTGTCCAGTGGTCCCTGATTTTGTAGTAATTCTGTAACTGATGCTGGTTCCTGAAGAAATCTATACTGGAACTGTTTGTTGACATTTTTTAAATTTTTAATTACAGCTTGATTCCACACCGTACTTTTGGTACAAGTATGGAGTTTTCAGCGTCGCTATCGGTAGCCCAAATTTCCCAGGCCGACCAATTGATATCAGGTGTGCATCGGCAGGGGATCGAACCTCGGACCATGTGCATGGTCGGCGAGAGTCCTAACCACTGTGCCACCAACGCACATTTCATCATGAACTGACATCGGTCAGACGACCACTGGAAAATCTGCAGGGAGTACTGGACAGCTGTTTCGCCCTGGTTTGGGACTCTTCATCAGTACGCATCCACTGAGGTTCAAACCCAGAGCCTTCTGGTTACAAGGCGAGCTCGTAGACCATTAGGCTGTCCAGTACTCCCAGGATTTCTAATGATCCTCTAACCAATGTCATTTCATGATGAGATCCTGAAACTAATCGAATCAAATCCCTGTAAATCAACACTTGAATATTTACTGATAATTAGGCATTGTCTGAAAAAGTTGCTATCACATCAATAATCGATCATTGCTGTTCAGTAGAATATAACGATGAGAAATTACAAGCATAAACCAATAGAAAATGATATTTCTTGTGCTTCAGTCATTCAGTAGCTTAGTGAATAACTTTATCGAATTTAAGGTGATAGTTATTTGTCTCGAGTCTCACTAGAAAAATAAATTACCTAATTTTGCTTTAAAAATTTCATTTATGAACTTGAAAACAACGAGAACGATCACTGGAGTATAGCAACAGCTCCCGTTTATTCCAAAGGTTCACTTCCTCTGTGTATAGCGTGTGACGATGATTACAGCCGGTTGCAATACACCTTTGACATACTTCAGTTCATTAAAGAAGGAATTAACCCATTGGCAGTGAACCATGTAATGTCGTCATAGTGAAGTAAAACATTAGAATGATAAGTGAACAGCTGAACGTGAAACGTAAGCGATAGCCGTTAACTTTTTAAAGTGGCCAAAAGCAAGATGTTCAAGGCAAAAAAACTAAATTCGCTGCCACATACGTCCTGTGGTGTGGTATTCGAATGATGACTTCTTATTCTTATCAACCATAATTTTATCTTGTATATACTACTGATTGATCGATATGAGTAAACTGAGACCACTCACATCAACCAGTAGTACTCGCCAGATAGATAAAAGTGATCTGAAACCTTGACGGTCAGTTGGGGTCGTGCTCATCAAACATGTACCTAGTTAAACTTAACTCAGAGAACCAAATCAATTCAAACCACTAAAATTCTGACCAGCTACTTCGGTGAACTGGAAATATATGGAATCAAACTCACAATTTACCAGTTACAAATTTTGAGGTGTAATTTTAGCGTAGTTTACTTGTGAAATTAAAATTATAGGGATTACAACATGTGATCCACATGATACCATGAATAGTAATCAAAAAAGGCAAATCTATATATTATGACCGATTCTTATAAATAGTTGGAAACCACTAACATCAACCGGGGTGGTTTGGAATGATTCGAATCTTCCACCTGAGCCAATCCTTTAATGTACCTGTGCACGAACGAGTGAACCGGCCTTCCAATGTTTACGTCAATTAGATCATGGCTAGGATGCACTACTGGTTGATGTGAGTGGCTTCCGACTGCTCACATTAGTCAGTACTGTACACCATCATTAATTTTAAACTATGCAATGTAATAAGATGAATTCAACTGAATAACTTCCGACAGTATGAACCATATGGATATTAGACTAAGTCATTAGTCTATATTCAATAAATAAAATTACGGTTAAACTCTAGGCAATATTAAGCCATTTCTTAAAGCGTTCTATACCAAGTGTCTTCATATAATAAAATATTTGGAATTATAGCCCGATGGTCATCACTAGAAGTGATGTATAATGAAGTATCTGAAAATAAATTGTCGCATTTTTCATGATTTGAATCAATACAAATGAGTCTAAAGATGGAATGTTGATAAGAACATTTTGTAGCTTGTTCATTAATATTGAGAAGATAGTGGAATTATTTGAACTATGAAGAAAATAAGAAATAATGCTGAAGGATCCAAACAGCTCACAAAAGATTTATGCGACCAAAGGATCCATTAACTTTAATACAAGATTCTGTGCGGATAGAAACACTATCTGGAAGCGACAGAGACTGAAAACTAGTCTATTCTGTTGTCATTACTGGTGAAAGTAATTTGATGTATGGCAGAGTTATCACATGAGAGTAAAAGTGAAAAAGAAACATTAGTATGCTCATTCAAGTAGAGAGTGATGAAAAACAGAATTGGTTACCACGAAAATACCGATTTCCCCATTTTTAGCAGATATCTTTATGGTTTGTAGTAAATATGATAAATTTTAGAGCAGCCTACGTCACAAAACGGCATTGAATAGAGAACCATTGAAAAATTGACAAGCATAAAAAGGTTGTTTCTTATGAGGTGGAATCTCACAGTAGTGCCCAGTCATGACTCATTCTCAGATTTCAAATAGGATCACTCCGTACTTCAGTGAGCATATTGGATTGGAATTCAGAGAGGCAAGAATTTCAGCTGCTACCCGTTCACAGCATAGGACTACCTCATATCTTATTTGGTTTACCCTAATAGTCATAACTTCTCATTGAAACTTCCTCTTAAAATCAGTCATTAGGGAGAATTGTTTAATTGTTCATGTGTGAGGTTTAGCGAGAATTTGTTTGTTTTAAAGTGGTTCCCTCAAAGTGATGATTTGTAAGAAAACATGACAGTTGCGGACTTATGGTACTTATGCAACGCGTGGTAATCAGTAACCTTGCAGACAGCCTTTTAGAATACGATTCACATCGACGCAAATACGATAAGGAAAGGATTTTTATTAAGACACAAGCTAGGTACATTATGGAAACCATAAGAAGAGCCACAAAAAATTCCACAATTTGTGCAAGAACTGTGATACTCTCAGACCACCAGACCGAAGCAGGGGGTTGTCTTAAGGCTCCAAACTCACGAATTTCCTTATTTGAAGTCTGATCCACATGGCTATAGGGTAGCACCAACAGCTACGCTTCAAATATTTCCGGTGACCAAAACAGGTTGATACGCCATTCAATTCGTTAAGATTCTTGAGCCTAGTACACCATAGATTTGCAGTCAAGGTTTCCAACTCTCTAGGCAGACCAGCGTGTCGACCAAACTGGTTGTAATCATTTGACGTTCGCATTCGCCCCTTCACTTTTATGAGGAACACCTGCGCCGCATGCAGGCAGTGGGTAAGACTTACCTACCAGAGGTTGAAGTCAACCCACCCTCGGCAGTACCATGTCATCTATGGGATCCATGAGAAAAGGGTGCCTTTTCACATCATATTTTAACAAAGCCGTAGGTTACTGAATTCATTCTTGACTATTGGGTTGCTTACCGTGCAGTTTAAATTTGTTGTCTATTATTCTCGGCTTATATTTTCTAAATCTCTTCAGATAATTAAGCCAGGAGATAGAAGTCTGTTTAACAAAGGAGTAATCATCACATCTGTTCGTTTACTTATTCATCAGAAAAAGGTTACAAATAAAAATAATGAACAAATGAATATTAATTCAAACTATCCTTTAAAATTGACCGATATTGTACATCTACGGCTAGCTGTTGTACCTATTGGAACCTTTAACACAATGAATAACATCAACGCTATATGGATTGAATCATGGCCATTAAAAGAAGAGACAGTTTGCATAAGTATACCATTAGTGCTAACAAATGATCAGAATTGGTACCTCAGTGATTCTTTACAGATTTACTTAGTTACTGATTATATCTTGTAAAGAATACACTATTTATTTAATTTACTATAAAGTGATTAAATTCTGTTTATAATTCACAAATATATTGACCAATCAACGAATTTTAGTAAATAAAAGAAAATTATTTTCATTAAAAGTTTGTATTTTTATGAATTAATTCATATATTCCCGCGTAATACGTGGTTCATTGTACGGGAATCGAGCCAGGACTATGTGTGTGGTTGGCGATTATCCCACAAATGTACTGCTAAACCTCGCTTGGACAGTGGTAAACAGTGAAGAGAGAGAATTCCAGGCATGAAGCTGGTAACCTCATCCTGTAAAAGAATAGCGCCGTTACTGAAACTTCAATGCTATATATATATATATATATATATATATATATATGATTCACAACGGGAAACTTACGGAAGCCTTCGAAGTAAAGACGGGAGTAAGACAGCTGGCTGACTACAATCGCCAATGATTTTCCTGATTGCAGTAGATTGGATAATGCGACAGACAGCGGGCAGTGAGAAAACAGGCTTAAAATGGACTCAAACAAAAAATAACTTGGAGGATCTGGACTTCGCCGATGTGCTATATGTCTGATTTCCCACAAAGTGGAAGAGATGCAAGTGAAAAGCAACAAGTTGGCAGAAGAAGCATCTAGAGATGTTAGGACTTCAAGTGAACATAGAGGAAACAGAAGTAGGTGATGAAGATTCCTTTCCAACACCAACAGCAACAACAACAACAGACAACAATCAGCCAGCATAAATGGGAGGAACCTGAAGGAAACAACCTCCTTTACCTACCTGGGAAGCATCGTTTCAACTACAGGTGGACGGAACTGACGAGGATATCAAAGCCAGAATCGGAAAAGCAAGACAAGCTTTCATTACTTTGAAGTCTTTGTGGGGGTCAAAAGCACTCAACATGAAAAATAAGATGTGGGTTTTCAACTCCAATGTGAAGTCAGTGCTACTTACTACATGGACCAGAAACTTGGCGCGTCATGAAGAGCACTTCAAACAAACTACAGACCTTCATTAACAGTTGTCTTTGCTCAATACTCAGGATCATATGGCCAGAAAAGATCAGCAACAGGGATCTCTGGCAATGAGCGAACCAACCCAGCAGGAACCGATTGTGGAAAAATAGGCAGGAAGAAATGAAGATGGATTGGCCATACTCTGAGGAAACCATCAAGTGACATCACTAGACAAGCCATTGCTCGAGTGGAATCCGAAAGGGAAGCGGCGAGTTGGTCATCAGTGTAAGGGTGACTTGGAGCGGGGTGAAAAGTTGGCAGAAAACCGAAGGCAATGGAGATGCGTGGCTGAAGCCCTATATTCCTTTAGGAATTAAAGGGAATAATAATAACATGTATCTTGTGTTTCATAATTAAATAAGCGTGTGAAGATTATCACATAACTGCTACTGAATGGAGTGAGTAGTTTTAAATTACTTAGTTTAATCAGTTTTGATCATCAGTTTATAGAAGAGCTGTTTACAGTCCCATTTCTTACTTATGGTTTACTTTATTTACTACGATGTACTCCGAGTGACGCAACGCAAAAGATCGAATTATTTTAAACCATTTTAATTCTAATAATAAAGGTTTTTGTATTTCTCAATGAATTAAAAACAAAACAGTATTGTTTTTACTGACGTTTCGCTATTTAATGCTAACAGCTTTATCAAAGTATTATTAAACGGGAATTTATATAGACAGAAAAATGGTGTTGCCATGGATTCACCAGTCCGCCGAATAGTCGCCAACCTTTACATGAATAAATTCGAAAATAATATATTTTCAAGCATACTCACTCCTAAAATATGGTTAAGATATGTGGATGATAATTTTTTAGTGCTAAAACGAGATCTATACAGTTCATTCCTGGAGAAAATAAACTGTCTATCTCCCAGAATCCAGTTCACTTCGGAAGCAGAATCAGATGTCGGTGAACTAACATTTCTAGGCTGCCTAGTTACGAGGAGGGAAAACGGACATTTTAGCACATCTATATTCAGGAAGAAAACTCACTCCAATAAATATTTAGACTTCAAATCATCACACCCCATCAGCGCAGCGATTTCAGTTGTTTCAAGTCTTCTTAGATGAGCACACTCTCTGAAAACGGAAGAGAAAGAAAAAAAAATGAAACATTACTGAAACTCAAGCAAAACAATTACCCAAAGAACTACATCAACAGAATCAACACTGACATTAAGTATGGTCGAAAAAACATTCCGAAAATATGGACCTCAGCAGTCGTCATTCCACATAGAGAAGAGACGTCAGACGATATCAGAAGATTACTCAATCAGCTTGACATTATAGTTTTCTCCAAAACATCAGACACACTATGAAACAACCTTTTCCATATAATGACCAAATCCCTAAAGATTCTCTGCCTAATTAAGTCCATAAAATAAAATGCTTGCTGGGAATGTTATGCGATCTATATCGGACAGACATCTCAAAAAACCCAAATCAGAAGAAATGGACTCCGCAGAGCATCTATTAGACCACCAAGAAATCCAGTTGAAACGGGGAAGCTAGAAAAATCATCAGGCATAGGTCTACACGCTATAGAATCAGTACACAAAGTTGATTTAGACAATATTGAAATCCTCATCCAGAAAAAGTATTTCAGAAATCACAAAAAACGTCTAATATCAGAAGCACTTCATATCAAGAGGAATCCAAATTGCATGGAGGATTTCATCATGAGCTGACATCAGTTAGAGAACCACTGGAAAACGTGGGAGTACTGGACAGCTGTTTCGTCCTAGTTTGGGACTCTTCATCAGTACGCACCCACAGGGGTTCGAACCAAGGACCTTCTGGTTACAAGGCGAGCTCGTAGACCATTGAGCCACTGGGACCCGATCCAATGGCCAGTCCTTGAATTCTAACTTCTGCCAATTCACGATATAGCGCGACCACTTCGCAATGTCTTCTTCGATGAGTTACTGCCTCATCTTCAACCGGCTGTACCCTACTGGTCACGGCTTCCCACTAGAACCCCAGGTTAACTACCTGAATAGGCCAGTCACTAGTGAGCATCAGATTAATTTTCAAGTATTGGTTTTGTAGGGATTTTGTTTGATTGCATGGAGGATTTCATCATGAGCTGACATCAGTTAGAGAACCACAGGAAAACCTGGGAGTACTGGACAGCTGTTTCGTCCTAGTTTGGGACTCTTCAGCAGTACGCACCCACAGGGGTTCGAACCAAGGACCTTCTGGTTACAAGGCGAGCCCGTAGACCATTGAGCCACTGGGACCCGATCCAATGGCCAGTCCTTGAATTCTAACTTCTGCCAATTCACGATATAGCGCGACCACTTCGCAATGTCTTCTTCGATGAGTTACTGCCTCATCTTCAACCTGCTGTACCCTGATGTAACTGATGTTAGCTCATGATGAAATCCTCCATGCAATCAAACAAAATCCCTGCAAAACCAATACTTGGGAATCCAAATTTTCTGAGTAGAAATGATAGACTAAGACAGAATCTGACCAGGTTACAACACCTCCCTCCCCATGAAGTGACAAAATCAACACGAATGTGATAAGCGATTTCATTATGTATGCACATCCTGCTTTTATAATTTTACACACTGATCAAATCCAACAATCTACACTTGGTTTTGTTATCTTTACCAACTGGCCAACTTGACAACGAAAAATCACTCCAGACTGGAGAACGATGATCAAGTTAGTAAACTTTGTTTTGATACCACAACAGATGTACCATTACTTCTGTTATTTGGATTAGTTATCTTCATTATTATTTTGACTTACATTATGTCCCTTTAACTTGACTTAAGTCTATGTTCTCACCTCTTAACTCTTTGTTAAATATATGTTGAGATTTTGTAAATACTTTGATAAAGCTATTAGCATTAAATAGTGAAACGTCAGTAAAAACAATATTGTTTTGTTTTTAATTCATTGGGAAATACAAAAACCTTTATTATAATGAATATCATATATACCCAATGCCCAAATTTTTTTCAAAATGTTAAATGTGAACTTGGTTTGGCCCTATATGAACACTTTAATTCTAGATGTGAAGTTGAGTGGAATAACGGATGATACGTTGTTGCGCTTAGTTCTTAAATAAGTATGAATCGACAAATTTGAATAATTAATTGACGTAAACATAGTAAGAAACTACGTGCATCAAACAACAGTACTTGCTAGACAGATGGAAGTGATTTAAACATCGGATGGCTGATTTTCTCGTTTCGAATCCTTGTCCTTCAGAGGTTCTTATTCTGGACTAAGTTCAGAAACCTAAATCTCTTCAAACCATCCACATTCAGATCGTTTACCTTCACAAACTAGTAATACACGAAATCAAATCCTCGAGTTTTCAAACTATACAGTACGAGGTAAAATTTCACTATGCATTCCTTTGGAAACTGATATTACTCAGATTCTAATATGTGATCTGATTGACACCATCCTGGAGAGACTGAAAGATGCACCGGATACAAAACTCTACCGAGAACAAGCTGGCTTCAGGAAAGGCAAGTCATGTGCAGATCAAATTGTAATACTGTGTTTCCTTATCGAACAGAGCGTAGATTAGCAGCCTAATCTCCAGCTCAACTTCACCGACTTCCAAACGTCCTTTGACAGCATCGACAGTGCACTAATTTGGAAACTACTTAAACACTATACGGTGACTCATATTTACATTAACCTCATTCAACAGCTATATGAAGACGCCTTATGTAAAATGATTCATGATCATGATCATATCTTCACCCTCAGACAGATTCTAGAACATAGGCATTCCTACGGGCGTCCAACAGTCATTATATTTCTTGACCTAAAGGCAGCATTCGACTCTATCGATCGAGAAGTTCTCTGGAGATGCTTGGCTGTAAAGGGAATTCCAAGAAAATATATTGCACTGATTAAGGCACTCTACTCGTACTCATACAGCCAGGTGAGGGCTTACGGCGAGCTGTCATCTGAACTGATGACGACCAGTGGTGTCCGTCAAGGATGCCCATTAGCTCCTTTTCTATTCAACTTCATCATAGATGTGTTAATGGACTTAACCCTAGGTGACTTCAGCGACTCAGGGATTGACTTGCTACCGGGGAATAATCTCGTTGACTTGGA